TCAGAAGGAGACGTTTACTATAGAAGTGATTCTAAGAGTCTGTGAGGAAGCAGGTTAGCAAGGCGTTCTGCAAAACTGTATGGGGTGCGGGGAGACTGACAAAGTCGACTGAAGAAAAAAGTTCAGAGAGGGCGGGAGGGCAGACTTTTATAGCAGAAATTTTGGCGACGCACGGGCCCGGTCTTGGCAGCGCCGCAGAGCCTGCGCCGACAGAAGAGCCGCCATGGAACTGCAAAAATTTCGCAGATCCACCCGCAGAGCTTTTCAGCAGCGCCGATTGGCTGGCGCGCATGCCATGCTCCGTTCATATGCGGCTGGCAGCTTCATCATCTTTTTTTTCGTGTCGCTCTGGCCCGTCCGCCGGCAGAGGCGGTTTCACCTTGCCGTGCTTGCAAAGGACCTGCGAAGCCAAGCACCTACGAAGCCGGCTCTATTTGAATCGCAGCAAGTTAGGGCCGTTGGAGCTCTTGTGCGGATGCATTTGTTCGCATCCACGTCGTGCATTCACATCCGGATGGAGGCTTCAACTATTGTACCACAACTTGTTGCATTACTAATAACACCGACCTCATGCGCAGTTCATCAAATCACCGGAATGAGGGCGGGACCCTTTGGGCCTCTGTCTGACCTGTGCCCATGGTTCCGCTGCGGGTCAAGTCCCCAAAGTCATTGCATGGCTTTTCTCGACCGAACATTCTTTCCCTTCTTGGAATGCACGGATCAAGCGACCGTAGTTTGCGAAGCATAGCAATCGTCGACGAGAATCGGCGCGGCATGACCCTAAAAAGGGCGCATGGCAGCATCCTCCAAAACGATCCCCATAAGTCCGAGTCCAAGAAGCAGCTGCTGAAAACCGACTGGGCCGAGCCCCGTCTAGAAGGCGAAGAGTAGACATTCGACGACGACATCACCCTCTTAAACTACCTCAGCCAAGATGGAAGTGACAAGTATGCCTTTGTTACTACGCAAGGCTCAATCGAAAGCAAATTGCTGTCCACAGCCTTCGCCAACAATTTGGTAATTGGCCGGGTATGTGTGGATGAATGGCACATCTCATGGGTCGGGCAACGCGCTGTGGGATCTACTTTCGATGATCCAGAGGCGCAGCCGTGTATTCAATTTTGAATTGCCGCCCTTCTTCTTATTCGTGTCGGGGACGCCCATGCCTCAAGGCCCAGAGTCACTGGAAAGGCTGCTGGACACGATGACAACCCGCGAAGAAGATCGTCCAAAGCAGCTGAGTAAAGCTGCATTCAACGAGCTCATTCATTGATATAAAGTCATCCTCAAAGGCGAGCATTCTGAAGTGTTCCAGAAACAGTACCACGACAGCTTCTCCCAGCTTTTCCAACAAATCGCCATCGCGAGGAATGCCTGCACAATCTGGTTTGACGACAACTTCGCCATCGAAGTACCGCTCCACAAGCATTTCACCATCCTATGCCGGATTCCGTCGAGCTACTTAGAAGTGATTACCGAACTGGTAAAGAAGGCAGAAAAGGCCCAGAGATCGCGGAGTAAGGAAGCTGTTAAGCGTATTAAGAAGTCACGGTTCTGGAAGTAGGCAGCACAAAACCAGAAGCGCATTTCACTGAAAGAGAGTGATGTTATCACCAGCGAGACTAACCTCGTACTGGCGCAGATACTTAAGAGCCCTAAGTGGAGTGAGTTCACAGGGACGCAGAAGAAACTGGTGGAAAAAAGAATGGTATAAGATGTGGGGGCGTAGCATGACGCGGTCAGGCTTAAATATGAGGGAGATGGATAGACCACGAGGCGGCGGAAGGGCGCAACGGGGCGCGGCAGGGTGAGGTAGGTTCAGACAGCGCTTTCCTTGTTCTTAAATCATCTGCACCCCGCAGAGTTCCTACTAGGTTCTCGGGGCGTCCTCTGGTCGAAATTCGCAAAAGCGCGTTATCGCAACTGCGTGTCCACACAACCTTTAAACGTTGTCGGCACCACCGCCCCCGGAGTACACAAATCTTGAGAAATCGTATCTCTGCACCCTATTTGCTAGCAACAAAGTATTCCAATCGGGCAATTGAGGAGTTAATCTCCATCGGAGCAGCTTAGAAATGACGAAACTATCTGTGGCATCGGACCGCCCGCTATCTCCACTTTCCCGTTGCTCCTCAAGACGCATATGCGGGCATGAACGACTCGCTATCTCCCCCAGATTTCCCGCCTGGCGGGGGTGCAAGGACCCGAAAACAGGCAAGGCTTCTGGGTACATCGATAAGCTCATTGGTTTCTCTCGGCATGTATCCTGGCAACTGATCGCCCGCCATGCTATCAACGTCGACGGTCGATAAGGCCTCTCCTCCCACTCTTCTCAAAACATCCCAGAAGGAGGACCAGGACAACACCAGCTGGACTATAGTCTGCGAATATAAGAGATGCTGTAAACACTGAAAAGATGGACAAGGGCGGTTGTTTCGGTCTGTTTGGACCCAGCAGTCTTCCCACCTCCACCATTATTGCAACCCCATATTGCCCGTGACCATGGCACCCCTCCCGAGCTTCGAAGCCTCGCCGCTAGTCCCCCGCTCATCACGGCTCGTCGTCGCCCTACTCATACTCAGCTCGTGCATCTCGTCGGCGACGCTAGGCTACGACGGGTCGATGATGAGCGGGCTCAACATCCTGCCCGCCTACGAAAACTACTTCCACCTGACGCCAGCAACGACGGCGCTCAACACGGCGACCGTGTACATCGGCCAGGTTCTCCCGTGCTTCTTCTACGGCGCCGTGTCGGACGCGCTCGGCCGCAAGAACGCCATGGCCATCGCCGCCGCCGTGACCATCGTGGCCGTCGTGCTGCAGGCCGCCGCGCAGAACGTCGCCATGTTCGCCATCGCGCGGATCGTCATCGGTGTCGGGAATGGGGCGACGGCTATCGCGGGGCCGACGTGGTTGTCAGAGTGCTTGCCGCATCGGTGGAGGGCGTGGGGGTTGGGGCTGTAAGTGGGCTTTGGTTCTTTTTTCTGTTGCGAATGAGTGCTGTGCTAACAAGTGGGATGTAGGTTCTACAACTTCTGTGAGTGCATGCAAGTACCAAGGGAGGGGACGAGTGGGATGGAGATTTCTGACAACCATGTTGAATAGGGTACGTTGGTGGTCTCATTGCATCCGGAATCACGTATGGTACGGGTATGATGGACAGCACGTGGGCATGGCGCTTGCCTTCAGCTGTGCAGGGTGTCTTCAGCGTGCTCTGCCTCCTGATCCTACCCTTTGTACCGGAAAGTCCGAGGGTATGTTGGCTTTCTCTGCTGTCTTTACCCGCAAGAAGATGCTGACAAGACCCACAGTGGCTAGTGTACCAAAACCGGCCTGATGAAGCGCTGCATGCACTTGCTTTGACGCATAGCGACGGTGATCAGAAGGATCCAGCCACGCTCGTAGAATTCCAGTCAATCAGTGACACATTGAAGTGGGAAAAGGAATCGGGAGAGATGACAGTGAAGGAGATCATGCGCACGCCGAGTCGTAGGAAGAGGATCATGCTCACGATTTCCGTTGCCGTCATCTGCATGCTTTCAGGTAAGTCTATTTGCTGATACGCGATGGTAGGCGGAAAACTGATTGTACCGAAGGAAACAACATCGTCTCGTATTACTTGGGCACGATGCTTGATGGAGCTGGTGTCACCGACACCACAACTCAGCTTGAGATCGTGAGTTTCGCTCGCCTTCCATATTCGAACGCCTGTAGCTTACCATCGTGTAGAACATCATCATGAACGCGTGGTGCCTTTGCATCGCCCTCGGCGGTACTTACTTCATGAACAAGCTTGGCCGCAAGCCCATGGCCATTATCTCCACCGTTCTTCTCACTGTATTCCTCTTCCTATACGCTGGCCTCAACAAGTTGTATGGAGAATCAACAAACACATCCGGCATCTACGCTTCGGTGGCCATAATCTTTCTCTTCCAGGGCTCGTACTCGTTCGGGTGGACACCGCTGACGGTCTTGTATCCGCCTGAGGTGCTAAACTACTCGATGCGCGCCAACGGCATGGCCGTGTATACGTTCGTCGTCAATTGCGTTGGGTAAGTTGCGATCCTTGCATCCTGGCATCAATGTCTAATGCTGGTGCAGACTCTTTGTGACGATGGTCTTTCCTTTCGCCATGGATGCCATTGGCTGGAAAACCTACATTATCAACGCATCTTGGGATATCCTGGAGGTGCTGTACCTCGTCTTTGCATGGGTGGAAACGAAAGGGAAGACGCTGGAAGAGATTGACGCCATCTTCGACGGCCATAAGCACTCGGATGTTCCGGATATAGAGCAGATCCTGCATGCAGAGATGTCCGGAAACGTCATTGAAGGAGTGAATCCGAGAGCGGGAAGCATGGATGGCGTCGAAGAAGTGGAGGTGACTGTTGGAAAGGGGAAAGAGGTCAAGTGATGGATAGTCCCGGTACACAGGTCAGGGATACGTACACCAGCCAAAGAGAAGCCGCTTGCCGGGATCCGTGAACCAGGTGCCGAGCGAAACATTACGTTATTGATGTTGTGCAAAGATTGCGCTATGTAACATGTTGAAAGAAGAGGAGTCGCGTTTTTATGGGCAGAAAATATATTTCCGAGGACGCGCGGAAGGCTGGACTTTCAGCACATCTAATGTTGAGCGTACGTGACGAGGAATACAATTACTTGACTCCCGACCACAACGCTAGATCTCTCTACTTTCCCCCGAGAGGCGTATTTATGCAGCGTAACGTGGGGGACGCTTCCGTACAACATCAGGACCGAACGCGACGGACCCAAAGGTCGAACGGCTCTTGGCTGCCACGAGATAATGCGCCGTGACAGAGCTGTCAAATTTTCGAGCCGTGTGCCACTTCCCACGAGGTTGGGAGGGAAGCCGTGCTTGCCAAGGGCCTCTGTGAGTATCCCCGGCCGGAGAGTAAAGTGGTGCTGCGGCCGTGTTCCACAATCAGGAACTGCAATCAGACGGTCCCGGAGGCGGGGGTTGTTTATGAAAGGAGGGAGCTAGAGGAGCGGGCCGGCTGGAGAGATTCCGAGATGGCTGGGGAAGCGAAACACGCCCGCTTGGCGCCACGCTGGGAAACGTAAAGAACAGCGGCAACGATTTTCGGGCGATCATGGCTGTGACGCAGCCGGGCAGTCAACGACTTCATGCCTTCGTCGCACGCACGCGGCCGTCGCACGAACGGCATATTGCAGGTGCGACGGCAGCTTCGGCGGTAATGTCTCGCCGTTTGCGCTGGGTGGACCTGCACCAGCCCTGCCATGTCCAGCCACGTCGCTGGCTGTCTATTTTGGAGGAGGTCGGGAGCTGCACGTCCCTGCCTCCTCGGCGGTTGGATGGCCAGCCAAGGCTCAGCCCTGCGTGGGCCTGCAGGCACAGGGCGGCTGGAGGCCTCGGGCAGCGGCACGGCCAGGTGAGACGGGCGCTGGTGACCACAGGACTTCGCACAAGCTTTGGCTATTGCATTAGCGCAGGGGCCGGTGATCTGGGGACAGCGCATTCGCCGCCGCCGATTGGCCAGGCGGCGGCCATCCCAGTTGGCCTTGTTTATAATTGGGATGGCATCGAGGCTGGGCAAAACAAGGGCGCTGCCGCCGCACGCATGAAACGGCTGTGAAAGGCGATGGATGCGCCTGGTGTGCTGCGCCGCCTGCAGAGGTATCGTCGCGGCAGATGAGGCCGTCGTGGATTTATTGTCGCTGTGCCGGCCAAGCTTAAATGCCCACGCCCGGCCCACCCTCCTGTCCTCGCCCTCTCGAAGATCTTGCCTGTTTTCCTTGCGCCCAGTCCGACTTTGCCCAGTTCTGCCTCGATTGGTGCGTATCCAGTGCCCGTCACACCGACATCGCATTCCCTCATTTCCCCCGCCGCCCTAAATTACGGCGCAAACACCAACACCCGCGCCCGCTCCTTCCTCCGCTAATCGCCTTCCTAGATCTCCCTTCGTTTTCGGGAAGCACGACCCACCCTCATTGGCTTCTCTTAAGCCCGCTTCTCTGCCAGCTCTTCTCTTTCGCTGCATCCCACTCTCCAGTAGCATTCTTCCGGCTTCTCCGAAGACACCCCCAATCAACAACACCGTCAAGATGCGTTGCACCACCCTCTTCCTCGCCGTCGCCGGCTCTGCCGCCACCGCTGCCGCAACCGACGCCGCTGTCATTACCAACAACCCTGCTGGCGCTGTCTACGTCGCTACTTTCCCCAACCGCGAGGATACCCCCGTTCGTGGCTCCGTGGCTGCCTCCTCTGTCGGCGGCGGTACTGGTGTCCAGTTCCAAATCTCCATCTCTGGTCTCCCGCTCGACAATGGCCCATACACGTACCACCTCCACGACCAGCCTGTTCCCGAGGATGGCAACTGCACCAAGACGCTTGCTCACCTTGACCCCTACGAGCGCGGCGAGGATCCCGCCTGTGACGCCGACGAGCCTCAGACCTGCCAGGTCGGTGATCTCTCTGGCAAGCACGGCAAGCTCAGCGCTCCTGGCCACTCTCAAAGGTAAGCGACTCGTTCTCGCCTCGAAGATCTTGTTGGCTAACGAACTCAATAGCTACACGGATGACTATGCCGCTCTGGTTCCCGGAATTGGTGCCTTCTTCGGCAACCGCAGCGTCGTCGTCCACTTCCCCAACAAGACCCGCATCACTTGCGCCAACTTTGTCCAGGTCGGTGCCGGTTCCAATGGCACTTATGGCAACTCCACGACCCCGATCATCAGCAAGCCTAGTGTCCCGACTGCCACTCCCAGCACTCCTGCCACCACGCCCGGTGGCACCTCTCTTCCTTCCTCTGGCGCCACGCGCGACACTGTGTTCAGCGGAGCCGTTCTTCTGGCCGCATTTGCTGCTCTGATGTTGTAGATGGGGTACTCATGCATTCACACTTCAATTGTTAAGGGCATTCTGGCGTACATAGCATCCAGGTTGATGCCCAGTCAGGATTTTTATTTCACTAGTTACTTCTGGGGGTGAAGGTTCCCACTGGAAGAGTTCAGGAAAGAGTAATGATCAGGACAGGCATTTCATGACTTTCACTTCTTCCTTTCCTGTACCTTTTGCTTCCATGTGCGGCACTCACTCTTGTATTATTGCCTCACGAGACTTTGTTTCATGATTCTCTCTTGCTTTGTCATTGCCTTTATCCGCTGATCAGCCATACCTCGTTCTGCGAGGGTGCTTGTCGTAACTCCTTATCGTAATGTAATCGATAGCGCACATGGCAATGATACTGGCCTCATGCCAACTGCTCCAATAGAACAAGTTCATCATCAAAACTAAGTTGAATATGTGAGACGTGAAGTATTTTTAGAAGAGTTTACCAACAAAAGACTCGCGTGAATTAGTTCTTTGCTCATGTCATGAGTAGTTGAAGCTATCATCCGGACGCAATCATACATCCCGGTTCGGACGATAGCTTCAAGTGCTCACGTAGCTATGTTACTCATCGTAAATAAAATTGCTGGAGTATAATTACTCCATGTTCTAGGGCTTTGCAATTCCTCGCGCTAGCCTTCCAATCACATTCTTCATGCCCAGATATTGCAGAAAGCGCACATGCGCTCAAATTCTGATGACGAGTAACGACGTACGATTGCCGAAAACGATGCAGCGGGAATGTCGATAGACGAGAAGGTGAGGTTGAATGACCTATCGGATACTCACTGCCGAATACCTAGTCCATGGATCGCCCATGTTGAGAAACCCAATCCATTTCGCGAAGCCTATTTTGCAGCATGCGTCCTCATTTGCTTGACTTTCAGCCCACGTTTCACGGATGCTCCAACTTACATGGTAATGCCAGGCGCCCGTAGTTAATTAGTGATGATGATTATGTGCTCCGCGCATATGCACAGCACAAGCAAACGCTTACCCAGATATAGGTAGTCAGTGAGTAGAAACAACTTCTGCAATCCAATTGGCCAGCCCGGTTTATTAACACGATCACGATAGAGATTCTACTTTGGCAGATTATATGATGGTAATCCTGATCGCGTACATCGGCCTCGCAATATATACGTACCTACATGCTCAGGTCCACTGCACTTTATATGCGTCTGTCACTTAAGAGTCCTTTCTTTTAATATTTGTATTTCACATGTTACTTATGAAGCTGATATGTACATACAAAATAACAACACCGTCTACTTTACTTCCTGATATAACGCCAACGCCGTTGCAAAGACTTCACACTACCACCCCGTCAAAAACCACCACCACCACCAACATAAATGAACCTACTGGTACAATTCGTTGCTTTGGAATACAAAATGTCAGAATGATCATGTAGTTAGTCCTTTAGCCATTCCCGACCCGGAACAAAAACAAACCCCCCCAGCCCAACCTACCTACCAACCAACCCACCAACCCAACCTACCTATCCTAACCAAAACCCTCCAAACATTGCCTCTCAAAACCCACGATGGTATCTCTCCCTCAACAACCTCACAACCCCCTCGCTCCGGCTCTCCTGCGCCATCGACATCAACACCGAATGGCTCGAAAGCACATCAACGTCCGCCCTTCCCAGCAGCGCCGCCACGATATCCTCCCTCCCACTCGCCACCGCATCCATCAGCGCCGTGCAGCCATCGACATCCCGCGCATTAACATCCAAATCGGGCCGGAGGCCGACGAGCAGGCGCACGACAGCAACATTGCCCAGACCGACGGCGATGGACAGCGGCGAGCGCCAGTGCTCGCCGCGGGCATTGACATCCAAATCAGGCCGCTTGAGCAGCTCGCGCACCAGCGCCTCGTTGCCCGTCGACACGGCGGCCAGCAGGGGGCCGTAGCAGCTGGCGCCATCGCCACCTTGTCGACGCGCGTTGACGTCGAGGTCGCGGCGCTCGAGCAGGACGGCCGCCATGGAGACGTCCTCCATGCGCACGGCGAGGGCCAGGGCGCCGTCGCCGGCGCCGTCGCGGGCGTTGACGTCGAGGTCCGGGCGCGAGCGCACGAGGAGGCGGACGACGGCGCGGCGGCGGCGGGAGACGGCTGCGTGGAGGACCGTCTGCTTCCTGGTCGGGTTCTTGTCGTCGTCGGTGCGGATGTTGACGTTGACGGCGGGGCCACCCAGCTCGAGGAAGCGGGCGACGACGTCGGCGTCGCCGGCCTTGCAGGGGGCGAAGAGGGGCGTCGCGCCGGATGCGTCGCGCACGTTGACGTCGGCGCGGTTGCCGCAGGACGAAGAGTCGAGGAGTGCCTCGATGACGGCCTTGTCCTGCAGCAGCGTGGCGTAGTGCAGGGCGGCGCGGCCGTCCTCGTCGCGGCGGTCGATGACGTCCGGGGGCATGGCGGCGACGAGGGTGCGCACGATGCGGGCGTGGCCCTGGATGACGGCGATGTGCAGGGCCGTCTGCCCGCGGCGGTCGACGGCGGCGGTGCGCACGTCGGGGCGGCGCAGGAAGAAGTCGACCATGGCCTCGTTGCCCGAGAAGGCGGCCCAGTGGAGGAGGGTGCGCTCAGATGAGGCACCACCGACGTCGTCGAGGCCGCCGCTGGTCGACGAGGTGGGCGAGAGCGTCTCGGCGATGGCGGTCAGGGCGGCGCCGATGGTGCTGCAGAGGCCGCACGCCGCGGCCAGGTCGAAGATGGTCAGGTCGGCGCGCCGGTGCTGGATGTAGAGCAGCTCGGCCAGGCGGTCGTCCATGACGTCCAGCGGCGGCTGGTTGGGGTGCGAGAACGAGGGCGACGACAGGATGGTGGCGTGGCACCACCACCAGCGCGGGAATGTCGGCGCTGCGTGGAGCAGGTCGAGCAAGTCGGCCTGGTTGGCGCCGTGGTGCTCGGCCGACTCGGCGTGGAGGTGCCAGGAGTAGGTGGCATAGGAGGCGAGGGGAAGCGTCGCCGGGTCCCTCGACGTATCATGGTACTCCGGGAAGGAGAGGAAGTGGAGCAGTCGGCGGGAGAGGAAGAGGTCGGTCGTAGTGCGTGTGGGAGTGGATGCCTTCCCAGCGGCGAGGATATCCAAGCCGTTGCGGGAGACGAGGAAGTCCTTTGCAGAGGCGTGGACGGGTGCGGCGATGGGAGCCGAGTGGACGTCGAAGGCCGGCACGTGGAGGAGACCGCGGCTGAGGTGGTGGAGGACGTCTGCGATGTCAGCGTCGCTGGCGATGTAGTCAGGCGCGGCGTAGACGTCGGCCAGGCTCTTGGTCTCCGGGCGTAGCACGAGGGCAACGCGGAGCTCGCGCAGCGTCAGTGGCCGCGTGGCAAAGCAGACCCACTGGAAAAGGCGGAGACATGGCTCGCGATCTTCGGCCGGGATGTTCAGGATGCGCTCGAGGTAGATCTCGTCCAGGTTGAAGGGGAGCCGCTCCACTGCCTCGCGGATCTGCTTGCGTGTGCGGCCTCTGCAGTCCCGTTGGATCATGTCGACGGCCAGAATGGCCCAGAGGAAGACATTTCTCGATCTCTTCTCAATGACTTGGCTCACGGCTTCCAGATCTCTTTCGTTGAAGTGATTCAGTGTGAAGGCCAGCTCGCTGCGAACATAGTCCGCAATGTCATCCGCGTTGAAGTCCTCGACGCGCACCTGCAGATCGTTGTCGTCGCCGCACCGTCCGAACACCTTCTTTCCTACATCCTCCTTCGCCGACACGCACACTCCCACCGCCGGGACCGCCGCCAGCTTCGCGAAGAAGTCCAGCAGGTCGCTCACCGCCTCCTCATCTCCAACCTCGTCCACCGCGTCCACAAAGACCCACAGCCGCCGCCCCCGCATCTTCCCCGGTGCCGCTCCTCCGCAATACCTCGTCCGCGCATGCTTGAGCAACACTTCCTGCAGCTCCATCTCCGACAGATCCCACCTGCTGCTGCTCGACGAGTGTTGCTGCTGCTCGTCGCCGTCAGCCGCGTAGAGCGTTGCGAGCTCCGATGGAGCGTCGTTGGCGGTGTGGAGGAAGTAGTCGTTCTTGTCCTGCTGCTGCTGCTCCTGCTGGGCGAGTTGATGGCCCAGCGCGTGCAGGAGGCCGGAGACGGGCTTTCCGCGGGCGTGCTGGCCCGGGTCCACCATGACGGGCTCGGCGGCGTGGAATGTGTACGAGACGATGGTCCCGTTGCTGCTGCGCGGGCGACCATCAACGTCATCGGCGGCGTTGGCAGCCGTCATCATCATCGTCTCCTCAAAGTGCTCCACCAGGTTGGCCATCAGCGTCGACTTGCCCGCGCCCGGCGCGCCGGTGATGCGCAGGAGGCCGCCGCGGGATGACCAGGTGCTGTAGGTCTTGGAGGCGAAGAAAGCGGGGAAAGGGGTGTTGTTAGTAGTGTCAGGAATATCCTCTTCGTCAAGGTAGGTAGGTTGTGGTGGGGTTTCCGGGGTCGGGGGCGCCACGGCCTGGACCTTTATTGCTGGAGGTGGACATTCCTCCAGCTGGTCATAGGCTGGAGTTGGTAGGCCGTCTGCTTGGGCGGCTGAATGCTGAGGAGAAGCCGCTGGAGAACGAGGCTGGCCAACTTGCTCTTCAGCAGCAGCCTCTGCCGCTTCCGCACCATCAGGGCGCGCTTCTGCCAGGGCGGCATCCGTTGGAGGAAAGATGCCGACTTCTTTGCCGTTGCTGTGTTCTTCGACGAGCGTCTGTCCGTTAAGGGAGGACGAGTACTCCGAGTCCCTGCTGCTGCTGCCGTCGTCGTCCGGGTAGTAGCATTCGTCGTCGTAGTTGTTGTTTTCCTCGTCTTCTGACGGGCCGCTTTTGATGCTTTCATCTGGAACGCGCGTGTCAGATGGAGGGTTCGTATCATCGTTCGGAGAGCTTCCTTCGGTCGGAGCGTCCCTACCGTCGAGAGGAGGACTTCTTCCGTCATCCGGAGAGCTTTGTTGGTGGTCACCTAGAGATCTTACATCGTCCGGAGGCTGCGAGATCATTTCCACGTCCGGAGACGCGGGTTCGCGAATGGCATGATCTGGCGTATGCGGCCGCGCATCAACAACCTCATCAACTGCCGGTGGCGGTGCGGACTGCGTGAAAGTAGCAGAGTCTTGACCATCGACAACCGGAGACTCAGCACGAGGCTCAGCTGTTGGGAAGGCGATGAGGAAGTCAGGGTCTGGAAGAGAAACCGCACGACTCCCAGAAGTCTTTGGACGATCCTCTGGCATCAAAAGCTCCGTCTCCACCGATTCCACAACTTCAACATCATGATCCTGATCCTGAGCGGGTGCTTGCTCCATCTCAATCTCTTCCGGACCAGACGATGCCGGATCTACTGGGCCCGTGATCCGATCATCGTTGGTCAGTGACGACTTTGGCCGTTCCTCAAGCTGAGCAGTTTCCTTTTGAGAAGTCTCCTGAGCGCTGATATCGTGAACCTCAGCCTCAACGGGGGCCAAGATCTCATCCTCAGTCTCAATAGTAGCCAGGACCTCATCCTCAGTCTCAACAGGAGCCAGGACCTCATCCTCAACCTCCAACATTGCAACATCCGGGTCCGCGCCCTCGTCCTCATCCTCAACAGGCGTCTCAGACCGCTTCAGCGGCCTGAGCGGCGCCGGCCTAAACGTCAACTCGGCGAAGAAGGTCGGGGCCGGAGGCTCGGTGGCCGGCTGCTCGACGGCCGGGACTTCCGCTTCTCCTCTCTCCTCGACACCGCTGGGCACCGCCGCCGCGTCACCACCTGTCGGTGCGAACAGTTCACCAACGGTGGTGGAGATGATGGCATCGCGCGGCTGATCCTGCCCCTGCTCCAACGTCTGCGAGTACACGGACACGGAACCATCCACGCTGATTGGCGGTTCCGGCTCGGCCTTGACGCTTTCGGCATCCGCATCTTTAGCAGTGGCGGCGGCATCGGTGGAAGCGGTGAGAGGTTCTGCTGCTGCTGTCTCGGACATCGGCTGTGCTGGATCGCAGTCCATCGCCCGGTCGACCTCGACGTCCTCCCCGTCACGGCGGTAATCATGCTTCTCGCTGCAATAGGAGCCGTTGTCGGCCCATTCCAGCGCATCCCTCAGCTCCTGGACCGACTCGGAGGCGGCAATCAGCGCGTACGCCGTCGCCGCTATGTCTTCCGGAAAGGCGCCCGCGAAGGGCGAGTCGACGGGCTGCCGGCAGAACTCGGCACGTGATTTGAGCAGAGAAGAATGCGAGTCATTGCGCCGCCGCCAGTCTGGTGTGAGGGTGTTGTTGTTGTTGGTGTTGGTGTTGTCGGCTGCTGGGATCCGCTCCGGAGTATGCGCGTCGGCAATGGCCTCTGATTGTTCCACGTTCCCTTCTTCCGGCAGCTCTTCTGATCGCGCGGATTCCTTCGGTTCTTCCAGACGCGGGGCAGCGTCTGACGGCTGATGATCCTGATATTGGGAGGAGTAGTGCGACGTGGCGCTGCTGGATGACGCCTTCGTCCCGGTTTTCCGCCCTTTATTCGACTCGGTGATGGTCGACAGCTGCGGCGAGCAGCAGCTCTGCACCGAGTAGGCTGACGACGCGCCCGAGGCGAGCGAGGCGGTCGGGTTGCGCACCTTCAGCGTGCCCCTCGCCAGCCCGTTCTCCGGCACGTTGATGGACGCGAGCTGCGGGTGCGAGCGGTAAGAGGGCGTCAGCGCCGCATCAGTGTAGATCGACGTGCGCGACCTCATCCCCGCCGCGCCCTGGTGCAGCGCGTGCCCGCCGCCGCCGTGCGATGAGGGAGGAATAGGGGAGACGGCGCGGTCCGGAGTGGTGCGGGTGGTGACGCTCCGGGCCGGCGGGTTGAGGCCGGCGCTGCCGTTGAGGGCTCCCTCATGCCGCGACCGGCACGGCGCGAAGAGCCTGTTGCGAATCCTTTTCCTGGTCTTACCGGCGGGCATGGTTGTGTGTGTTGTACAGTATGTGGGCCGGCAAGCTTGGGGAAAGCTTGATATGTTGTTCCTGTTAATCAGTCCCTCCTCAGCACCGAAAGAAAGATCTGTTTAAGGGGGAGCCCTACCACGCTGTTCATGTACACCGCTTCGAGTGGGGAGGTGGGTTTGGAGCATCGGCGGCCAATGACAGTCGAGATCGGTGCAGGGATCAATTAGGTCTCGAACTTTTTCGTCGCTTCTGCCTATTTTTGGGGAAGTCCTTGGCCACTACCTGAGCTGTCCATCGCCAGTATGGAGCTCCGCCGGCAGTAGGGCTGTCGATGTGCTCAACTGCGGCATCGATGCCCTGGATTCGTGGAGCCGGACTGCGTGCCGCTGGCTGAATCGAGTAATGGCTGTGGGGGAGGCGGTCCGAGCCGCCGCACAGGCCAATTGAAACGCCAAATCCGGTTGGTCACTCTGAGGGAGTAAGGGTGTCCCGGAGCCTTTCAGGGCGCCTCCAGGTACCGATGCTTCACTTCCACGTGTTGATCGAACCACGGTCCTTTGGTGAATCCCTACAAGACTTAGCGCCTTCCACTTTCGAGCAACATCAGAGCGAGCAGTAAGTCGAGAAGGATGGACACTAAAAAATTTTACAAAAAGGGGCATCCTTATCGTCATCATAGCTACAAAAGTATCAACGCCCCTTCCATCCAAAGAAACCATCACGCTGGGAAACACAAGCTATTAAATCGAGTCATTACTTTTCCCTTTTCAGAACTCTAGCCACGTGCGGCATTTTTGATGTCCGCGGGAGTGGGGCGCTTGAAGTGCGGCTTCAGAGGCTCCCAGCTTTCGGCATTGTAGTCCTCTTGCACCTTCTGGCACTTCTTGAGGCCCCAGTCGGTAACGCCTACCATCAGGCAACTTTCGAACATGAAGGCCATGCTGCCCTCGCCAACCTTGGCCGGCTTCAGCTCGGCATTCGACGCCTTCTCATGCGTGCTGGCATCAGGGCCGTGAGCTGACATGACGTTGTGCAGCGATGCGCCAGCAGGTTGGAAACCACCTCCTGTCTTGGCGTCATACTGGCCGTGTATAAGGCCCATGAACTCAGACATGGTGTTGCGGTGGTACCACGGCGGACGGAAGGTGCTATTGGTAGCTGTCAGTGGCAGGCAGTCGAAGGTGTGGGATGGTAAGCTTACTCTTCACCCACCAGCCAACGCGGTGGGAAAATGACAAAGTCAGCAATGGCGGTGCCCGGGTGGTCGGACTGGGCGGTGAGAACAGTGTAGATGGAGGGGTCGGGGTGGTCGAATGAGACACTGCCAATAGTGTTGAAGCGACCAAGGTCGTACTTGTAGGGGTAGTACTGGCCGTGCCAGGCTACGATGTCAAACGGAGTGTGGTTCTGTTTGGCGGCGAAGAGATGGCCGGCAAACTTTGCCAGCAGCGTCCACTCGGAGTTTGTGTCTTCGTCAAAGTATGCTACGGGCGCCTGGAAGTCGCGAGCATTGGCCAGGCAGTTGCTCCCAATAGGGCCTAGGCCGGGCAGCTCGAAGTGTCCTTGGTATAGCTCGAGGATGTAGCCGCGCACGGGGCCATCTGGGAGCGTCACGCGGTAGCGCACGCCGCGAGGGATCACGCAAATCTCGTTCGGGCGCACCAGGATCTTGCCCAACTCGGTCTGAATATCGAGGGTGCCGTGCTGCGGCACAATGAGGAAGTCGCCGTCGGCTGAGTAGAAGGCGTGGTGCGGGTCCATGTCCTTTCCGGCAGCATAGATGTAGATGCCGATGCCGGACTTCATGACCGGGGTGCCGGCGCCGGCGACCAGGTGCAGCGAGTGCACCCAGTCGACCGTCTCATCCAAATCAAAGGGGTCCCAACGGAGCTGGTTGGGAATCTGGTGGATTTTCTCAAAGGGTTTGTTCTCTGGGTTGGTGTTGAATGTCGAATGTTCACGCGGCTCGAAGTTGGCGTGAGCCGAGGCGGGCAGGATGCGGTACAGCCATGACTGCTGGTTCTCGTGGCGGGGCGCAGTGAAGGCAGTGCCCGACAGCTTCTCTGCGTAGAGACCGTACGGCGGCTTCTGGGGAGAGTTGGCACCCACAGGGAGCGCGCCCTCTACGGCTTCAGTCCTGGGTGGCGGGGTCAGCAGGAACGCAGACGGGCAGCAGGGGCAGGTGTGGCGGACTCATGGTAGGAGTTGAAGCCATTCTGGTATCGATATTTTTCGGGGACCGCGAACTTCGTGGAAGGCATCGTGCTCGTCACAGTAGTCAGGGTTGTAGAGCTCGGTTAGATTGCGCTCAGTGAGCGGAACAAGACTTGGGGGAAGCTGTGTCTTCTCCTCCTTGGACGGACGGATTCTTTTAAGCAGGCGGGACCAGATACGCTTCTGCTGGAGCTCGGCGGCCGAGGGCTTGTTCGGATCGTCGTAGGAGACTGGGGATGCAGGCGCAGACAGACGTTCGGCATCTCGGCCGGCGCTGCTGGCGGACGGCATGCTGTACTTGCCTGTTGGCTTAGGCGGGTGTCGCAGGGGCAAGTTTCCGGGCGGAACTTGAAGGCTCCCAGCGATCGCCGCCGCCCCGTGGAGAGCGGGGAATCTTTAGTCGTGGCCGTGACCGCTTGCGGAGCCGCTTATCCTGGCGCGTGCGCTGGCCGAAAACGGCGCTGGCCACAAACGACGCAGCGCTTTGATTGGGCTCTGGCCTGTTCCTGCTTGGCGCTCCGCGAGCTCCACCAGTAGCGCTATAGCAGCGCACAGAGCAGGCGAGAATTGGCGGCCACGACTAATTTGCTGCACTCTGCACGGGCGCTGACGTGCGAGCGAGGATACCCGGGACATCGGTTTGCTTGAGCCGTGGCAATGCGGAATTGATCCGTCAACATCCTGCCCCTCCATTCCCCGCGGCTTGTACGCGGCTTGCTTCGGTTGTCCTAGTAAACCGTTGGTGGACCATCCTCAGTGATCAATTACCCCTCCTTCGCCCTTTGAAAAATACCCCCAGCTTTTGCAACACCTCCTCGTTGCATTCCTGTTTTCCTGCTCAGTCGTCACAATGCCTTCTTTGCGCTCCTGGTTCAACATCCCCAAGGGATCTCATTTCTCCCTCGCCAACATCCCATTTGGCATCATCTCCACCTCTGCCAAAGCATCCCCCCGAGTAGCCATTGCAATTGGTGACCATGCCCTGGACCTGGATGCGTTTGCTTCACACAACGGCTTCTCTGCTCTCTCCACTATCCAACCGCACCAGCATGTCTTCTCCGAGCCCACGCTGAACGCCTTTGCTGCGCTGGGCCGCCCTATCCACAGCGTAGTGCGCAAATACATCCAAGACATCTTCCTGGAAAACACGCCGCACCCGTCCATCCTCAAGGACAACGTCTCGCTGCAGCAGGCGGCGCTGGTGCCGCTCAAAGAAGTCAAAACGCACCTGCCCTTCCAGATCGGCGACTACACCGACTTCTACGCAGGCCTCAACCACGCCTTCAACGTCGGCGTGCTCTTCCGCGGCGCCAGCAACGCCCTGCAGCCCAACTACAAGCACCTGCCCGTCGGCTACCACGGCCGCGCCTCGTCCGTCGTCGTGTCTGGCACGCCCATCGTGCGCCCCAGCGGTCAGATCCTCGCAAACCCGGCCGCCGAGGTCAAGACGCCCATCTTCTCGCCGTGCCACCGTCTCGACATCGAGCTCGAGCTGGGCGCGTTTGTGTGCAGGAAGACAAAGCTTGGCGAGCCCATCCCAATCGACGAGGCGGAGCAGAGCTTGTTCGGTGTCGTGCTCATGAACGATTGGTCGGCGAGAGACATCCAGGCGTGGGAATATGTGCCGCTCGGCCCGTTCAACTCGAAGAACTTCGGAACGACCATCAGTGCGTGGGTCGTGCTGGCGGATGCGCTTGAGCCGTTCTTGGCGAAGGGCTTGGAGAGTGACACGGAAGTGTTGCCGTACCTGAAGGAGAAGAAGGCTGAGAACGTATATGACATCAAGCTGCAAGTAGATCTCAAGAGTGAGTCCGCTTCGAAACTTCGAGATCAAGAGCATGGAACTAACTTTCGTGAACAGCGAGCTCCGGAAATACATCTACCATCAGCAAGACTACGGCAAGAAATCTGCTGTTCTCGTTCCCGCAGATGTTGGCGCACCATTCTATCACTGGATGCCCGTTCAACGTGGGAGACTTGCTCGGCTCTGGCACCATCAGCGGCAAAGAGCCGAATGAGAGGGGAAGTCTGTTAGAACAGAACGAAAACGGCAAGACTACAGTCAAGCTTGCTGGTGGTGAGGAGAGGAAGTTTTTGGAGGACGGAGATGAGATCACTATCACTGGCGTATGCGGAGGTGACGAGGATGCGCTGGTTGGATTTGGAGAGTGTGTGGGCAGGATCGAGCCTGCTGTCAAATTCCCATTCTGATGATTAGGCACTAGCATAATGAGTTGTTGAAAATTAAATAGAATTAAAAAAGCATTCCGTGAATTTATGTTGTCCTCTGCTCATCTTCCACTTCAAGCTGTGTTTGAGCTGGCTCTTGTGATTTTGAACATGCTCAGTCGGAAGTGCCGATGTGCTCATACATGAAATCATAACCTTCCTAACAAAGCAAAGGACCAGCACCCAAAGCAAGCCATGTCACAACGGTAGGAATTCCGCCTGCAGCTCTCGGGAGCTATGGCCACATGGCACGTCACTGCCGGTTCCGCGACGGAATTGCTCCGCCTGTGTCACCGCCCATTGGAACCCCACAATGCGCCCCGCCGCTGCCATGATCACCCGCGGCTGGCGCATCAATCAAAAACCCCCGACAGGCACCATAACCGCGCTCGCTGCAAATCCAGTTTTCCATCGATATCCGTCCCCTTGCAGCTCTGCTCTCTGCCATGGACAAGCTCAGGCCCAAGCTGCCCCGAGGTTCGTACGAAGTTTCACCAGCCTTTTCGGAACTTTCATGACAGCGACGCTCCGAGGGGGTTGACATGCGAGGTTGAGCAATTGGAATCCGGAGCACGCCTATTGGCTGGAGGAACCATGTCTCGGATGGAGAAGGTCAGTGAGGGGAAAGTCCAACACTAGCTCGGACCTAGTCACGGGTCCGAGTGAGCGTCACGAAACTGTGCAGCGCGCACCAGTCCCGCGTTTCTTGTTCGCTGCCACGGCTGTACGCGGTCATGGGTGATCCATAGCCGGATTGGCGAATGCTTTGCCGGCTGTTTACTGCGCAGGTGGGCCTGTCCCTGCCAACTGTGAGAATTATATAGACGACTGGACGTCTGACACGGATAGACTTCGAGTAAACAACACTCGCCTTCTCTCGTCAGCAGCTCTCCTTTCTCCCGGACAGCGTTGAGTTGCGAGATATTTCTCTCCTCTCCTCTCCCCTCTTTTCTCCTGTTCCCCGCATTTGATCGTCTGCCTTCGGAACACCGACAGAAACCGCTGCGTTTCGCCAGCATGTCCATCCAAGTTGCGACCGTCGCTGTGGTAGCGGCCATATACTTTCTCATCCGCCTCCTGAACCGCACCGATGTGCCCAAAATCAAGGGCATCCCCGAGATTCCCGGTTGGCCAATCTTTGGAAGTCTGATCGAGCTGGGCGAGAACCATGCGAAGGTCGCTCGGGAATGGTCCAAGAAATACGGCCCTGTATTTCAGGTCCGCATGGGCAACAGGGTACGCAGTCCCCAAGGCTGTACCTAGCGCAAAATGGACTGACAACGGAACCACAGAGAATCATCTTCGCCAATACCTTCGATTCTGTGAAACACTTCTGGATCAACAATCAGTCAGCCCTGATCTCCCGTCCTACTCTCCACACTTTCCACACCGTCGTCTCGAGCTCCCAAGGATTCACCATCGGCACCTCCCCTTGGGATGAGTCCTGCAAGCAGCGCCGCAAGGCCGCGGCCACGGCGCTTAACCGTCCGGCCGTGCAGAGCTACATGCCCATTATTGACCTGGAATCGTACGTCTCGATCAAGGAGATGCTCGAAGATAGCGCGTACGGCGAGAAGGATGTGGACCCGACGCCGTACTTCCAGCGCTTCGCCCTCAACACGTCTCTCACGCTCAACTACGGCATCCGCATCTCGGGCAACATTGGCGACGAGCTGCTCCAGGAAATTGTGCACGTCGAGCGCGAGATCTCCAACTTCCGCAGCACCTCCAACAACTGGCAAGACTACATCCCGCTGATGCGCATCTGGCCCAGCAAGACGAACCGGGGCGCCGAGGAGTACCGCAAGCGTCGCGACGTTTACCTGACCAGGCTGCTGGACGAGCTCAAGGAGAACATCAGGAACGGAACCGACAAGCCGTGCATCACTGGTAACATCATCAAAGACCCGGAAGCCAAGTTGAACGAAGGTAAGGACCCCCTATCCCAAACAGTGTGTGTTTAGACTAACAACAACTACAGCTGAGATCAAATCCATCTGCCTGACCATGGTCTCGGCCGGCCTGGACACGGTCCCCGGCAACCTGATCATGGGCATCGCCTCGCTAACCTCGCCCGCCGGCCAAGCCATCCAGAAGCGCGCGTACGACGAGATCCAGCGCGTGTACCCGGACGGCGACGCGTGGTCGCGGTGCCTGGTCGAGGAGAAGGTGCCGTACGTGACGGCACTCGTCAAAGAAGTGCTGCGCTTCTGGACCGTCATCCCCATCTGCCTGCCGCGCGTCAGCACCAAGCCCATCACCTGGAACGGCGCCACCGTGCCCGCCGGCACCACCTTTTACATGAACGCCTACGCCGCCGACTACGACGAGGACCACTTCGGCAACCCGTACGAGTTCGACCCCGAGCGCTATCTTAAGACTGATGGCGGCGCGCCCGAGGTCGCCGGCACCCCGCACTACGGATACGGCGCTGGCAGCAGGATGTGCGCTGGCAGCCACCTCGCGAACAGGGAGCTGTACACGGCGTTTGTGAGGTTGATCACTGCGTTTGAGTTCAGGGCGCCGAAGAAGGCGGAGGATCGCCCCATTATGGATTCCCTGGAGGCGAACGCCCTGCCGACTAGCTTGACCATGGAGCCCAAGAGGTTCAAGGTCGGGTTCAGGGTTAGGGACCGGGCGGTGTTGGAGAAGTGGATTGCGGAGAGTGCGGAGAATACGAAGGATTTGTAAATTGTGCCTTGTTGGGAGAAAAAAAAAATCGTGGATGAAAATTCGAGAAGGGGAGAATTGGGTAGTGGAGCTGGGAACTGGAAAAGGAGTCAGAAAGAAGCAAGCATCTCTTGAATTAGCGTTGGATTAAATAGAAGAGCCGGAAGTGTGGTAATATCCAATCCATGATACAATTTATGGCGTTTCCTTCACATTTTCCCTCAACAAGCTTAAATCAATTTCGGCAAACTTCCATGCCTATCACTGTTCTTTCTATGTCTGACATAATTCAAATTGCACAGCGTCGACGTTTCGGAATTGCTGGTATAGCGATGTTTTTCTCAAAGTCGAAGCCAACATGGGCAGGTTCTTCATGATGATTCCCGTTTGCGCGGTTGTTGCGATTCCTGATCTCGCCAAATGCATATTTATCGCGATCCGAGAGCAGTTTGGCTTTCATCACTCGCCGGTCATCCAGCCCAGCTTCCGAGTTGTCGTCCTCTTGTTGGATAGTCATGTCGAAAACTTTGTCTCGCACCAAATCGCTATCCCAGCACCAGGACAGTAGGTCTCCAAATGTCGCAAGGTCGTGTGGTAACCGCCTCTCGGGGCCAGGGATAATGAGTACGATCAAGGGGAACTCCAGCAAGACGAAGACGAGCGTGGCGGTACACAAAATGGGGCTGACGTAGACAATAGTGGCGTCATCTTGATCAGGCGATGAAAACAGCGTAACTGAGCCAGCCGCGATAATCGGTAGAAGTCTTTGCACTAGAGCCATGAGTGAGATGAAAGATACCTTGGAGTGCTTCTTTCGGAACGCGATGTACGATATCACGGGCGAGGGGAGGAATGGATACTCGAGAAGAAGATTCTCATGGGCCATTTGAGCTTTTCCCTTCTTCCTCATGCCTGCGTATGGCTGGACTGCCCGGTAGAACAGGTCGGCTTCTTCCCAGAATACCGTGAAGAAGCTGGCCAGGAATGGTGGAAGGATTTGGAGAATAAAACCGGTGGCTAAGGTACTGCATTGTATGACGAAGCCGGTATGATAATGCTGGAATCCTTTGACAAGTAGAGTAGCAAAACATGCGCTGAGGATGACCCATAAAGCGAACCATATAACCATGCTGACTGGGTGGAATATCCAAGATGTGGTGTTGTAATATTGATCTACACAATTTTTCATCAGCGAGCCATCCTACTAGCATATGGATTATTATTATAATACCATCTGTGGGTTCTTCGACTGTTCTTGGTCGAGATCCGTTTGGGACTCCAGCTAAATAATGGTCAGCTTCTTCAACAACGCAGATCTTGAAATGAGAAACCTACGGTCTCGTGCAAACCCGTGCCAGTATTGTGGAGGTCCATTTTTATCAATACGCCAATAACCAAGCCGGTAGGCAGAGTCGGCGAAGCGTTCGCGGTGGGATGCAGGATCGTCCATGTCGAGATCCTTAAAGTCCTCCAAGAAATCTGAATGTCGGAAGAGAGCCAAATTGTCTGCGATAGAAACCGGATCCCATCTGAGGCCCGTTTTCAAATCCCAGGTGTAGAGCAGAAGAACAAAGAGGTAAATAATGAGGACTCCATAAATGGCGAGAAGGGGATACAAGTATTCAACTGTAACCAATGTGATCCAGCCAGAACTGTAGTAGTCCGATGTGTTCAGAATAGCGGACTTGAAGGGGATGATGAAACTAGAAATGAACCAAAGGGTCACTCCAACTATCAACATGGGCTCGCCGCTTCGAATTGTGGTACGGTAAGATAGGAAAGGAAAGTATGAACCCGTAAAAGTTATGGATGCCATTTCCTTCTTCCCCAATTTTTTCTTGGCGCATTTTGCGTATGGAGTTATGTGTGCTAGATTCAAGACGATTGATCTGCAGCAAGAAGTGGTTATCGTTCCGACAATAGCGGGGAGGATGCGGATCGTGAACCACCCGGAGATGCTGGTGGACTCAAGGTAGTCGTAGAATATGAGTAAGGTTAGGCAGACAAAGCACGCCGCATAGAAAATGATGACTACGATGAGGAACCATCGGTCGAGAGCGACTGGTTTGAAGTTGAGCTCGGGCAAACGGGCGCTTTGGCGTTCTTCTTCATCTACGGCTCTGAGACCGTCTAGTCGGCTCCGTATAAATTAGTATCGGCAAGAAGTCTGAGTTGCCACCGGTAGAAGGCCGAAGTTGACGTACTGTCTGGCTGGCCAGCTACCTGCTGGCTAGATCGACTGAAGTCAGAAAGTTCGTGTGAACTCCCGTTCTGAGAATCCTCTTGGGCGGAGCTCATGTTATGTTTGGATGTGTCAGATGTCGCCAGCAACTGAGGACGGTGTAGAGGGCCTGGTATATTGGAGTGTCGGTAGGAGGTAGGAGGTAAGTGGAGAATTTAAAGACGTTATATCCTTGAAATGTGAGGCTGAGCAGCCCTGAAGAAAAATACGATTGAGCCTCAGCCTCGTGCTCCGGGGCGTTGCAGGTTCAGAGCTGAACATTCCATATCTGTAATTTTTCGGAAGCCTAGCATAGAATAAAGTGGGGAGCATGATAGCCACTCTGTTTCACAACATACAGGGGAGGTTCAAATGTAGCCTGATGTGAATTACAGATGAGCCCAGGCACATCGTCGTCTTTGCGAGAAGTGGGGTGCATAGAGACGCGCGTTTGGCGAGAAGAGGGCACAAGGCTGGCTCACTCAATCTCTACTGTCATCGTCATCCTTCTTCTACCCGATTTACAGCCACATTCCCCTTGTATTTAACCAAGTCTCATCGTCACACAGGACTGAACTGTTCTTGTCCTAAGAGGTTCCGTTGTGGTGTCTAGTAGATACTTTGGGGTTGGGAGGGTTGATTTCAAAGAAAGAATAAGAGAAAAAGAAAAGGCGAGGCTGTCGTAGGCTCCAGCTCACTCCAGTTAATCTGTATTGAAAAATAAGCGCGGTGCGCCTTCGCGCATTGGCGTCAGCAACTTACTGCCTAAATAATGATAGGTTGCAGAAGATCGGCATATCCATGGCTGAAGTAAGACAAACAATTTAGCCTTACTCCATTTTGCATTTGCTCTTCCTCTCCGAAACATTTCGTAGCAAAAGAGACACTGTGGCTGTAGCTGAGTACAGGGATACGCAAGTCGAACCGTCTTCTATTTTTGTGGGAAAGTACCCGGGTATACTGCACATTGTCACCCAAATATACCAATACGTTATAACGCCGTCGCGATGCAGAGCCTCAAATGACGCCAACCGATAACCATATTCCCCTGGCCTTGAAAATCAGAATCTTTCCGTTCCGCCAATGATCTTCAAGCCGGTAGGATCTGAATAGGCCAGGACGTAGCGACTGGGATGCCACTGGATGCAAGGCGTCGGCGATGTCGTCTCGATTTTGTGTACACATTCGCCCGTCTCGACGTACGCGACTTCCATGCCGGTGCCCTCGTCTGAGCCACCAACAAGGTAGCAGCCATCAAAGGAGAAGCTGACACTGCGGACGGGGCCGGTCATGCTGGTCAGCGTGCGCTGGCAGATCCAGTCGCGCGTGTCCCACAGAGTAATGAGGGCGTCGGAACCGCCGACGGCGAGGTATTCGGCGGTCGGGGAGAAATCGACAGAGTAGCAAGACGAAGTGTGAGCGTTGAGGACGTGGAGGATGTTCTGTTCCCAATATAATTACTAGCGCGGTCTTGTTGTGAAATCGGGAGGAACCTGGCGTACCATGGAGGGATAGTCAACAATCTTGACCTGACCATCTCCGGTGGTGAGAAAGAGCTCTTGGCCAGTCCAAGAGAAGGTTGTCTGGTTCGTCTGGACCGTCTGGCGATGCGCGGGAAGTGCTGTAAACGTCGAACGTGAGATGGGCACAAGGACGTCATCCTATGTCATTTCCAGAACCGTCAGCTTTGGAATTCCTCCAATTCCCACTCCGATTCTTCGTACCTTCCTTCCAACGACCAATTCGCTTCCATCCGGACGCCATGCCAGTGTGAACGCGTCGCCTCCCACCTCGACCTTGCCCACAGCGGTCTTGCTTCTTACATCCCAGAAACGAACGGTGCCGTCAGCGCTGCAGCTGGCGAGCTCGGCCTCGCGAGTGGGGTTCCAGGCGACGCGCTCGACGGCGCCGGCATGGCCGCGCAGCTCGGTCGAATTCTTGACCTGTGGCTTCTCGGGGTTCCACACGCGCAGGGTGCGGTCCGACGAGCCGGTGGCGATGAGGGTGCCCAGCGGGTTCCAGTCGATGGTGCGCAGGTTGCGGCTTTGCGAGCCGCGCGAGCTGTCCGAATACGCCTGCGTCTTGCGCTTGCCGAAGGCCGAAGGGAATTTGGCCTTGGTGAGCACATTCTCGCGTGTGGGGCCGACCATGGCGGGATCTGTTTGCTTGTTGTGGCGTGGGCACCGGAGAGCTCGCAATGGGCGTGCGCGAAGCAGTGGTGGAGCAGTTGGTGAGGTTTGGAAAGGTGAAGGTGCAAGCGACGCCGCGAGTCAATTGCGCCGGCGACACATCGGCGAATCCCAAGCTTCATATTGTGCTTTGTTGACCTCGTTTCTATTGGGCCACTTGGACTTGCTCGGGAATTTAAGTCGTCTACTGAGATGTAGCTTTTGTTGGGTGTTCGAAAGTATTTGAAAGATGCGCATGATGGGTTACGCAAATCCAGTCAATGGACGTAAGATTGCATCATGCTTTAATCCAGACTTTTTTTCCTTTTTGATTTCTACGTGCTATCCAGCAAATTCCGATGTGTCCCAGCTCAGAACTGTCTATTGTTGCCGTTTTTTGTCCTTTTATTCCCATTCCATGAGTGTGCCGTATGCTGTCTCACTGGAGCACCACTACACCATAATCATCTGCAGTCTGACACTTAGTCATCTTCGTCGGATGAATAGCCGCTGAGGCCAAGGGCGGCGGGCGTTGGTTTAGGTTTTTGCGCCTGAGCTTCTTTCTGTACAGTTGAGCCAATCACTGCACTACCCTTCTCGGAACCCGCATGAGGTGTCTCGGGAGTATTTTTCGCTGCACCTTCTTCCTTGGGGGCACCGGACGCAGCGGCAGTCTCCTTTTGCTTCTCTGCAGGATCGCTATTGGCCTTGGAGATTGCATCGGAGGTGCCTTTGTCGCCAGCGGACGAGGTCCGGCGGATCTTGATTCCCATGAGCGACTCCTTGTCTTTGGCCTTCTTTCGTTTCCTTCCGGTCGAGACCCAGTGCTCTTCTTCGACGGGCTGGTCTTCTTCCTTGGTGCCGGTGAGACGGGCGGCGCGCTCGGCCTCTTCTTGATGCCTGCGAAAAGCGTCGAGCTGCTGGGTGGTCTCCTTCTTCAGCGCGGCCTCCTTGGCGCGCGTGGACTCCAGCACAGAGTCGAGGAACTCGGCCTCATCTTCGTCCAGGGCGCGGAACTGGTTCTTGAGCTTGATGGACTGCGGATCGGGCAGGTCAGCGGGCGCCGGGGCGATCCGAGCAGGTCACGGGCAATACCTCTTCGAAAGCCTCCTGCTTCTTTGCTGTCGTCAAACAAGATCTGTTATGTTAGCTCTTCTTACAAAAAGCGGCACGGCGTGGATTTACCCTTGTTTGCTTGCAGCACTTCGTACAGACTCTTGCCGTCGTTCTGCTTGCCCTCGTCTTCCTTGCGGCGGCGCTGGGCCTCGAGCTCCTGCTGGGCCTGGAGCCACTCGGCGTCGCGCTCAATGGGCTGGTCGTTGGTCCCGCCGGAGACGAAGCCCGACGACATGGTGGCTGGTGGAGAGCGAGGCTGCGATTATTCCGTCTTGCGCAGAGAGCTGGGTTGGGTGCTCGGGGCAATGATTGCCGCTGGCAGCGATCTAGCCGATCACGGGCATTTATCCGGCGGCATGCAGGGCCCGCCGTTGCAATCAGGCCAGGGCAGGTCCAAGCTCGCCTGCCCCTCCATTGCGCGCGTGCCCCGCCGACGTCAACAGCTCCGGTGGATGGGCGCGCCGCCGCGCGGTGGGATGCGATCGTTGATACAAAGTGGGCTGGTGGGAACGCCTTGCGACGTATAAGACGCCCACCCTTGCCCTCGCCCTGCCATGACTGCTGCACTCACTGCTCAATTCTCTCTGCGCTCGTCTCTCCGTCCTCTTTCCCGCAAATTCCTCATTCCATCCGCACGCGCTCACACAATGGCTGGCCCGCTCGACTTCACCAAGCAGACCTTCACCCTCAACACGGGGGCGAAGATGCCCGCCGTCGGCCTCGGCACCTGGCAGTCCAAGCCTAACGAGGTCCGCGAGGCCGTCAAGGCTGCCCTGCTCGCTGGCTACCGCCACATTGACACTGCTCTCGCCTACGGCAACGAGCACGAGGTCGGCCTCGGAATCAAGGACTCGGGCGTCCCGCGTGAGGAGATCTGGATCACCACCAAGCTCGACAACCCGTGGCACAAGCGCGTCGAGGAGGGCATTGAGTCGTCGCTCAAGTCGCTCCAGACCGACTACGTCGACCTCTACCTCATGCACTGGCCCTCGTCCACCGATCCCACCGACCTGAAGAAGCACCACCCCGACTGGAACTTCGTCGACACCTGGAGGGAGCTCCAGAAGCTGCCCGCTTCCGGCCGCGTTCGCAACATTGGTATCTCCAACTTCGGCATCAAGAACCTGGAGATCCTGCTCAACGACCCCCAGACCAAGGTAAGTTTCTGAGGAGCCATTGAGCTCATCCCCGCTGCCTATGCACCAAAAAACACTTTCAACAATGCCATTGGCCCATGATCCCGTGAGATCGTGGCTGTGGCTGGTGCACAAAACACTCCACGAATCGGCTCTCGCAGGGTGCACAGTGATTCTGACCCGAATTTGCAGATCGTCCCGGCCGTTAACCAGATCGAGCTCCACCCCAACAACCCTTCGCCCAAGCTCCTTGCCTACCTCAAGGAGAAGGGTATCCACGCCACCGCCTACTCCTGCCTCGGCTCCACCGACTCCCCTCTGTACAAGGACCCCACCGTCGCTGAGGTCGCCAAGGCCAACAACAAGACCATCCAGCAGGTTCTGTAAGTTTGCACAAAAATACACTGCTACAATCGAAACCATGAACTAACAGGTTCACAGTCTCAAGTGGGGTCTCCAGCGCGGCACCAGCGTCATTCCCAAGTCTGTCACTGCCTCGCGCATTCAGGCCAACTTTGACCTTGATGGCTGGGAGCTGTCTAAGGAGGATGTTGACAAGCTGAGCAACCTGAAGGACCGCTTCAAGGTCTGCGGTGACGCTTGGCTGCCCATCAAGGTCTTCTTCGGCGACGACGAGTAAACGAAACCAGTTATATGCCAGTCATGACCGTGGCTATGACGTAGATGGAATGATACCTGGGTGGGGTTCTATCTTTTATCTTTGATTTGGTTTGGCAGGTGCCAAACAGTTAGACTTTGTACACTAGATTGCTTTGGCTGAAAGAATGCCTTAGGGTCTTATCTTCGATATACCATGATAGAATTTCAACAAGTATTTCTGCACGACAAAATACATTCCACCAGTGTCGAATCACTCCCAGCGCCTGTAGTCTGGGAAGAAGCGGTCATGAATTCTCCCCGCGTACTCCAAAATGGTGGGAAAACTCCGTACGACCTCTTGCGACTCTGGCGCCCTGAGCAAGTTCTGTTAGCACACTGCGTAAGCTGCTCGTGGGAACAAACTCACGCAGTACACATCAGCACGGAAACAATAAACCCGAAGAGCACCATATCCGCCTCCGTGGGGTGATCCCCGCCCATGATCCAGAACGGCTTCTCCCTGTCGGTGGCACCGCCCTGCTTCCTCTTTGCTTCCCTTAAAAGGTCGTCAAAACTCTCCCAGATCTGACGTCTGAATGCAGCGATCTCTTCGGCGGTGAAGCGGCCTGTGCCCTGACCGTGCAGAGTGCTCTTGATGCCACGATAAATGAGCATGCCAACAACAACACGCACCGGGTATTGCAAAGTGCCCAGCACGTGGTCGCGCATGACGTAGTAATTCTGGATCCATCGCTCGAAAGACTACAATCATCAATATCCTCTCATTCGCACCCGAGACGCTGGGCTCACGTGGTAAAAGTATAGCTTGTCTTCGAGTAATGCGCAGAGCGCACGGTCATGGGCGCGCTCGGGAGGAGTGAGCATGGAATTGATATCAGGGAGGATACCGGCGGAGGTCATGTTCTCGATGATGAGAGTAGAGTCGCTGAGGCTCTCGGTTTCGTCAAGGGTGAGGTAAGGGATCTTGCCGCGAGGTGCGGATTTGACGGAGCCTGAGGCAACCTTGTATTCGACTCCAGCGGCACGGAGGCGCAGTTCGACCTTAGTGACGAAGGGCGACCAGACGTAGTTGCCCGGGTCGTCCCAGCCGCGATAAAGTGTGGCTCTGGGTGATGGAGACATAATGATTGCGGAGATAAATTGGTCTGGCGAATGGCAGCCTATCTTGTATGTTGTGCTCAGGGTACTAGCGGTGACTGACTAAGCCAACTGCGTTGCGATTTCTCTATTTATTGCCGACCCAACATCCACTGCCAGGTCTTAAACAAAGGATTGCGGCTGAGGGCGAGAGCGCTGCCTGCCGCGGGGCACTGTTCCACCAATTCGGACACCGCCTTGGCCCGTGCCACAAAATGCGTCACACACCGAATGCCCGGTCGCATTTTGTTTGCGCAGCACTCGACGCATCCCGCCCTTGCACCTTCCTGGCGCAAGTCCGCGCCCATTCTCTCGCACGTCCAATTCCTCTGTCAATCCGTCCTACGCAGCCCGTCGCCGCCTTGATTCCAGCTGCGCAAAATAAAGAGTCATCCGGATTGTGGCCGCCGAGCATAAATTCCCACTACAACCCCGCCACTGGCCCCAGGCCTGTCGCAACCAAAACTCACCCTGCCATTTACACCCAACGCGCGCTTCTCACCATGGCTCACCGCACAACCGCCCCCTATAGGCCCCAGGACCCCCAGGAGACCCTGGAGCTCGTGCTGAGCTTGGAGGCGCACACCACCAAGGGCAAGTCCAAGGGTGGCTTCTCCGTCCGCAAGCACACCTTCGACCTGCCTAACGGCCGCACCATCGACTCGTGGCGCCTGCAGGACTGGGACTACAAGAAGCCGAACCTTCCCACCTATGCTCGCGGCCTCTTCACCTACAAGAACCTTGCCGGAATCCACGAGATCGCCGTCCGCGGCTACGACAAATTCTTCAACCACGGCGAAGTCAACAAGACACAGTGGCGGAATGTGGAGAAGAACACCAGGGGTCCCTACGAGCTGAGCGTGAAGGAGAACGGTTGCATCATATTCATTGCAGGCTTGGAAGACGGCACGCTGCTTGTTTGCAGCAAGCACTCGACCGGTGCGCGCCAGGACACGCCGCTCAGCCATGCTCAGGCTGGTGAGAAATGGGTCGAGAGGCACCTGGCGACGGTGGGGAAGACCAAGGAGGAGCTGGCATATGCCCTGAGGCGTATGAACGCAACTGCCGTGGCTGAGCTTTGCGACGACGAGTTCGAGGAGCACGTTCTGGCCTATACCCCCGAGCAGTCCGGACTCTACCTTCATGGAATCAACATTAACGTACCCGAGTTCATGACATACCCTGGACACCTGGTCGACAAATTTGCCGAGGAGTGGGGTTTCAAGAAGACCATGTACGTCATGGAGGAGGATATTGTGAAGGTTAAGGGATTCCTGGATGGCGTTGCCGAGACTGGCGCCTACGCTGGCCGTGACACCGAGGGCTTCGTTATCCGCTGCCAGGCAAGGGATAGTGAGAATGCCCCGTGGGAGGATTGGTTCTTCAAGTACAAGTTCGAGGAGCCTTACCTCATGTACCGCCAGTGGCGTGAGTGCACCAAGGCAATCATCGCAGGAAAGGAGCCGAGGTACAAGAAACACAAGAAGATCACCGAGGAGTACATCGAATTCGCGAGGCGCCAGCTCATTTCAAACCCTGGACTCAGGAAAGCGTACAACGAAAATCACGGTATCATCAAGATGCGCGATGATTTTTTGATGGAGAGAGGCGTCAGTGGCGCCGATGTCATCAGGCAGGAGATTGAGGCTGGTGAAGGTACCACTGTCTCGACTGAAGTCACGAAGAACGTAGTCCTTGTCCCGGTCGCTACCATCGGCTGCGGCAAGACCACAGTAGCTGTTGCGCTTGCAAAGCTGTTCGGTTGGGGACACGTCCAGAATGACAACATCGAGGGAAAGAAGAACCGTCCGCAGAGGTTTGCGGATGCCTGCACTGATGCACTAAGAACCAGGCCGGTCGTCATCTCGGACAGGAATAACCATCAGAAGAGAGAGCGAGAGCAGATCATGAGGGATATGCAGCAGAACCTCCGTGGTAACGACGTTCGCTTCGTCGCGTTGCATTGGGTTCACGACCGCCAGAACTACGACCAGATTCGCCAGGCCATGCAGGATCGTGTTTTGAGCCGTGGCGACAACCACCAGACCATTCAGGCAAACAAGAAGGGCTCTGCAGAGGTCATAGGCATCATGGAGGGATTCCTGCAGAGGTTCCAGCCTGTCAACGCTGATGAGGCGCCGGACGACCTTTTCGACCTGGTCATCAATCTCGATGTCACGCGTTCTTCGCGAGAGAATCTTGAGACGATCGTCTCGCAGCTTAATTCGGAATATCCTAGGCTGTTCGGCAACATGCCCACCGCTGAAGACCTCGACATCGCTATTGAGGCCGCTCTCAATGACTACAAGCCTGACATCAAGCACGAGCTCAGCTTCGGCGGCAAATCCAAGCAGCCCCAGCAGCAGAATGGAAACACCGCTAAGCCCAAGGCCCCGAAGCTTGATTACTTCTGCGTCAAGCTTCCTTCGAACCGCATCAACGGTATCCTCGACGGACTATTCAAGGACCAGGACATCACGACCCAGCAGTTCTACCGCCAGCTTCAGGGCTTGCGTCGCGTGCAGCCGGAATTCCACGTCACCCTTATCCATCGCGCGTCGGCCAAAGAGCGCCCGGAACACTGGCAGAAGATGCTCGACCTGCACTCCGCGCGCGCCTCCGCTACTGCTAATACGACGGACCCGGATCTCGGTACCGCAAAGGTGCAGTTGGAGCGGCTGGTTTGGGACAACCGCGTCATGTGCTTCGTCGTCAGGTTGCTACCGCCGGCAGGCGCAGGCGACGAGGCGAAGGAGTGGGAGACGGCGAATAACATCGCACACGTGACGGTCGGCACGGCGAGCAAAGACATCAAGCCGAAGGAGAGCAACGATCTACTGAAGAGGTGGTTGCAGGAGGGTAGTGGAGAGGGCAGCGGGATCAAGGAGATTATGATACATGGCCAGGTGGTGCTGGATGGTGTCGTCAAGGGTGTTCCGCAGAGGTTCTGAAGTGGGCATCAGATATGATGGGACGACGGTATGGACTGGCATGATTATGGCGTTTACCAGGGCATTCTGTTTGTTGCTTTGATATGGAAGGGGGCTAAAAGTTCTCGCATGGTTGGTCTAGTGGTCTGTTTTTGATGGCATCTTAAATCGCTGAGAACTCCACTCAAGTGCGATGCCATGATATGGAGAATCGATATACCAGAATACCTCCTCTCGTCCTAAACTTCAAGTATATAGGAATAAAACTCCACTTTTCTGAATTTTAAGAGCGTCGGTTCCTTATAGACCCTCATCTTGAGAGGTGATAGCCTCTTGCACAAGGAGTTATAAGTAGATAAGGAAGGGCTCATAATCAACCTATCATATCTCAGCAGCTACATACAGAGTGGCTCATGCACATCGAAGCGTATGCACGCTAGGGACCGCGCCACGACGAACGGCAAGATCCTGTTAGCTCCGGCTTATTGTTCCTCTTTCTTTTTCGTGTGGGGGCCAATTGCTTCCCACTACATAAAACGCCGTGCAACCCGCTAAGGTTTCCGCACGATCTTACCATCTACCGTCTGTCTCTTTGAGCCGTTGTTTCCTAGCTGAAATCAAGAGGGGGAAACAAAAGGAAAAAGAAGAGAGGAGAGAAAAGGGAAACAGAATGATGGATAACCTAGCGAGCCTCGCTCGCGCTTCCGACCCGATCAACTTCCCGGACAACATCGCCGACGACGAATGGCGCGTCACGAAAGCCTTGGACGATCAGCTGGCAAGGCAGATGCCGTCGCGGCGGTGGCGGCCCATGCACGACCCGTATGCTTACCTCGCTGCCTCTTCGTCGTCTTCTCCTCGGCATCGCCACTCAGGTGATGAAGAGGATGACAGCAATAATGATGATGGCGTCGACGACGCCAGCGACGACAGCGACGAAAGCGATGCAGACTTGGTCATATTCAAGCGCATCAACACCCACAAAGTCGGCGTGCAGGACGCGGCCGACGCGCAGATCTTCGTCCCCGCGGCGCCGGCCGCCGTCCGCCAGCCGCACGAGGCGCCGTTAGGGTACGAGAGGGACGACGCCAACATGAAGCTCCTCATCTGGCTCGAAAGCGACTCCCGGCGGCCGCCTGAGAAAGATGGCATGGCCGACGGCGACTTCTTCCTCAGGGGCTCGCAGCATGGGTTTTGCTGGGCGTGCTTGGATGTGTTGGGGTATTATATCAAGCATACGAGGGGGGGTGAAGAGGAAGTAGTAGGAGGTGGAAGAGAGGAAGAGGAGGCAGAGGAAGCGGAAGACAAGAAGAGAAAGAAAGGGGAAAGGGCAGCGAAGAAGAAAAAGAGGAGGCTGCCGAGGGCGGTGGTACACCATTGGAACTTGCTAAGCTTGGTGGCAGCGAACGGGACCGGGTGTACCATCTGCAAGCGGCTACACCAGCGGCTGGAAAGGAGCAGGGCGGTGGATATGAATCAGCTGCATAGCCTGGAGACACATCGGTTGGAGATGTGCTGGGCGAATGGTGGGATGGGGCTGGGCGAGGGCGATGTGCTGTATTTTGTGCACACGGACACGACACTCCCGAGGAGCCACTCCAACTACCACACGTACTACCGCATGCAGCTGTGGGATATAGATGCCCTGGACGCGAACATGTCGATGTGGTTCCCGGACGGCAGGAAATGGTTCGAGGATCATGGCGTGATGCAGGTTGCAACGTCTAGAATGGATTCGGACAGGTCGAGACTCCTGGCCAAGGGGTGGTTGACGCGCTGTGAAGAGAACGTCGACGGAATGCATGACGAGTGCAATGCTTTCGTTGCCAAGAGTCGTCCCACGCGTGTATTGGACGTGGAGCATGCGAGACAGACTTCACGGCTCCGCCTCGTGCGCGTGGAAGGCGACGCGGCTGGTGATCGGTACATCACACTGAGCCACTGCTGGGGAGAATGGGGTGCAAAGGAGCTCCCTATGCTGACAACTGCTAACCTGGAAGAGCGTCAGAGCGAGGGTATGGACATTGCGGATCTGCCTCAGACATTCCGAGATGCTCTCGAGGTGGCCAGCTGGTACAAGGGTAATGATGACCTTTATCACCGCCCTTTCCTGGAGTTCTCGAGGAAGCTGACCTATGCACAAACAGTCAAGTGGCTCTGGATAGACTCCCTCTGCATCGTACAAGATTCCCCTTCAGACTGGCTGCGCGAAGCCTCGCTCATGGCGCGCACCTACAAGCACGCCGTCCTCAACATCTCGGCCGACAACTTCTCCGACGCCCGCGGCGGCCTCTTCGCCGAACGCGACCCGTGGGACATCGTGCCCATCCAGTTCCACGCCACGCGCGCCGCCGGCATCATGCCATCCTCGCAGGACGACCTCGCGCGCTCGTGGTGGCTGTGGGACTACGAGACGGACGCCTTCGGCTGGGCCAACACCGCGCCGTCGTTCGCGCGCGCCTGGATCCACCGCGAGCGCCAGCTGGCGCGGCGCGTGCTGCACTTCACCGACAAGGAGCTGGTGTGGGAGTGCTGCGCCAGCAGCAGGGCCCCGGCCCAGGCCCTCGCCTGCGAGACCTTCCCCGGCGGCTACCCCTTCCGCAGGCTGCTGCACGGGCACGCCAAGTGGCAGGCTCGCGACGTGCGGAACAACGGCGGCGTCGTGAGGGGGAAGGTTGGGCTGGAGAAGGCGGCGGTGCACGAGACGTGGAATGAGTTGTGCGAGGGCTTCTCGCAGAAGTGGCTGACGGTGAGCAGTGACATGCCCATCATCCTGTCCAGCCTCGCCGAGGAGTTCGGTGACATGCTGCCCGGTGATGCGTACTTGGCGGGCCACTGGGAGAGCACGTTGCCGCTGAGTCTTTTGTGGAGGGTTCACCGGTGGCCGGGGAGGGACGTTGGTGAGTTCTCGTCCTTACCACATGCGATTGAAAGGAAGTTTGTGGATCGGGTTGTTAGAAAAACTGCAGAAGAGATTACGGAAGAGATCTCCGAGATGGAAAAAGATGAGGAAAAGGAGGGGGCGTTGGCTGTGGAAGAGGAGACGGAGGGCAATACCCAAGTTTCCCCTACGAGCTCTAGGGTAACTGGTCTCTACGCCAGGGCGAAGATGCTGGCAAAAGAGATGGCAACGAAACAGGCCTTTCCTGAGGAAGATTCGTCAGCTGCATGTCCCCCGGCCCTGACGGATGATGTTTCTCGGTCCACTCATGGAGAAGATGCCGCTCAATCGGACACCACACAACCAAAGGCAGCGCAGCCGGTGGCGACACAGGCAGAGGAAGCGCATGCGGAGACGACGCAATCAGAGATGACAACAGCGGAGATGACACAAGCAGAGATAACGGAGCAGCAAGAAGTGTCGGATCAGGATGACACAGAATCAACAGCCGGACCTTACTTCTCCTACGTCGCCCCGTCCTGGTCCTGGTTCTCTGTTAATGGTGCCATTGAGCATCACGGCCGCTGGCCTCAAGTTCCTCTTGCCACCTTCAACGTTGATGATGCTCGTCTTCGCAACGCCTTTGGCCCATTCTCACCTGATGCCTCATCCCTTACGCTGACCGGGTACATGCGCCGCATCGAGGTCATATACACGGGGGCAGACGTGGTTGAGTCGCTGTACACGCCCGACATCGTCTCATTGAGATCAAAATACGATATGGTCGCAATCGACCACGACGACCTTGACGACGCCGATTTGCGGAGGAAGGGGCCGGACAGAAGGCCGAAGGGGGTGCGTAAGGTCGGACAAGCGTGGCGCCAGAAAACTGGGAGGGACTTTGAAATCAAGTTAGATTTCCCCCGGGGCGAGGATTTGCGCCTCCAATGCTTCTGCTTGTTCCTGGCCTTTGATGGCAAGAAATGTAGTAAGTATGATTTGGTTGTGACTGGGTTGCTGCTAGAGCCGGTAGAAGGGGGCAAGGCATTCACACGGATAGGGCTAGTCAGCTTGTCCGCATTGACGGCGTTGAAGATGCGGTACATGATAGAAGAGGGAGACATGGAACCGGACGAACAGGGGTGGAAGACAATCCTAGGCGGTATTGACATTATAGACAAGAGCAAGGATGCGGAAGAGTTCAACGAATCAGGTCCTGAGGCATTGTATCGGCGTGACGAGGAACGCTCGGGGCTGAAGAGATTGAGAAAGAGGGACATAAAGCTTGTGTAATGTGCATCCTAGCGAAAGCCGTCGGTATCATACACAAATCGAATTTCATCGGGTAGTGAGTAAAGTGTAGCGGCTGAGGGAAGAAGTCCGAACGAAGTCGGGATGGATAGATAGATCCGACGGTAGGCAAAACGAGTTGTACCTGTACATCCGCATTTAGACACTAGCCCAGAACTACTCGTACTTACCAGAGAGCGAGAGGGCTCCTGCTGACATGCGGCTGGGCTTATCGCGCAGCATGGACTGCGTACTATTGAAGTCGAGTCGAAATAGCGGCGGCACCTAACTCCTTCGTCTACACCGCCGACGGAGGATTATCAGGTTAGGGGCGGATAAGACCCTGAGCCAGGATCACTCGTAGACTCATATGACCGGTGCAGAAGATTTCGTCCAGGCGTGGAGCTAAAGCATAAATCCATGTACGGAGTCAGTGATGTCCCGGCGGACAAAGAAACTCGGCAACCCTTGGTACCAAAGTCTATTCTCACGACCAGAGCCGGGTTTCTATTGGCGGCTTCTTGCAGCATTTCTCGCACACCTTACGTCAAACAAGCCGCTTCGCCTCGGAGCGCCGGGGCCCATGAATGAGACGCGCACAGGCTATCGTGTCTGCGGACGCAGTCGCCGCTCAGCAATACCACACGACGACCAGGCTGCCATCAAATTGGCCAATAGGGGAGATGTCGGTTGAGGCTGAGCAGTGGGTGGGAATCACAAGGCGCGCGCCATGCCTGAAGGATATGTAAGCGGGCGAGGGTCAGTCAGCAGGGTGCAGCGGGACCAATGGTCGGCGCACCCGAAGGCAGCGTGCTGTAACTCAATCTGATCTCGCTCCCTGAAACCTGAGGGTACGCAGCAAGTGACTCATTGTGCAGCCTGGTTTCTGGGGTTGCGACGAGGCAATGCGGTGCGCGTGTTACCCATTGGCTCCACTCACCGCGGTGCCCAAGTCAGCACCGGTGTCGACGGAGGATTGGGGTGGCTTGGGGGCGAGGCAGCAAAGATATTGTGGCTAGCGCGGCTGACGGTCTGACGGCCACGCGGGCCAGAGTCGTGGCCTCGCTGCCTGCGTCGGCTTTCTCATCGCCCGCCGTGAAACTTGCTCTGCTGGGCCTAGTGGGACGCCCTTTGCACGATCAGGGCCGAAACCTCCGCCAGCGCGCGTTATTTCCTGCCAGCCTCAGCGCTGGTCTAAGCCGGTTTGAGATACCGTGTGTGCCGTGCCGCGTGCTCCGCCTCCGAGAAAGGAGCGCCCAGGCAGCAGGTTTCGCAACCGGACACGCAGCAGCACGCTGTCCTCGAAGGGCGTTGCGGGGAGGCGGTTCGACGCGCGCGGCGGGCGCAGCGAGGTTTGCGGCGACGCCATCGTGCAGTGGTGGGGACTGGAGGACGAGAGATCAGATGTCGCTGGGCGGGCGATAGGCAGCCTCCATCGGCCGCTAGCCCGCAAGGCCGACGTGCGCCGGACCCATGGTCAGCCCCTGCACAAGTCCACCTCAGCCGCCGCTGATTGGCCGACCAAACAATGAGTCACAGCCGGCCTTGGCTGTTCGCTACGCCGCGCACGCGGTTCAAATATGTCGCCGGTCGCCCTCTCAGGCAACTTTCCTTCCCCATCTTCCGCCTCCACCACATTCATAAACACAGCCAGAGAATCGTCATCATGGCTGCGTAAACCCCCCTCCGCCCTGGCTTCCTCAACTTCTCCAATATTCAATCTCCCCACTCAACAGCAGTTTCCGCAAGGAACTGTCTCAAGCCCAGCCTCGCGCTCCCGCTTTAGACGCCCTACAACGTTCGACCGAACGTCGTTCACCACGGCTTCCAATCAGTCACCATGGCTCCCCTCACCAGCTCCCCACGCCTCACGGCATCCTACACCGCAGCAACCACGACTGAGCTTCCCCTCGGAAGACTTTCAACTGTTCGATCAACCGACGCAGGCTCACCAGCCCCCTCGTCTACCGAGCGCTCCTCCATCTCGTCCTACGTTTAACGGATCGCCGTTCTACGCCAACAGCGCACCCGCATCAACTATCGGATTTCGTCGAAACACTACTTCGCAACACTCTCGTCCACCCGTTCCGCTCTTCTCCAGTAGCACAGCAAACCAGAACAACAAGCACCAGAGGAACCACTCCACCGGCACCATGCTCGCAGGTAATTCTCAGCCGGTCCCGCACCTGCCACGCGCCCGCTCTAACGCCATGCCAGACAAGGAAGTGAACATTGCTACCTTCGGGGGCGTCGCTCCCCTCGACTCGTTCAACGTCGAGATCGACTGGGACGCGTACGCCAGCGCCGCCAGCTTCACTTCGATGAACGACCACATGGCCGGCTCCGTTGGCACCGCGGCCACCGTGTCGCCCAAGGACATCTTCCAGGACCCGCTCGCCTCGGCGCCTCCCTCGACTGCTTTCACCAACTTGACGTCGCCGTCCATCAACGAGTCTCCCTACATCGGCGACAGCTACGACACTTCGCCCATCTTCCAGGATGGCGACATGTCCTCTCAGAACTGGTTCTCGCTTTTCCCGGAAGACGAGAAGTCTACTGCTACTGCAAACCCGCTCCAGCGCACCGTCAGCAACCAGTCCTTCACCCAGTCCAGCTCGAACAACAGCTCGCCCAAGCCTGTGGTGGTTGACGCGTCCAGCCGGCGCAAGTCAAGCACCAACTCCCCCGCCGTTCTCACTCAGAACGCTGGCGTCAGCAAGCCTCGCCGTCGCAAGGGCCCTCTGCCTCCCATCACGGTGACAGACCCGAGCGACAAGGTCGCGCTGAAGCGTGCTCGCAACACCCTTGCTGCACGTGAGTCCAGGCAGCGCAAGTACGAGCACGTGCAGGAGCTGGAGAAGCGCATTGCTGAGTTGGAAGAGGAGCAAAAGAAGGCCTCGGATGAGGCCGAGAAGTGGAAGAACATCGCGCTCAGCCTCGGTTATCTCCAGTCGTGATTTGCCCTGCCTTCATAGGTGTACGGGCGGGGGAGCTGGTGAGCTCCCGGAGATTATGGAACGAGGCGCTTAGTCCCCTCCGTTCAGGAAAAGTTCTGTCAATATTTGGGTTCCAGTCCTTTCCTCTTATTAGATGCTTTTTCGTCGGAGGGTTTTGGTTTTCACAGCATCGGCAGTTCTGATGTCCCTCCCTTGATGGGGTTGGTTGACTCGTGGCCTTTGCTCCTGTTTCTAGCAACGATGGTTTCCCTCAACTTATTGTCATGATCCTCTTATAGGATATCCCGTCTGGTTTCGTACCGGACGACTGCGGTTGCATGATCACTGCTTTGTTAGCACAAAATACCAAAAAAATGTTCGCGACTATCTTGAAGATCCTCCTGCACTTGCGTGAATTGACGTCTTGTCGACTTTGACAGCGAGCTAGGTATCCACCGTGCGCTGTCCAACATGGCTATTCTTAGCGAGAGTATCGCTTGAAGACAAATTGATTGCAAATTGTGGAGAGAGTTCGGCGTCTGTGCGGCGACAAATGTGCACGAGCCGAGTGTTTCATCGGCAATTTCCCCGGATCTGCAACGTTCATCACGCACTACCCGATGCGGAAGGTCATGATGGCTGATCTGGTGTTGTACCTGATCAGTGCTGATACCGGCCCAAGTCACTACAGAATAGCTTTCAATTCTTTCTAGTAGCTATGTAGACACAGGATATCTCATCCTTCCTGAGACGTATGAACATACGTGTCAGCTACTTCAGTGACCGCTTGCGCCTTAGGCGCCTCAATCACACGTGGCGGCCACGACATGCCGTCGTGTCTCGACGTCACTGACACATCTTAGATCGAGAACGCGAAATGCGTGCAAAGTTTCCCGTGTGCTAGCGGACCAGGGAATGATGTGGCGGGGCAGGTGCGCGGGGGTAACGCGGTCACGTTGACGGCAACGCACAGCCAACACCAAACCCATTGCCACGGGTCGTCGCTCCTGACGACATCCAAGCCCATCTAGGCCGACCGGTCAACAGGGACGACTTTTTGCAAAGATGGCAGCCTCGTCGACCGGCCGCCGCCGCCAATGCGAAATACCAAGATTGTCGGCGGCACTTCATCGCGATATGACGTAGGCCTCGACTCCCGCCGCGCCTCAAGCGTCTGGGCCTTCTGCTCGCGTGCCTGAAAACGCGTCGGCTCGCCGCTTTGTCCGCTCTCGCTCCTCCATCAATTCTCCCCCAATTGCTTCTCAGCATGGCTTCCGGCATATTGACCGTCTTCCTGGCGGCTCTGCAGGCCTCCATATCCGTTTTGTTAACTATCTTCTACGGCGCAATTGCCGGCCAGTTCAACCTCATCTCTGAGAGCTCGGCCAAGGACATCTCCAAGACATGCGTGCGCCTGTTCCTGCCTGCGCTGCTAATTCACAATGTTGGATCGCAACTCAGTCTTGACAGCGGCGCCAAGTACGTGCCTATACTCAGTAAGACGGCAAATCTCAACTGATAAGAGTCCCTTGCCGCTAACGGCGCCCCGCAGTATTCGCCATCATGTACAACATCATGTCAATTGCTTTTGGCACCCTGATGACCCGCGTTTTCAAATTTCCCGCTTGGGTTACGCCGGCCATTGCCTTCAACAACACGACATCCCTGCCGCTCCTTCTCGTGCAATCCCTCAGTTCGACAGGCGTGCTCTCGAGCCTCGACGGCTCTGACGACGTCATTGATCGCGCAAAGTCGTACTTCCTCGTCAATGCCATCGTTAGCAACTCGTTGACCTTCGCGCTCGGCCCCCGCCTGCTGAACGGCCAAGAAGAAGACGCGCCCGACCAAGACGACAATGAGAACAAGGACGATGGAGATGTATCCGACGATTCCAGCGACGGCGTTCCCGTCATCGAGGGCACCGAGGACGTCGAAAGCGGACGCATCAGGCCAACGCAGCAGCACCCCGCCGCTGCGTCATCCTCCAACAACGACGAAAACGACGAGGAGGAGCACGTCACAGAGGAGACGTCTCTCCTGCCCGACCCGATCGCGCGCAAGAGCCGGAAGGCGGGCCGCAAGGCGTACGCGCGCGGCGCCCACGGCTTCTCCAAGCTCCCACCATGGGCGCGCTCGCTGCTCTCGTTCGCCTACCAGTTCGCCAACGCGCCCGTCATCGGCGCGGCGCTGGGCTGCCTGGTCGGCCTGACGCCCGCGCTGCACCGCCTCTTCTTCGCCGCGCCCGACGCGGGCGGCTACTTCAAAGCGTGGCTGACATCGTCGATCAAGAACGTCGGCGACCTCTTCGCCAGCCTGCAGGTCATCGTCGTCGGCGTCAAGCTGCTCGCCAGCCTGCGCAAGCAAAAGGCTGGCCAGGAGAGCGGCGCCGTGCCCTGGCTGCCCTTCGCCATCATCACTTTTGTTCGTTACGTCCTGTGGCCCCTCGTCTCCATCCCGCTCGTCTGGGCGCTGGCTACCCGCACCAACGTCCTCGACGACGACCCCATCTTGTGGTTCGCCATGATGCTGATGCCTGCGGGCCCGCCGGCGATGAAGCTGACGGCGCTGGCTGATGTGAATGGGAGCGATGAGAAGGAGAAGATGTCGATTGCGAGGTTTTTGACGGTGAGTTTTGGACCCCGGAGAGGAATTTCCCGCTGCTCTCCTCCCCTTTTTTTTTTTCTTTCCGGGCGTGACGGTAGAATGCTAACGACTGTTGCTTATTCAGCTCTCGTACCTCATCTCGCCGCTCATATGCTTCTCAGTCGTCGGCAGCTTGAAGGCTTCGGAGGCCGCGGTCGGGAGATAGCATTCTCCGATGTCTCCTTTTCTTTCTTCTTGCTCTTCCTTGCTTGCCAGCAGGTGAGTCGATATAACATTGCTAGCACTCTGCATAGAATCTAGAGTCTAGAAATAGGGGTGTACAGTGACTAGAAATAGAAATCGTATTTATATCCTTGAAGAAATGTGCACATTTAGAATGTACTTTTTCATTTACAACTAGTAATTGCTTACTGGTGCGTTCAACCTAACTCATCATACGCATTCTACGGTATTCGAAACCTTCGAGCTCAAAAAAAAAAAAAAAAAGGGCGTCGCTTCTGCAGATAAATTTAATATTAGAGGGAGAGAGCTTGGTGCCAACCACTCGCGAGTGGAAGGGGGGCCAGCGTCTATCAGGGACCCGCTTTCCTTTCTTAGTCTCTTCGTGCCAAGCTTATGCAACCATTAACGAGGGAAATATATGAGGTATAGATAAGGGAGGATGGAAAGGGAAAGGCCCGGATAAGCATGTGAAGAGGGTGAGAAATTTTAATGGAGAGGGGCCTTTTTTTTTTTGGTGGTCAATGGTGAGACGTTGCGAGATGCGGCTCCTGTTACATAAGTGCTGCATGATGACCCCTCCCCCCACTTCCCCTCAATCTCAGATTTGCAGATCACTTTGCCGATAGACGAGAATAGCATTATATCCTTGCTCGCTTATGATATGCTTGAATTAGGTAATGCAATCTTCTTCAGTCCTTGGCCCGTCACACAAGGTCTCTAGTCGTTCATGGTCTTGCGTTGAATGAATTCTTTTCCTTTTTGCTCTGTAGAGGCTTATTACATAAAAGGGGGTTTTCATATCGTTGTCCTGAGCAACGCTTGGTATCTTGAGAAGAAAAAGAAAAAAGAGAAAAACATAGAAGAAAGCCATCTGTCGTAATCAGAGAAGAGGTAATAGTAGGAAGAAGAAGAAGAAGATAAACCCCGTTCCAGGCGGGACTAGTGAAAGGAAAGGAGGCCAGGGCAAAGTCCCTGCACTGCCCAAGAGTTGACCGCCGTTTTCTCACACGTACCCCATCCCAACGCCTCCTCCCGCGGGATTCCTCACTCTTTTCTTCCCCTCTTCTCCAGAGGGTATATGAGCGATGAAATGTCTCTTCCCATCTTTCTCGCGCTCCTGCCCCTTGCCCCCCCCCTGCAACAACATCTTACACCGCCTTTGAAAGAAGATTAAGTTTGAAAGAAGAAAGGAGTAAATCTCCTTGTTTTGCGTTGGCAATGAGCTCGTCTACGTCATCTGAAGGACGGAAGGGCTGTATAGAATAGTAATTAGTCGATTGATCTTGTGTAGGAGAGATGGGGGGGAAAGGACTTACCCAGCAAGGACGTCATCGTCAGTGATACCCTTCTTGCTCGTAACCATCATGAACGTCTCGCCGATGAGGCCCTGCGGGACTTCACAGTTGCCGTTGGCCAAAGAGGAGAATTGAACGCCGCCACTAAACCAATGTTAGAACTATAGTTCATAGAAATAATAGAGAAAGCAAAGGGGAAAACTCACTTGCTCATGAAAGCGCAGAACTGGGCGCCCTCGGGCTGTGCGGGGTCCTCCAGGACGAGGCTCTGGCCGGCCTCGGCCTTGGTGGCGCTGCCGAGCGAGATGGCCGGGAAGGCCTGGACGTTGAGGTTGGAGCCGTCGGGGCAGCTCTTGATGAACTGCGAGGCGAGGGTGAAGACGGCGCGCGGGCCCAGGGCCGTGTCGAAGGCGGCGGGCACGGGCTCGGCGCCCGAGGCGGTGCGGATCAGCGTCTGGTGGCGGCCCTCGACCGTGACGATGGACGCCGCGGCGCTGAGGACGGCCGCGTCGCTGATGAGCGGGGCCGCGCCCAGGTACGCCGACACGCCCACGGCCTCGAGGATGCGCGCCGTCTTCAGCATCGTCTCGGCGTCCGTGAGCCCGAATTCGTACTCGCACGGGGCGACGGGCTGCGTGCCGGCCGAGGCGATGGTCGAGAGGAGCGTCGAGACGTGGCTGGCCTCGGTGGCGCCGATCTGCTGCAGGGCGGCGATGTCGTCGTCGCTGAGGCCCAGAGCCTTGAAGTCTTCAGCAGGGAACTTGGCGAAGCCCTGCCTGTAGAATTCCGATTCCAGATGCTCGGCCGTCAGGGCGCTGTTTGAAGTGTTAGAAAGGTCGTATGTGCTAATTCTCAGTTGTCTTACAATTGCAGGATATCGATGTCGGAAAGGCCGCCAGCCGCAGCGGTTTCTGCAGCGGCTGCAGCCGTCTCAGTGGCGGATGCAGCGGTAGTCTCGGCAGCAGCAGTAGTTTCGGCAGCGGCAGGAGTCTCGACAGCGGCGGGAGTCTCGACGGCGGCGGCAGCGACGGAATACTCAGCGGCAGCAGCTGGCGTGGAAGCAACCTCAGGGGTGGCAGCAGCAGCATACGCGGTTGCCTCGGCCATTGCGGCCGTTTCTGCGGCAGGAGTGACGGCTTCTTCTGCTGGCACTGATGCAGCGGCCGGATAGCTTCCCTCTCCTTCGGCGAGCCCACCTTCGGGAACATACAAGTCGTTCCGCGACATCAGAGGCCAGTTGAAAAGCGGGGCGGCGTTGGACACGACGGGGCCCAGGACAAAGATGGCCCGGAGGATCTTCTTTATGCTAGGCATGGTTGAGTGACGTTAGATATTAGAGATTGATGGTTGAAGTGTCGTGCCGTGTGCGAGGCTGTCAAAGCGCAACGTCGTCCTCGTGAAAAAGGCGAAGGAACGGTAGTCCAACCAGGGACGTGAAATAAAAGAATGATGATGCCGAGTGGGCGTGAAAGGAACGTCGGCCACCTGAGCCTCAAAAAGGTTGTATTAAGCTGCGCAGCAGGAACGGAGCCTCAGGAATGAAGAGGGCGGGCTCCGGATCGAAGTGAATATAAGAAGCGGGCGATAATATTAAAGGGACCGCTGTACCTGGCCCGCCGAGCAAAGAGATCTTGGGAGGCAAGGCTCTTGGAAGGTAACTTGAGACCTTATACCAGGCCTGAGACGAGCCACAAAGCGCGTCATTCGCCGAATCTTGCGCCAAGGCGGACGGATGGTAGGCGGATGCAGTGGCTTCCGCGCGAAGGCATCCAATCCCACGGAAGTGACAAGCTTTTCGCATCCGGGAACCTTAACCGCATGCTTCTCCGTACCTGTCTCCGCGACGGCAGTGGTGGGGGGCGGAGGTGTCGGTTGGTGCGTGTGGTGTTGGGTGTGTCATGACGGGGGTTCTGCGACGCGAGGGCCAACCGCTGAAACCGATCGAGCTCCATCGCCCGTATCTTCGTGGCCGGAACGTGGGCGAGCCGACCAACGGCTGCATTGATCGTCATTTCGCCCTCGTGGAAGGTCGTCTTCCGAGGGCTGCCCGGATAGGCAACGTGCTGCTTCCCAGGCCACGACACACGGCGCGCCGCAGAGCCAAGCCGCCCCGCAGATAGCCAAGCGCGCGAGCCGGGAGCTTAGCCATGGCTGCGAAGCGCCCCTGGCTGCACACACACGCGTCTGTCGCCGTGGAGAATGGCAGAGGAGAGAGAGTAAGATTAAGGTTCGCCGCCCGAGACACCTCCGCTGGAGAGCGCATGGACCTCCACATGTAGCCGACACGCAACGCGAGAACCTCTAACTATTATCGCTGCTCAACTACTTATTTGCGCCTAAAGCTCAACTCATTAACAGCATAATGCAAACTCTTTCCCACGCTGCCCTCTACCGCGACCGCGAGAACCGTTCTTTTTATCCCATTACGCAATCTGGCCCTCCCTTCGCAAACTGCGCCGCTTTTCTGCATCAACGCTGCCCCCACGCAGCCCTAACCATGTCGTCGCTGTGAATAAAAGCAGCAGAGCCCGTCAAGTCCTCTGCCTAAGGAATGGACGGTTGGTCTGCACAGGCTATGTACAGCACGGAAGAATGTGTACAAAGCAACGCGACGACAATCTGACCGCCCGCTTCGTCCGATTCCCGGCCCACAACTTAATCGGTTCTGCGCTGGATAGAACGGCCATGTAGACGTCTGATCGTCATGCCGCTTAAAGAGCGTACGGGTTAAGGGACCTGATGGTAAGGCATCTGCGCGACACGTTAGCTTCATCTCCGAACAAACGAACACGGCACTACTTACGGAGGGCTCTTGGTAAGATCAGTCTTCAGGATCACAGGCACGCGAGTCATCTCCTTGACGTCCTGGATGTAATCGCCGTTCTCCTCACGGAGAGTGAACAGCTTCAGGTACTTCTCCTTGTTGCTCAGCTTCGACTCGATGCCCTCGCTAGCACTCTGCGAGATCTTCGGATCCGACTTGGTGCGGTGGGGAGCGTGCTCAGACGCCATCAAGCCCGTCCGCGTCGGCGACGGAGGCATGCTCTGCGTCGGGCGGTCCGCACCCGTCTGGTTGAGCGACACGCCAGACGTCATGTCGGCAAGATCCGACACCGCGTCATCGTCATCGTCAAAGAGGGCATCCACGTCGTCGGCAGACATGGTGTTGGTGTCCATGTTGCGGCGCTGAGCCTCCTCCTTCTCCTTGGCTGCCTGCCTGGCAGCCTCGGCCTCGCGAGCCGCCGCCACAGCATTGTTGCCGCGCACCGAACCATGCTTGGGACGCTCATCCTCCGGAATGTAAGTGGACGAAGGAACACCCTTCTCCCAGTAGAGCTCGAGCACGCGCTTGTTCTTGTCGAACTCGGCCTTCTTCAGAGGCAGCTGATCGCAGTGCACACGCTTCTCGAATCCATACTCGGGAATGAGAACGTCAAACGCAGACTCGTAGACGCAGAGCACAATACCCTCCGAGATGAGGTCACCACCAACTTCCTGGCGTGTCTTGTCCATCTTGCGGCAGGACTCGATGTGGACGCTCTGCTCCTGAGCATTGTGTGCCGAATCCTTCTTGGTGTTGCACATCTCCGTCGTCTTGTTCAGAGACTCGATGTCCTCCGTGAACTCGATGGCCCCGTTGGAAAGCGCAGCCTCGAGCTGGCGGTGCACAATGATGTCCGCATACCGGCGCGACGGGTTGGTGAAGTGAGTGTACATAGGCAGGTTGAGAGCGTAGTGAGACCACTGGTCCTCAGTCTGCTTGCCAGCGACAAAGTACTTGGCGCGCTGCATCGTCTTCACGAGAAGAGTCTCCATGCCCTGGCGGACAGTGGGATCCTCAACCTGGAACAGGCTGCTCTGCAGAGTGCCGCTGCTGGATGGGTCGAACTCATAGCCGATGGCCGACATTCTGTCAACGAAAGTCTGCAGCCGACGAGGGTTCGGGCCGGCGTGGCGGCGCAGAAGAGCTTTCTCGCCGAGCTTGGAGTGGATCAGCTGTGCCACAGCCGCGTTGGCCTTGTGGCTGATCTCCTCCATCAGTTCGTGCGAGGGAGAGCTGTTGAAGATGTTCTCCTCAACCGGAACATTCTCATCGTCGAGCTGGTAAAGCAGACGGAGCGACGGGATGTTCGTGGTGCGGTTGCCGTAGCGAGCTTCGCGGAACTTCTGCGCGATGGAGTGCAGGTTCTGAATATCCTTCTCCTTGTCGCTGAACTCAGACGAGCTGCTGCCGCCAATGATGGCGTCAACCTGCTCGTACGAAAGCTTGCCGGAGCTCTTGATCACACCCTTGCCAATGTACGTGTCATCCTCAAACACCTTGCCAGTGGCGGGGTCGACCTTGAAGACGACGCTGACAGTGTAGCGCTCCTCGCCAGGGCTCAGGCAGAGGATATCGGCAGAAAGCCTGGAAGGCAGCATGTTGACGGTGCGGTTCATAAGGTAAACAGCGGTTCCGCGCTTCTTTGCTTCGCGGTCAACGAGAGAGTTGGCCTTGATGAAATGAGCGACATCAGCAACGTGGATACCGATCTCCAGGTTGCCATCCTCAAGGGTCTTGAAGTGGATAGCATCATCCAGTTCCTTGCTGCCGTTGGGATCAATGGTGAATGTCTGCTCAGCGCGGAAGTCGCGGCGACTCTCAAGAGCCTCTTCGCCGTCATTGGCGACAGACCAGTCCTCAAACCCAACGTTGCGAAGAACAGCATCAGAGAAGTCATCCGGACCGAAGTTGTTGTCGCGGAGGAGCGCATCCGTCTCGACCTTCAGATCTCCCATCTCGCCGAGCTGCTCAACAAGCGTACCAAAGGGGTGGAGCGAGGTGATGGGCCAGCGCTTGATGCAAGCAACGAAGATGCGGTTGGCGTAGTCCTGGTGCCTCTCGACAAAGTCACGAGGAGCTTGCTCGGTAGGAATAGCAATCAAGGGGACACGCTTGTCGGTGGGCTTGAACCAGACAATCTTGGGCTTGTCTTGCTGACGCTCCGGCTGCTGGCGGCCGGAGGCACCCTCGCGAGCCGCGCGCTCAGCCTCCTGCTTCTCCTTGGTAGCCTGGCTGCTGGGACGCAGAAGACCCAGGGTACCAGAGAACATCTGGCCCGCAACACGCTCAATGACGGCAACAATGTGGCCGGCATAAAGCGGCTTCTGCTCGTCGTTGATCTCCTCTTCCTCCATGAGGAGCAAGCTCTGACCTTCGACCTCGACATCATCGTTCTTCTTCTGAGTCGGGCGTTGTCTCAAACTGCCACGTCTCCGGATGCCACCATCGGCACCCGTCTCAGGTTGGGTCGTGGCATCGTTGACGGCAATACTACTGCTGCGGTCGGTGTTGTCCTTCCGCTTCTTCTTTTCCTCCTTCTCACGCTTCTGACTCCAGACCTCATCAACATCAAGGAGTTCAACCGCGACGTAGTCGCCCTCGAGAGCACGGTTCCTATCCTTACTTCCGCAAATGAAGATATCGGCATCAAGATCCTGGGTAGTGACGTAGGCATCGCTACGGTTCTTCTTGTTGACACGGAGGATACCGGCAACAAGTTGGCCATCGCTGAGCAAAGCAGGGAGAGTGGCCTGAGGAAGGTAAGGAGTGAAAAGCGTCTTACGCTGCTGCTGCGATTGTTGCTGCTGCATGGACATCTGGGGGGCGTGCTGGCTCCCCTGCAGACCACCCATACCCTGGCCATTCATCTGCGCGGCCTGGAGAGCCTGGAGCTGGGCAAGCTGAAGAGGATTGAGATTCTGACCGAACATCTGGGGCTGCATCAAGAGCTGGCCCTGAGGCAGCTGGAGGAGCTGGGGCTGAGGGTTGTATTGGAAGTTGCCAATCGAGCTGACAGACTGGCTCATGGAAGCGCGCTGGCGGTGGCCAGGCTGGAAAGGAGCGGCACCGGTGGCTTGGTTAAGGCTGAAATTGCCCATATTGCTGTTCTGCTGGTCCTGCTGTTGCTGCTGCTGGTTCTGGGGCTGCCTCCAGTTGCCCTCAAAGTTCCTGGACGACGAGCGGGTGTGGCCAGAGCCACGACGCTGGAAGTCGTTGCTGGCACCGCCATCGGCAGTGGCCTGAGGCGGGGGGAACTGGAAGTTGCCACCACCACGAGGACCACCGCGGCCATTGCCAACAGCCATGCTCTGGCTGCGGCCATGACCCATGGCGCGGCCGGCAGGCTTCGGCGGAGCATCGCCGCTGGCGGGGCTGCCAGAGCGCTCAGTGCCGCTGGCGCCAGCTGCACCAGGAATGGGAAACTGGAAACCAGAAGTCTTCCTCTTCTGTTCTGCCAACTCAGCAGCCTTCTTCGCCTCCGGAAGAGCTAACGAGTGACGACGAGTGTGTCCACCGCCAACGGAACCGCGGGCGCCGCGAGGGTTGACGTTCTCCCGGCCCTGGTTCTGCTGCTGCTGTTGCTGTTGCTGCTGCTGCTGGAACTCGCCGAACCCGGAAGTGCCGGCTGAGGGAGCAGGAGGAGGGCCGCCCATTGTCATGTTCGGCATTGCAGACTGGTTGCGGCGGTGGGCGTTGCCCTGCATGGGCGCGTTCATGGGGACGCCGAGGTGTTGCTGTCCCTGTTGGGGGAATTGGAAGGCATTCGGCTGCTGCATGTTCTGCATCTGGCCCTGCATCTGGAATTGCTGGCCGGCAAGGTGTTGCTGCGGCGGGATCATGCCCATGTTGACATACTGCTGATGCGTAGCGGCAATCTGTTGCTGCTGCTGCTGCAGGGCCTCAATCTGCTGGGCGATAGCAAGTTGTTCCACTGTATGACGCACGATGCCATACGGCGTTAGCCATGTCGAAGGAGTGCCGCACGAGGCGGGCGAGTGGACTGCTACGTAGTAAACCCGGTCCGGGCATGGGGGGCAAAAGGTACGTACTCATGAGGGGCGTCAGCTCAGACGGGCTGCGGCGATGCGCAATGTGCAGGCGGCGACCTGCCGGGCCCATGGGGCCATTGTTTCCCTGGGGGTCCATCTCGCGCACCTACGAGGCGTCGATGCACGCTGTGCTCCGCTAAGATGTCAGGCGGGGTCGACTCGGGAGGGTCGGTGGTCAGGAGTGGGCAGAAGATCTAGGTCGCGGACTGGACCAAGGGCCGTCAGTTGGTTGAGCCGGAGCTAGCGGGAGCAAGCGAAATGGACGGGACTCACGAGCAGCGGTGCTCGCAGCTCTGTTGGGTTGCGAATAAGCAACCGATGATGGGCGTGCTGGCAGGCGCGTGCCCGGGATGGAGCTTGGGCAGAGGATGCGTCGGTTAACGCGCTTGGACGGTGACAGAGAGGGATGCCTTCGTGAGGGTGCCAACAACGGTCGCAAAAACGTCTAAGTGAGCGATGAGGAAGGCGAGTCCGTAAGGATTGGGTTGCAGGCGGGCGAGCTGCCAGTCAGGAGCGGGTGTGTGGCTTCCGCAGCGGGACGGCGGGCGAAAAGTCGACCGCGAGGCAGCGAGGAGAGGGTGCTGCGGGGGTTGCAGAGAGTGTGGAGGGAAGGAGCTGGTGGCGGAAGGAGGGGGATGAAAGGAGGGTGAGGATGGCGAGAAAGGTGCGATGGAAAGCAGCTGTTGAAAGACCGGCTAGGCGAGGCTCCAGGTAAAGCGGCATCCGCTCACGCACGCTTTCAATCGTCACCCGCGATCGCGCGAGTCAGGGCCAAAGCGTTTCACAGCACCTCCAGCAGCAGTATCAGCGAGCGTTTGGCGCCGCGCCGCTCAGCAAAAAGGCCCCGGGCACGCGCGGCGGCGGGCGCTGCTGCTGGGCGCCGCCCCCTCCTGCCAGCGCCGTCCGCAGCGGGCTGGCGGGGAGCTACGCTATCTCCCAGCTCCATATCTGGACCAAGGCCAGAGCCCGGGGATGCAGCAAGCCGCTTGAGCTTTCGGCCCGCCCATAGGTGTCCTTTGTGCTGGCCTGCCCGACCGCAGCAGGGGGCGCTTCGCTGCATGCGGTCCACGCTTTTCGTCAGAGCTAGGAGCTGGAGCCCGGCCGCTCGGACGCGGGCGGCCACGAGTACAGCCGGGAGAATGACGTCTCCAATTGTCTATCCCGTCCCGCTTCGTCACCATGGAAGCCGCCTCCTGGGTGTTGCGTAGAGCGTCTTATCACGCCGCACAAGCCAGAGGGCGACGATATCTATGGAGCCGCCGGACAGGACGCGGGGTGGCGGCGGCAGAGCGCAAGCACGCACGCGCGCACGAGCATGCCTGCTGCAAAATTCTGCAGTCGCTGTGAAGCACAAGCTGCAAGAATAAGCTACAGTCAAACGAACTGCTGGGGGAACATGGCACCCTGGGAGTCACGAGCAGGCTCTGGGACAAATATTACACGAGCCCGAGTAACCGCTCGGTAGATGCGGTACCAGAGCTGTCAAAGCCCGGTGGCCAGTGCTCAACATTACTGCTTATGTAACCCTGAGCCAATGCGCTTCGCGTTTCGCGTTCACCCACGCCCAGGCACATAGCCGTGCTACCCTACGTCGTATCGCACTACCTCCGGCCGTCCAGGTTACGTCCGATGGGCCGGCAGCGCTGACCGCATACGCGCAACATCGCGCTCTCACGTTGGCGCGGAACACGAGCAGCCCAGGCGTCACTGCATGCGAGACGCTACCACCTCACCTCAACTCATCCTGCGCGTCGAAACGCGTCCAATTGCGCCTCTGCCCGCTTCCGACTTCTAAGAGCAGACCGCCGCGCCCTCGCTGCCCATGGATCCCATGGAGCCGCCAGTCCAGAATGGCGACGACTCGTCGCAGCAACTGTTCGAGGAAGCCCGGCGCCGGGTTGACTCGCAGACCCCGAACCATGACAGCCCGTCGCGCCAGCTGCTCATGGAGTTCAGCCGCATGCTGATCGACTCCGACCGCAAATTCCACAGCGAGCTCGACCGCGCTTCCGCCGAACAGGAGAAAAAGCATCTCGAAGCCTTAGCCGCCGCAGCAGCCGAGCACGAACGTGTACGGCAGAGTGCCGAGCGCGTTGCCGAGAAATTCCGCCTCCAGGTAGAGCAGGAGAGACGGAGGAGGGAGGAATACGAACACCGAGAGCTGGAGCGGATACGTCAGGAGAACGCTCGTATTGAGGCTCAGACGCGGCAACGCCAACTTGACGAGGTTAAGAGGAAAGAAGAAGAGCAGCGGAGAGCAGCCGAGGAAGCAAGGGCTCTCGAGGTGGCTGAAGAGCGTCTCCGGAAACAAAAGGCCCAAGAAGAAGCGGACGCAGCAAAGAGGAAGGCTGAGCAGGAAGAGCGGGAGCGGAAAGAAAGGGAGGAGTCAGCCGCGGCCGCAGCCGCGGCGAAGGCCAGAGCAGAAGAAGCTGCCAAAATCCAACAAGCACCAGCTCCGGCTGTGACAAATGGTGCAGCAACAGCAACAGCAGCACGTCCGCCGGCGGGGACTAACTCGGCGTTGGTGTCCCCACTAACAGAGCGTGAAGCGGTTCACAAAGAGTACCTCGAGATCCATCAACGACTGAAGCCCTTACGCGAGAAGTTCAAGCAGGAGTTCAGACGTGATCCTGCCCTGAAAGAATTTTCCAACATTCGCCGTCAAATTCGCCAGAAAATTGGACAACTTGTTCCGGGTGCTAAAGAAAATAAGCAGATGGTGAGTTTTGAGAGTATATTGCACGCAGCGACGATGGCTAACTGAGCGCGCCTTAAGCTTCAAAATATCCGTGACTGCTTCACCCAAGCCGTCAATGCACCCTGCTTCACGATAGACGTCAAGCCATTTCTCGCTTCATCTACACAAGCTCAATTACCACCCGGCCCTTTCCAAATTTCTGCACTCCTCATATGGCTCTTCAATTGCTTCGCAAAAGACATCATCAATCAGCTTTGCACCGAAGCAGGCGTCAAACCTGCGGCCGCTGACCCAATTGGCATTGTGGCGGTCTCGATTCTCGGAAATCCTCAGTACTGCATAAACGGCCAGATTCCGTTCACCGACATCCTGCTGGCAAAATACCACAAGTGCTGCGGCGTGCTGTTTGGCATTTACGGGCCGGAGAAGTCGCAACGAGGCCGCCAACGGCTCGGCTGGAGGCAAATCGGCGGGGAGTGGATCACGGATCAGAGCCATCTCGAGCGCATGACTGGTCTGGGCGCCGGATGGGCCAGTTTGGCACTGCGCAAGATCAAGGTCGGCAGCGCGCTCGTGCACCCGTTGCCCAACGCTCATTATTGGCGAGCCTTCTCGCGTATCGTCAATACCCCGCCGCACGAGGCAACCCCCACGCATTACATGGTGCTCAAGGCCATGCTCGAGGGCGACTCGATCGACCGCTTCATCCAGTGCTACGGCCAGCCCGCTCTCGTCGCGCTACGCAAGGGCCTCATTGAATTCCCTCAAGGCAACCCATCCGTAGCTGCGAAGTCTATGGCAGCTATGGTCGAAACGATCAAGAAGGAGAAGATGCTCACGCTGTAAGCTTTGGTGTCACGATACCCAATGGCAAACGGGGGAAAAATTTAGAGGGAGAACCAGGCTCGGAATCTCGATTCTGGAAGTCCTATGTTCAGATTTCGGACGGAAGGCATGGTTTGGGCGTTTTCGGAGGAACTTTGCATCGTGCTATGTATAAGCGCACGCACCGGCTCTAAGGGATATCAGCATCAATCAACCGAGAGAAACAACAGGCCAGCTCTCTTGCATCGTCGCACGGTGCGTTGCGAGCGCGAGGCTCGAAGATACCACATTAACGGCAAGGCGAATATTGGTACCGTTTTGGGGAATCCTCGCATATGCAGTCAACTCGTCTAGTTAGAATTGCAATTGTAGAACACTGACATCTGCTTGCACATGAATGGGTCAAGCCCTCGCTTCAAACGAGATCCGTGGATATTGAGAAAACTCCTGAAACCACTGTTGTGAAACGCCCTTTTATGCCTCACGCTTCGACTATTCTGTCCATACGCCGGCTCATGCATAATCGTTTGAAGAAAGAGATAGCTTCGCTGCAATCTCTCCAGCGTTCGCGATAATAAGGAGGAAAAACATCATTCCCCCCAAGAATCCACGTGCAGTGGCCTCTTCCCCTTTACCGAGACTTCCTCGCCTTCCTCCTGTCCGCTTCGGCGTTCTTGAACGGCCACCCGCTGGTCCGCTTGTCGGCGCCCGTCTTGCGGCTGATGCGGCCGTCGCTGCTAGCGAATAGGATGCACCACAAGCCCACGGCGGCCAGCGAGGTGCTGCCGGCTACGCCCAAGGAGAACGAGGTCACGTTTGTCTCGGTCCACATCCCGTACATGTAGAAGGCGGCGGCCGCGTGGTACAACGTCGTCACCGTCAGCGTCGGCAGCGCGTACGGCGCCTTTGGGTCGTTGGGATCCGTCGTCGCGCCACCGGCGGCTGGACAATAGCAGTGAAGTCAGTATACGTATGTTTCGCGCGGGTCAATTGGGAGTAGCTTTGTTGCGACGCAAGGGGCCGAGAGGCGTAGGGGAGGCGCTTACGGGAGCTCAGGCGGGAGGACAACGGCACGGAACCGGTGAGGAGAACGGTAAGGATTCCTAGCGTTATGAGCGAGAAGCCCAGCGAGCGCGAAAAGTAGATCTCGAGGGCTGGAGATGCAGGCTGTTAGCGAGATTTGCGCCATGTGTTTTGGAGAGAGAGTCTCACTTGTCGCTTCGCGGACCTGCGGGGAGAGCAAGGCTGCGATCATGGTGGGTGACGCGATCATTGGCGTAGCTTGCAAGGCAAGCCATGCGGCTGTACCAAAGGTGTAGGCGTAGAAGACCTAGACTTTGTCATTAGCATGCAGAACCATGAGCTGCGGAACAGAGCTTCACATACATCCATGGTGGATTTGGAGCAGCTTGAGGTCAATTGGGGGAGAGAAGTGGTGGGCGCAGTGTAGAAGGAGTTTTGATCCGGGTAGTGGAGGGCGGGGGGCGTGAGAGACGGGCTTTTTGTGGCCTGAAAGGGAAGCTAAAGAAGCTGATGTGGTGCCTGGGAATGACACAAATGACGTAAGGCCGGGTAATGCGGGATCCTCACGGCGGGCCGAAGCTTTGCTACACAGACGACAGCCCCTCCTCTCCGCGACCAGCCATGTCGGGAAACTAGCTAAAGCTTGGGGTTGACGCCCACATTCCTCCGCCTGACTTCTCGCCGGGTCATGCGCCAGCCTTCAACTACGCCTTTGCACGTGGCGCGGTCATTCATCTGCGCTTGCCACCGTTACCTACCGTACTGACCACCTTGCGCCTCTCGTTATGCTGCTGTTTTAATTAGGTGATCTTGATACTCTCAAGCCCGCATCGCTGCTCCGGAGACACGAGATATCGTGGGATTCGACGAGACCTTCCGTTACTTTGCCCATTAAAGCTTGTATCGCAACTACATCTTCTCTCTTGACAGCTGTGCGTTCGAATCAATTCAGGAAGCATCGTGCTATTTCCCACAAAGCATGATTGTGCTGGAGAAAAAGAACACATCTCTCCGGCGTCCAGCATGCGGTGGTTGGGTAGGTCTTATCGTGACCATCGGAGGCGTTATCTCGCCTAATCATCTACTGAGCCGAAGCCGGCGTTGTTCTTTACACCACTCTCGACAGCTGCTTACCCGAGATGGCAGGATGTTTTGATAAGGCCGAGCATACCTGCGTACGATAGGTACGGTAAAATGCAACCTCTTGCCGTTCGATCTGCTCCATCCCCGCTCGGAGGATAACTGCTTGAGCCCACCCGGCACCATGAACTGCTCTCCTCCTTCCCTCCATCCCAAACAGCCGCCATGGAAAAGATGGAGAAAGCTTTTGCACCGGTGTATACCGGAAGCAAATCCAACAAAAAGCGGAACGTGGCCGTGGCCGCTTCTCTACTTACTGGAGCTCTTTTGTTCAACCTCCCTTCTCTCGCTCAGGTTTCCCAAGCCATAAGTGGGGGAGCCAACCCTCATGTCAATAAAATCAATTACGACTCTTGGTGCTCAATTCCTGAGCCAGCCGTACCGGCTGATGATGGGCTAGATGCGCCCTCAAAGTTCCTCCAGGACGACTATATCCTGAAGCAGGTGGAGCGCATGACTGCGGCAGTCAAGGTTCCCACCGAAAGCTTCGATGACAACGGCGACGTCGACGTGGACCCCCGTTGGGCTCCGTTCGAGACCCTTCACGCGACACTGAAGGAACTGTTCCCCCTAGTGTATGTTGCCGCAATTGCCATCTTCAAATCGCAAAACCTAACCTAATGCAGCCATGAAAAGATGAACTTGACCAAAGTCAACAAGTTCGGTCTCATATACACGCTTCCCGGTACATCAGAAGACTTGAAGCCTATCCTCCTCGCCGCACACCAAGACGTTGTCCCTGCTACATCGGTCGAGAAATGGACACACCCTCCGTTTGAGGGACACTATGATGGCAAGTGGCTGTGGGGTCGCGGGGCTGTCGACTGCAAGAACAACCTCATTGGCCTATACTCAGTCATGGAAGACCTTTTGGCGCAAAACTTCAGCCCGAAAAGGACCATCGTTTTCGCTTTTGGCTTTGATGAAGAAACAGGCGGAAAGCGTGGCGCGAGGACGCTCGGTGCCGAGCTTGAGAAGCAGTGGGGTCAAGACAACATAGCCATGATCCTCGACGAGGGTGGCATGGGCCTGGACATCCTTGGTGATTATGTTTACGCCATGCCAGGCGTTGCTGAGAAAGGCTACATTGATATCATTCTTACCATCGACGTCGATGGCGGCCACAGCTCGCGCCCCCCGCCCCACACCGGCATTGGCATCATGTCGGAGCTTCTCGTCGAGCTGGAGGCCCATCCTTATACTCCTCGCCTGGAGCATGACAATCCCTTCCGCAACCTGCTCGAATGCCAGGCCAAGTATTCCCCTGATCAGGTCGAGCCGTGGCTGGCACACTCTCTCGCTGACAACGAAGACGAGGGAATTTTGGGAGCACGCCTTGCGGAGAGCCGTGCAGAGGAACGCTTCATCTTTCAGACCTCTCAGGCGGCTGATGTCATCTGGGGCGGCAAGAAGGTCAACGCGCTGCCCGAGAGTGTGCACGCTGAAGTCAATTATCGTGTCTCCGCACATGACGCACCGCTCGAGAATATCAAAAAGAAGGCCGTTGGTCTTTTGCGCCCGATTGCACAGAAACATGGCCTTGCTCTCAACGTTTTCGGGGCCGTCGAAGAGCCGGCCGCTCAGTCTATCGGGAAGCTGACATTTGATTTGGACCAACCTCTTGAGCCGGCGCCAATCAGTTCAACGAGCTTGGACAATCCGGTCTGGAAACTGTTTAGTGGAACGATTCGACAGACCTTTGAGAACATCCCGTCCCTTGAAGGCAGGACTGTAGTACCGGTTGGCGACATCATGACAGTGAGTTTATTCAGAGCTAGCGGGAAGATAGCCTCAGGCAAAATTAAGCTAACACACGTGGGATAGGGTAACACCGATACGCAGCACTACTGGAACCTGACAAAGAACATCTACCGCTACGGTCCTGGTCGTGAAGGCACCAGACTCAATGCTCACACTGTTGATGAGCGTCTGGAGATGCTCTCACATGTGGAGGCTATGGCTTTCTACTATGACCTTATTCGCAACTTTGATCAAGCTAGTGATCTCTGAACAATGCAGACTTCTGGACGAAATGAGGAATTCACACAGAATCAGGCGAATTCTGGGGGGTTTGATGAGGAGAGATGAGTCAAATTGCTCGGAGCAACTGGTGTGGTTGACGAGGCGGGAAATGGAAAGGTACTGTTTGAGATAGCGGAACATATTGAATTTCCGCTGAACTGGCTGGCAAGATTACCCGATGATCTAATGACTCTCTTGCTGTGCCTTTAGTATATCTCCTTGTCGTTTCTTGAGACAGGCTAGGAATTTGATGTCGCCCTAATCGCATCCACAAATATCAAGGCTCACAGGTACTTTATCTCTCTCCTAATAAAGATCTTAAGGCACATAATGTGGTACAGCACTGAACTACCCCAGGCTATGGCGGTAGCATGCGCAGTTTAGATGGCCATTTGGGCACTTTTGTGATAATGATCACCCTAATCTACGTCTAGAATTGTTGCTCTCGTAGGGTGCCCCTCTATGCCCTTGTGCGGGTGTTTTCAATCCCGAACGGATAGCGCTTGCAGAAGTTCTGATTCTTCGAGAAGCATTATCGATGCTCTCAGAAGATGTATTCTCAAGCTACATAATGCTTGATGTAGACGGCCTCGTGGTAACAGCGTTTCATCTGTGTTTGTGAAGCCATCAACTGCGTCACGAGCACTTGGCAAAGGATCGTTCTGGTCCTGTCAAAACTGTGCACGTTCTCGCATTTAGGATGGTGCTTGCTGAAATGGTAGTCAATAGTCCACTTAGAACGGTGCTATCATGATCCGCGTGACCGCCTCATTGATCCAGAGAGGACACATGCGTTCAGTATGGCAGCAAAGTTCCGGGAAATCAGGTATCTGAAAAAGTCTGCAAGGTAATTTTCAACTAGTCAACGAGCCTGTTTTTTGATTTTAAAAAAAAGTTAGAGATGAGAAGTGCAGGAGAAAATCTCCAGTGATGTCCAAGCGTCCACGCGTCCAAGCACGACATGCGCTCTTAGTGCTGCTTAGCGCGGTAAATCATGCTGCCACTAAATGTCGATCTGGCTGGGTGCGCTCATGTGAAGGAAGGACGTCGTGTCGTTGATTTTGTTCTTGTCTTACATTTGGCGGGGAATTTTTTGCTGATCATCAGGGCCTCATCTCACGGCACGCAGTCCCTGCATTTCAGTGGCGGTGCTTGCTTGCTCGTTGGTGGTCTGGTCCCCGTCTCCACATCGCGCTTAGTTGCCGAGCCGAGAGTGAAAAGCGCGGAAGGGGGCGCAGGGCGGCGCCCTCGAATCCGGGCCCGAACGGTCGAGTTCGGAAAAAGTTTACCAGAGCGGGGAATGGTGGATATGAGATCTCTGCGGCTTTTGATTGAAGCAACATCCTGATCGACTGATGATTGGCTTATCTCGCATGGAAGTACGAGCGCGGGAGATGAGAATACGATCCGCGTCTTCAGCGGCCAATCACAATCGCATCGTACCTGAACAAAGTGCCTCCCAAAGAAGAAATTATCAAAGCCCGGTCATTGTTCCTTCATGCTCTCTACACTACCTACACAACACGCCGTTTATTCTCATACGAATCTTGGTGTTGCTTCCCGCTTGAAGCTTGACCTTACTCATCCTCGTCATCGCTCCCAAAGATAGCTTTGAAGACAGCGTCACCGGCCTTCTCTGTTTCCAATGCCTCGTTTCGCTCTACGTCCACCGGGGCATGCACAGGCGCCGCAGCAGGCTGCACGTCCGTTGCACGGGCACCGTCCGATGGCGCCGAATACGGTTGTCTCAAAGCATTCTCGCGCATCATCTCATGTATTGCCGACTGAGACACGACGGTCAGGTCTCGGTTGGGGGTAGCTGCCGATGCCGCATCCCCAGGTGCGTTATTTGGATCGGGCTGGACATTGTCTGGGGGCTTCACGTTGAAGCGTTTGCACACGAGCCGCGTCGGGAAAAACTGTAGGATCTGCCGAGTCATCGGCCCATACATGCCTAGCTTCGCTGCCTCTTCGGCGGGGTCGGCTGGCTTTGGGGCCGGCTTGCTTAGTGGCGTGTCCGGCGTGCTTTCCCCGGAACTTGACGCAGGCGGTTTGGACGCCGATGTGAAGCGGGACGCCATCATGCCAGTCATTGGCCGGAAAACGCGTGCTGCATGGGCGAACTCCTGCAGCTCCCGGACCCAGTCGTCTGTGGAGGCTCCTGGGGCTCGCTCTGGCAGAGTATCCCGCAGCCCTGCCCGCAACTCAAGAAAGCCGCGGTACCTAGCTCTCTTTTTTTCGTCTTCGGAGTACGGCATCCATCCTCCTATTCCTCGGCTCAGGGCACCCTCGGCGATCTCTTTTTCGAGTGGCGGCACAAAACTCCACAGTTGCTTCTGGCGATCAGCTTCGGTCTTGCGGAAGCCTTCTGGAGCTGTTTCACCACGGGCTTCGGGTAGATTCGTCTTGCCACTGGATGCAGCTAGCCGGTCTCGAGCTGCTGGGTTCAGGTAGTCGAAAACTGATTTCCCTGGCAACGCTGATTCCCCAAGCAAAGCCGCGCGGGCTTTTGCATCCAGGGTCGATGATTTAGCGGCATCTGTGACAGATTGAAAGCTCTCTGGAGGCTTGGAATCGCTCCCCGCTCTCTTTGAGCTTGACCATCCCTCCGGGATAATTGGCGGTGCATACTTTGCTCCGTCAGATAACGTCAGAGCTTGTGTGGCAAGGATGAAACCCTCGAGAGGTAGTCTGCCATCATGACATTTCCGGAAGCCCTCTGCCTTCTTGCTCATAGCTTTCTTTGAAATAAAGACGGGCTTGGCGCCGACCAGAGGATTGGCAGAGCTGCTAGCTGGTTTCAGAGCATCCTTTTTCTTCTTGGGCCTTTTGTCACCTCCGATGGTGCGGTTGTAGGATATTTTCGGACCTATCTCATAGGGATCCTCCTCGTCGGAGCCGTTGTCGTTTAAAACACCAACGCCAAAGCCGCCTCGTTTGACTGGCTTCTTGACATTGGGCTTCCGCGATGCACCTAACGGGTCGTCACTATATTCATCGCCATTGGAGTCATTGGCCGACTTTGTCGCTCCTGAGAGACGTGCCTCCCCTTCGTATCCGAGACCCTTATGGTCGTTTTTCCGTACGAAGGTGATCATTCGGGAATTCTCCGGCGCGAACAGGTGCATTTGCTGGTCTGCGTCGCCCTCGTCGTCTGGGTCTAGACGGGCCTTGCGCCGGACCTTTGGACCCACGCCTTGACCGGGTTTCCAGCCCATCTTCTGGAGCAACTTGGAGCCCATTGTCTCGCCGGCTGTCTTGACCATGTCCATGAGAGCATCTCGGCGGACCACATCGTCGCCAGTCGATCCTAGCGCGGAGAACGCGCCGCTGGTCTGCAGCTTCTGCGCCTCAGCTTGGTCCGCCAGGTCTTCCTCGTCCATGAAGTCCTCGGGGCGGCGCTGCTGGGCATTCTTCTGGTCCTTGTGGCGGTTGGACCGCGACGAGACGAACGTCGAGGGAGTCCATCCTTCCTTGGAGCCTACCGTGTTGAAGTACCTTAGCTAGACGTATTATCGTGGTTCTGTCACAGTGAACAAGGCGCGCGGCAGCTTACCCTGCAGAGAAGCCGCCGGTGAAAGCGCCGTGAAAGCGTTTGCGGCCGCGCTCGTCGGTGGCTTCTTGCTTCCAGAGGAGCACGTAGGAGCCGTCGTCGCGGGTGTTTTCATCGAGCGGCGGCAGCGGAGTGCCGACGACGGCGTAGGGCGACTCGTGCTGCTGCAGGTCGGCCTCGAAGGCGGCGCGCGAACGCTTGGTGTACGCCATTTCCGGCGGGAGCTGCAGGGGGGAGTTAGAGGCAGGCACGGGCAGGAACAGCGGCGCAAAGAGTCGGCTGAGGCGTGCGCGTCGGTGCAGGCGGGTGCTTTGAGCTGACTGCCAGGCACTGGTCGCAGTGATGGAGGCTGTCTGCGCGTGCGTCGGGCGGGCCCTCGGGCGCCGATCTTGCGCGGTTCAGGCGTGGGCGACCGGTCGCGATGACATACCGCGCTGGCCAGCTCGTTTCCGCAGGCCAGGGACCCTGTTTCGCTGGCACTTGGCGGGTGTTCGTAGGTGCAACCAGCGGCAGCCTCCAGTGCAGCCCAGTCGCCGGACTCTCCCTCCTTTACCATCCTTCATCGCGCGTCGAGCCGCTCCGTCGCTTGCCCAACCGTCGCAGCACCCGCGCACCCCTCTCAGCAGCCTGCCAATTGCGACTGACCATCTGCGGATCAGCCACGCGCTGCCGCATGACTTCCCACGGCGCTGGGCAGCTCGGGCACTCCACAGACTACGAGTGCTAATCTCCAGCAAACAAACGCGCCCTCAGCTCCCCGCCCGGCTCCTGCGACGCTCGCCTCCTGCCCACCACCTCCAAATCCGTGTAGGCCGGCGCCCTCAGCATCACGCCCAAAGGCGCAGCCCAGCCATCCGCATCCGTTGCGCTACGACGGTCGCGCGCCTAATCCGTCCACCTCGCTGCTCCACTGACCCTCGGGGCCCACGCAACAGCAGCGCCAGCCGCCTGTCACCATCCTCGGCTCTATCCGCTCCCTGCGGTCTCCGATACAATGTCTGCGCCAGCTTCAGCGTCGCCCGCCGTGGTTCACAACCCAGCGGGCGGCCGTCCGCCGCATCGCGCCCAGTCCACCTCCGTCCGCTCGACCGCCCAAGCCCCACCAGCCTCCCCTCACCGCTCGCAGTCGCAGTCGCAGGGCCACAGCCGCTCCAGTTCCGGCCAGCAGGCCCATCTGCAGACGGTAGCAAAGCGGGACTTCGAGGCACAGAATGTTGCCCGCCCTGCCTCCTCCCGCCGAAGCGAGTCTCGGGATCGGGCCTCCCAGACCGGTCAGCGCAGCTCCTCGCGCTCCCGTCACGCCCGCTACACGTCTGACGCGTCGGCCACCGCTGCTCCCACCAATGGCGCTGCTGCCGAGGCCAGCCAACGGCCGCCGCCCGCTGCGAACAATACGTCCGGCAGAAGGAGGACTACAATCACCGCCCAGACGGGGACATGGGCTCTTGGGAAGACCGTTGGCGCTGGTAGCATGGGCAAGGTCAAGCTAGCTAGGAACACTGAGACGGGCGAGCAGGTAAGATGACAACACTTATTTTTGGTGGTGGCTACTAATCTGACACCGCGTCTCAGGTTGCCGTCAAGATAGTGCCCAGACAATCCACCGACGAGCACCGCAGCCAAGCTGACCGCGAGAGAGCGGACCACTCCAAGGAGGTTCGCACTGCCAGAGAAGCGGCTATCATGACCCTTGTCAACCATCCCTACATCTGCGGGATGCGCGACGTGGTCAGGACCCACTACCACTGGTATATGCTCTGCGAATATGTCAATGGTGGCCAGATGTTGGATTACATCATCTCTCACGGGCGGTTGAAGGAGAAGCAGGCCCGCAAATTTGCCCGTCAAATCGCCAGCGCACTCGACTACTGCCACCGCAACAGCATTGTTCACAGAGATCTCAAGATCGAGAATATCCTCATCAGCAAGACCGGCGACATCAAGATCATTGACTTTGGCTTGAGCAACCTCTTCTCTCCCCGTAGTCAGCTCAAGACGTTTTGCGGCAGTCTCTACTTCGCGGCCCCCGAGTTGTTGCAGGCGAAGCAATACACTGGGCCAGAAGTTGATGTCTGGAGTTTTGGTATAGTTCTTTACGTTTTGGTTTGCGGAAAGGTGCCTTTCGATGATCAGAGCATGCCTCAGCTGCACGCAAAGATTAAGAAGGGTCACGTGGAGTATCCGCCATGGCTTACTGCTGGTTCGTCCTGCCTTCTCTGTATATGGCAAATTCGAATACTGATGTTGTGTGCAGAGTGCAAAAACCTAATTTCGCGAATGCTTGTCACCGACCCCAAGCAGCGCGCCAGTCTCAGTGAGATTATGAGCCATCCCTGGATCACCAAGGGCTTCAATTCACCTCCGGAGAACTTTCTGCCCCCCAGAGAGCCGCTACAGCTTCCTCTGGATCCCGAGGTGATCGAGAAGATGACCGGGTTTGATTTCGGTACACCGGAGTATATCACCTCGCAGCTCACCAAGATCATTCAGTCGGAGGAGTACCAAAATGGCTGCCGTCTGGCTGCGCAGCGATCACAGGATAAGACACCGGAAACCGAGCGGAAGCGTGGCGTGTTCGACTTTTACAAGCGGCGGAACTCCATGAGCCGGGATACTTTGACCAATCCGTCCTCCGAAGCGCTGACGGTCGGTAATGACCCCGTCAATGCCTTCAGCCCCCTTATCTCCGTGTATTTCCTTGTGAAGGAAAAGCACGAGAGAGAACGGAAGGAGGAAAATCCTGGAGGTCTCAGCATTCCCAAGGTGCCAGGAGAAAAGCCATTCAAGATGCCGGAGCTGGCTGCTCCGGAAGCAGCATACACGAATGCAAGCTCATACGAGTACGCCGGCGAGAAGCCGACTGGCGGACGCTCCAGGCCTAGAGCCAGGACGCATGGAGAAGATGAGGTGACCGAAGGGCTACAAAAGGTCAACCTTCAGGTGCCTCCTCCTCCGGGCCCCTCGTCCGGCATGCTCACACCGCCCAACGAGCCTGCACCCGTCAAAAAGGAGAGCACTGCTGCAGGGATCCTCCGCCGGTTCAGCACACGGAGACGTCATGACCATGATCGGGACAAGTCGAACCCGCCTCCACCGATACCTCCGGCTATCAACGAACCGACGGGCTCTACCGGCAGTTCTATGCTGAGAAGCTTCAGCGTGCGCAGAGCAAGGGACAGGAGTGCAGATGCCCAGCAACCAACTCGAAAGCCGGACACCACGCCGGAGCAACCTGAGTTGCTGGCTCCGCCTACCCCGGGCACAACGCAATCATCGAAATTGAAGGGACTAGGAAGGTCGGCGAGTGTCAACTCAGCAGAGTTCCGCAGGCGGATGCTGAACAGGCGCGCCGCTGCATCTGAAGGGACCCAGGATCCGCCGCCAACAAGCGGGTCAGACAAATCTAGCGTGAGCGGACAGAGAGCTCTTCCGGTGCCAGACACGGCTTCCGAAGAAGTTGCCCTGGGAGGACAGTCTCATCCGACTTCGCGTGCGAAGTCGCTTGGTCATGCACGCAGAGAGAGCATTCAGGCCCGTCGTGCTCGTCGAGAGCAGACAAGGGAGGGCAACGTGCCAGAAGAAACCGAGCGTGAAGTGGCGGAAGCCAACGATTCTTCTGGAGAGACGCGGAGCCCGGAGACGATTAAGCCCGTGTACCTGAAGGGCTTGTTCAGTGTCTCGACGACGAGCAGCAAGCCGCTTACGGTCATCAGGGCTGACATCATCCGCGTGCTGAAGCAGCTTGGAGTGCAGTACTGGGAGAGTCGCAGCGGCTTCAGTTGTAAGCACAGTCCGAGCATCGATCTCGACAATGCAGAGAGCAACGCGCCTCCCATGAGCCCTAACCAGGCGTCAAACAGCGCGCTCGGGCACAGACGGAAGATTAGTTTCGGATTGAGGGGTTCTGAGCAACGCGAGCGCGACGACTTCCGGGAAGCTCATAGGTCGCCCACGACGCCGAAGTCGGCACGAGCGCCGCGCAGGCCTGACAACAGTTACACCAGCGCGGAAGACTCGGACGACAGCGACGTGGCAGACGCTGAGAGCATGCCCCGCGCGCGCGCAGCTGGCGAGACAACGACTCACGTACAGAACGACATGGGTGGAAGCATGGCACTGAAGTTTGAGATTTCGATTGTCAAGGTGCCGCTCTTGTCGCTCCACGGCATCCAGTTCAAGAAGGTGGATGGTGGCACATGGCAGTACAAGAGTCTGGCACAGAAGATTCTGAACGAGCTGAAGCTCTGAGCAGATGCGGCAGGGCGGTTCCTTTTTCTTTGGTTAGGTCAGACCAAGCAGGGCAATCTTCCTCTGATTTTTCCTTTTTCTCTTCTTGAGTCGTCGACAGTCTTATATAAAGTTGGCTGTGCGCGGGGGTTTAATGGCGGGGACTTTTGTACTCTCGTTCCCACGATTGCGGTTTTTGTTGTTTTGGTATGGCTTAAAACTGGTTGCAGCGGAACTCTTTGTTGAACACGGCGAAAACTGATAACGAGAAGGGTCATTGTCCTGGAGTTCTCTTCGAGTAAATTTGCGTCTAGAGCCAATTAATGCCCCGTCGGACTTAGAGGTAGACAAAGATGGTCCCGTCGATGCAAGCAGGGGTGTGAAGCACGTGCAGCGGTCCAGGCTTTCGCACAGACAGCTGGTGATGCCTGAGGCGTTGAGGCCACGCGCGCGCTGATGCCATGGGCTGGCAGGCTGGGCGCGGGCGCGAGGCTTGGCGGGCGGCCCGCGGCAACTTCACTGCGCATCTTCCGAAGCGGCACTGGGCCTCCATCTCTCACCGACCGACGACGCACAGCGCCTCGCTGCCCACCCCCGCCTCGACAACCACCCGCCCTCCTTCGCACCACCACTGAGCACAACATGCTGGGCCAACACGTCTTTTCGCACCAGTATCAGCACCCGCCGGCCGACTGGCCGCAGTCCCACCATCAGACCCATACCCACCATGCTGCGCAGCAGCACGCCCAGGCGCAAGCCGCCGCCGCCGCCGCTGCCGCTGCTCAGCAGCAGCACTACAATCGCATCGCCGCGAGCAACAACGCCTCGGCCGCCAACATGGGCGGCATTGCCCAGCAACAGCACGACCAGACGCTCGCCGTCGACCAGGGCATGACCGAAGAGAACCGCCGCGTGCTAGAGTGGATCGCCCAGCTCATGAACCCTCAGACCCGCGAGACCGCCCTGCTGGAGCTGAGCAAGAAGCGCGAGCAGGTCCCTGAGCTTGCAATGATCCTGTGGCACTCGTTTGGTACGTCGCGCGTGCATGCGCAGCTCCCCACCCGCTCGCCGATAAGGCTAATGCTGTCGTCCAGGCGTTATGACATCTCTACTCCAGGAGATCATCTCCGTCTATCCTTTGCTCAACCCCTCGCAGCTCACTGCTGCCGCGTCGAACCGCGTCTGCAACGCACTCGCCTTGCTGCAGTGCGTCGCTTCACACACCGAGACTCGCGGCCTCTTCCTGAGCGGTAAGCAAGCCATTGGTACTTTCGCGCGAATGCAATTGACTGATGCATTCGCAGCGCACATCCCTTTGTTCCTATACCCATTCTTGAACACCACCTCCAAATCGCGCCCGTTTGAGTACCTCCGTCTCACCTCCTTGGGTGTCATCGGCGCACTCGTCAAGAACGATTCTTCCGATGTCATCAACTTCCTCCTGACCACCGAGATCATTCCTCTCTGCCTTCGCATAATGGAGACAGGCTCGGAGCTGAGCAAGACGGTCGCCATCTTTATCGTCCAGAAGATCCTTCTTGATGACCTTGGCCTGGCCTACATCTGCCAGACGTACGAGCGTTTCTACGCCGTTGGCACCGTTCTCTCCAACATGGTCAACCAGCTTGTGGAGCAGCAGACTGTTCGCTTGCTCAAGCACGTCGTGCGCTGCTTCCTTAGGTATGTACTTCCCACACAATTTTGGACCATGCAAGCTGACCTGAGCGAAAAGGTTGAGCGACAATGCCCGTGCTCGCGAGGCTCTTCGCCAATGCCTTCCCGAGCCTCTACGTGATGCCACTTTCTCTTCGGTCCTCCGCGACGACGCTGCAACGAAGCGCTGCCTCGCACAACTGCTCATCAACCTCTCGGACAATGTCGTCGATGCCTCGAACAACCAGGGCCTGCTCCACTAGGTCCCATCAACCTCACCTGCGACCTTTCATCATTCTTGTCGCAGCCAAGATTGATTATCCACGAGTCCATTGGAAGTTTTACATAATTCTTCAGGGACTACGAGGCCTATTGGACGACTGTACAGCGACGATGGACGACCTACACGACGGGAACTGAAAATTAGAGCCAAAAACACGAAACTGGTTTGGGGAGTTAATTGCTGACTTAATCATGGGAGGCGTGTTATACAAAAAGGGAAGTAGGAGCCTCCTGCATATACACCGGCGTTGTTGTGGACAGAGAAAAAGCGTCTGGAGTTCTTGCGGAGTCAATCGGAGGGCTCGGCGGGCGAGGCCTCGATCTTCTTATGACTGTCCACGTGGAGGAAGGACGAGCCATGCTGCTCTGTCCTCAGTCCTCGAAATTTTTTTTCCTTCGGCGTCTTCCTTATTCTCCAATTTCCCGGCCTTTGGTATTAACTCCAGGAAAGGTGCGCGGCAGTCTGGCTGGATTCGGATTTTAGGACATGGCTTTGAAGAGTAAGGCCATCAAAAAAAGCGTGACGGAATCAAGGAATCGGGGGTATTTTGGTGGCTGGCGAGCGCGTGCACTACGGTCTATGCGCTCTCTGCGTGTATCATCATCATCGACTTCATCTCTCTCATAGCGAGTTCTTGCATCTGCGATGGAGTTCTTTTTGGAAGTGGTAAATGGAAAGGGGCAAGGAAAGGGCAACGGGCGTTTTATGATGGCAGCATGGAATCCAGTTTTTGATATCTTTCATCCCAACACTATTTCTTTTTTTCCCTATTGAATAGCCCCACTCTTATCCTTTCTTTTCCCCTTTCCCCACTTAACGAGTTGAGAATCTCTTATTTTCTCGTCGGTTAGGCAGACCAGTTCGGTTCATTCTCTCCTCTCCTTTCAGGCTGGAACTATACCCTGGGTTGGTTGCTGTTTATCTGTTCTATTCTTTTTCTATTGTTTATACGTTCTGGAGAAAACACAATTCTAGCCCCTTTGCCCCTCCTCCCATTCCTTTGCTTGCGTTTTTCTGTTGGAGTCGTGTTTTTATGCTGATATCTTAGTTTCCCATTGGCCTCACTTTTTGTATTGGTGTTCGGTACCGATGGCGCTGTGGCCATGTAACTTACACATGGTTATAACATTTATAAATGGTTAAGATCTACTACTCATCGTGCGCATAGCACATTAAGATGCGTTTTGCTTTCTGTGGTGAAGCAGCTTTAAGTGGTCTGGAGTTACGGTGTTTTCGTGCCACAGGTGAGGTGGCGAGGGGAGTGCTTCCGGGTGCGAGATTGGCTGACAGTGCGATTGAATATTTTTTTTGGGGTGATTCGGCCATCTGAATTGCAGGTTCACAATGAAGATGTAGTACTTGCGAATCTGGGAGACTTAGAAAACTACACTACGCTCTGCTCCCATTCTTGTCTTACCTTGTGCAGACCGCGGGGGTGTGATGTCGAACTGCGTAGCCTCTGAAGATGCACTAGCTTCCAAACTTTCCACTTACACTTTCATCTTCTGCAAGCCATTGTACTGTCGTTGTCAATACTTCTCGCTTGTTTTTATGGTGCACCGGGACTTCCGTCGTGATGAATATTTGTGTCGCGGAGAGCGAAGGTGAAAGCTTAGTAGAAGGCCGGGATCACTGCCAGATACAGGCAGAGAGGTGTCCACAGAGGATGTGTATGATACTACTCGGTCCAGGATAAGGGCACTAGGGGCAGCAATTCAGCGGTCTGATGAGCTATATACGATGATAGACGCTTCTATTATAAAAATAAAACACAGGAAATAAAGAGAGCGAAAGGTTAAGGTAGAGAAAAAGTGATGACGGTTGGTGGCATCGGCTGCAATCACAGTGCGCAAAATATACATATTTCAAGTGCGTACATTACTGTTCGATTTTAAAGGGTGTTGGTGAAGAAAACCGCGACAGTGCGCAACATAGACACAACGGGGCAGAAATATTACATGGTTCCAGACACCATTCAAGTAATATGGGTAATATCATAATAGAAAAGCAGTAATTGTAGCGAAGTGAACATATTGCTTTTTGAAAGTTATCAAGTAACAGGGACTGTTACACCTTGAAGTAAGCATCCGGCGAAGCATCGTGGCGCAGAGATGGTTTTAGTTGAGACGGGTGATACTTCGGCAATCTGCAGTTATTCTTAGATATCATTACCCTGTTGAATTCGCGTATATGCGCATCGTAATATTGATCGGTATGCTATCTGAGGCAGTGCACGATCTCTAGTTGATGATGCTTAACACATAGGAACCGCATACACGAAAAAAAGAGATGGAGCGTCGTGGTTGGTCTCTTTCTTCCTTTCTTCTCCTTCCAAATAGAAAAGTATCATGCCACAAAATGGCAGAATCGCGAAAGAGTGTCAACGGGAAAGCCGAAAGACCCCACAATTCGGGACCGAGACATCATTCCCCACATGGCGTGGCCTCCGCTCATCCGCATTTTTGCAGGGACTGGAGTCAGTATTATGCATGCTAGACCCTGACAACGTCAACCCGTCGCGCCGTTGCCGATTGACCCCTCATAGGCAGGGGTTCGGGTAAGGATTAGCACTAGGAGCAGCAACAAAGATGGGCCCGACGGGGATAAGCGACTAAACTAGAAGCCGAAACAGGATCTGTCCATATGCCACATCAGGAAGGCTTGCGAGCCCTGGTCTTGGCCCTCGTTGCCTATGAAGTACCAAGCGCTGGTTACGTGAGATCCAGGTACCAACGAACCAGTGAAAACCGCCAGGTACATACCGAGCACATGGACCGGCCCCCATTCTCTACCTTGCAGTCTGGTGACGAAGAAAGAGGGGCTCCGAGCCCCATCTCTTGGGTGTCGATTGGAATCTGGCAGAATCGCGTGCCCTTGGACGTGGTTCGATATTCCAGAGCGAGCATCTTTGCATATATAAAAGTCGAACGAGATTTCAAGACCAATCCCGCTCTCCCTCGCACTTCAACATTTCCCCTCCAACTCCCCTCCACCGTTTATCTTTTTTTTTCTCTCCCTAGCAGAAACCATGGGATCAATGCCCTCGCCGCAGCCGCTCGTGCTCCCCCCGGGCACCGACGCAGCGCACTTCGACGCCTACATCAAGCGCGCCACCACCATCGTCGGCGCCGAAAACGTAACTGTCATCACAGGCGACAGTGGCAGCAACAACAACGAGCACTCCTCGCTGTCCAAGTCGTCGTACCTCGACCCGGCCAAGGCGCACGACATGTTCCACGTCTTCGACAAGGACTACTTCGTGGCGTCGGTGGTCGTGGCGCCGCGCAAGGTGGCCGAGGTGCAGGCGGTGATGCGGCTGTGCAACGAGTTCGCGATCCCCGTGTGGCCCTTCAGCGCGGGGCGCAACGTCGGGTACGGCGGGGCGGCGCCGCGGGTACCCGGAAGCGTGGGGCTGGACGTGGGCAGGAATATGAACAGGGTGCTGGACGTCGACGTGCGGAATGCGTGCTGCCTGGTCGAGCCCGGCGTGACGTACACGGATCTGTACAACCATCTGGTCGAGAACGGGCTCGATGATAAGCTGTGGGTTGATGTGCCCGACCTGGGGGGCGGGTCGGTGTTGGGGAACTGTATCGAGCGTGGGGTTGGGTATACGCCTTATGGGGACCATTTCATGGTGAGTGATGAGGAGATTGTCGAAGGAAGATGTCTGACCTGTGGCCGTCTAGATGCATTGCGGTATGGAAGTCGTCCTTCCCAACGGAGAACTCATCCGCACGGGCATGGGAGCCATGCCGAACCCAACTTCATCGTCATCAGCTGCTAATGGGGGCACGCCCGACGAGGAGCCCGGCAACCGATGCTGGCAGCTCTTCAACTACGGCTTCGGGCCGTACCACGACGGCATCTTCTCGCAGAGCAACTACGGAGTCGTGGTCAAGATGGGCATGTGGCTGATGCCCAACCCGGGCGGCTACCAGCCGTATCTGATCACCTTCGAGCGGGACGACGACCTGCCCCAGATCGTCGAGATCATCCGCGAGCTCCGCCTCGCCATGGTGCTCCAGAACGTGCCCAGCATCCGGCACATCCTGCTCGACGCAGCGGTGCTCGGCACCAAGAAGTCATACAAGGACGTCGACCGGCCGCTGACCGAAGAAGAGCTCGTCGAGATCCAACACCAGCTCGGCCTCGGGCGCTGGAACTTCTACGGGGCGCTGTACGGGCCGGCCGTGGTGCGCGACGCGCTGTGGCAGGCGGTGAAAGCGAGCTTCGGGCGCATCGCCGGGGCGCGCTTCTTCTGGCCCGAGGAAGGCAAGACGTCGCCGGGGGTGCTGGACATCCGGGCCAAGACGCTGCGCGGGGTGCCGACGGTCGACGAGCTGGCGTGGGTCGACTGGCTGCCCAACGGCGCCCACCTCTTCTTCTCGCCCATCGCCGAGATCACGGGCGAGGCTGCCGGCCTGCAGTACGCCGTCACCCGCCGCCGCGTGCTCGACGCCGGCTTCGACTTCTTCGGCACCTTCACCATCGGCATGCGCGAGATGCACCACATCGTGTGCCTCGTCTTCGACCGCGAGGACCCGGCCCAGCGCGAGCGCGCCCTGCGCCTGATCCGCACCCTGATCGATGACTGCGCGAAGTATGGATGGGGCGAGTATCGCACGCATCTGGCCCTCATGGACCAGATTGCCGATACGTATAGCTGGAACGATCATGCCTTGCTGAAGCTGAGCGAAAGGCTGAAGGATGCTGTTGATCCTAACGGCATTCTCGCGCCTGGAAAGGTAAGTGTGATCTGCCACTGCAGCTAAGAATTTTTTTTGACTGACATGTCCACAGAACGGCGTCTGGCCCAGCAACTACAATAAGGCAGAGTGGAAGTTGACGGCCGAATCGTCGGTGAAGAGAAAGTCATGAGAATCTCGCGTCGTAGGCGTTATAACAGACGCAACTGCCCATTGAGCAGTGGAGCGAGTGTGATTGAAAAGTGTTGTGTGCCACGAAGCGGAAGGCGCTAATCGTGTGCCTTTAAGGCTCGGGCTCAAGCTCGTTTTGTCAGCACAAGCTCTTATCAATAACGAAGTAACGGCAATATAAAGAAAGTCTACAGAATAAATTAGCGTTTTTACTGCCTTGAAGACCTGGGATTCGTCGAATTTCATCCATTAAACGAGTGCTATTGTCTCAGTAAGCGACGCTACCAGAGCGGCAAAGAACGGACGCTTGATGGATAACCCAACAAGCAAAGCTACGGTTCGTTGTGTAGGCACCCCAGAGGTGCCCCTTTATCCGGATCTTAATCCTCCTTCGTCGCCTCCTCAGTCTTCCTCAGCGCTTTGATCAACCCCACGCCCACCTCGGCACTGACGCCATCCTCGATCTGCCGGGTCCAGAACCGGTCGTAGCCCATCAGGAGAACCGACTTCCTGCGCTCCTTCTCCTCGACGGCCAGGCCGGCGTCAGACTTGGACTCCAGCTCGGCGAGGATGCGCTTGCGCCGCGCGTACCGCTGCGCCCGCTCCTTGCGGATCTGGTCGCTGCCGAAGCGCTGCAGCGTGTACGCCACGACGTAGCGGAGGATGAGGTAGATGTGCTCGGTGATGAAGATGGTGATGGGCAGCGCGTACCACGTGCCGCGCCCGGGCAGCCCGCTGAAGGCCGAGGTGTTGCTGCCGAAGAGGTGCACGACGGCGGCCGTCGAGATGGAGCCCAGCCACGTGAGGAAGCCGAGCGAGTCGATCCAGGGGCCGATGCCGTCGGTGCGCACGGGGGCGGGCCGCTGGTGCTCGATGCAGATCTTGAGGAAGTCCGACCGCAGCTCGACCCAGTTGTTGACGAGGAAGCCGATGCTGACGAGCGGCCACACGGGCGAGAAGAGCGCCAGGTACCCGAACTGGATCACCATCTCCGTCAGGTCGTCCTGCACGTTGTACGGCTCCAGCGACGCCTCGTTGCGCGCCCGCTTGAGAAAGTCGGCCTCGTCCGGCTCGTCCTGAACCACCGTGTTGATCGTAGTCGTGTTCGAGTGTTCTGCTCGGTACTCCTTCCACCATCGCGTCGCTTTGTGCCTGAGGTACGGCAGCACAAGCTCCTCGCCGAAATTGGAAATCTGACCCGTGACGGACAACGCAATGACCTCGTTTCTCAACCGGTTGGGGTCACTGTGGAAATTGCTGCCAAGGGAGAAAGGGGCTGCGTCGCCCAAAAACCGCCGGAGGAGGACCTCGAGCTGGGGGATGACCGCGTCGCCGAACGGAACGTAGACGAAGGCGGTGAGGAAAATCGGGAGGTATTCAGTAATGAAGTTGAGAACGAAAATCTTTTGAGTGAGTGACATTTCGTGCCGATCCTGCGTACGATGGTTTTCGTATTCCGTAAGAGTGGTTGCGATTCCTTCGAGGAAAGTGTTGATGAATGGCAGGAGGGCAGCAAGAAGGATAGTGGGTAGGTATTCCTGTAAAACGTTCAGTATTTCCTCGAGAGTATCTCCACAGCGTCCGTCTTACCAGCAAGTCCTTGAACGGCCCTTCGTACGCCTCCGAGATGAGAACCTCCACTGCAAAAACCATGACAACGAAAGCTCCGAGTATAAGGAAAGAGACCAGTATAAATGGTATCTGCAATGTCTGCCGCGTAATTTGCTTCCACTTGGGGAAGTATTGTTTCACTTCGCCCGTAACAGGATCTGTGATGGTCTTTTCGGGTCGGAAGGTTGGACGATTGACCTTCAAGGTTCCGACGCCTCTCACATCCCAGCGAAGGCTCAGATCGATCTGTTGTAGCTTCCAGTACTCCAGAAAGACCGTGCACCACAGACTCGTAGTCAGGGCGTAGAAAAGAGAGTACTGCGGCAGAAACATCCACGCGAGAAATCCAGTAATGGCAGGGAAGAACAGAAACACCAGGTAGTTCTGCAAAAAGGCGAAATAAAAGGCAACCTGAAGAATTGGGCATTAGCCACGCCACAGAATCATGAGAGCATCGAAATACCTTCGATCCAAAGAGGTCTCTGATCTTGTCAAGGTCTTCAACTCGCAGGAAGATCTTCTTGCTCAAATGGAGCAGCAAAGCTTGGTTTGCCCGTACATTATGCAGAGGGAAGACGGATTCCACGTTTTCCCATTTTCCCGACTGGGGGGTGATGCCCGCGCCGCCAAGCTCTTTCTTCCATGTGACCAAGTGGTACATTGAGAGAATGTCTTCCGCTTCGAATTCGCCATCAACGATTGTGTCTTTGCCGCCGCCAGGGTGGTCGCGCGTGATTCCGTAGAGCCAGTCCTTAATCCTACAAATGGTCAGTGTGTTTTAGATTATATGAGCTTGTGGAGTGGAATCCTACCTGGACTTGTACACCTCTCTACCAAGTAGCTCTCGCGGAGCCTTTACGAAGATCAGCAGAGACCGATCATAGCCAGCTCGGACTTCAGTGTGCAGTCCGACCCCCTCCAAATCGGCAAGCAGGGTGCACAGCTCCTCGACAGCAGTAGAATGGTCTATTGAGTTAGCTCATGTTCGCCAGACTGACTGAATTTCTCAACGCACCAACATCAGCAAAGTTGTAGTGTATCACATAGACATTATGACTACTGGTTATTAGCGCACAATACGTGTGAATGGGGTGAGGCGACCCACTATGTGACGCCCCGCTGTGGAGGGGGCGTCGCTGGTTCTTTCAAGCCCATGGCGGGGACCATGATTATAGAAGGGGAGAAAAACAGAAAAGAGTGGACGGCAAGAGCCGATAAGAGAGAAATCAAAGAGTGGACAGGTTTGAACAACGCAGAGTTTGCGATGACGCTGGTAAGATAGCATTCAGTACATATACTCGGAAGTCTCGGGCCGAGCGGCAAGCGCACAGACTACCTCTAGCGTTCAGTAAGCTAGGGAGATGCCCACGAGGCTGCCACAGACACCATGAGGATTGGCTGGAATGCCGAAAAGAGATTGCCAAGAGATGGATCGGCTTCTTTGGTGCGGAGAAGCAACTTGATGGACGCAAATCGGTACGAAATGGACACTCAGACCCTGCAAGTGCCACAAGAGAATCATCAAGCTCAAGTGCCCCTTCCGCAGAGCAAGGTTGTCCTTCATTGTGTGCCCAATTTTAGGTGCATGCTGACGCGGCCCACTTTGCGATGGCCATGCCGACTGTACCGAATTAGGGCCCGACTTTTCGTATTTGCAGCCAACTTGCAGCTACTCTAGATATGTTGCTACCTTAGGACGCCTGGAAGATGTCCCGAGAAGAGGCCGTTTGATGTACTATGTATAATACTAAGAGGGGATGTTGATTTAATGCCATGAACTCAATTGCCCAGTGTTGAGCAAGGAGATTTAAAAACCCCTGGGTGATGGCAACACCTGGCTTCGTCTGCGGAATACTCCTGCAAGTCTCGCAAAAACCGGGTGGTCCCTTGTGGAAGAGAGATCTTTTCTACGCAGTAAGGCTTAGATATACCTAAACATGTTGTTCCGGACACTGCGTTTCATGGCGACTGGCTCGCCGTTCTCATACTCAATTCCAGCTTCGCCTCCGTCGCCGGAAAGGCCGGCCATTCTAGCTTTGAGTTCATCGTCGAGCTGAGCCTGCGTCTTTGGCTTTGCCGCCGTCTCAGATTTACTACCTTGCTGTGCCTGTTATGCGGTTAAAATTTTGACAACAACAACAGCGATTGAGCTCTGGAACTAAAGCTTGAGGACATACGTTCTTGTTTTCGGCCTTGCTCCCCACATCATCTTTTTGCGAATTAGATGATGATGAAACTTGCCGAATGGCAGAGTAGATCGGCAGGAACGACGTTCTTGTGGACAGTCTTGCTACTGACGAAACGTAGATCCATGGTACAGTCATGGTTGATGCTGATGAGAAGGGTGAGCATGCCATGTGAAAGCGGTTGGATATCGCTGGGATGACGCGCAGAGTGACATCACCCTGAGCGAAAGAGAAAGTGCGCGGAGCTCTGGCCTCGAGCCTCAGGCCTCAGCGGCGCGCACGGACCTCAGTCATTCACGTGACGTGAGGCGGCGCCGCAAGTCGCGGTTCGGCGCCATCTCAAAGTTCGAAGCAAGCTGTCGCGGACTAACTTTCGACAACACCTCCACCTACCCGAAGCCGCCAACGCGCGACCGAACGCGTCACCATGCCCGTCGTCAAGGGAGGAGTCTGGACGAATATCGAGGATGAGATTGTCAAGGTCGCCGTCTCCAAGTACGGCCTGAATCAGTGGGCGCGCGTCTCCTCCCTGCTCGCCCGCAAAACACCGAAGCAATGCAAGGCCCGCTGGAGCGAATGGCTGGACCCCAGCATCCGGAAGATCGAATGGTCGAAGGAGGAGGATGAAAAGCTGTTGCACCTCGCCAAGCTGATGCCCACGCAATGGCGTACTATTGCGCCCATCGTCGGTCGGACCGCCACTCAGTGTCTGGAGCGCTACCAGAAGCTTCTTGACGAGGCTGAGGCGAAGGAGAACGATGAGCTCGCCCTGGGTGGGCCCGAGGGAGGAGAGACGGCCGCACCCAGTGCAGACGACGTCAGGAGATTAAGGTAAGTCACATTGCTATGCTATCTCTGGATATAGTGCTGACAGCATCGAGGCCTGGCGAACTCGATCCTGACCCGGAGTCCAAGCCCGCGCGCCCTGATACCATCGACCTCGACGAAGATGAGAAGGAGATGCTCAGCGAGGCGCGTGCACGCCTTGCAAACACGCAGGGTAAAAAGGCAAAGCGCAAGGCCCGTGAACGGCAGCTCGAGGAATCGCGCCGCTTGGCTGTGTTGCAGAAGCGTCGCGAGCTCAAGAATGCCGGCATCAACATCAAGGTTACCACGGTCAAGAAGGGACAGATGGACTACAATGCCGACATTCCGTTCGAGAAGGCCCCGGCACCGGGCTTTTATGATACTAGGGAAGAAGAGGACCGTAACGAGCGGCAAAGGGAAGCTTTCGATCCCAGGAAACAGCAGCTGGCCAACAAACGGAAAGCAGACCAGGCAGATGAGGGCGAGGATAGGAAGAAGAGGAAGAACGATAAGGGAGGCGCAGCAGCAATTTCTGCAGCTGCGCAGAAGGCGGCACAAATGCAGAAGATTAGGGAGGCGGAGCAAAGCAGTAAGCGGAGAGGCCTTGTTCTGCCAGCACCGCAAGTCAGCGAGGGCGAGCTGGAGGAGATTGTGAAGATGGGCATGGTGGGAGAAAGGGCCAGCCAACTTGCGGGCAGCAGCGACAACGAGGCCACGCGCGGTTTGATCAGCAACTACTCGAACATGGTCGGAAGCACTCCGATTCGCACCCCGAGAGCGCCTCAAGAGGAGGATCATATCGCGAACGAGATCCGAAACGCGCGGGCCAGAACGGAGACTCAATCAGCACTTCTGGGAGGAGAAAATACCCCTATGTATGAGGAAGGGACGACGGGTTTTGGAGGTGCTGCTCCGAGCAAGCAAGCTGTGGCTACACCAAACCCCATGGCTACGCCTTTCCGCCAAGGAGGTGTCGGAGCAACGCCTATGCGCCAAGGACCTGGAGCAACCCCCATGCGTACCCCAAGAGATAACTTCAGTCTGAACCGCGAAAACGGCATGCAGCTGGTGGGACAGACCCCGCGCGATATCAGGTTGCGTGAGAAAGCAATGCGGGGCGACATCAAGAGCAAATTTGCAGCATTGCCAAAGCCGAAAGAGACCGAGTGGGAGCTTGAGTTGCCTGAAGAGCAGCAGGAGATAATCAATGCCGAAACATCCGAGGAGGACGCTGCGATCAGAGACCAGAGGAATAAGGAAATTCGGGAGGCCAGAGAACGGATTGAGTTTGCTAGGCAGACGCAAGCTTACCAAAAGGCTCTGCCGCGTCCTACGATTGTGGAGGTGAACGCGATGCTAGAGAAGGCATTGGCAGCTACAGATCCGGCTGAGAAGGCTGTGCTGGAGGAGATGACCATTCTCATTGCAAACGATGCGAAGAGGTTCGGCAAGGCTAAGGTCAGCGGCGCAGTGAAGCCTGTCGAGTCTTTTGAGGATGATGCATTGCAGCGTGCGCGGATGGAGATCGCTCTGGAGCTTTCCTCAGACGAGAGCAAGAAGGATACCGAGGAGTTTGAGAGGGCGTGGGAGCAGCTGCATGGATCTTCGATCCTTCCCGGTCTCGCTGGCTACGGCGAGGATGAGATCGACGAGCAGCAGCTCATGACCGAAGCTTTCGATGTAAGTTCAAGGATGCATGTGACAGCTTGGCTCTGCTCGCTAACGGATTCCCAGAACATCCAAGAGAAAATCATGGCCACCGCCCAGCAGGGTAACAAGATCGAGAAGAAGCTTGGCCTGCACCTTGGCGGGTACCAGCAGCGCGCAAAGACGTTGCGACAGAAAATCGTCGATGCGGCGGAAGCTTACGACAAGACGAGGATGGACCTGGACAGCTTCCGCACGCTGCAGATTTCGGAAGAAGCAGCAATTCCGCGCAGACTGGATGCTCTCAGAGAAGAGGTGGCGTTCGTCAGCCGCAGAGAGAGAGAAGCGCAAGAGGCGTACCGGTCTCTGAAGGAGGAGCTGGATATGTTGGAAGAGGGCGTGAACGGATATCATTAGGTCAGGATACCAAAAGGCGGGTGGTCGCTCATCAGGCATAATTTCAGAAGATTATTCCCATTTGCTGTTTACAAGTGTCAGGCGCGGCTCGGCCAAGACCACAGGTCTCGGCTTTGCCACGGTTGCGGGCGAAAAAAGCACAAGCAAAGCTGGATCGGACTGGGCACAAAGTCTGTCCAGGAAGCCAACCGACAGTGTTGTGCGCGGTCATGCTCCGCCAAGGTCTCAGCGCTCTCGCCAAGGTCAGCCATCACGGCGACGTGGGGGAAGCCAGGGCAGGCGCCCAGAAATAAGGCGTTCTGGTCCCTCAGCCGTGCAAGCACGCGATGCCTTTGTTTCCCTCGGCGAGCCCGACGCCGTTTTGCGCCGGGGATTTCTGTCTCTCAACCGTCGCCGGCCCGTGCGCATATGTAGTAGCGGCTCTCAGGCACGTTGACGTGCACGAGAGTGGGCGGGAGGTCGCGGTGTGGGCCGCCAGACGTGAACGGTCGGCGGGCTATCCCAAAAACCGGGGTCCCCGAAGCCAAGGGTTCGGATCGGAATGGGGCAGAGCCCTCGATAAGGGCAAGGCGCGAACGAATAATCGCTCGCAGCACCGGATTGGTTCCTAGCTCCTGACGAAAGGCTACGCTGATTGAATCAATGGCTGGAGAGGCACCTGGGCTTGGCCCGCCTTTTTTTCTCGCATCTCATCATCTTCTAATTCTTGCCGCAGTAGCACACGCACACCGACGTCGCGGAGATACAGCTTCCCTGCACCTTCTTCGCCGCCGGCGCTGATACATACATAAACATCACCTGCCACCGAGCTTGTACTTCTTTCCTCCGTCCTCTGTGGTCCCATGGCATTCGTGACCGAATTCTTCTCCCTCCTCCTCAAGTCGCTTTACTAGATCATCCGATCCGTCCATAATCTGCGTTTCGCGTTCCTCTTGAAGAGGATGACCTCAACGGGCGTTGAGTTCGCGGCCAAGTCGGCGGCACCGCCGCCGCCATTCGACGATAAGAGGCGCAGCGACCCCGAAAAGCGCGGCTACAATCAAGAGAGCCCTATCGAGTCCGTGTCCATTCGCTCCGGCCAGCAACCCAGCGACCACACGCACCGCAAGCTCAAGCCGCGACACATCCAGCTGATTGGTGGGTGATAGACGACGGCAGGCCCCCGGCGTCCAATGGACCAATTGCTGACCAGCTCCTCCATCTTTCTTGCAGGAATCGGAGGTACGATCGGAACAGCGCTGTACGTCCAGATTGGAAATGGCTTGCTCAATGGAGGGCCGGCGAGTTTGTTCCTGGCGTTCACCATCTGGTAGGTCTTCCTCCAAATTCCCGTCGCGTGGCTGTTGGCTTGTACAGTCCCCTCTCGCAGCCGATGGCTAGCGTGGATTTTCTTTTTTGGTCATGTCATGGGTAGTTGAAGCTACCTACATATGTTATTTTTCTGAGGCAGAGCTGGGGGCATAGTCACGCTATGTTCTAGAGCCCTGCTATTCTTCGCGCTAGCCATCGGCTGTAGCACCCCTCTGTAAGGACAATTGCTTACCTTAGTGTGAAACAGGTGTACGTTCATTCTTGCGGTAACATTATGTACGAAAAGTCTTTCATTTCTCTCACCTGTTTCTCCTGTTTTTCGTCCTTTGCTGTTCTGTGCCCTGCGTTGCTTCGTGCTGCCTCTGGTGAACGTGCACTGCCGAATCGGAGCTCTGCGAAATCCCACACCAACCCTATGCACCTTGTGGCCAGAGCTGCTAGAAAGAGAAGAAAAGAAAAGAAGGAAGGAAGAAAGGAAGAAAGGAAGAAAGAAGTCCCAAAGTTCTGTCGGCTCGCCCATGCGCCAATGCGCCCATGCGCCCCGTCTTCCCCCATCTTCACCCCCAACACAACCCCCAACCCCCACCACTAAAAGGAAACTGATTATTGACACAAATGCGATCAGGTATCGCGGAAATGGTGACATATTTGCCCATTTCCTCGCCCTTTATCCGCTTCGCAGGCCGGTATGTCGATGAGGCATTTGGCTTCGCCGCCGGCTGGAACTTCTTCGTCTTCGAGGCGGCACTCGTGCCTTTCGAAATTGTCGCTTGCAACGTCATCATCCACTACTGGAGCGATGCAGTTCCGGCTGGTGGCATCATTTCCATCGTCATTGTTCTCTATGGGTTAGTTGGATCCAAAGGCTTCTCTGCTGTCCGCTCAGTGCGAGGTGCCGGCACATGAGTCCAGTGCTTACGAGTACCCGCAGCCTTATCAACGTATTAGCCGTCAAATGGTACGGCGAGACGGAGTTCTGGGCCGCGATAGGGAAGGTGCTCCTGATCATTGGCCTCATCTTTTACACGTTCATTACTATGCTTGGTGGCAATCCCCTCGGGGACCGTTTCGGATTCAGGTGAGCAGGACCTCATTATTCAACCAAAGGTTTGGCACTGATGGTTTTATCCTGTGAAGGTACTGGAATAATCCCGGCGCATTTACTGAGCTCTACTATGATGGGACGCTGGGACGCTTCCTCGGGTTCCTGCAATGCTTGATACAGGCATCCTTCACCATTGCTGGGTAAGAACACCGCGATTTGTGTAGCGACTGATCAGCTCACCTCAATTTCCAGTCCGGACTACGTGTCCATGGCCGCCGGCGAAGCTGAGAACCCGCGCAAGGCGATGCCGCGAGCGTACAACGCCGTCTTCTACCGACTGACGGCCTTCTTCGTGCTCGGCTCGCTGTGCGTCGGCATCAACGTGCCGTACAACGACCCGGAGCTGACGGCGGCGTTCAAGGAGAGCAAGCCCGGGGCGGCGGCGTCGCCGTACGTGGTGGCGATGAACCGGCTGCGGATCCGGGTGCTGCCCGACATCGTCAACGCCATGGTGCTGACGGCGGCCTTCAGCGCGGGCAACAGCTACGTCTACTGCGCGTCGCGGTCGCTGTACGGGCTGGCGCTCGAGGGCAAGGCGCCGCGGGCGCTGACCAAGTGCACCAGGAACGGCGTGCCCATCTACTGCGTGCTCATCGTGCTGCTGATCGCGCTGCTGTCGTTCCTGCAGGTGTCGGAGAACGCCGCTGTCGTGCTCAACTGGTTCGTCAGCCTCGTCACGGCCAGCCAGCTCATCAACTTCTCCGTCATGTGCTTCACCTTCTTGCGCTTCAAGGCCGCCCTCGAGGCCCAGGGCATCAGTCGTGACTCCTTGCCGTACAAGGGCATCCTGCAGCCATATGCTGCCTACTACGGCCTCACGGGGTGCTTTGTTATGACCTTCGTTGGCGGCTATACCGTGTTCTTGCCTGGACACTGGGACGTGCCGTCATTCTTGTTCTGGTAAGTGATCAACCGATTGCGATGCAGCTACGTGGGTGCCGGAAGATCTATTGTAAGCCATCGTAACTAATTTCTATCATTACGTGGGTAGCTAAAGCTACCATCCGGACGCAAATGTAGAATTACTAAATATACATCTACGTCCGGATGGTAGCTTCAGCTACCCACGTAATGATAGAAATTACCTAGGATTGCCTAGATCTTTCGACACCCAGCTGCACGGTGCAGTGTTCCTGAAACGCTCCTCGTTTCCCTGTTTTTCCCCCCTCTTTGTAATGGCCAATGAATGTGCGCTGACGTTCCGTTTCGCAGGTACACGATGATCGCCGTGTTCCCGATTCTGTTCGTTTTCTGGAAATTCTTCAAGAAGACGGAATTCCGCAAACCGGAGGACGTGGACCTTTTCCAGGATCTCCCGGAGATTGAGGAGTATCACAGGAACTTTATCGAGACGCCGCCAAAGTATGTCCCGTGCCGTCTGCTAAATTTTCGTAATCTTGTTCTAACGAGGGGTTCTCCTGCAGGAACGCATTCGAGAAGATCCTGAACGTGCTGTTCAGTTAAGGTGTGGCGAGGAGGAGGGGATTTTCGGCTGGAGCGCACGGAGGCGCATTTCGCAAATGCAAGGGAAAAGCAACATGTAACGAGCAATAATTCAATAACTGTCTTCGCGCGATTCGAGGTAAGGGTCTGCAGGTGTCGTGATTAGGCAGGCCCTGGTCTAATGCACGTCATGCTCCCCGCGATACGAGTGGGTTCCTTTTCAGCCAGCCCCGCAGGGCAGAAGAGAGAAAAAGCAAAGAGTCAGCATGCTAGCCCTAGGGTCGCCCCGAGACAAGAACCACTCATCGTAGATCCGGTAGTACCTGCGCACCTTCCTCCTCTCACGTCACCGACCGCGACCCTTTCGCACAGACCCTTTGTTCCTCTCACCTCAGAACCCATCCTTCTGGAACGCAGCGGAGCGCTTTCCCTCCTTCCCCGAGCCCGGCTCTCGGCCTGATTGGGGGAAACGGGCAGCGATCGCCGCCGCAAAACAGGGCAGCCCAAACGGGCTCTGCGCATCGCAGCGCGCAGCAGCCGTGAGAGAAGGAGAGAGAGGGTGCGCCGCTGCGCCTGCTCTCGCTCGCGCGCACTGCGGTGCAGGCACGGCGCGGCGGCGGCGGCGGCAGGAGGGGGGCGGCGGCGAGGCGTCGTCGGTCGAGGAGGGCATATGCCCGTTTGGGCCATGGCACGTCTGCCCTCTGCTGCGCCGCAATTCACCGGGGATGCGGGAAGGGTCCAATGGCAAATGCAAGGCGGCTGCTAAGGACAAAAGTAGGACACAGGAGACTCCATCTTCGAACGTCTTCGGGGCAGCGCAGCGAGGGTTCCGGACGGTACGGATTGCTTCGCGCATGGCCCGCCCGCCGGCGCTTGGTGGATGGGTGGGTAGTCGGGGGTGGTGGCCCGGTCGGCCGGTGCTCCCCGATTGAATGCACAGGAGCACGCCCCTCCAGCCCGCCAATGCCTTGCCTGCGCCAGCTGGAGAGCGGCAGACGGGGAAGTCGGGACGGAGGCGAAGTGCGAGCCATGTGCTCTGGAACACACGCACACACCCGAGCTGCAGGGAAGGGCGAGGCGGGCTCCTTCGCTCCATGTGACGTTATTGCGCATGCTGCACCTCTGCTGCCAACCCTCGCCCGCTGCGCCGCATCCGCCCCCTGATCTCTTTCTTGCACTCCTTTTCGCCCTCGACTCCCGGAGCATGTTCCGCCGAGCCTTGAAGATCCGCTGCGCGTCCATGTAGCACTTTCCTCCTGGAGTCCTTGCCTTCTGCAGCGACCCGGCCAGCCCTTGTCCCCCACTCAAATCTCCGGCTCCCCATAGTGCACCAAACAGGCATTCCGCACCAGCGACAAGGATGGCGTTGCGGGCGTGGCGCGCGGGTGATCATGCGAGCCACGCCGCACGAGGGCAACCGCTTGGGATAGGCAGTGCATCCCTGTGTAAAAAGGTACAGATCCGCATGTCGTCGCGATAGAGCATATGCTTGCTTTTTCGTCGCCAACCCGCCTTGCTGGGCCCGACCCGGTCCTGTGTCTGCGGCGCCACCATAACTCTCTTTGGTCTTCGTGCTGCACGCTTGCTCTTATCTTGATGGAAAGTAGGAGGCGCTGATGGGCCTGGGAATCCACGACATGCACCGCCACTTTGCCTTCTCCACGACTGTTTGTGCCAAGAGAGCCCTATTTTCTTCCTGTGTACCAAATTATTACACATGGAGTCTGGAACAGCCACTGCTTGGATATTTATGGAATGGTCAAAGTACCTGTCTTGACCGTTTGGCGCAGAGCTGAAAGCGTCGAGGCTTCACATGCGAAATCATTGGGAAATAAAAGCCACTGTTATTCTCCAGGCTAACACAGCCTCCAGGTTGGCGTAGATGCCATGCGCATCTGGTACATCTGCTCCGGGGCTGAGAGGCAGACCGCTGGACATCGCTAAATGACTCTTGAAGTGGACGCAGTTGCCGTTGACGATCCAGCATTGCTTACTGGACAAAGTTTGGCCAGATAAGGTGAGAGCAGAGGTTGGTATGCAGCTTCTGTTTCTAGCGACGTGAGCTGCCATCGTTGTCCATGTTCTCGCACTGCAAATGGAGCAGCACCTAGAACAACAGCGCGGTGGACATCTTCAGCAGCGTCAGCTACATTCATATGCGGCAAATAAATCATCGTCATCTTTCAGAAGTAATGCAGAAGTAGCACCATGGTTGGCCCCAAGGGTGAGACCCTTCAAGTTGACGCCAGATCACCCGCACCCCGTTCAATCACCTAGCTATGAGTATATAAAGCCTCCCCAGATCTTCTTACCGCCCCCATCACCCTTTGCTCACCAAACCTTACCTCTACCCGCACCCGCGACCATGCCTCCTCCTCCCTCGTCGCCCTCCGGTGCGTTCCTAAAGCCCTTTCCCTCGATTGCAAAAGCTACCTGGATGTCCAGACTCAGGTTACGAGACCGGCGGCAACAATGCCGAAGAGGACGATGAATACGACTTCTACGCCCACAACCGCCCGCCCTCGCCCGTCACCCCGCCGCTGTTCCCTTCGCCTCCGCGCCAGAAGCAGCTGCGTCTAGCCCGCAAGCAACAGGAGGCCGCCTCTGCCGCCGCCGCCGCTGCGGCCGAACAACTGCGCAACAAGCACTTCCTCGACAAGCTGAAGGAGCTCCAGCAAGAACGCGCCAACGCCGACGACAACGACGACGACGAGAACTTCGACGGCGCCGCCGACGGCCGCCAGCTTCACCCTCGCACCCTGTCCATGGAATCCGCGTCCTCGGCTTCCTTCGACATCATCCCCGACGACGAGGCCGCCGCCGTCCGCCGGCAGGAGAAGGCGGCGCTCGACAAGAAACACGACGAAGAGTACTTCAAGCGCGTCACGGACCAATCCGTCAGCGGCTTCGGCGTGCACGCCGTGCAGGAGGGCCTGAAGGATCTGAAGATGCGGACCGAGCCCGTCGCGAAGCGCATCGAGGAGAGCCGCTGGATGAAGAAGACGGTGGGCACGCCCGAGGAGCTGGGATGTCCGTGCTGGAACTACCCGGACGAGGGATGGAGGTTCTGCCCGTTCCACGAGCCGGAGGCGCAGGATGGTGGTGTGGGCAAGAGTGCCGGAGACGTGGGCTTTGTGGATGAGGGAGTCGTGGAGGACGAAGACGATAAGCTGGGCGAGTGACGGCCTCTGGCTCTGACGGTGCACTAGTGCCAAGGCTCGGGCGATGCTGATGGTATTCGAGCACGACTTCAAAGGCGCAAAGTGAGATCGGCCTGGCCTGGGCAAAAAAAAAAAAAGGTGTTGTTCAATGACAGTTCAGGGACGACAAAGAAATGACGGCGGTACTTTCTTCAGACATAATGCATTGTCTTCTGCATTCCGGCGGGAACATCATCTCGAAGGCTCGTAGCAGGGCACTTCACTAGTACAGACACTTTTTAGTGTTTCTGTACCTGGCTTCACTGCTTTAGTTTCCCACGGGAATTTGCCAGTTTTTCTTTAGAAATGGAGGTTCTCTCTCTTTTTCTTTTCATGTTTTGTAACGGTCTCTCGTGTTCGGATACACCATGGCCCCTCTACTTCCGTCCACGTTCTCGGTCTCGGATTCCACTCGAGCGGGAGCACGAACCAATGCCGGCTACGTCATGTTTTCAATACGTTTCGCCAACGAATGACTTGGACGCTGTCCAGTTGACAGTGGTGGAATATCGCAACAAGGGCGTTGAGGATGCCGTCTCCCAGACCATTGGAGCCCAGAGGAGCTGGGTTTGCCACTTTTGCTGAGTCTCCTGTGGATTATACAAGAGCTTTACCAGCAACCACCCCTCGGCTCGTACCTGCTTCTTATCTGTAACGAACACCATATTTGGTATTCTGAGATAGCGGTTTTAAACAGTCTGACGAACTTCGATACTGTGGCCTTTCCTCCTTGGTTGATGCCCGGAAGAAGCGTCATGTATGGGAACGTGCTCTATCCGAGCCAACAGGCGTATGGGTCCCCGCAAGAGGGGTATGTGATGTTGTTTCAGTTTTCTCTTTTATTCCATGGATTAAGCGCCCAATGCGCTTATCTAGCATTCTGCTTCGTTCATTATAGAGGGTCTGGTTTGCTTCCCACTGCTGATCCGACGTTTTGGCAGTGCGTGGCAATGCGTTGTGCTTCTTAAGACAGTTCAGTATACAGAAAAAGGTAGTTGTTCTCGAGAATCTCTGACCGCTGTTCCGGGACTTTCCATGTTTTCTTGACCACGATTATAACACGTGCGTGACACGTCATTTGAGTGGAACCTTCACCGTGGGCTTACAAGAACAACGAAATGTTTCCGAGGCTCGCAACTACACCGAAAAGGCATGTCGAGGCCCATCAGGGCATGAAACAGCCGGGGCGGCCACGTTGTCGCCCTACGCTATCTACATTCAGTGATAAAGGAAGCCCACACTGCATTACAGAGCAACACTGCCAACCCAAAGCTGGATCTTTGAATTCGACACCAACTTCAATTCCTCAAACATGTTCTTTTCCCTTCCTCAATTCCCTGCATCAAGCGTCGGCGGTGCCGCAACAGCTCCAGCAGCAGGTTCCTGCGACTACGTCCTCGGCAGCACCGCGCACAAACTCGCAAAAGACTGCAAGCGCATCATCATGCCATCAATACGGGACCGGATCCCTACTCGCCTCCGGCTGCAGCGCCGTTCGGAGAAACGAGCCGCGCACCAGCACACCCACCACCACTTGCTGGACCCCGCCACAGCGCAGCCCGTGGCGACAAGTGAAGACTACGAGAACCTCCGCACGAGACTGGCGTTCAAGAAGGATGCCGGCGACAGGAGATGGATGTCGATGGAGAGAGTGGCCATGCAGGGAGAGTGCGAGGACGGCCAGGACTCATGCCGGGAAGCAGGGGAAATGCTTGCCATGGGCAGAGGGCCGTGGAGGTTTGCGCAGAGAAGTGCGGTGCGGGTCGGCGAGGAGCGCGAGGAAGATGCCAATTGGGGTGCGGACGTCGAGGGGTGGGAGATCGTGGATGTTCGGGAGGCGCGGAGAGAGATGCCGTCGGAGGCGGAGGTTGTGGCAGGGAGACGGCCTTGGGCGGACATGAAGAAGAAAGTGGTGGGGAGAGGTGGGAAGAAGGCGAGGGCGGTTTGGGTGTGATGGGCGGCGAAACACTTGAGATACCACGGATTTCACTTTCAATTTTGGGATACTGTCGCTTACGAAAGAGAGAGCATAAGCAAGGAGCACTACTCATTTCATTTTCAAACTCTAGATACCACCATTAACTGTCGCTTACGAAAGGGAGAGCATAAGTCAGGAACACTACTCATTTCATTTTCAAACTCTAGATACCACCATCATGAACTATCAATGATACAATCATCACCATCATCGCCATCATCGTCATGATCATAATCGTCATCAATGCCTTTTAACTCAACCGCGCGCGACCAATCTCGAAAGTATCAGTTTAAGAGAGAATTGGCTCGCAAGAACATACCAGCAGGGGAAATGTAGACCTACTCGAGCTCCGGCATGGGCTGGTGAGGGTTGAAGAAGCTCGTGTCCTTTGGATCACAGGTCCAAGTAGACGAGAGCGCCGGAACGATCGCAATGTTGACGACCAGGAAATTGTCCTGCTTCTTGTAGAACAAGCGAGTGAGAGGCTCGGTGATGCCCTCCTGCCACTTCAAGTCCGGGTGGTCAATCATGCCGTCGCACACGGGGCAAGTCAGATAGACCGAGTGCACCCCGTCATCGCTCCGAGGAGAGGCGTTCATCTCGGTCTCGAACCAGAAGGCAATGCAGTCGCCGTGAATAACACAGCCGCAGGGTAGCTGGAATGGCAGTTCCTCGCCGTGCGGCTCATGATCGCCGTGCAGAAGCGGCATGTGGCAGTGGCCACAGAAAGCATCGTTCGGGGTCATTCCACGAGGCTCTCCAGGGAACCTGAGAGTGATATTTTCAGCGTCGCGGTTTCCGTAGATGGCTAGAACGCCAGCCAACTCGTCGAAGTTGGTTGACATCTCGTTTTCCGTAAGTGTTGGTTTGGGAATCTGAGAAAGTTGCTGTGCAAGTTGTGTGCAAGTTGTGTGCAAGTTGTGTGCAAGTTGCTCTGAGGACGCAACTCGATCTCTCGTTTTTAGTTTATTAAAAAGTACGGAGGCTCAGTTCTTAAATACACCGTGTTCCTCGACGCTGTTGTATCACAGAGACATTGTTCTCTACAGATGAGATCACTATTCCTAAACGTGTTAAAGAACAAAGGGGATACTCAAGGTACGTAGCGATACTGTCAAGTCACAACAAAGCCATTGTTCGGCAGAAGCTATCATAAGTATTATGTACATCCAGTACCAACTGGAGAGATCAGAACACGCCATGCTTTCTTCGGTTTTGAGCAAGCTTCCTGGTCGCCTGTCTTCAGCAGTCAATATGGCTGAGAACACTACCACTCACGCACGAGGCTCGAGCGGCCAAAATGCTGACAGCGAACTCTTCGTCATCATCGAAGAAGATGAATTCATGTCCGAGGAGCATTCACACACCCAACAAGAAACAGCGTCATTGGACTCGACGGAGGAAGTCACCGCTGAAGAGGCCAATGCTGCAGCAAGGCAAGCTATTGATGATGAGTACGCACGTGTCGTTGCTATCGCAGCCGCTCGGGGGTCCGATCATTCAGCTTTGTCAGTGTTGAAAGACGTTACGCTCAAGACGGCCAAACATATTGGCAAGTGGCTGCACCCTTCCAGGATCCCGAGCCCGGAGGAGGCTCGGTGTCCTTGCTTCAATGACCCGACTGACGGTTTCTATGCTTGCGAAATCCAGGAGCACGTCGCCGCTGGCTTCAAGAGACTGCGCGAAAAGAACAAGCGGAACAACTGAACCGCTGATTGCGAGATTGATGTTCCCACTGGCTCCCATGTATTTGATATATTTGATTTTTTTTCTAAGCTATAATAGTGTTGTCCACTGTGATACTTGCCTACGCATTTTACATTACTTTTAAACGCTTGAACGCTTTTGAACTAACGTAAGCCGTCCACTCCAAATTCCTAACGCGTTTCACATTGGCCGTGGCAGAGCGGAGAGTCTTCCTTCACAAGCGATAGAATCAACACTGCTCATTGGTGCCCAGCCTCTTGCTTTTTCCTCCACTCGTTCAAGGCAGCCTCAAAGCCTCGCCCCTCATCTCCACACCTCTCACCCACTAGACTCCATGTTCTAGTCCTGATGATATTCTCCACCATCCGCTCGTTTCGAATCACGTTCGCCAGCATCTCTGTCCGCAGCTCTTTGGGAAAATAGCGAGCGCTGTATGGATCTAGTCGCTCGTCCACAATGCGCTCGCGGACCTTGGCATCGTCCACTTCGCGAAGGATAGACACGGGGTCATCAGGATCCGGCGATGTGGCGACGCTTGCGCAGTAGCTCAGAACATCAGAGCGCATCTGCCATGATGGGAAGAGCACTTTGTCCTTGAAGTAGTTGCAGCTGGACGCGGGAATCTGGCGGCGCGTCCCGGGTGGTAGTGTCGAACGAGTGCTCGTCGAAGAGGGGTCGAAGCCAGCAGAGGCGGGGGTAAGGAGTGAGTTTAGGTTTTGGGTAATGGAATCGTCTATCGTGGCACGAGACAGGCGGAGGAAATCTAGTCTCAGGCAACAATGAGCAATGTCCTTAATTAGGATGGAGAATCTTAAGAAACATTTTAATATGTGAAGGATAGGGGTAAGTGTGCTCTATCATACCTCGCAGGGCGGTCTGATTGAAGCAGAACTGTGGCGTCAGCTCAGGACGATCGTATGGCTTTGACATTGTGCTGTCTGCGGCAGGCGGCTGCCGCACGGTCTTCTCCTCCGCTGCTCCGGCGGGGGGCTTTTTCCAGATAAGGCCGGCCGTGGTGGGCAAATATGGATGCAGTGGGGCTCAGGACTCAGAATTGGTACTTGAGAAGTTCGCAGACGAAGGCGGATTGGAGATGGCGAAGCTCAGTCGATGCGCCGCATGGATTGGCGGTGCACGGGCCACGGGCCAGTGCATTTCGTCATGACGCGCTACGCCAGGCAGCGGCGCACGCGCAGACGCGTCGCAGCGCGACTCCGGGCGGCTGCCTTTTCTGTTGCACCACCTCCGCTGCAGCCTGACGTGCCATGCCACTATTCCCCAAGGCCAATTCCCACTCCTGTCTGCTACTGCGCCGCTGCCTAGCCGCTTCGTTGTCGCCCGCCGTATATATACGGCCCATCTCTGTCTTGTACTCTTCCAATTCCCCGCAGCTGCTCACGAGAGCCGCACTGTACTCCACCATGGCCCCGAAGCAGGCCACCTTGGGGTATGTCAAGCCCAAGCAGATGACTCTGGGGTGCGCGATCCCGCCACCCCTAACGTTGTTCTTCCACCCCCGATCAATTGCTGATTCTGGTGCAGCAAGTTCTTTGGAAAGCCAAGCGGAGACGGCCCGCCTCCCCAGCAGACGAAGTTGTCCTTCTCAACCAAAGCGAATGCTGCGTCGACGAAATCAAAGACGGAGGAGAAGAAGAAGGACGATACTGTAAAAAAGGAGAACGATGTCGAAGAACACAAGGACAGTCGTGGTGCGCCTGTAAAAGATGAGGATGTGGAGATGGAGGATGAGGTCAAGCCGGAAGAGGATGCTGCAGCAACCGACTCAGACAGTGCTCGTGAGTTCTTCCCCCTTCGCCGTCAACTTGCCACCCAAACTCTTCAACCACTTCCAACATTGTCGCCATGGATGTGATTCGCCAACTCGATCAGCTGCGCCAATTCGTCGACCATCCAGCATTTGAGGTCGCCGGTCGTGCGGCCTACCATCCTGGTTGCGATGAAATCTCAAAAGCATCGTTCATAATCCGTCACTCACTCGGTGCAACAAAAGGGTACTCTGGTTTCGGGGCACTGACGTGGACAGATTCGAAGAAGCGAGCACGCGAAGAAAGCGAAGAGGAAGACGACGAGCCTGTCCCCAACAAGCGCAATGCAAAGAAGGCGCGCCAGTCGCGGAAGTCGTCTTCGTCTTCGGATGCACCGTCTAAGCCGCAGAAGAAGATCACCAAGACGAAGGTGAAGCGCGAAGAGGCCGATGAGGAAGCGAATGAACAGCCACCTTCCCCGAAGAAGACCAAGGCCAAATCGAAGAAGGAAGGGTCCAAGGTTAACAACGAGGACGTCGAGACAAAGTCGACCAAGCGGGCAGCGTCACCGCCGAAGGCTACAACCAAGGGCGTTGAAGCTGATGCGTCTTCTGCTGAGTCCGAGAAGGAGGATGAAGAAGTTGTTTCTTCTGAGGATGAAACCCCCGCAGCTGCCTCCAAGGCTGCTAAGGCTAGAGAAAAGGTCCAGTCTACCCTGAAGAGCATTGACGAAGAGCTATATCCAGACTGGAAGGCAGGAGAACCAGTGCCGTATGCTGCACTCTGCGCCGCTTTCTCGAAAATTGAGATGACAACCAAGCGTTTGGAAATCTCAGCATACTGCGCCAAGTTCTTCCGCCAGGTGCTACGACTGACACCCGAGGACCTGCTTCCGACAGTGCTGCTCATGGTCAACAAGCTTGCAGCCGATTACGCTGGCATCGAGCTCGGCATCGGAGAATCACTTATCATGAAGTCTATCGGCGAGACAACTGGTCGAAGTCTGGCCGTCATTAAAGCAGATCAGAAAGAAATCGGTGATCTTGGCCTGGTCGCAGCCAAAAGCAGGTCCAATCAACCCACCATGTTCAAGCCGAAGCCTCTGACTGTACGTGGTGTCCACAAAGGTCTGATGGATATTGCAACGATAGAAGGTCAAGGCTCCCAGGGTCGCAAGGTTGCTGGCATCAAGAAGCTTCTATCTGCATCTGACGCTCATCTTACTGGAAAGGGCAAGGGTGTCGACATTTACAAGGATAAGGGCGGTGCGAGCGAGGCTAAGTTCATCGTGAGAATGCTCGAAGGCAAGCTGCGGTTGGGTCTGGCGGACAAGTCCGTCCTGGTGTCGTTGGCACATGCCATGGTCGCCTATGAATTAGACCCCAGCGGCAAGAAGATCCCCAACACTGAGCAGCTGACCAAGGGAGAGAGAACCCTGAAGTCGGTTTACAGGTCAGTCGTCCATTGTTCCTACCTACGTCTTGATCTAACTGTATCGTAGTGAGTTGCCGAGTTACGAGGTCATTATCCCCGCCATGCTCGAGCACGGTCTTTCCAGTTTGAGGGAGCACTGCAAGCTTCAGCCGGGCGTGCCGCTCAAGCCTATGCTTGCCAAACCAACCAAATCGATCACTGAGGTCTTGGATAGGTTCGAAGGCAAGCACTTTACGTGCGAATACAAATACGACGGCGAACGCGCTCAAATCCACTTTGTCTCGCACGACGCAGCCCAAGAGTACGCAACGGAAGCTCCGAGCGCAGGAAAGACGGACAAGGGAGTCTCGAACATTTTCTCGCGCAACTCGGAAGACCTTTCCAAGAAGTATCCGGACATCCTCGAGAAGCTACCGTCATGGGTCAAGGAGGGGACGAAGAGCTTTGTCCTTGACTGTGAGACTGTTGCGTGGGATGTCGATGAGAAGAAGGTCCTGCCGTTCCAAACGCTGATGACGCGAAAGAGGAAGGACGTCAAGGTCGAGGACGTCAAGGTCAAGGTCTGTGTCTTCGCATTCGACCTCCTCTACCTCAACGGAGAAGCCCTCGTCAATAAGCCTTTCCGTGAGCGTCGTGACCTCCTGCACGCATCGTTCGCTCCTGTCGAGGGCGAGTTTACATTCGCTCAGTTCGGCGACACCAATGAGCTCGACGAGATCCAGGATCTCCTTGACAAGTCCGTGAAGGCGTCTTGCGAAGGGCTGATGGTTAAGATGCTCGATGGACCTGAGAGTAGCTACGAGCCCTCGAAGCGCTCTCAGAACTGGCTCAAAGTCAAGAAAGACTACCTCTCAGGCGTGGGCGACAGTCTTGATCTGGTGGTGCTTGGAGCTTACTACGGCAAGGGCAAGCGCACTTCTGTCTACGGCGCCTTCCTGCTTGCGTGCTACAACTCGTCTAACGATACGTACGAAACCGTCTGCAACATAGGTACTGGATTCTCGGATGAAGTTTTAGCAAACCTTCACGCGCAGCTGTCCCCGATCGTTATTGACCGCCCAAAGCCGTTTTACTCGCACTCGCAGGGCAACAAGGATCAGCCGGATGTGTGGTTCGAGCCGAAGTTTGTCTGGGAGGTGAAGACGGCTGATCTTACCCTCAGCCCCAGGTATATGGCGGCTATGGATGTGCTGGGTGTCGGCAAGGGTGTCAGTCTGCGGTTCCCGCGGTTCATCCACCAACGCGATGATAAGAAGGCCGATCAAGCAACCAGTGCAAGGCAGGTTGCGGAGATGTACAGGAAGCAGGAGGCAGTAACGAAGAACAAGGGCCCTAGTGTTGACGATGACTTTGAGTACTGAGTTTAGCAGTGGCTTACTTTTGCTTTTCTCGGTCCTGTTCTCGAAGTTTTTAAGGTTAGGGATGGCCCAGTCGCTCTCGCACGCTCTCCAGCACAACTGAAAGGGAAAAAAGGTCGCGGACTAATCAAGGCATCGCTGGGATCAAACAAAGTTACGCTCGGAGCTACCTCGTGAAATGCAGGCATAGCAGGGTCAAGAAACAGGAACTAAAGGATGCATGTTTTGATAGGCTTAATATCTCGTAAATGTCCCTGGAACCTGGGCGGTACGTGCTTTCCTGATAGTCTAGTGTCAACGGTTGTGAGACTGACAACGTGGGATAGCCTGCTGATGTTCCGGAGCCCGGAAAACCACATGCTTCCTAAAATTACCGACGTAGCATAGGGATTTGGGGGCGATTCCGACCAGTCGCAAATGGAAATATGATTCTTGTGTTACGGTGAGCCACGGCATACGTAATCCTTACGATTTGCCAGTGCATTGATCCACACGCCGCAATGGAGCATCAACAATGATGCTCGCATGTCGTTATGGGCTGCTGCAGGTCATGTCGCGCCTGCCCAATTTGTGCGGACAAGCATGAAGAAAACTATGCTATTGGCGGAGCGATCGAGTGAGAAGAAAGAGAAGGAACTACAACCTTCGATATGGCTTTGAATCTCGGGTTCCGATAGGCTCAACGCTCCGCATGGTCATAAGCAAGATACGACATGGAGATAATTCGCTCACAGTATTTATCCAACACTCAGGACAGCAGCTGGCAACGATCATTCTTCAAAACACTTTCCACGAACCCTCCTCCATACCTCGACAGACCCCCGAAAAACTTCGGCAACGACGACGACGACGACGAATGGACCTCACCCGACCCCCTTGCGCCCGCTACCTCACGGCCTCGTCGCAGCCGGCCAACAAGGCGCTGCGCACGACGGGCGAGACGGACGCGGTGTGGACGCACTCGCTGCCGTACGCGGCGTACCCGGACTTTTTCGGCCGACTCAGCCCCCCTAAGGATGACGACGACGTTGCCGTCATCGAGGCGGACGTGTGCGTCGTCGGGGCGGGCATGGCGGGCGTGTCGGCGGCGTACGAGCTCGTGCACCGCGGGCACGACGTGGTACTGGTCGAGGCGCGCGACGTGGCGGCGGGCGAGACGGGCCGCTCGAGCGGGCACCTGACCTGCGTGCTGGATGGCGGCGGGATGTTGGACGACGGGAGGAAGCATGAGGGCGCGCGCGCGGCGGCCCTGGTCGAGAGCCGCGCGTGGGCAGTGCGGCGGGTCGGCGAGGTAGCGGGCACGCTGGGAATCGACTGCGAGTACAGGCGGCTGCCTGCTTACGTGGTTTCGCAGTACGCGCGGGGCGAGGAGGGGTATGAGGGGGAGGTGGAGGGCTTGAAGGAGGAGGTGCGGAAGGCGAGGGCGCTCATGGGCTTGGAGGCGGCGTACTGGGACGATGGGCTTGCGGTCAGGGGCTGGGACGGCGCCGCCGTGGACCAGCGCGGCGCGGCGGTGTTTGGCGGCCAGGCGGCTTTCCATCCCACCAAGTACGTCGTCGGTTTGCTGGGGTGGCTGAGGAGGCAGTCGAACTTTCGCTGCTACACGGGCGCGCGGGTGACGTCGATTGAGGAGAGCGACGGCGAGGTCCTCGGCGGCATGAGCCACAAGACTGTCCAGGTTTCGACGCTGGATGGCCCGATTGTCAGGTGTGGGTATGCCGTTGAGGCGACGGCTGTGCCGCTGCAAAACCTGAGCATTGTTGCCGAGATGGAGTACTACCGGACGTACTGCATCGCCATTCGCGTGCCGAAAGGCCTGCTGGAAGACTGCCTCCTGTATGACCGGGCGGATGCATACAAGTATGTGAGACTCACACCTTGCGATGAGTTGGAAGACTACGCCGTCGTGGGCGGCTGCGACCACAAAGTGGGCCAGGAGGAGACGGAGGGCCGCTTCCAGGAGCTGGAGCAGTGGTTCCGCGAGCGCTTCACCAAGGCCGGCGCCGTCGACTACAGTTGGAGTGGCCAGATCTGGGAGCCGGCCGATCATGTGGGCTTCATCGGCAAGAACCCGCACCAGAAGCGTACCTTCGTCGTCACCGGCCACAGCGGCGACGGCCTGACTCACAGCGTGCTCGCAGGCCGTCTTATCGCCGACGAAATCGATGGAAAGTTCAACCCTTGGGCTAAGCTGTACGACCCTTCGCGCATCGTCAGCGCAGCGAAGGCCGTGCCGGATCATATGCTGGCGGACGGCGTCCAAAGCAATGTGCAGTACAAACGCTTCCCGCAGTCGGACATCAACGACATCGACGATCTCGGCAAGGGCGAGGGTGGTGTGCTGGATTCCAAGACTTCGAAGCCCATGGCCGTTTACAAGGACGAGAAGGGTCAAGTCCGCCGCTTCAGCGCGCTATGCCCGCGTTCGAGCGGCGTCGTATGCTGGAACCGCACCGAGAAGAGCTGGGATTGCCCGGTGCACGGTTGTAGGTTCAGCAAGGAGGGTATCTGCCTCAATGGCCCGGCTACGATGGGGTTGAGTCCGGAAGATGGCTTTAGTGAGACGCTGCAGCAGGAGACTGTGAAAGCCTGAAGCTGGACTGACGTCTTACAAGGGAGGGCATGTTTTTCTTTCGGGTTCATATCTTCCCCTCCTTCCTTCAGCAGACGGCCTATATTATTTTTACTATCCTTGAACTTTCAGTTATGTTTTTACTTGGCCTATTCATGCATTTTCAGTATGGAGCAGCCTAGAAGTTTTACCCGCAAGATGACGAAACCTTGTCTCTTTGAAGCAGCGATTCATTCGTAAGTATTGCCGACATCTGCATTCGCATCCATTGAACAAGCTCTACCTTTGGGGAAGATGTTGACCACGCTTAGATGTTGAATTTAACCTCCAGATGATGTGTAACTTAGTCGTCACTAAGAACAGATACCTTGTCAACGCCTTTAAGGCCTTCTATATGGTCATTAAAACACGTTAGCGGGTTCTGTTCCTATCTTATTTGGCCCGTATTGGTATATACGGCTGCAGATCCGATGGCGCCATCGGTTCACCGCCGACACATATCCCGACCTATGATGAAAAGTACCCCGCACCCACCACACCACTTGTAGATTTTACATCCGACCCGACACCACGGAAGGCAAGATGCGGGGCGGTCGGATCTTGGCGTAGTTGAAAAATTGCCGACGTCGCTGGTTTAAAAGGAGGCCTTCACCGAGGTTTAGGACCATCAGCTCGGCGTTGATCTGAAATTCTCCGGGCCAAAAAAAAAAAACAATGCGGACTTCATTGAAGGGCCAGGCGATATGGCTATCTGCCTTGCTTGTGGGCTCGGCAACAGCTCAAGCGCCCAATAACGAACCAGACTATTCCATTGATCATCCATACACAGAGCCGGCAAAGCCCAATGGATTGGCAATTGAGAAGCCGAATTTCATACTCTTCATGCCGGATCAGCTACGGTACGACTCGGTTGGGATTTTCGGAAACGACGTGAGTATCCTTAGCATTGGGGGAGAAAGTGATTGTTTACTGACGAGGAAGCAGCTGGTCAACACGCCGAACATCGATGCATTCGCCAGGGAGGGAACTCGCTTCACCAACACTTATACACAAGCCTCGGTATGCTCGCAATCTCGCTGCAGCATCTTCACCGGCCAATATCCTCACGTGAGCGGCCACCGCACGCTGGAGAACCTGCTCAAGCCGTGGGAGCCAAACTTGTTCAAGTCGTTGAAGGAAAGCGGCTACCACGTGGCCTACCTCTCCCCACGAGGCGACTTCTACGCCGCGAATGCCACGGAGCTGAGCGTGAACGAGTACGGCTTCCTCACCAGCCAGACGCTGCCCGAGTTCTCGTCGCCGCCGTACCAGTCGGACAAGGACGACATCCTGAACCGCGTCTTCTACAAGGGCGAGAGGAACGCCACGCAAGCGCTCGACTACGACGAGGTCATGGTCCGCGGCGCCCTGCAGTGGCTCGAGCGGCCGCCGCAGGACAAGCCTTGGGTGCTCTTCCTGCCGCTGCTCTTCCCGCACTGCCCCTTCACCGTCGAGGAGCCGTACTTTTCCATGTACGACCGCAGCGAGATGCCTCTTCCCATCGAGCGTGATGAAATGGTATGGCTCACCCCTTATCCCAGCATGCATACACTTGCTAACTGCGCACCCACAGAGCGGCTACCAGCCCCGCTTCATCGACACGATCAACAAAGCCTACGGGCTCGACCGCGCGACGCCCGAGCTGTGGCGCGAGGTCAAGGCGACGTACTACGGCATGATCTCGCGGCTGGACGAGCAGTTCGGGCGCGTCGTCAACGCGACCAAGCAACACGGGCTGTGGAACTCGACCGTGACCATGTTCTTCACCGACCACGGCGAGTTCCTGGGCGACTACGGGCTGATCGAGAAGTGGCCGTCGGGCCTGAACGAGCAGCTGACGCACGAGCCGCTGGTCATCGGCGGCGCGGGGCTGCCGCAGGGCAGCGTCTACGAGGAGATGGCCGAGATGGTCGACCTGGTGCCGACCATGCTGCAGCTGGCCAGCGTGGGCGAGAGCTACATGCACTTTGGCAAGTCGCTCGTCGACGCCATTCATGCTGCTGGCCGCGGCGAGGTGCTGCCGCATAAGGAGCACGCCTACACCGAGGGCGGGTTTTTGCTGAACGAGGAGCCGCTGCTCGAGCAGGGACCTTTCCCGTACGATATCAAGAGCGCCCTGCAGCACAATGACACGGCCCTCGTCGGCAAGTCGGTCGCCATCCGCGACAAGGAGTGGACCTACGTCTACAGGCTGTACGAGGCTGACGAGCTGTACTTCCGCCGCAACGACACGTACGAGCTGAACAACTTGGCCGCCGAACCGGAGTATCAGCACATCCGTGCCAAGATGCGCGAGACGGTGCTGAAGTGGATGATGGAGACGTCGGATGTGATTCCGTGGTACAAGGACCAGAGAGCCCCTGATGTGGATTTGCCCAGTCCGTATGAGCAGTATTTGGGCAGAGGCGAGGGGGAGCTATGAAAAGACAGGCTTGCCAAAGGGGAAAGAAGTAGCGTCTCGTAGTACTCTGCATATAGTCGAAAAAGATCTGATATCAATCATCAGATACCATTCCCACAATTGCTTCAACTGCCCATAACAAATTTGACAAAGGAAAACAACTTCATGCTAGCCTTCGGCTGCAGTTCCTTTGACCCAAAGTCAAAAAGAAGGATCGCCCTAACTTTGACAATGCTTAGCGACTTGAAAAAAGCATCGTTGTGTTGCACGCCACCGGCTGGACTTGATGCGGGGTCCCTATATTCGCTTCGCAGGGGAACACGTCAGCCTGCAGAATCCTGCGTTGCATAGCGCCTGCATAGCGAATAAGAAAATACTGAGGAAGCCGTAGCTTTGCGCAACAATGTAAGCGAAGGCGGAGGAGGACTTTGGTAAGGCGAAGGTGAAGCAACACATTCGGAGTATAACTCGGCCCTAAACGTATGTAGTACGGCATAAGCAGATGTCTTAAAGATGTTGTAGTCAGCTTCCTCTCTCACTACCTTCACCCACAGATGATTCGCAGGACGGCTTAAAGATCTGCAGCGGGAGTAAGCGCTACCTGATGGGCAATGAACAACACGTTGTGAGTGGCTGGTGCCTCTGCTTAGAGATCAAAGCAAGATTGAAATAGGAATTGGCGTTGCAGCAGCTGAACTGGTGATCTGCAAGAGAGCTGAAAAGGTCTGGTCACCAGGCAGAAAAGATGATTATTTGTGACTGTTAGTCCCTATGACATAGTACAAGGAAATCGGCGATTTGGTTTCACTATACGCGCAAGGCTATAGCATGATTGCCCCACCATTATCTATCTCAAACATACTTCTGTTTGTCCTCTTCACGATACTTCAAAAACCATGGAGTTTCGAGAGTTCGACGGAGATGGTCAACCTTATCCGTCCGGAATCTTACATTTCATGCCGGAACAGTTCATCGGCATCGTTCCATACCACACCAGCTTGAACTACGACTGGATCAGAGGGAATGCTCTTACTGGAGAAAACCAGAACTTCACCACTCAATGGGTCGAGTGCTTCTACCCGGTGTCGGGAACGTACGCCGCAACACCTCGTTTGATCTACTACGTCTTCATTCTGGCAGCACTGTTGCTCGAATATTTACGGACCAGGATCAAGATAGGGTTTATTTGGTTTCAAGAAGCCATTGTCGGGGTCATCATGGCTTACAGCTCGACCACGGCAATTCACGCCCTTGTCCTGGTGTCGGCATGGAAACGCATGGCGCCTGACGGATTCTTCGACTCGGACAAGCACGAAATCGTCCAGGTCGAGGGCAACTGGACCGGGACATACGAAACCGCTACAGGGCTCACATACAACAGAAGCAACGTCCTGCAAAACGGAACAAGGGTGCTCAACGACCACCTCTGGATGCCCCTGATCCCGATGGTGCGCGACCATGACGCCGATCCCGTCCTTGCCGTCGTCGGCTCAGCATTCCTGCTATACCCGACACTGCACATGTGGCTCGGAACGATGCGCGGAAAGAAGATCCGAATGCTGAGGTACATATGGTGGGCCTTCCTCTTCATCGGCACCATCGCCGCCCTTATCTACGAAGAACGCACGCTCTTCTGGTACATGTGGCAGCTGCGTTTCTGCCCCAACATACCGCAACAGGACTACCTCCCGCTCGTGAACAGCTTCCAGGGAGCCTACAGCAAGTTCAGCGGCCACTGGACCCCGCGCAACCGGTACAGATGGAACAGAATCGTGGCCGACAAGTTTGTCTTCAAGAACTCGACCATCCACTTCCCGCAGACCTGTCTGTATCCGTGCTTCGAGATCGACTCGTGGCCCTATAGAGACCCTTCCGACATCTTCGTGCGCACCCGCCACGGCGCGGTCCGAAATGTCCGGGGCACGGGAAACACCTTCCTGGCCCTGTACATACTGGTCTTTTTCTCTTCCTTGTCGGGCCTGGCCCTGATCGTCCTGTCGAGTTGGCTGAACATCCGGACAGATGGCGAGGAGAAAGTCAAGTACTTTAAGCAACTAATCAAGTACTTCTGGAAGGTCGGGTTGAAGCCGGCGCCGGATGACGAGAAGGATTGTAAGAGAGAGCTGAACCAGGCTGAGGAGAACAGTCAGAAGCCACGATTCGCAACACGCCTTGTGCGGCGAGGCCTCGTACTGTTGTTGGTGTTCGTCGGTGTTTTCACCACCTTTCTGAGCCCGCTGGTATGCGTTTATTTTGTAGGTTATTTCGAGTGGAAGATATTCTCTACGGACGGAGCTGGGAAAGAGACCATGCGGCATATTGGCCAGTGGGGGTTTCTCGTAAGCACGCTGTTGGGAATCATTGCTGCCGGACTGATTGAAGGAGGGGAAAAGATCTCGAATTGGATGGACGGGAAGGAGAAGGGAGCAAAGCTTTGGATTGGTGGTTTGTTGAGGCGCCGTGACGCGGGTGGCGGAGCTGATCCATCATCGGAGGTTAACCAAGGACAGAGCTAGAGAGTGAAAGCAATACTGAAGCTGGGAGAAGACCTTACCGCGCAAGTCCATCAACAGTCAATCTCATGGAAACCTTCACTGTTCCGGGACCCGAGTGCTATGTGTCTCGTCATGGGCTCAAGCAGTGAGCATTACGATTACTTCCACGCGTTCTGGGCCCGTCTGGAGGTTTCTCATATGCTTTGCGACAATTGCCCAGCCTCCGATGCCACGTAAAGGTGAAGTGACGTTTCGGAATCTTCGGAGGTAGCGGTTTATTGAGCGTAAGTCCAGAAGAGCATGAGATCAAGAAGCGTGATCCGGGCAGGGATAGGGCAAGCCTCAGTCTAAGTGCGACTCCATCTAGACCAAGCCATCATCCTTCAGCCTTCGTCACCACTACGCCCGTCATCTTGCTACCTAGTCTCCATCTTTAGATCCAATATGCGACAGTATGCAACACGTTCCTTTGTGCCGCAAGCGCCTTGGCGACGAGAGATCCAGTAAGTGTGTAATGCGCAAATAAGTTATTTGCTTGTCTCACATGCACCATGGCTTGGAGCATCTGCCTATTATTTGCCCTTACTCGATGTTTGTGCTGATCTCTGTTTGGTGCGGTTTCCGACCCCAAATGCCCGATTCGTACACCAGGGCGGCCTCGGAGACACTCATTGGTGCAACGATGCATGCTGTGGCTGACATGCATGCAACGCGAAATGCGCAGCTGCGTTATCCAGCCTTGAGAAGTCCACGATAGCGCCCGAGTAACAGCCTTGCAACGGATACGCCAAGCTACAAGCTTTCTCCCGTTCTTCAATTGTCTCGGTCATCGTGCACGAACACTCAGCTTCGCGGGTCTACTTTAGGTTGGTACTTTACTTAGACCGCCATTAAAAACGAGCTCAATCATGCCCATTCCCGATGGATCGAGCCACGCGCACGGCCGAAGTGCATGTCGTCCGAAGATCAAGGGTCCTGTCATTCTGTCCGACAATGACACGGGCCATGGACTTGGTACTGACAGTGCTGAAGCCATGCATTCCTTCAAATCGAATCGAGAACTCTCACCTTCACAAATACCTGACCTTGGATATGGGATGCTGCCTGCGTGGGGTCCTGGTGACGTGTAAGTCACTCGCCGAGCCAGTTCATGTGGCCATAAGATAACGTATGCAGAGAGTATTCGTTTGCGCATATGGCCGCACTTGCAAAGCGATCCGAGTATATGGTCCTCAAGATGCCTTTATGTGGGTGGTGCTAATCCCAATTTTCAGTGATCGAGACTCGGATTCGGCCTACCATTCTCCTCCCCCAGCTCCAGGATCACAAACTCCGAGACCATTTGGAAGAATTGGGGGAACAATGTCAGGGAGTGATGACGGAAGTCAGTGTGAGACGAGAGGAGCATCTCCGGTTTCAGAAGCCGTCTTGCTCACACGATCGAATACACAAACCACAGGTGAGATAAATCGACATTATGTTGGTCTTGTCATTGATACGAATCATGACAGCTTTCACACCCGAGGACCGCTCCTCGCCATTCACACCTTCTTTTTACTCGCAAGACCATCGACTACTCACACAGCCTTTGAATACCTGCCATGTCCTGGATGCTTGTGCGACATGGGCAACACCGCTGCAACTTTCAGAAATATCAGGCATTTCTCAATTGCCTTGGCCAACTATAAGCATGGCTGATTGGCAGAACTTCACCTGTAATCATCAAGCAACAGTAAGTCATTCTGCTTATCAGAAATGTGGTCAAAACTTTCTCGGTACTCACATTCCCCAAAAGCCCGACATGTACTTTGGCGGCTCGGAACGTCATATATATGACACCACACAGGCTCCCATTCATCAGGCTGTGGGAATGTGTAGAGACTCTTCGAGAGCATCTACCATTCCCCAATTGGGTGAGACAAATGCTTCTTATGTCGTTCAAACCTCTGTCAAAGATGCAAGCTCAAACAACCAACTCGAAAGCGGCTCAGAGGATGTTACGATCAGTGGCAACACCGAGCATTCAGTAGCAGCGGATATTATAGAGAGAACAGGCAAGTTATAGGACCCCATAACGTATTGTTATTTGACTACTTTCCCGGCAAGCTGACAATAACACAGAAAACTGTGTGGGGACCGATCGGGGGAGCTTTGACTGCCACTCCGTATCGAGCGAGTCTGAATTCTCGAGTGATGAATCCTACGTGGATTCACCAGATGAAGCTGCTGCATCTCCGAGCAGTGCACAGGAAGACATGCTCCAGACTCTGTTGGAGGAACGGAAAAAAAAAGTTGTCGATCAAGTGATGGAACACTTCTGGGATCTTTTCAAAAAGCTCGAGCTGGAATGTCCTCGTAGCCCATCAACATTGTCTGACGGCTATGACGACGACGACGACGACGACGATGCTGATAGCACTGCCAGCTCCGCTTCGGAGATATCGGAGGCCTTGGACTTCATTGAGTCAGGCCCTCAGGGTAATGAGTCCTTTCGAGAATGGGATATGAGGCGATGCGGGCACGAAACAGTCCCCGCAGACTCCGGAGAGGGTTCCGGACAAGCTGGAGAATCCAGTTCAAACAATACTGGGGGTTCCTTCAGTTCTTCATCCTCATCATTGCAAGGAAAACGAAAGGCAGATGACGTTGAACCTCCAGGTGGTCAAGGAAGTGATGGAAGCAAGAAGCAGAAACCCGATCCATCCGGAGACTTGGGCTCCCCGAGCCAGAACGGCAGGAATAGGAAGCTGGGTTGCCCTTACTATAAGCGTCAGATCATGAGAGGCGAAAGGGAGCCGCCCAGGAGCACTTCCTGCGTGATTCCAGGGTTCTCTTCAATCTCACGCATGAAGTAAGTTCATGCCTTTAAGTTTCACAAATGCGCGCCACTGACAGAGACAGGGAACATCTCTATCGACTTCACAAAAGACCAATCCACTGTCCCCGATGTTTCTACAAGTTTCCCTCCGATCAGCAGCTAAGAGGACATCTCAACGCGGATGTCATATGTGAGCGAGTGTCAAATCCGCCCATTATGGGTGGGTTCGACCAGGAACAAGAAGTAAAGCTAAAGAGCAAGGCGAGAAGCAGAGGAATCGTAGATTTGGAGCAAAAGTGGAGGGCCGTATACAAGATCTTGTTTCCCGGTGATCCGGAAGCGGCTTACCCAAATCCTTGTAAGAACTATCCTATTTTGATTCATAAAAATCATCAGCTGACAGTAGAAGATTGCGAATATGAGCAAGGAGATGCACCAAGCACCCCGAACTCAGAGGAACTTGCCCAATTCGACGCCTATAGCCAGCAAGTATTGCCGGGGCTTGTCAGAGAGCGGCTTGAAACAGCTGTCAATCGAGACAATGGGGTTCTTCAAGAAAATTTGATGAGCAATCTTGTTGACGTCATTAGAGATTGTCAGAGAGTTATTTCTGCAACGTTTCGGCAGGGTGCAGGGACTCCAGCCCAGACTCATGAAGTCGATTATCGCCGGATCCAGCAGCCATCTCGAGCTACTATTGGACATGCGACTGCTCTCAGAGAGAATGACATAGTCCCCGAAGTCGTACAAGCTCCTACGCCGATTGCCGATGAAGGGACCAGAAATCTACCCACGATTGAGGAGACAAGATTGTCACGGGGCTCTGCCGAATCACCAAAGCCTGAGACCGACTCCGGATATGGGCCATCTATCCATTACGGTCAGCGGGTTCTGACCAGAGAAGCATCTGGACCCTCTCAACGCACTCCACGTAACAACATCCGTCTGCAACGGCCCCACAACTTCATGGTCCCAGCTCATTATCCGAACATGGATCAAATGAACCAGCAATCTTATGGTCCTTTTGCACAAGTTTCGCAAGAACAGACCCCTCAACGCCCGAACACCTCGACGGTGGCCTCAATTTTTACCCCTGAACCACGATACGACTCATTTGACAACATTCAACTCGATTGCTGGAGCTCAAGTGACCACTTGCCACACACAAACTTCTACCCGCCTTCTTATAGTGCCCCGAGTGATATGACTTGGTCCACATCAACGCCCCACTCCACTTTCGATTTTACTCCTAGCATACGCTTTTCAGTCCCTTTTCAGCCTCAAGTCAATGCTGAACAGAACACTGACACGCCTTTCTCTGAGGGCTCATCAATTCCTTATCAGGATCAATATGACGGAAGGAGTTGAGCACAGCCATCGATGTGAAGTCAGCTCATTAACCAAGCCGATTCTCTCGAGTCATTTCTCAACATTGCTCGCATTGTTCCCATTGTCATCGGCCATTCAAGCTTCGCCATAAAAGAAAGAGGAAAAGAAGAAGAAGGAAAAAAAAATACGCGCAGGAGTTTGGTTGTTGTTTTCAGGCCGGTTTGCATTTCACCATTTGCGTTTCTGGCTGATGTTTCCACTTCATCAGACTAACACATGGTTCTTATTTCCGTCCTTCAGTATATCGTGCAAGCAACCTCTCTTTGCGATTGCTGTTCCTTGCATCATCCCAATAGTTAGAATGAACGTCTTCAGAACGGAACGTCATTTAAGTATAGTTAAAATTGTTGTTGCCAACGCCGCCTCTTAACACACTGCAATTATCTAATATTTCACCTTATGCCACTCATGTTGAATTAAGCTAATCAAAAAAGAAAGTTGCTATTTCGTTAATTTCATAAATCGCAATGTAAATGTGGTCTTTAAGTTCACGTTAGTTTATGCTGGATTCTACCGCAACTCCGTTGTGACTGATTAAATTGACGGACTACAGGAAAGTTACTGTGCACACACAAGATACGAACTCATTTCTCTTAGCATTGCAACAGAGTCTGTCTGGGTAGCAAAAATTCATGTTCGGCTGCATCTACTCATATTCATGTCGGGATGGGCGATTTAACTGCGCGTTATCTGTTCCAATACTCAGGGAACCAACCTTGCGTATAACCAGCCTGGTTTCGCTACGAAATCGCTCTCGCTCATAACAACACTATTCTACAGCCCTCCAACAAGATTTCCTGCTCCGTTGGTGTTCCCCACAACCTTCTCAGGTCCGAAATGCAAAAAAGACCGAGGTAGAACCTCAAAACAGCAAAAATGCGTCGGCCGGGAATCGAACCCGGGGCTGATCGAAACTGAGAGTTGAGCAACTACTTGGCAACGATCAATTTTACCACTAAACCACCAACGCTGGTATCCATTTTACTGGTTGTTGAAGTATTAGAGCGACTAGATAACTTATATTCAAAGAAATCTGAGAAACGGGTGCTCAGGAGGCACAAACAAACATTGCGGGCTTCCCTGTTTTTATTTCGCAAATCCTTATTGTAAGAATGCCCAAGCAGCATGGAATTCGCATATACCAAAGTTGTACGACGATTCATTAATTGGTTGTTGAGATACACGTGGTTGACACACGGAGGTAACCATTTTCGGCTAATGGGCCATGCCACACAACAAAATATGCAGAACCAGGCATGCCCTGATGCCAATAAATCTGTGCTAGATTTTACTGTAGCCGTGCAAAGACTGAGTGTGATGCTGAAGAGTAAGAAGGATTCTAGAAAGATAAATTGCTGTCCAGTGCCTGAAGCTTTGGATCTTTCGTTGCCTATCGGAAAACATTTAATGATCTAGGGAATCATAGAGTCAGTCCCTTGCACAGATGCTCCAAGCTTGGCACTAGAAGCTGACGTCGAGGCAGTGGTGTTGGTGTTGGGGGCAGTGTTACCGCAACACCGGGCGCTGACACCGCTAACGGTCACCGTCTTGTGGCGCAGCACGCAAGTCGCTATAACATATACAAAGGATGCCTCTCCAACCAACTCAAATTGCAACACCACACACATCACCTCTAGGCCTCGGCCGTACTCTCGTTAACCCACCAACAAACATATCTCCTTCAAATAAATAAACGAAGGAGGAAAAAAAAATGCCACTCCTCGACCTCCCCCCCGAACTCCTCAACCTCATCATCTCGCACCTCGCCTTCCCGGACACAAACCACCTCCGCGGCAGCTGCCACGCCTTCGCATCCATCATCCCGGCGCAAGACCTACCGAACTGGGAAGCACTCGTGGAAGCGGAGGAAGGAGCGTGGGCGCGCAAGCGCAACCGGCTCGCGTGCGTCTACTGCGCGCGGCTGCTGCCGGCGACGCGCTTCACGGACGCGGAGAAGAGCCGGAGCAGGGTGTGGCGCGCGTGTGCGGAGTGCAGTCGGGCGTCGCTGGAGGAGTTGAATCCGGGGTCGACGTGGACGTGGCCGAATTATGCCGGCGCGGCGGCGGGGTGCATGAGGCGTAGGACGGCGTTCTCGAGGGAGAGGAGGGTGGAGGTTGGGAGGGAGAGGGGTGTTTGTGGGTGCTGTGGGAATGCGTTTGAGCGGTGGGGCAGGATGACTGCGGACAGGGCCGTTTGTCGGGGCTGTGAGGGGGATTTGTGGGAGAGGAGGGCGGGCGAGCTGGCGGAAACGGATGCGCTGTGGAGGAATTTGTTGGGTGGTGATAAGAAGGAGGTTGCGAGGCGGGTATACTGGGACTTTGAGTGGGAATTGCAGGAGGCGAGGCTGGGGTTCGTGGATTGGGACTGGGGTTACGGATACTGTCACTGTTGCCTGGATGATGAGCCCTTTCGCGGGTGGAGAGAGGGATGGAGAGGGGTGAATGTGATAGGCACTTGAACGTAAAAGGACTAAATTAATGGCGTAAATCTCTTCGGCAGTGGTATTCCGGGTGTGTTTTTCTAGTATGACGGTTGGAGTCTAGTATTCACAATCCTAATAACCAAGCATTCAGCCAGCCTCTCGGCGGTTGCCACAAGATCCAACTAGTACCAGAGTAGAATAGCCAAGCTCGGGAGTACCCAGCTGATTTTCCAGAACTGCAGGGAGCGACTAAAATTAGGACGCCGAATGCTTAAGAAAGTGGATCATGTAGAGTGGAGACGCAACTGCAGCAAGCTAGCTCAGGGGTGCATATGGTGAATTCAGAAGAGAAAAAACAGCCATTGCACCGAAAGATGGCAAAGGGCCGCGATCGGAGACAAAAGCGCTGTGGTCCTCCGAGATTGCAAGTGCCGGCCGGCAACAGCCACAGAAAGCCACAGCTGAGGCTTAGAGGGAGTGCCAGCTCAGCCCGGCTCCGCATGGACCAGGAGGTTTAGCTCTTCGGACAAAGCCAGCTTTTCTCCTGTGAGTGGCACAGTTGAAAGATTATAGCCGCGCTCGCAGAGAATGGCATGCAAGCAGACTACGCGAAAGGGACAGAGAGCGAAGAAGCAAAGGTTTTTCTCTGTTGCTCTGGTCATCGGTAGAAGGGTTCAAAGTGGAGTGGGTGAGGAAGGATGCATCAGATGATGCGACAGCGAAGATAAGGTTTAGTGGCCGGAAAAGGCCGCATGCACGGCAGTAACGAGCCATTTACCCGAACTGGACTCTCCTTTCTCTGCGGAGTAACACTATACCAAGAAGCGGTGTATGTCATGCTGATCCTTCCAGATGGGCATCGAGTCTGGACTGCGCGGAAAGATCCAGCGGTAGGATTCGATCTACTTCAGTTGAGTAAGGCGCCAGTCACCACCATGCCAAGCATCGCGGTTTCCGCATCAAGCATTAAGCCACTCGGAGCTGAAGACTCTAGATCGGCCGTGGGCTTTCTTGTGGCGTACCTGTGCAGCAACCTCAGCTTGACCACCATGAAAGCACACGCCTCGGGGCGCTGCTATAAAGCAGGCCCTGATGGCAGCTTCAGTGCTCACCACCACCAGCACCTCACTTCTCATCTCTTCTCCTCTCAATCACCATGAAGTTTGTTCAGCTCGTTGGTGCCGCTGGCATGGCTGGCGCAGTTGCCCTCCCGGCAGCCGCTCCCGACCTGGATGCCGATTTCCTTGCCGCCATCCTCGCCGCCCCTACCCCCAAGACTCTCGGCCCTGAGCCGGATGTCTACAGCTCGACTGTCGTGTCGTACAACCCGACGACCGTCACTGCTGTTGTCCAGTCGACCATCACGCCGGATCCCACTGCGGATGCGGTGAAGAAGCGCAGTGTTTCTCCGGCCGACAAATGTGCCCAGAACGGCTGGGACTGCTGCCCTCTTCCCACGGGCACCCTGGCTGTTCCCGATACTGCCGCTGCCTTTACCAGCTACGCGGCCTACTCTGCGCTGGCAACTGGCGCGTCTACGCCGAGCAACTACCAGCAGGCCTTCAGCAACAAGAACGGTGCCACGCAGCAGGTTGGATACCGTGGAGTCTTCACCCTCGACTCGTACGACCCGAGCGTCTGCGCGGCCAAGTGCGACGCCGATGCTGATTGCCAGGCTTTCAACATCTACATTGAGAGGGACCCTGTCCTCCGTCCCGACTACGATGTCTGCCAGAACCCCGACGCCACGGCAAACATCAAGTGTACCCTTTACGGCTACCCCGTTCATGCCGAGACGGCCACCAACACGGGCCAGTACCAGGGACAGTTCCAGATTCTCGTCGCCGCCTCCAACGGCTACAACAAACCCTACACTGCCCCGACTCTGGAGAACTTCAACGCTCCTGTCGGCCCCCTGAACGGCGCCATTGAGGACAGCCACTACTACTTGTACGAGCTGTACAACGACGGTCCCTTCAGCCCGGCCTCCTGCGCCAAGGGCTGCCAGGCCAACACTGCCTGGAACAAGGCCCACGCCAACAACGACGGCACCTACACTGCCTGCAACTTCTTCAACGCCTACATCCTGTACAGGGACAACAACCCCGTTGGCACCGTCTGCTCCTACTACAGCGCCGACATCGCGGATCCCGCCTCCAAGGCCACCAACGTCGGCCAGTACCAGGGCGACGTGCACGTCACCGTCGGCGAGTCGTACACGTACACGCTCACCACCCAGGACAACGGCGGCGTCAGCCCCGTGAGCAGCACCGGCTGCGCCAACCCGGGCGTCTGCGGCACCTACCAGATCTGGTACATGGACAACGGCGGCGACGCTGCCTGCGGTCTCGACCCGGATGGAAACGCTCTCTGCTTCGTCGACATGAGCTGCTACGGCGGCCCGACCTGCAGCACCAACTCCGACTGCACCGGCGGCACCAAGTGCCTGACGCAGAGCTGCTGCGGCTTCAGTCTTTGTGCCACGCCCACCACCGTGTGCGCCAACTCGGCTTCCAGGGTCAAGCGTGCCCTGATGGGTCCTGAGAAGCGCCGTGCTGCTTCGACCCGTCGCAGCGACTCCGACGCATGCACCGCTCTGAGCTGCCCCAGCTCCTCGTCTTGATCTCGCGTCTGAGCGCCATCACACTCCTTTGAAAAACACTTGTACCAGGGATCGTAATGAATCGGATGATATAGATTAAATAGTAATGTATAACGCTTTTGTGCTACTTCTTGTGCAGATGAAACTTGACTTCAATGCACTTTCTGTTGAAAATACCGAGGAAACTGTTTTCAGCCACGTTATACTTGAATCAAGCATGCACAGAGTAGGATACTCTTTAGTGGTAACGGCGTGTAGTCTCTACAGAGCGCACTGTTGCGTCGAGCATTCTTTCTAGAGGAATGGCTCCACCCAGCTTCACAAATGCGGAACGGAATGTAGTCTATGTACAACTGCCAGGATCCGGATAGAGTCTACACAGCATGCCTGATATAGATGACATCCTGGTACACTATGGTTAGTCCGCTTGCATATCACTCGTGCTCTAATATATTCGACTGCGCACCCTGGCCCAGAAGACAGTTCCACCCGTCAGCCATGGCCCCTCTCGGCTCTCTCCTCCAGTTGGCCCTGGCCACACTCGCTTTGGGAGGAGCATGCCGAGTTCAGGAGCCATACGATGTCATCATCGTAGGAGGCGGACCCTCTGGCCTGGGTGCCTTGAGCGGCCTTGCCCGCGTCCGCAGAAAGGTGCTGCTAATCGACTCGGCCGAATATCGAAATGCGCACACCAGACACATGCACGACGTGCTCGGCTTCGACGGTAAGTAAAAAGCGTGATGTTTTTTCACTGAAAAAAAAAATCCCCAGTGTACTGAACGCTTTTGATCAGGCGTCACTCCGGCCTACTTCCGCTGGGCAGCCCGCAAGCAAATCTCGCACTACGACACAGTGAGCTGGACGAACGGCACAGTCGAGAAAATCGTGCCAGCCTCTGGCGATCCGTCATCCCCCCTCTTCACCGTGACGACGTGCGGTTCCAACCGGCACGGCGTCCGCACGAAGACGCACAACCACCACCTCGCGCGACGCATCGTGCTGGCCACAGGCCTACGCGACCTCCTACCCGCCACCCCCGGCATCGCCGAGAACTGGGCGCGCGGCGAGTACTGGTGCCCGTGGTGCGACGGGCACGAGCACGCCGACCAGCCGCTCGGCCTGGTCGGGCCCCTGGCCGCCATCCCGGGCATGGTGCGCGAGACGCAGACGCTGAACAACCGCGACGTCGTCGCCTTCGTCAACGGCACCGACACACCCCAGGGCCGCCTCGATACCACGGCCGCCGAGGGAGGCGATCCGCGGTGGATGGAGTACCTGCGCCGCGTTGATGTGAGAGTTGACAACCGCGTCATCGCCGCCGTCGAGCGGCTCGCCGATGGCGCGGATACGCGTGCTGATCCCAGTCTGCCGAGCGTGCCGGAGTATGATAGGTTTCGTGTGCATTTTACTGAGGGCGAGCCGGTGGACCGCGCGGCGCTCATGGTTTCGTTTGGGAAGGAGCAGCGGTCGGACCTGGGCGAGAGGCTGGGCGTGGCGCTGTACGGGGGCCAGATGTATACCAACGCGGGCATGTTGACCAACGTGCCTGGCGTATACGCCGTGGGCGATGCGAACTTGGATAACTCGACCAATGTGCCGCATGCCATGTGGAGCGGCAAGCGCGCCGCCGTCGACCTGCACGGTAAGACTTGTTGTTTCTTCTCGACACTTCGATGTGGAGCTCGGAGCTGACGTCTTTTTTTTATAGTCGATTTGGAACGAGAAAGAGAGCGGAAGCTCCTTGCAGGTAATGTGAACAGGAGGGAGGCTGAGTTGGACCCTCGGTCTGTCTGGACTGTTATGAACGGAGAACCCGGAGATGTTCTTTATGCTGGCGACTTCGACAAATGATCATAGTAGATTTACCACTAGTCAGTTGGACTTTCTTCGACGCTGTTAAAATATTTAGCCTGTCAAGCATTAATGTTCATATCTCTGCCTTTTGACCCCCTTCCAAGCACGGTGCTGTCCGTTCTGATATTTAAAAGGATTACAGAACAGTGGATGACCTTCTAAAAAGAAGAGAGAGAAAAGGGCATCATGCAGATACAAACCCATCATCAAACATAAATCTCCTGGCAAAGTTCCAATGCCATCATTACTAGCACAGTAGCACCACAGAAAATGTCTTCAACCTCGCATCTTAAACCAATCCCATCTACCCCTCCCTTCTTTCTAATCTGCTCACTTGTTCCTGACCTTGTAACTGACCCTCGGCGCGCACCATCCCCTCACCTCCGCCGCACCGGCCCTAACCAAGTCCGCAGCCACAGCCCAAACATCCTTGTACGCCTCAGGCGCTTCCTCCCACACAAGCTGCTTCTCCTCACAAACAACCCACGTACCCGCACCCTTCTCTGCATCCTTCCCCACCACCACCATCGTCTCACCATCTTCGCCCTCAGTCGTCATCGTTACAGTCGCCGCCGCCGCCGCAGCAGCAGCAGATGCCGCCACCTTCCCGGGCTTCAGCAACGCCTCCGCGTCGCCGCGGTACTTGTTGCTCAGGCTGGCCAGGGCCTTGGCGCGGGACATGGCGCGGCCGGCGCCGTGGGCGAGCGAGAAGGCGTTCGCGGTGCCGCGGGCGTTGTGGTGCGTGAAAGTCGGTGTCAGGATGGCCGTCGGCGTGGCGCGGCTGCCTGGTAGGGGCAGGATGGCGAGCGGTGCGAAGGTGTCCGGATCGAGGGTTGGGGCGGCGCCTTTGCGGTGGATGTAGGCGTACTGTTGCTGCTGCTGCTGAGACGACGAGGACTCGGATGCTGAGAGGCTGAGAGAGGAGGTTGCATCTGCAAGGTCCGAGGTAGGGGGGGAGATTGAGGGGGGATTGGTGGAAGGCCACGGGACGCGTTGGACGTTGTTGTGCCAGATGTCGACGACCTTGCGCTCCTGTACGTCCGCGCGGGCACGTTGGATGAGCTGTTCGATGTCGGTTGCGTCTGCCTCAGCAGTGAGGTCGTCCTCGAGGTTGCTGCCGAGTGCCCAGCGATCCTCTCCGGGCTCCAGCACAGCAAGGAAGCGCAAGGCGATGAGATCGCGGTTCGCCTTCGCCCACCTGCACGCGCGATCGTGCTCCTCCAGGTACTTTCCCGTCACCTCCTCGTCCTCCTTCAGGGAAACGTGGCCATCGGCCGTGTACCGCTTGAGGATATCCCCACCGTACCCCCTCGACCCCGAATGCACCAACAGCACCACCTCGCCCTCCCTCATGCCCAGCCCCTCTTCCGCCCTCTCCACCACCTGAATCTCCGCAAAGTGGTTCCCCGCGCCGATGGTCCCCAGACTCTTATCCCACTCCTCCCCCGCCGATCCGCCCTCCCCGACCCACGCCTCTCTCACCTCTCTCTCCCTCCACGGACCCTCGAGACCCCTCAACCGCTCGGCCACCTTCCGGCCCCTGTCCCCGTCGACCTGGTTGCGCGACAGCGTCGTCCGGTACCACGCCATGCCGCACCCGATGTCGCCGCCGATCAGCGGCGGGTGGATCCAGCCGCGCGACACGAAGGCGGCGCCGATGGGGTACTTGGTGCCCGGGTGGAGGTCGGGCTGGCCGACGGCATGCACGATGCCGGGCAGCGCCTGGGCCGTGGCGCGGAGTTGGCCGAGCGACTGCGGGTCGACGTACGCGGCGTGCGCGAGGTTGACGATCTCACCGCACTGGTGGGCGTCGTTCGAAGCGCTGCTGCGATCATCGTTGTTGCTGTTGGTGGCCGACTGTTGTTCTGACTTCTTGCCCACGAAATCTTCGCCCGCCGACACCAGGATGACGGCGTCGGACGTGGCGGCGCGCGTCCAGTCGTCGGCCGTGAGCAGTTCCGTCCCCGTGCGCGCGGCGAAGGCGCGTGCGCTGGTGTTCTTCTTCAGCTTCAGGCGGAGCTTCGTTTGCGCCGACTTGACCACCTGCGCGCGTATCGAGTTGGCTACATCGGGGTCTGCCGACGTGTTTCCCGGGACGAGGAGGATGGTTTTGGTGTTGCGGTTGCTGTTGAGCGCGACCGTGAGTCGCGTGGATGGCATCTTCGTGAAGCCGAATGAAGTTGCAGAAGGGTTGATGTTTTCTAGGGTGTGGGCTTAGAAGTTGTGGCGGGGTTGTGTGGATGTGGTGTTCAAGAGAAGTGCGACCGATTTATGTACCTGGGAGCGGTGAGTGATGATGAGTGATGGGTTGTGTTATAAAGGAACAGCCCCAGGCAGCCTCCGCATTGTTTGCGGTGAATCATAGTGATTGTTGTGAGGCGCAACGTGGCTGAGTCATTCATTCATGGTCGATTACCCAAATAGGTAGCAGGATCTACAAAGCGTGGCGATGCAAGATCGGCGAGGTCAACCTAGGTCCTTGATCACTGCCACCATTGCTCCACTTCACCTGACAAGAATGTTGTCGGCCGTGCGTGCAAGTCAACACAATGTCCAAACTTGTTGAAGTAAGGGCTTAATTACATGGAGTTTCTGAACCAACCAATACTCCAATCGCCAGAGCGTGACGCTTTGGAGCTTATTCAACGCCATGGAATGCTCGCGCACGAGAGCCAAGATACAAAATGATATCACAATAATTGTCCATCCCTCCTGAAGAAACACCCGTTCACATACGATCTTCCACCGTCAACCGGCGGTAGCGGGCTAGGGTATTTTTCGAATAGGCGCGCTTCTCCCCAAACCATCAATCAGCTTCTGTTCCCCATCCAACCGTCATATATATATGAGATAAGGAAACAGCTGTTCGATATGGCACGGCGTGCAAGCGGCCACGTACTGATTATCATCTTGCACCGTGCGGAGGATGATTTTTTGGAAGACGCTTGGTGGATTCTTCCTGCGCCATAATGGTGACCTTGGAAGAGCTCCACCTGAAATAGCACTCTTGGAAAACTGCTATCCAGAGGCAGAGGCGAAGGATGTTCAAGCGCGCAACTCACCAATGTCGTGGTCGTCGCTGCCATCGGCCTGTAGCGCTCCGGTCATAGTCCTGTTGCTGTCGTCGCCGCCATTGCGGCCGAGGTCCAGATCTTGCTGATTGGCTGGAATCGTCGATGGTGAAGTCTGCGATGAAGAGGCAAAACGAGTTAGCGAGTGTTGGATTGTGTCAACCTGGACACCCGAAGACTTTGCAAGTAATGTGCTCCGCACATGGAGGATAGTGGAGGTGCTGATGTGCCTCCTCTGCTGGAAGGTCCCGCTTCCGGAGATATTCTCCTGCGGCGGGCAAAAAGGGAGGAAGGATTGCACTAACTTCGACTATCTTGTCCCCGTCGACGCGTACTTCGTGGTCGCGGAGTTGCCTCATCAGGGCCAGGAACCTGCTTTGCACGAATTTCTGACTCGTGTCGTGAGAGACGCTCTCCACCAATTGGCCAGCCGTCCTTGCCAACTCCTCATCATCATTATTGAGGGGAGTTTGCTGCCGCTGTTCCTGGCTTGGCTGCTGCATAGGCTGGGGGACCTCGTTGAGCACCATGTCAGGAGGGTTCATGTTCCGGAGAAGCTCCTCTGGTCGCTGGTTCAACGATGACATCTCTGACCGAATAGTCGTTCGAATGTCCGTCCCGGCCACGGTGCTGCTCGCTTCGGCAGGGAAGAATCTTGAATCAGTCCCCACGTCTGCCACAAGCTGGTTATACTTCGCAGCTTCCAGTTGCTGCTTATCTGCCGCGGATACCGTGTCCTGGTTTTGCAGAGAATGTTGGAACATCCTCAAACGTGCTGTCCTCAAGCGGGGGTCCTCCTGCTCTCTAGCTTTCTGAGATTCATCCTGGTCAAAGTATCGTGGGAAATTCGTTCTGATCTGATCACGAAGCCTTGCAGCTCTTGCTTTGAACATAAACTGTTCATCGTAGAGAAGGTCTTGTGAGTCCACAATCTCGTTCAACACGCGCTCCAACAGAGGATCCGGGGGGATCTCTGAAAGTCCTTTACTTTCCAACTTTTCCAATGCGCTCATATAAAGTGACGCAAGACTGTGATTAGGAATAGTGGCGGGATCTCGCGTGTTGGCGTGTGGTAGGTACTCGGACATTTGGTGACGGCAATACTCGTCTAAAATGATGGTCAGCACATGAGACCTCATTCATGCATAGTACCTACTAAAAGCATGCTCCTTCATGAACGCCAGCACAGAGTCATCCTCTGGGGGGAGCAAGGTCTCTATCTCCTCTTCCCATTTCGAAATTGCAGGTCTCTGTGGCGCTTCTTGCTGCGTAGCCTGCGCCTCCGCTTGTGCCTCTACTTCAGCCTGAAGCATTTCTGCCGCGGCCGCATCGAATGCGTTTGCGAAAGCAGCATCATCAAAGACAGGGTCCTTCTGTCTCGCTTGCGCATTCATATCCTGCTGGGCCATGAATGGCTGTTGGTGGGCAAACTGCCCCGCACCGAACCCCATCATAGGTGTGCCAGAATACATTGGCCTGGAAGGACCCGCCGCCATCGCCGGAGCCGGAGATGTAGACTGCTGCTGCTGGCGCATGAAGTCCTGGTGCCACGAAGAGGTATGGTTATGCTGCTGCTGCATCGGCGGCGGAGAGGAGACATGCATGCGCTGGAAGTCAGCAGCCCAGTCCGGCAGGGCGGCGGGCCCAGCGAAGCTCGGCGGAGGCGCATGTTGGGCGGGGAAACGCTGGAAAGCTTCGGGCTGCGGAGGAGCATGTCCAGCCTGGAAGGCCTCGAATTCAGGGTCTATCGCGCCAGCATGCTGACCGGGGCCTGATCTGAAATCCTAAACACCAAGTATCAGATTTGGATGCCGGTTGCGGAGGGTTGGGTGGCATGAGCGCTCGTACCTGCTGCGGCGATTGGCGCGAAACCAGTCGGTCCTGCTGTAAAGTCCGATCAACCGACGAGTGTTTCTGGAAGTTCTGGAGCGCGTTGGAGGGTCCGCACAGAGCGTCGGCCATGGCGACAGCAAGGTATCTGGCGATCTGGGAGGAGGAAAAGGTTGGGAGCAAAAAATGCGCGCAGCGTCGTAAGAGATAGGGAACAGGCCATGTGAAGCTCCGGCGGCGGCAACAAGGTGCCTAGTCCCCGCATTGCGCCGAGGCATGTTCCGGCCAGTCGGTGCTTGGCGTGTTTGCCCGCTTTGCACCCTGACGCCGCCGCCGCAGTGTCTCGGGCAGCTTCCACGTTTAACATTCCCGCTAGGCACTGATATCACCACCAATTCCTCCTCGACACCCGCAAACATGGTGAGCTTCTCTCTAGAGACCTGCTTGAGCTCCGCTGACCGTTTCCAGGCCCAAGTAATCCAAAATTCCGGTCACGATGACATGATTGTACGCCGCAGCTCCTCTTCCGACCACCGCTCCCGCAGCGAACCTCCGCTAATTCGCCCCGTGATGCGCAGCACGATGCAGTCCTGGACTACTACGGCAGGAGACTAGCCACTTGCTCTTCGGACAAGACCATCAAGATATTCGAGGTTGAAGGCGACAACCACAAGCTCACAGACACGCTGAAGGGGTAAGCAACCGCCTTGCAGCCGGAGCCAGGATGGATAGGGCATTGGCTGAGATTAGTATAGGCACGAGGGCGCAGTCTGGTGTGTCTCCTGGGTATGTCTATCCCCCACATCCCGCGCTGGCGCGTCACAGCTCTAGCTAACCGCCGTCGCGCAAACGTGCAGGCACACCCCAAGTACGGCAACATCCTCGCCTCCGCCAGCTACGACGGCAAGGTCTTCATCTGGCGCGAGCAGAATGGGCAGTGGCAGCGCGTGCACGTGTCGGAGCTGCACTCGGCCAGCGTCAACCTCGTGTCCTGGGCGCCGCACGACGCCGGCTGCGTGCTCGCGTGCGCCAGCAGCGACGGTAACGTGTCCGTCCTCGAGTTCCGCGACGGCGCGTGGGCGCACCAGATCCTGCCCGCCCACGGCCTGGGCGTCAATGCCGTCTCGTGGGCCCCCAGCATCGCCCCCGGCGCCGTCGCCAGCGCCTCCCAAGCCTCCAATGCACCGCTGCGCCGCTTCGTTACTGGCGGCAGCGACTGCCTGGTGAAGGTGTGGGAATGGAACACTGAGACGAGCACCTACACTTGCACTAGCCAGCTGTCCGGCCACACCGACTGGGTCCGTGATGTTGCGTGGTCGCCGACGGTGCTGTCCAAGGCATACATCGCCTCCGCGTCGCAAGATAAGACGGTCAAGATTTGGACCAGCGCGAACCCCTCGCTTGGTACGAGTTTCTTACTTTTACCTCTTGCACATTAGTATTTGCTAACACCATCCTTTGTGCAGGTGACTGGCAGCAGACCACCTTGAACTTCGACGCCGTTGCCTGGCGCGCGAGTTGGAGCCTGAGCGGCAACGTTCTGGCCGTCAGCACTGGCGACAACAAGGTCACTCTGTGGAAGGAGAAGCTGACTGGCGGCTGGGAGTGCATCAAAACGATCGAGGAGTGAACAATCGAGCCCCCACACTAAGCTCGTGGCACCGACAACGATTGAAGAGACTAGCACTTTCCGCTCTACCGAAATGCCATCTTACCAGCGGGATTCCGTAACGGGAGCACAAGAAGGAGTTTATGGAGTGTAAGGCAAAGACAAAAAGCGCACCAGGCGGGGGTGGGTCGAGGATGTCGAACGGTGATGATGGCGGAAGTTGAGCCAGGACACAATTGGTCTGGCTGTTTGCATACCCAAACATGCACTTTTTTTCTTTTTCAAAGCAGATTTACCAAACGACAAATATAATGGGCGGCGCCGCAAATGCGTCAATTCTCGCACTTTATGCTTCCCAACATACCCTTCCCGCGCGCACGCATACCAAAGTTCGTAAGTCCATGTGCCTCATTAGGGTGAGAGCAATTCCAACCACCAGTAACACTTCGCATCTACACTGCATCAATTTTTACCATTCTCGAATATCTAAGGTCCAATCGAAGTCCACGCCTTCCATGCATGCAAAAAAAATGAGTGATCCAGAAAATCACCATATCTGCAAGCCCCAGCAGCAAAGCCTATCCACGCCGCTGTTTGGCTTGCATCATCGACTTTTTGATTATGCCAAAAAAAAAAAAGGAAAAGGAAAAGGAAAGCCCAATAGTCCGTCGCCATGATTATCGATACCTAGTGATGTGTGCAAATGAATGAGAGAAAAAAAAGAAGAGTTTTCTGGTGACAAAAGAAAAGATGCGAGCCATGCATATTTACCGCATGCGCTGTACCATGCTTAGCATGACCCTGGTAATGAGAAACTATGCACGGCCCACGCAACCCTGTTGCAGGTGGAATTCGAGCGCAAGAGGGTGATGGTGAAGAAAATCAAGCAACCGTTCGCCAATCGGTGTGATAAGGATTGTGGGATCATGGGATATCGTCTTCCAGGAAAGGCCAAACGTCCGACTAAAGGAGTGTCAAGGTCGGTGGACTAGATGTGTAAAGAAGCCGCATTAGCAGGCCAAGAAAGAAACTTGTGGATACAGCTGTTGAGATGGAGATCCTTATTAGATTTGAGAGATGGCAGATCGTCTGCGGTTGGGGCTGTGTGCTCCGAGGAAGAGCGAAGGCACGAGTCTGGTGCTCTTTAGGGGCCAACGGCTCATCAGTGGTGAAGATCGCACTCGACGCGGTCACAGGCAGCGTCGGTGTTCCAGAAGATAAAAGGACCGGTGTACACCTCGCGGTTAGGGACCGGGGCCTCAGGGCTCCACCATCGACCGAGCATGATCTGGCCGCCGGGTAGGACGACACCCTCGTAAGCCCAGAGTGCGTTGGTGTCCCAGCCGCCATTACCGTCCTCGAAATACTTCATCATGGTCATCCTCTTCCACCCGCTGATGCCTTGCTGGTTCGGGAGTTCGTTGAGCCAGCCGACGGCGTTGAAATCCTCATCATCAAATCCGAGGGCCTGAAAGCGCTGGTTGAAGCGCTCGAACTGAACATCCTCACCAGAGCGGCGCTGAGCACGGGTACGAGGGAGCCGATCGTTGGAGGTAGTTGACCTCAAGTGCTGCTCGAAAAGAGCAGGCCAAAGGAATCCGGTACTGTCCGGCGAGGTGATGTTCATGGTCTGCGCATAAGAAGTCAGCCTGGAAAAATTACCGATATACAAAGAGCAATTACCTGAATTGAGGCATCGCCGTGGTCAACGTTCCGGTCAATAAGAACCTTGCCGTCGCGGCTTCCAGAGCGGATCTGCCTCATCTCATCACGATCCAAGTAAGCATAGGTGCCCTTCCAGTGGACACCAAGGGCCATAGGGCCATTGTGGATATGGCTCTGCCAGTAGGAAGGCTGCTCAGCCTTGTTCAGCTTGTTGAAAGGCTCAAAGAGCGTGTTCTCCTCATGCTTCCTCATGTGGTACTTGAAGAAGTTCATGACGTGGAGGATCCACTCCATGTTGATCTCGGTCTTGTTGAAACCACCGAATATGGGAGCAGTCCTAATAGTGGCATAGGCCCACACCTGAGAGTCCTCGAATCCGTAGATGTTCCCAGGCTCTGTGAGGATCGAAGGCGTGCACATGAGCTGCACGGCAGCGAGAGTGTGGTTGTAACTCTTCGTGGTTGGGTCGCAACGACCGTTGGCCTTGTGATTCCTGGTTGGACGGGGCCTGAATAAGTCATCGATAATGCCCGACCGCTTGACGAAATCCTTGAATGCTTCGATGTTGCGGCAGGTCAACTCGGCCTCACCGCCGTCATGATTCCTGAAGACCCACGAAGAGCTGTTGAAGGAATCTACCGGACATATATCAGTACAGAGTTTGAGCAGAAGTGAGAAACACCCAGAAGATCTTGGACTTGACCATAAGGGGTACTCACCGTTGATGAGTCCAGCGACGAGCTTCAGCGTGTCTTGTTCCTTCTTGGTGTTGCCAATCCTGAAGCGGGTTGGGTAAAGAACGAGGTACTTGCTGCGCTTCTGGTACAGCTCTCGAATCTTGGTCTTGTAGTCAGGCGAGTTGGGATTGAAGCCTGAAGGAGTGTCGTACATCGCATGGAATCTCTTGAACCATAACGAATCATCATCGTCGATTGCTTCCTTGATGGCACGGCATGAGGCGCGAAGGTTGACAAGGTCTTTGTCGTGCTCAAGGAAGAGGGCGATGTGCTGGTTGAGCTGCGAGCGGCAGTCAGCGAAGCCGCTTCCGAGTAGGTGAGCTGGTGTGGTCGAGACGTACTTCAACTGGAAGAATCTGAAAGGCCTTAGGCTTCGCCGCGATGCGGTCCTCATAGGCAGAAGCCATGTTTGCGGATGGTTCTGCGTCAGTGAAGTGGCGGGCAGGGCAAGAAGCTGATGCGATGAAAGGGGTTTGCGGAGGGTATGGCGTGGTGCCGTGGGCGGAAGGAGAAGCTTGGTCTTTGATCGAGGAGGCTTTATAGGTGAAGGAGCCGGGGCTCAGCGGCGGCATGAAAGCGAGGGACTCAATAGGACAATAGGGTGCAGTGTCTGCGATCCGACGCTCACCTGCTGGGAACCCGCAGGAGGCATGCAAAAGAGGCGTCGAGTCGATGTCAGGTGCGCAAGTCGACAATCGCAAGTCGCATCTTGTAGGAGGTCCCTTCCATAATCGCCGGTTCCGCACGTCACTGCCCCACCACGACCCAGACATCGCACTCACGCCGGTGAAAACTCTTGCTTGCGTGAGTCTACCATGCCATCAACTCGAAGGGAACAATAGTAGTACCTTCAGCTAACCCTGTGACCGAAGAGCAGAAACCCCCGGGACCTTGCATCGGCTTACAAACGCGCACGCGCACCCCGATCGTAACCGCTCCGGCCCTTCACAATCCTATAACACGGCCCGGTCTTCGAGAACATCTTCTGCAAGTCACCGGCGATGACATCTGGATTCTCCCACGCAGCGAAGTGTCCTCCCCGCGGGGTCTCACTCTCGTACACCACTGGACCTGTCGCACGTTAGCGTACAGTTGACACACAAGGGCCTCACCACCCTTACCCAGTGTACGCCCCCACGTCTTTGGCGGCACGCTGAGCTCTTTGGGGAACCATGCGAGCCCAAGCTTCACGTCCGGCACCCACTGCTCTGTACGCACTCTGGTTGGAATCACCGTCGCCTTTGGTGAGACATGGATGGCCTCGTAGTAGATGCGCACACTGGCAGCAGGCCCGGCTGCGGAGAACCAGTAGATACTAATCCAAGTCAGAATCTCGTCGTCTGTCCACGGATAGCTGTCGGTCCAATCATGCAACTTCTCATAGATCCACGCCAGAAGAGCAACCGGAGAGTCGGCAAGCGCATATCCAATCGTCTGCGGTTTGGTTCTTTGCTGCAGGTTGTACCCAGACCCTTCGTTCTCAAACCATGCGGAGCGCTCAAGGCCGTTCTTTTCAGCATCGCTATACGGGAAGAGCTTGTGCTGCAGCGCGAGCAGAGGGTTCTTCTTCCATTCCGGAGCATGAGCGCGGATCAGGTTGACGTGGCTTGCTTTGCACGAATCCGGATACTGGATACCAATGGCTCGGGTGACATAGAAACCCCAATCTCCGCCTTGAGTTACATATTCATCGTACCCAAGCTGCTTCATCAGCTTGTGACAGGCCTCTGCATAGTGTTGCAGAGAGAATCCTGGCTCCTTGATGCCGGAAGAAAAGCCAAAGTTGGGAAGAGAAGGTGCAACAACATGAAAAACAGGCGAGCCTGACTTCAGAAGGGGCAACAGTTTCGTGACTTCAATGAAAGAGCCAGGCCCTTGAAACCGTCAGAGCAGTCCACTCAAGTTGTTGCGGGTGTCATACAGCCGTGGACGAACAGAAGCGGGATTGCTCGTTCCGCTTCGCTCTTCTGGTGCACAAAGTGGATGTCAATGGGCCTGAATCCGTCCACTTCAACTTGCGTCATGAAGTTGGGTAGCTCGTTGAGCTTGGCCTCGGCGCCCCTCCAGTCATATCCGTCCTGCCAACGTGTGGCAAGCCTCTTCACATCGGCCAGTGGAGCACCGTACTGCCACTGGTTGGGTGCTTCAAGCTCATCTGGAAAAGTAGCAGCGGAGAGTTTGTTCTGCAAAGCATCAAGTGTCTCGTCAGACACGCTGATAGTGAAAGGCGATGGCGATGGAGACATGATGGTGAGATTGACGGAAAAATTGAAGTGAGGAATCTCAGACCACGCCAGACTTTCTCCTCACCATGCGTCAGACAAGAAGCGATGTGTAAGCCAACTGAAGGGCGGGGCAATCCTCACCTCGGCTTAGTGTATGACGAATGGTTATGCCTGCGTAGACGTCCCGCCCCTTGCCAATCAGCTCTCCCAAGTTGCTGCAGGGATGTCACCCGCGGCTATCGAACGCCGCATCAAACTCTCTTTCTTAGTCGATTGTAGCTCTATGGTTCTACCATTACAGTTTTGCGCCATTTCCAGCTTTTAATTATCCTCGTAACTACATGCTCAAGCAGTCTAGGCCGGGCCAGAGTGCCTCCTATTGGCGTTCTCGCTACCCTGGATTTCACATGTCAGGACCGATGGCCCGTTGTACCAATCACTGATTTGGAAAAATAGTCAATCAAAAACGATGTCATTATGGCACACTGCACTTTTCCCCGGACATAAGATGTTCGACGAATGCATTAGCCATACCGGAGAGAAGGATCAACGGGTGGCTTGACACCGGTCTACATCAAGCACATTTTCGCCTCCATTGTTTTGGGCTAAGGTTCGTGTCCGGCTATACGCCATGTGGCTGGAGGCGGTCGTTTGGGCTACTGCTGTGAAACTCTCGATTAGACATCCCGTCCCCTGGAACATTACAGCCTTCATTATCTTGTTGATTTCTTTCATTGATTTTTGTTTCATTATATTTGACTATCGCATTCACACTGCAATGTTTCCAATTCTCTTCCACACCCCAGAATCTACCGAACCTCTTAAACAAGAGAGAACTGGTTGTTGGAAATCTGCTCAACCTTGATGAAAGTCTGGTGAGTGGAGTGGCAATCAGTGTGGTTAATAAGCCACTATTACTGCCTCCATTTTCAATGACATCCTACTTGATACCTCATCCGGCATGCTAATCTCAAATTCTCACCATTTTAGGGTGTCAACTAAATATTGTCTCTACGAGTTTGGCAGAAACATACAACATCCTTTCGAACTTACCAAAAAAAGTATTTCGCTTTTCTTCCCAACGACCTCAACGGATATATCAGAAGTCAATCTTTGAGAGCCCCGAAGGCTGAGAATTTCTTGATAACAAACCCAGGTGCCTTGAAATGAAATATCATTCATGCCAAATTTATTTGCAGGCACCAAGATAACCTGACAACCGCTCAGCTACGTCATATTCTAAGCTTCCCGACAATTAGCCGTACGCACTCGTACATTCGGTCCTTCGGCTTTTTCATGGGTTGGCGCCAGGACGCTCTGCCTTCTTCCGTGTTACATCCAACAACACTCGACCAGGCGCTCGTATATGGTTGAATCACCTATCTAAGAATTCGAGTTCTTTCAAACTGCTCCTTTGAAGCACGAAGTGCGGAGGCTAAATTTGGCAACAGCCTACGCTCATTGCTAAGGCTGCCTAAAATCTTTTTCTTCAGAGTCATAGTTCCACGGGGTCTTAATCCTTTTCGGAAGTCATACATCCGTCATCGTTGTAGGCACTTTTTAGTTTCTACTGCCGCAACCTAAAGTCTCTTCAACGACGTCTTTTTTTTTTTCTTAAAAAAAAAACAATGGCGCAACTCCAGCAGGATGAGCTTATGGCAGACTTCATACCGTTAGATTCTGGAGATGTCCCCGACGAAATGCGGATCCAGCACCAATCAGCAAAGGACCACTTCCACGAGATGCACCCGGAGATCGAGATGATGGAACATAAGTGTGTGTGCGGACGCTACTTCAAAGAGCTCAAGAACATGCGAAGCCATCAAAAGGCCACTGGACACGGCGCCTGTGTGTGCGGAGAGAACTTCTCAAGCTACCCCGAGCTTCATCGTCACCGATTCGAAGCGGTACACTTTGTGCGGTGCACCTGCGACAAGATATTCGGGTCTACACAGCATCTGCTCTCGCACCAACGCTTAGAGAGCCACTCCGGGTACCGCGATACGAAGAAGGGATCGCTGAAGTGGACCGCAATAGAAAGCAACACCCTTAACGAAGTACTGTGTCCCTGTGGCGGGCAGATCCTGGACAGTCAAGACGGCAGCAGCGAAGAACCGCTCCAGTGCGATGCGTGTAGCCGCGTCTTCCGCGACGCCTACGGCCCCGCGCGTGACACATACGACCCGTCGACGAGTATTTTCAGCTGCTGTAACTGCGGGCTAGAGTACGATACGTGGGACGAAATGTGGCAGCACCAGCTCTTCATCCATCACCCATGCATCGCGTGCCACCGTATTTTTGTCTGCGAAACGCGGTTGATGGCACATCAGCGCGCGACGAGCCACTGCTATTGCGCAGCCTGCACGCAGCACTTCATGACGCCCGACCGCCTGCGCCAGCACCTCCTCGAAGACCACCATCTGCCACGCGCCACCGTCTTCCAAGACGCCCTCGACGAGCGTCCGCTCTCTGACCCGTCCTCGGCCGCCGCGGCGCCGGTCTTCAAAGGCGGCTTCAAGAGTGGCAAGAACTTCCTGCACATCAGCCTCCGTTGCCGCGTCTGCGGCTCCGACTTCACCTCGCCCAAAACGCTCCACGACCACCGCACGCGCGGCTGGCACGACCCCTTCACCTCCGTCGCCTGCCCCTTCGCCGCGTGCGAGGCGAGCGAGAAGAGCTTCCCGAGCGTCTCGGCGCTGCTGCACCACCTGGAAACGGCGCAGTGCGGATCGGGCATCACGCTGGCCGAGCTGAACGACGCACTGCGCGGCCCAGCGCGGCTCGAGGCCTGCGTCCTGCCCGAGCACCGCTTCCGCCCCACGCCGCGCGACCCCTGCGCCGGCGGCGCGCTGTCCGACAGGGAGATCCAAGCGTTGTGCGAGCAGGTCGTCGCCTCTTCGTCCGCAGAAGGGGAGGGCGGCGGCGGCGTCGTAGGCGATGCCAGTAGCAGCAACAAGAAGCTCAAGCTCAAATGTCCCTTCTGCCCCGCCTCCGCCTGGAAGACGTTCCCGACCAAAGCGCAGCTCAAGGCCCACCTCACCCACTACAACCACACGCCGCGCTTTCTGCAGTTTCCGGACTCGGTCGTCCTGCCGCCCACCAAGTCCAAGCGCAAGACCGACTTCGGCGCCTGGAGCGGACTGGCCCACTCGCTCGAGACGCTGCTGTGCGCGGGAGAGGTTGAGGGCGTGCAGGCGGCATTGGACGTGATCGAGGATGCGTTGGCGGAGCTGGGGAAGATGGCGAACGGCGCGGAGGCCGGCGGGATGGGGGAGGAGGCCGATATGGTGGTTGATTGATCGCGGGAAGTGGCTTTGAAGGCCTTTTTTGAGCGTGTTGTGGTGTAGAACAGCTGTCTTTTATACCTATTCGTAAAGCAGGATTGTCAAACATTGCAGTCGATTTCACATTGATTCCTTGCCTCCTTTTCATTTATCCTCCATAGCCTTCTCCGAGAGAGTGAAGCAGGACCGTATTGCGTATGACCAATCATCATTATTGAATTCCTACATGGATCTTTTGTCGTCAGTTGAAATGAGAAGCAACAGACCACGCATAGCCGACTTCCGCAATAGCCTTTTTTTTTAATTCGATTTTTCCTCATGGGTATCTCCCGTTAATGCTGTTGCCTCTCTTTCAACTTATCGGTGGGGAATGCCTCTTAAAGGCCTACCGTACCTTACTCTCTGCCACGCCACTGGCCACCGCCGCGACCGCGGCCACCGCCTCTGCCGCCACCTCCACGTCCCCTTCCACCGCCGCGACCGCCTCTGCCACGACCTCTTCCGCCTCGAAAGCCGCCACGATCGCCTCCATCCTCGTCTTCTCTCGGGCCCCGAGCCATTCGCTCAGCTCTTTCCTCAGCTGTCGCGTCAAATGGAATCGGAATTTGCAGCATCTCGCAGAAAGCCTTAGTATGCGGGTTCGTATACTCCATAGGCTGACCCTCGACGTGGGGACCGAAGGCAGCGTCGTATACAGGCGCGGTGATGGCGAATTCCTCGGGAATGGTCATCTTGCCAGGCTTGACGATGTTCTCCTCAACCCACGCCTCTTCCTGCTCAATCAAAGGCCTGTAGTGCGCCTCGCCCTGGTCCGGAGGGACGGGGACGTTGGGATCACCAACCACCAGGTCTTGTGCGAAGACGCGGGTAATCGCGAGCCACTCTTTGTCGTATTCCAGGTGGAGTGGGCGCTGATAAGTAGCGTCCGAAGACTGGGTGCTGATTGGTTCGATTTCGAGGACCTGGAGGAAATCACGGTTGGGAAGGCACTTGTCCAGCGCCAGGAACTTTGTGGTCTTGTTCTTGATCTCTTCGGGAAAGGGAAGCGTGGCCGGCTTGGAAGGTTCGGGACGAGCGGCGAAGGACGCAGGAAGTTGTGCTCTCAGATCCTCCGATACTTCGGCAGCAGTATTGGCTGCTGGGCCAGTTTCGTCTGCATTCGCTTGTGCAGGCGCATTGTTATCGAGTGGCTTGGATTCCGCATCATCATCCATGTCCAGATCAATCTCGTCCTCGTTCTTTTGCGGCCCAGCTTCGACTTCCGGCTCGTTGGGCTTTATGGTGGGCACATCGTTGGCGGCATCGCTCTTGTGTTCGATGATGGCGGGATACTTGACGTGAAGATGCGCGCTGAACCAGTGGGAAGGCCGCAATCGATCCAGCGCATACTTGGCGGCAACGCTACCCAACTGCCCGGTCTTTGCATCTTCCTCGAACCCGTTCTTCTTTTTGAATAGCCATTTATGGTTGCCCATCCACTCGACGCCTCTGGGCCAGTCGTGGCTCAAGCCAATGTCAACCTGCGTCCTGACCTGCAACAGCTTCCGGGTGTCAAATTCACGAACGTGGTAGGCGCTTTTGGTGTCGTTGAACGAGTAAGGGAGACGCTCATGGTGCGGCTTCTTGTAGTTATAGCCCTTCCATATTCCCGACAGTCCAGCGATCCTCAATGGTCCCAGGCGGACGACATTCGCAGCGCCCATGTAGTATATGTTCGGAGCGGCCCAGCCACCGTAGAACAGCTCGGACAGGTGGTTGCTCGCCTCATGATTGCCGGCAATGAAAATTGTGAGGTATGGTGCCTTGCGTTGGCCGGAGTAGTATTCGTGGAAATCGCCAATCTCACGGTACTTCTTGGGAACCGACATGCAGTTTAGGTCGTAGGCATTGCGGACTGCCTGTGAGCGTGAGCATACATAGGTGAGTCAGTACAAGCGAAGGAGGAATCATACCTGGAAGTCGCCGCCAATTATGAGGAGATCGACGCTGGGCCAGGCCTTAGCCTCACAAGCTTTTGCGACCGAAGCGTAGATCGAGTGGAGTGTGCCATGTCCCTGCGCAGCTGGTTAGGACATTGCGAGTGGACTGGGTGCGCGCAAATACTTACACATCCTTCTACTGCTATGCGCAGTCCGCCTCGCACAAGGAGGTCGGTTGCCATGTTTGCGGTTGCAGTTGGAGGGTGGCGGAGGTGAGAAGGCTTGGGGTGGAGTTGACGCGCAACACGTGCCCGCGCGTTTACTTCGTCGCCGCTTGAAAGATCAGCCCTGCAAAACCACGCCCTCTCCTCCGCCTGAAACCATCATCGTACACCAACATGGACCGAACAGCAGCCGAAACGAGAGATGTCTCTGCGAGGCTCAAGTATCTCCACGAATCCGCCCGTGTCATGGCCCTCACCTCTCCAGAAACCTCATCCTTTCTGGAATCCCAATACAGCCATCTCCTGGCAGAGAACGATCTTACTCCGCCAGATTCCCGGAAAAGGGAGGTCTGCGGTGCTTGTGGGACCATTTTTATCCCCGGAATCGCATGCACCGTAACACAGGAGCAGACCCGGCCCATCATCCCCAAGACGAAGGGCGGCAAAGTTCAAAAGCCCGGGCCATCAGAGGCCGGTAAATGCTTCAAGGTGAAAATCTACTCGTGCCTTCGCTGTTCGAGCAAAACACGGTTGCAGATTCCCTCGAGCAAGGCACGCATGGGCGCACGGAAGCCGGTGAAGACTCCTGTGGTGGAGGCGACAGCAGTGAGGGCACAACTTACACAAACACCAGCTGCGGAGCCAGGTGCTGCGAAATCTGCGGCAGCTCCAGCTACCGCGCCTGCGAATCCTGCACCAGGTGCAACTAATGCCAGCAGTAAGAAAAGAGCGAAAGCACGCAAAGGAGGCCTTCAGGCAATGCTGGCCAGCAGCAAGAAAGAAACCAAGTCGTCCAAGGGCTTTGGGCTTGATCTGATGGATCTCATGCGCAGCGACTGATCAGCGCTCGCCTCAGATCCCAATGGGAAGCATCCTCACATGCCGCAGCGACTCGTAGGGCTGAGGCGCGGAGGTTAGCGCACGGCCCACGGCGGGGCAAATTATCTTCGTCACTCGCCGCCGCCTACTTTTTTTCGAGCAGCTTCTGCCGACTAAGCAATCCTCCCACCCCACATTTGTGACTCCAACTCGCAAATACTTCTTTGCCAGTCGCACGAGTCGCCGCTTTCACGAATTTCCTAAGCACATATTTTCTGCGCCAGATCCCCGCAGCCGTCGGGCTTCAACGAATCGCCAACCCACCCGCGCAATCCTACAACCATGTCGGTCCCAGGTAAGAGTCTCGCGAAGGACCTCTTCGAGGACATGGGCCGTAAGGTCCAGGAGGCTGCTTCCACCATGACTGAGGATGGCGAGCCCACCAAGATCGTCGAGGAAATTGAGAGTTTGTGCATGAACTGCCACGATGATGTAAGTCTTCCAGAATGCACTGCGCGCAAAGGAAAATACTGACAGCGCAACAGGGTACTACCAAGCTCCTCCTTACTCGCATTCCTTTCTTCAAGGAGATTGTCATCATGTCTTTCGACTGCCCGCACTGCGGTTTCAAGAACGCCGAAGTCCAGCCTGCCGGCGAGATCCAGCCCCGCGGCGCCAAATACGTCCTTAAGGTCGAGTCGGAGAACGACCTCAACCGCCAGGTTGTTAAGAGCGACACGTGCATTTTCAGGGTCGAGGAGATTGATCTGGAGATCCCTCCGGGTCGCGGCCAGCTGAGCAACGTTGAGGGCATACTGAGGATGGTCCAGCAAGATCTTGACCAGAAGCAAGAGGAACGGAAACAGGTGGTACCTGAGGTGGCAGCCAAGATTCAGGAGGTCATGGATAACTTGCAGAAGATGTACCAGGGAGAGAAGTTTCCCTTCACCATCACTGTGGATGACCCCGCTGGCAACTCGTGGGTTGAGCCTTCAGTCGGCGAGAGCGGCGCCAAGTTCTCGAAACAGGAGTATGCGAGATCACCCGAGCAGAACACAGCCCTTGGCCTGGCTCCTAACGCCGAAGCCACTGGCCCGGTCGAGGCGCCCGAGCCTACGATGCGCCCCGAGTACCACGCTACGCAGATGTACCCCCAGGCACCCGAACGGCCCATGGTCAACAACGTCGACGATGAGGAGATTGTTGAAAACCAGGTCTACTCGTTCCCTGCTAGCTGCCCTGGCTGCACCAAGCCATGCGCGACCAACATGAAGATGGTCAACATTCCCTACTTCAAGCAGGTCGTTCTCATGTCCACGGTCTGCGACCACTGCGGCTACCGCAGCAACGAGGTCAAGACCGGAGGTGAGGTCCCCGAACAGGGCCGCCGCATCACGCTCTCCGTCGATTCTAAGGAGGACCTCTCGCGCGACATCCTCAAGTCCGAGTCCTGCGCGATGAGCTGCCCGGAGCTCAGCTTGCTCGTCGAGCCCGGAACCATGGGCGGCCGCTTCACGACTGTCGAAGGCCTTCTGACCAACATCCGCAACGACCTGCGGAGCAACATCTTCGGCGATTCGGAGGAGAAGCACGACTCGATCAATCCCGAGAGCCGCGCCAAGTGGGATGCTTTCTTCGCTCAGCTCGACGACGCTATCGAGGGCCGCACCAAGTTCTCCATCGTTCTGTCCGACCCGCTCGCTAGCAGCTACGTCCAGTCCTTCTCCGCCCCCGAGCCTGATGCGCAGATGAAGGTTGAGGACTACGAGCGCACTGCCGAAGAAGAGGAGGATCTTGGCCTGCGGGACATGAAGACTGAGGGCTACGAGGAGAAAAAGGAGGAGAACAAGGAGCAGCAGTCCTAATCGGAAAGAAAAAAAGAGAGAGAAAAGAAAGACGAAAAAAAGGTGAAGCGCACGGGATATATTGATGGTTGAACACATAGGCGTTTGGAAAGAACGGTTCGTCACACTGATTGACACGCAAGGAGATGGATGGTACATGGTTGCACCAAGGACTACGAAAAAGCAGAGCGCTGATGTTGAGGAAAAGAAGAAACCACGGTGGCCTGACATTTTGTTTTCGTTTTTTATGTTGGTTTTCCTGGATACCACGGTATCATATATTTAGCATAGACTCTGAGACATGATAGGGATGAAGAAGAAAAAGACTAATGTTTCCTTGTTATTTTGTGTACCCAACGTCTGAATCATGCAGATGCTTGAAAGGTTACTATTCCTCTTAGCCTTTTCTTTCTTTTGCCCCCCCTCCTTCCGACGGAATGTAGGGTGACTGGCAAAACGAAGCGATTGGATCTATCCACCTTGCATTGCCTCAAACTTACTTCTCATGCATGCAACTCTGCATGTATGCAAAAAAAGACAAAGGCGTGGTTTGTCCGGGATTCACAACACACAACGCCAACTCGGTTTACGAACACTCTGCAGCAATCCGTCAACAAGCAGAGATGGATGCCCTGCCAATGTTCTTTGCGCGGCCGTCACACAAACGCAGCTTTCCGCATACACGAAAGTCAAAAGAGATTCGATTCTCATTTATAGAATACGTTTCTGTGAAGCCCGCGAGAGCTTATTTTTGTGGAGAATTCTGTCTACTAATTTTGCTTCTAAGCCTTTTATGGCAAGCAAGAGGTAGCCTCACCATCCGACCTCCTTAAGCCCCGTTTCCAGACGAGGATGGTCGGAGAGGCAAAATGGTGAAGAAGAGGAAAAAAAAAGTATCAAAACCGTACCCACTCAAGACGCCACTTTTCTGTGTTTTGTCCTCCATGGTAAACCCCCAAAGTTCGCCGATTGACCCCGTCAAGCACTCCAATCTCCAGTTTTACGCCTCAAATAGACGGGGTAGAAGCGGGAAAAAGTAAAACGCAGGGAAGTAGAGGAGCAATTCACCGATGGTCAAGGATGCCCTGCATGCGAAGGGCCTGGTTGGCGTAGTACTCGGCCGTGGCACGGTCCATGCCTCCCCAGTAGTATTCACCACTTCCCTCGCGTGAGTGTACCGTATGGCGGCGAACAGCTGCCACTGGGCTGGAGCTACTACGGTGGCCACGGACACCGCCTCCATAGCGGTACTCAAAACGGTACTCAGAGCCTCCCTAGCACTCGGTGATTGCAAATCAGCGTAAAATGTGTAACAAACAAATTAGAATAACAAGTAAAAACTTCAGAAAACGAATATGGGGATATGACAATACGACATGGACTTCATAACTTCGTGTCTTGGCGAGTTGTGTCGCTCAATCGACGTACCGGACGTGAGGAGGAGGCTGCGGCAGGAGTGAGGGCATTTGCGGGAATGAGCGGGGAGAGCGTGCTTCGAGAGCTGGAGCCGGCGGTGGCAGTCGAGCCACCAGCGGCACCAGCAGTAGTGTTGGTAGCAGAACTACTAGAGGTATTCGCGGCTGCATTGGCACGCATTTGAGCAATGGCATGCAGGCGGGCATTAATGAGCCACTGTTGCTGACTACGCATGGCACCAAGGGCGGCTTCGGTACGAGCCATGTCGGTATTGATACGGAGGACCTCGTTGTGCAGCTGTATGTTGGTGCGTGCCTCGACCTCGGCGATCATGTTGCTCAAACGCGAAACCTCGTTGCGCAAAGTCTCATGCTGCGCGATAAGGTCCTGGTGGTTGGCGTCTGAGATTGGGTTCAAGTTCGTGAGATCAGCAGCGCCAGGGACCTCGTAGGCCGTGGCTCCCGGCGGGAGGGCAACCATAGCTTGTAGAGCATTGAGACCCTGTTCGAGGCACGACACCTGACGACGGAGCTGGCTGTTCTCAGCTTCAAGATCATCCTGGCGCGTCTTCATGCGCTGTAGCATGGGTAGCATCCTAGCGATTGTGCAGCCGCGTTTGTGCTCGTCCATCTGATCTCGCTGGCAATTGTAGTCGCATCCAAAATCCTGCGCGGGACAGTTGATGATTGCTTTAGGGCAATCATTCGAGCGGTGGGCTTCCATCTCCTTGCGGACAACTTCAGAGCCGCAGTCGCGGCAATCGTCCATACGGAAAGGGCACACCTTCAGATGATGCGCCTGTAGAAGCATCCAATTAGCCAAAGACTAAAGCGGCGCCCATAATGTACTCACCTCGAGTTGAATAACCATGACGCGCTCGTCGCAGTACTCGCAGTTGACAAAGTTGTGGAGACATCCCTTATCCAAATCTTTGGCCATGACAGGATGAGAGCATGCGCGGGCCGGACATTCGACCAAGCGGTACTCGCAGGCGAAGTCAATATGGTCCTGGACCTCACAGCGCTGGCCCTGCCAGGCGCAACCCTCGGCCTTGTTCGGGCACTTTACAAGCAACTCGTCCAACATGTTTGTAACGATCCTCGAAACCCCAAGTGGCTCGGCGTCCATGTTCAGCTCGCGGCGACAGGTGGGGCAGCGGGCACCGCTACCCGGGTAGCTGTAGGACTGGCCGATGGCATAGCGAATGTGGTCGCTCAGGCAGACCTCGCAGAAGGTATGCTCGCAAAGGAGGCGCTTGGGATTGACATAGGGCTCCATGCAAATCAGACAGCACAGGTTCTTATCGCAGGGCGCAACGAGCTCGAGTTGGTGGTATTCGACGGGTCTAGCGAAGCAGCTCTTGGGCGGCTGAGAGGCGAAGGCGCGGAGCTCCAGAGGCGAGGGAGCATTGGGCGGGCCGCCGACGACCAGCTCCGGCTGGGAATCCATGACGTTCAGGTCGCTGGAGGTTATGTCTGCGTCGGGGGCGAGCGCGGTGCTGGCTTGAAGGAGCGGCGTGTCGGCGCGGCTGGAAGCGCTGGACCGACGGCTGTCGTCGGCCATGGCGGGGCTCTCTCGAGGGGGCGCGTGGCGGGAGGTTGGGCGAGCGGACAGACCGTCACAGCAGCGCAGTCAACTTTGCTCGGGGCCTGCGCATTATATGGGGGGCGGCGGTGACGGGGTCGCACGAGCGAGGAATGTGTCGAGTTTCTTGCTGGAACTTGACCAGTGCGGGCCGGGGTGACGGAGCCTGGAGCTGCGGGCAAGGGCGGGCGGCGCCGCCGAATCCGGGGCTAGCAGGCCCGGCGCGGCGCATCTCCGACGTCTCACAGCGGGCGCAGCGCAACGAGAGCCTGAGCAACGCGCAGCCTGCGGAGCCCTGCGACCCGCCGAGTCTACTGCAACATTCCAACCCTCCCGCCCGTCGCCCTCTTTATCCCACCACACTGCCGAGCCCAGGCCGCAGCCCGCAATCCCTCTCTGCCGCCGCCGACCCACGCCCGCGACGCAGCCACAATGGCGACGGCCAACCCAGCCCAGCTGCTTCTCCTTGCAGACCACATCAAGCTGTCGCTCCTGGAGCGCCAGCGCGCCGTGTCTTTGAATCTGTCGCCCAACTCGCAAGATGGTCAGATCTCGCGCTCGCTCGAGTCGCTCTCCTCCGGCATCGACGCCTTGGATGCCCAGCTTTCCCAGGACCCGGACGAGTCCGTCACCCACCGCACCGCACCACCACCCTCACCACCACCACCCCTCCCAGCACCATGGCACCGCCTCTCTGCGCCCACCCTCCCCCCATAGTGCATACTCCCTACGTTCCACGCAAGCCACCACCACCACCGCGACTTGCCGAACGACCCCGCCCTGCTGACCCCCAGCCTCTCTCCAGATCCCTCCAAGATCAGGTTTCGCGCCTGCGCGCGCAGTATGACGATCTCTCCGCGCAATTCAGCACCACGGGCGGCAGCAGCGCAGGCGCAGCCACGCTCTCCTCGCCGAACAACCCTGCGCTCTCCGCGGACTTCGCCGCCGCAACCTCGCAACCCGCGCGCAAGAAAGCCGTCCGCTTCACCGACGCCGACGATGACGACGACGTGAATCGCGCCGCCCTGTTCCCTTACCGCGACGACCCAGACGACGAGGGGAGCCCCGACCACTCGGAACTGTCGAACCAGCAGATCCACGATTATCACCGCCAAGTGATCGCGCAGCAGGACGAGCAGCTGGACCGGCTGGGCGAAAGCATCGGCCGCCAGCGCGAGCTGTCGATCCAGATCGGCGACGAGCTCGATAGCCACGTTATGCTGCTGGACGAGGTCGATGAGAGCGTCGACCGCCACCAGAGCCAGCTCGATCGCGCCGGCAAACGCCTCGCTAAGGTCGGCCGTCGCGCGCGCGAGAACTGGAGCATGACTCTGATTGTAGTTTTGATCGTGATTCTGGTCTTGTTGATTGTCATCACCAAATAATTGGTCCCTCCACATTCTTCTTAGAAAGAGATGATTGCCGCGCTATTATTTCTTTCGTGGAGCTTGTGAGGAGATTTTTTTTTCCCCGGTTCTATGCAGATGTAGAAATCTGATAGACTATGAGTGTTGGGTAAAGGGAAGATCATGCACCCGAGATGCCTGCATCATCCCGTTGTACAGATTGGCCTTTGCGCCAATAGGCTGGAGGCAGTTGCCCGATTGATACCTCGAAACAATCGTGGCGTTCGATCTGGTCTGTTTCCTTTTTCCTCGGGTTGCTTTTTTTTTCTCGTCTTTTGGCATGGGTTCGGCGTTGAAACGGCTGGTTGGAGAATGGAAAGTAAGGGACATGGGTAAACCTTGTGGGAGAAAAAGGGAAAGCGGAATTCATTCCTCTTGAAGAGGGAGTAAATACCGCAGTGCCCCGGCAGGACTTAATGGCCTAGGTACATCATCACATACCAAGCTGCGATACAGCGCACGCGCAGAGTTCTACTTCTTGTCAACATATGCCTTGTATTTTCCGCTCTCCTCGTCATCTAACCTCTTATTGCATGGCAACGAACGCCGCGCGCCTCTCTCGCTCCGGTAGGGAGACTGGGGTCGTTGAGACTACAAGTCTAAACCACTTGAGATAACCGTCCTCCCTATCGTACACCAATCCCACCCGTGTTGCCTCTCTCGAGGTGCAAAATATCAATCAACCACCCCGCCAGCGGCATCTCGAGACTCCTGTAGCAAAACGAAAAAAACCAGCGTAGTGAATCCATCCTCCCCATGGTTCCTGTCTAAATGGCAGACGTACATGTCGCACGCAAGCTCAATGCACACACCAGCAAAACGCCGTGCTCCCGCAGGTATAAATAACAGACATAAGAGACAGGGTATGATTGTGAAGAATCGTAAGTTGTGTCTGGTAAAGACCGTTCTTTTGTTTTTCTCCTGTACTGCCTCAAGTCACCACCTCCTTTGTACTGTTCTTCCTCCCCAATCCAGCCCCTTCCAGTAATCTCCCATAGAAGACCAAGCCCGGGTTGGTGGGATTTGGAGAATGGCGCTGCAGCTGTGGGACGAACGAAACGGCTCGGAGGGTGAGCCGCAGGGGTATCTCTACTGAGAGAACAAAAAGAACTTCGCGCCCAGACTGGGAAGCGGCGCGTAGGGTGCTCTCTGAACGAGCTCGATATTGGGCCAGCGGCGATCTTGTGGCTGGCAACGATTTCGGCAATTTTCGGGTTGCCTATGTTTTGGGTTTCTAGTTTGTTTTGGAAGGTCCTCAGTGAAGTTGTAGTGCTTGCTTGGACTTCTCGTAGACGACATATGTGATTGACACGGCCGGCACGACCTTCAGGAGGTTAGGTGTAAGACCCCTAAAGAGTCCCCGGACGCCTTCGCCCTTGATCGTCTGGCGCGTGACATCCATGATACCTGTGTACGTCCTTGGATGCAGGACCGTGCCCTGGCTTTGCAATCTCGTGCGAAGCAAGTTCATTGGGTAAACAAGGCTTGCACCGAAAGCGCCGCTGAATCCACCGATGCCTGCGGTCATGAAGCTGCCTGGTTCGGCCTGTTCCTCGTGACATTGACGTTTCTCGGCGTTGTAGGTCGTGACGGCACGTTTGAGGTACTCGAAGGTTCCTAGGTCGACGGCCGCATAGGGGAAGATTCCAAAAAGACCCATTGGCAGACCGCGGTAGAAGGATCGGATGCCGTCCTTCATCCACATCTTCTTGGCGGTTGCTATAATTAGCTTATTTCCGTGAAGACCGCCGGAGACGGTTTCGCATTGCATGCGGCTACGCAATGACGTCAGTCTCTATACGAACCAGCGGAAAATCTTGCACCTTTGGTTACTTACAACTTCAATGTGTCCAATGGATATACCACAGCCCTAGTCATGATCAGAAGCGTCGTTCCCCTCGGGCCGGGGAAAAGGCGGGCCATGCTTACTGAGAAACCATTCCTCCGAAGCCGCCGGCCATGAATTTCGACCAGGTGTGGATGTCTCGCGGATTTCCATGACCCTCGATCTTGGCGAACATGCGTTTTGATGCCTATGCTTGGTGAGAACAGTTCGTCCGAGTTCTCGCGTGACGCGTACCTCGAATGCGCCGAATTTGACGGCTGATTCCGGCATGACCTTGACGACGTTCAAGCCATTGCCTAAGCTCCAGTCAGCTACTGCGACGCCGCATGTGATCCGTCGCAACATACCGGCGTAGAGACTGCGCATTCCGCCGGCAGCCCACAGCTCTTTGGTAGCATTCACCAGGGACATGATGCCTTGTTTCGCGGCCGAGACGGGGGCGCCCGATTTCGCAGCGTGTACAGCAGGTTTGGCGGTGCTTGTTTGCGCGATAAGATATACTTTCAAGCGATCGAGGGGAGCGGTGGTTGTACGCGAGACGATGCCAGCGACACCTCCCGCCGCAAAGTAGCCTGGATTCGGGACGCAAGCAGTCAGCACCGGCTCCACATGCGCATGCCAAAAATTCTCGGCGATCTCGGGCGCGGCGGTCGAGGCTTCCACGAGGCCTACTTCGGGCGGGAGGAGGGGCTGCTGCACGGTCGCTGGGCGCTGCGGGGCCGGTGGCATCAATGCAGAAGTTTCACTCTCGCGCTCGAGTGGGGGCAGGGTGGTGGGGGTGGAGTGGGAGTTTGCAATGGCGATGAGCGAGCCAAAGAAAGCGTGGAGTAGCCAAGTACCTAGTCCGTTGATGAGCTCGTCGTTGACAGCGACGTCGCCCTCCGGGTTCATCTGCACCGTCGACGAGTAGTACGAGAGCACCGCCTTGAGGCTTGGGGTTTCGGCGGGTATGAATAGAAGAAAGTCGCTGTGCGGGCGAGGGTCAGCGGGCGCAGAGCCACGGGTCGCTCGCGCAAACGTACCGCCATTCTTCGAAACTGATGACGCCGTCCTTATTGCTGTCGACCTCGGCGAAGAATTGGTTCAGCTTGGAGTGCGGCACGCGGAGGCCTGCGCGCACAAAGGCCGTCTGCAGCTCGCCCTTTTCCAGCCTGCCATCGCTGTTGCGGTCGATGCTCTGGAAGAGCTGCCAGAGCTCGTGCTCGGTCTGCCGGACGAAGCGGTGGAATTCTTGCGGGCCGTAGTCAGTGTCGCCCACGGGCAGGAGAGCGCGGGGGAGCTAGCTGACCGGAGTAGGAAATCTCGCCGTCGCCATCGGTGTCGACGCTCTTCAGCACGTCCTTCAGGAGGTGGTCGGCGTTCTTGAGCGCTGGGCGAGGGTCAGTCAGCGGGCGCGCAGCGGGCGGGCGGACGACGAACGGTGGTCAATCTTGCGCAGGCCGCGCTTGAGGCCATTGATGTCGAGATGGCCCTGTTTTCGGGTGTCGAGCTGGGTCCATAGCGCCTCAACCCGCGCATCCTGCGCATTGGCGGATTCGAGGATCATGGTCGGTCGGGGGTTATCTGGGCTGTCGCAAGGCCATTTCACGCAGCGAGGGAGGCAGGGCCCAGTGGTCGAGGGAGAGGACGGGAGTGCTCTGCGGCAAGCTGAGGCCGCGAAAAGCGCATGGAAGCTTGGTCAAGTGGGGCGTTGCTGGGACTGAGGTGCCGCGGAGTCTGACAAAGGCCAGCGTGCGAATGGGCGGCCGCGAAAAGCCGAGCCAGCGACAACACCAGACGCCTATCCCTTAGCCCGCCCACCCCGCCCCCTGCGCCGATCGCCCCCCGATTCGTCCCCGTTGTCGCTCTCTGCTGTCTCTCGAAACGCCTCCCAAGCCCGTGCACGCCTTTTCTACCCGCACGGCTCCACATCCAGCTCCTCGCTATGCCTGCAATCCGCCCGTGACAGCTGTCTGCCTGCCGCCATGTCTGCCAGCTACTGGAGCTCCAGCCAGCGCCGGTTCTGGACGTATGCTAAGCCTGAGCTGGCTCAAATTCGCCGCAGCCTTGAGGATGAGAACAAGGAGCTGGTCCAGAAATATCCGCTTCCAGATCGCCGCCTTCTGCATGTCTATTTCTGCAGCCGTAGGCATGCCTCCTCTGCTGCCACGTACACAGGCTCACACTCGTCGCAGAGCTCAACAAACTCGTCCGCAGATTGAAACTGTCTCAGCAAGCCGTGGCCACCGCTCAGGTCTACATCCGCCGCGTTTACACCAAGATCGAGATCAGGAGGACCAACCCCAACCTCGTCATCGTCACTGCCCTCTACCTTGCTTGCAAGATGGAAGAAAGCCCCCAGCACATCCGCATGATCCTTGGCGAGGCCCGGCAAGCGTGGCAAGGTAGGCTCTCAACTCACTGTAACTTGATTGCGAGCTCACCTCCCTAGACATCATCCTTCCCGACACCTCGAAACTCGGCGAGTGCGAATTCAGCCTCATCTCGGAAATGAACTCCCAGCTCATCTTGCACCACCCCTACCGCAGCTTACTGGACCTCCAAACCAGCTTCAAGCTGACGCACGAGGAGTATGCCCAGGCGGAATACGTCATTAACGACCATTATTTGACAGACCTGCCCCTGCTCCATCCACCCCACGTCATTGCAATCGCTGCCATGGTCATTGCCGTGACACTGGGGCCCACGCAAGCGGGTATCAACATGCTGACTGCCGCAAGTATGCAAAATGCAATGGCGGGCCTTTCCCAGCAGCAAACGGGAAATGCGGGAGCATCCCCTGTCAGGATGCAACACCTGATGAACTGGCTGGCAGACTCAAGCGTTGATATCGAGGCTGTGGCTGACTGTGTCCAAGAGATGGTCTCCCTGTATGAGGTTTGGGAGCAGTACAATGAGAAAATCTGCAAAGACCAAATCAACAGGTTCATCAAGGCCCGAGGTCTGGAGAAATGAGGAGGCTCACTGGCCGCATGGAATTCCCTTTCTATGTATAGAACCAAGGAGGCTTTTCAGCTTCCGAAGAGGCCGCCCCAGCCTGCTTGGTGATGTGTTCACAGCCACAGCCACTGCCTCAGCCTTGTCTATTTTCCGAACCCCATACGCCAGTCCTGTAGTGGCGTAGCTCATGCTCCACAGCTTTGGGGTCAAGGCTCGAATGTCACCTCCAAAACTCTTCTCAGTGGATTGACACTTTCTGAGGTTAGATGTTTGGGATGCAGCTCATCCCCCAATGCTGCGAGCAACGGACCTGCGCAGACAGAAGCGTCTATTTTTCACATCGACAAGGGCTCCCTTCTTCCTGGGCCGGCCGTCTAAGAATGTTCATGGCCCCAAGGCGCTGTCGTGTATCACGACTCTCTCATGTATCACAAAAGGGATATCTCTAGGCAACCGTCCATTTGCCTGATGTTTCAACTTGGCCCCCAGGAAGGCCCCATGATGAGTATAAAATCTGTCTCTACCGCGGCTTGGAGACGAGACAGACAACACAAGCATCCAAGAATTCCTTGTGGTCGTGTACGACAGCATCAACCAGACGAGCCTCGCACTTCGGTCTTAACACGGCAATGGAAAACCCAAAAGACGATATGGAAATCTCTCGGAAGTCGAGATTGCGATACGCACAACTACAATCGATCCTCCTCATACTAATCCTTGGCCTCCTCGTCACCATCACAGCCATCATTATTTGTGTCATCAACCGTATCGAAGGGATTCTTGGGAAAGTGAACATTTAAGCCGAGCCAACACAGAACTTGTCGAATTCTACCACGCATTTGAAACAATACCATATACCGCGAAAGAGGGTCTCGCACAACGTTATTCTACAAGATGAAGTCACGCCGCATTTCCTTTCTTCGCTTCCTTCCCCTTTTCTTTAACTTGTGCCTTTGAGAGGAGATCACCATGGAGAAAGCGTCAGCACAAATGGCTCCGGGGTAAACGGTTCATTGTGTTCGTCAAATATGTACTTTAAAATCACAAAGCCAGTCATCATCCTCCAAATCCTGTCCCGATCCTGCTCGCATATCGCATTTAGCAAGTCTGCGAAGAAGCAGGGGTGCCACTCGCGTAAGCCCCGCCGGCATCCCCAAGGCACTCGGCTAACCACAGTCAGCACTTCGTCGTTCACTGCTAAACAGGGGACAAGGGGGCATCGACTCACCGACGGTCACGAGCTTCAAGTTGTTCTGGCTGGCCCAGTTGATCAGCCACGGCACGAGCTGGGTCACGGTCGACTGGTAGGTTTCGTGCATGAGCGGGATGTGGCCGTTGCCGCCGGCGCCGGCGTTGGTGAACTGCTGCTGGCTCTGGGCGACGCTGTAGCCGTTCCAGTCGCCGCTGTCGACGTCGTCGGTGATGATGCGGTAGCCGAGCGTCTGCATGGTCGACTGGACGCTGCCGCCGGTGGCGAGGTACGGCGGCCGCATGTACGTCGGCTTCTTGCCGATGATACTGACGAGCGCGCCCTCGAGCTTCTGCATCTGCGTCGTCAGCTCGGCCGCGCTGAGCGAGCCGAAGTTGGACGGGTGGCTCCAGCTGTGCGAGGCGATCTGGTGGCCCGAGTTGTACGCGTTCTGCAGCGCCGTCTTCTGGTTGTAGATGCAGCCTGGTTGGTGCACGCGTCAGCTTGCTGTATGAACTCGCCTGTAAGTTCCCATAACCCCCTTGCTCAGATGGAGAACCAGTTCAAGCATGCCGTTGCAGCCTCAATGCTGGCTTCTTAAACTGCGATTGTCTCTGGAGGCTACGATTCGCAAAACTTACCATAGAGCGTGCCAGTCACAAAGAAGGTTCCCTTGGCTCCGGCAGCATTGAGTGTGTCAACCAAGGTCTGCGTATACTGGTATGGTCCGTCGTCGAACGCCAAAGCCAACATGCCTGACGAAGAGCACTTCGTGATGATTTGGCCGGCAGCCGGACCGGCGCGCTTGAAGGCCTCAAGCGGGCTAGGGACAGGAGTGGCGGTCACCAGCGCAGCGCACGTAAAAGCCAGGAACGTGGAGATATGCATGGTTTCGATGGTGCACACAGGAATAGGACCTGAAGCTCGATTGAGGAGGGGCTGTTTGGTTGAATGTTTGGAAACTGTTTCCTGGAAGGACCTTGCGTTTTATAATGCAGATGAATGTACTGGAAACGAGTCAAGTCGTGCAACCGCTTAGGCCTCTGGAAAAGGCGTTGCGGACCGTCGGCTCGCGTACATCTCTTACAGGGCCAAGCAGAGCGTGGGGCTCCTAAGCATTTCAGCCTGTACCTTAGCGACCAGCCTCATCTTCCCCAGATTTTTGACCGCCCCGCAAATGCCATGGCAGAAGCTCCAAGTCCTAAGAAGATTGAATGTGTCATGGTGCAGATGCGTGTCTAGAGGTTTTTTTTTACCCGTACATTTAGCCGTGTTCAGCTAGATGCCGCTTGGGGAAGCTTGGTATCCTGCATTTGGTGTGGGAGTTCTCGTATTAGGTTTGGGATACCAAGCCAAGATGTGGCGGCCCCTGAAACGCGCCGGATATATCGAAGTATAGTAGAGCTCGCATGATACACCGGTCTGGATTTCTACATCCGCCATCTTGGACATTTAGGCTATAATTGCACCATAAATGTTCCTCATATGACTACGTGATGCAAGTCATACGATGACGGGCGAAAGGATGTATACCTGAGAACAACATCAATAAAGTATTGCAAGCAAAGGTGTAGAACTCGTACGCCACTAGCTCTTTAATTCCGGGTAAATAACCAACACTGGTAGAGAATGGATCTTAAGTTACGAAGACGAAAACACGACAAACGCAACTACCATCGAATAGGATATAAGGCCTGTAGATCTATATATCTAAACTATAATATTGTTAGTTACTTAAATAGATGTATGCAATAGAATAAAGATGTTAATAGGTTCCAGAGGCCGGCAGTTTCTCGGCTTTTATTTATTTCAGATTATATTGTTTTTGCGTTTTTGCAACACGCATCTACAGCAGATACCTGAGGTCGCATCTGGCCTTAAAGATCAGGTCGCTTAGCTCAGTTGGTTAGAGCGTGGTGCTAATATTGGCAGTCCTCCAAGAGGACTAAGAGTTAACGCCAAGGTCGCGAGTTCGACCCTCGTAGTGACCATCCTGTTCTCTTTTTGTTCTTGGGCATGTCTAGATGGAGACATTGCGCAATTGTTTTGTAGATTGAGGCAACTGCACAGGTCATTGATGGTGATAGGGAGCGCTTGGGAACAGTATCTCGGTGAAAACAAGACACGAGTGTACAGGCAGTTTGCCCGTTTCTCCCTCTCTTTGAGATCGAGGACATCTTTTTTGTGGTTTGTGCTAAGTCTAGTTGTAGGAGCCTGTGACGACGTAGATCGGAGTCGGCTCGGGCCCTCCGGAGGGACGAGTCCCTTCATCTGCCCCGCGAACACGATCGATTCGTCATCAACATCAGGCATTTTGCTACAACCCATACAAGAGAATCAACTTGCTGAAGCTGCCGCCAAAGTGGAGCAGCTGCACGTTGCCTTGCAAAGAAGAGCCAGGAAATACGGGGAAACCAAAGTGACTCTTAGTTTTGGATATCACCATGGCTATTGCTGTAGGTACAACCAATGTCTTGATCCGCGCTCGCCACATTGTTTTTTTTTTTTTTGAATATTCTTTCAATTTCTCGCCTCCTACCTCTGGAGAAGACGGAGGGATCTTCGGACAGCATGCTCTCAATTCTGTTGCAGAACGTACTCACCCCCACTTCTGACTCTATACTTTCGACCGGGCATCAGTTCCACCTAGCAGCTCTTTTGCACATTATCTTGTTCATTATCAGCTTTTAAAATCCATCCGAACCTAAGATGCTGATATTTTGCTTTACAGGCAGTTGGTCAGATATGCTCGACGGCGAGCATGGCGCACAACCTCAAGCTATGCAGCCAACTGGTCGCAAAAGCAGCAGCGGCAGGTGCAAAAGTCAGCAACACTCTGCCGCCTTCAAGTCTGTTTCGAGACTTACAGGACTCGGTCTGCTGACGCACCTAACAGGCACTCTTCCTCCCCGAGGCCAGCGACTACATCGGCTCGTCACCGGCGGAGACGGTCTCGTTGTGCAAGTCGGTGCAGGAAAGCGAATTTGTGCTCGGGCTGCAAGACGAGGCGCGCAAATCCAAACTGCCTATCAACGTGGGCATCCACGAGCCGGCCGATGGCGGAAATAAAGTCAAGAACACCCTCATCTGGATCGACGAGCGCGGCGACATCGTGCAGCGGTACCAGAAGCTGCATCTCTTCGACGTCGAGATCAAGGGCGGCCCAATCTTAAAGGAGAGTCAGTACGCTTCCCGTCTCGCGCAATTCAACCTGCACTTCTTCCCTTGACGCCATCGAACTGACCATGTTTACCTCATAGGAGCGTGGAAAAGGGAACGTCCATCCTCCCGCCTTTCGAGACACCAGTCGGGCGCATAGGCATGACTATCTGCTTTGACGTGAGTACCCACCACCATCCACAGGAAGAGATAGAGGAAAAGGGACCGAATTGCTAACGGGCAGCCAACTACACGCGGCGAGAATAGCTACGCTTCCCCGAAATCTCGCTCGCGCTGCGCCGCCAAGGCGCCCAGGTCCTCGTCTACCCGTCCGCCTTCACGGTGCCGACGGGGCGGGCGCACTGGGAGTCGCTGCTGCGCGCGCGCGCCATCGAGACGCAGTCGTACGTCATCGCCGCCGCGCAGTCGGGCTTCCACAACGAGAAGCGGTGCTCCTACGGCCACAGCGTCGTCGTCTCGCCCTGGGGCGAGGTTGTCGCCGACCTGGGCGGCTTCGACGCCCTCGACGGCTACAACGAGGTCGGCCGCCAGCCGCCGCCCAGCTTGGCCCTGGTGGATTTGGATCTGGCCTTCCTGGAGAAGGTCAGGGGAGAGATGCCGCTCCTGAGGAGGACAGACGTGTACCCCGAGGTTTGATTAGCGTATCAAGTAGAGGTTTGTCGGTCCAATGACGAGAATAGACCATGTGCATAGAGATTACTAGAATTGATGTGAACCATCACTCCGTCTGATTTCCCCCCATCTTGGCCCTGGACGTGCAACTCATTTGCATTCCCAACTCAACACATCTCTTGGCCCGATCCCAAGCATAGTGTACGTCTCGCCCTCGAAACCCGCGACACTCAGCGCCATCCAGGCCCTTTGCCCGTCCACTTTACCACCGACGATGCCCTTCCTCACAGACATCCATAATTGTAATAGAAAAGCCGAGGGGACGAGTCCGCGCCACCGCAGTCTCGTTACACCCCCAACAACCGGCGCATCTGCATCTCCATCGGACCGGTACGGCATGGGAACTTCGTAACGGCTGAGAAAGCTGTCGATGTCGTCGGTGGCATTGATGCGCGGCGACTCCAGACTGACCATGCCGAGCCATTCGAGCACCTCCGTGCTGTACTCCGAGTCGCAGAGATCAGCAACAGAGGTCAAGGCAGGAGTCTTTACTTGAGGCAGATGGAGACGGTCCGGCCGTGACGTCAGGACTTGCGGCGAGTGGGTAAGAATGGGGCCTAATATCGGGATACTAGTGAGCCTTTGCTGGTTGCTTCATCAGTTTGGGGGTTTGCTGTACTAACCCGAAGGAGGCTGGCCGGGGCTCTGGACATCGTGGAAAAGCCATGTGAGAGAGCGATTTAGGACGTTCTTGAAAGCCCAGACGATGCGCTCGAATCCCTTTTTGCCGTGCAGCATGGATGGTCGGCGAAGTTCCAGTTCAACGGCTGAGGCGGCGTTAACATTTTGTGCTCGAGTCACGGAAGCCAGCGTGATGCGTACCAAACCTTTCCTTTGTGTGCTTCCTGCCTCCATGCGGTATCGGCTTTCCCACAAGTCCACATTTTTCGTAAGTTACGCGATCAAGCTCGAGCCTCAATACGCCTGAGAATGGGTCACAGTCAGAACCCCGCTGATGGCGATATTAAAAGGAAAAGGACAGGTACCTTCACGAAGCGAGAAGACGTTGTCGATTCCTCGGCGGCCTTCGGAGAGCATCAAGATGTTTCCTATGAGACAAGTTAGTATTAAAAAAAAATTCCACCATGGCAGTAGTGTTTAGACTCACCAGTCTTGATGTAGTGGTTGAAGAAATCGCCCTCGATAATTTCACCAAGAGACATGTAAACTCTGGCATAGTGAAACTCGCCTACAGTGCCATCTAGCTCCTTTCGTACTACTTCATAGACCTCATCGGGCAGTATTAGATCGGCCTATCTCCTAGTCAGCGCGAATAAGTCACGTGGCGACGGGGTGTGCGGCGACAAACAGTGTGGGAGAAAGGCTGGGCCAGGATCATGTTGAAAGGTTTTTTCTTGGTCGGCGGCTGCTTATCATCCACGTGCTCGCCAAGCATGGCATGAGTAAAGTAACATTTTGCCGATGGCGCGTTGTCGTTCACTATGTCGAGCATTTTGGTGGGTATCAAGAATAGGTTGTAGGGTGAGAGAGTAGGCGTCGTCGCAGCGAAACTGGTTCAACCCGGTCCGTGCGGGCTTTCCGCTTCTGGTGAGCATGGTCAAGACTATCCCTGTTGAGGCCGTGATAGCACGCATCACACACTCACTCAGCACATTCATCACATTGGTCACAAGCACGTGGAACCCGTTTCTCAGAAATAGTTGGTTCTTTAGGTGTCGTGTTACAAGACCCTGCCTGCGTTGCTCATACAGGACGGTAGGTCCCTCTTCATTAACACACATCAAAATCCAAGACACTCCCCTGCGCCTTCGCTAATGCACAGCCCAGTCCGTTATGCAACGCCAAAAACAGTAAACCCAAAAACACGTCGGATGGCCACAGGCTACAATCTTTTCAAGCCCCTCCGAGGTCCAAAAGCTCCACGGTTGTACCGCTTCAAACAATATCCTGCAGCCTTGAAACGCCGCATCTCGTGTCGGTCCTTCCGCGCCGCTTCTGGTGAATACCTCAACGCACCAGCCGTCTTCTCAGGCGCCCAGCCAAAGGACAAGGTATTCAAACGGCCATTGAGCGATCCATGAGAAGACGAGCTTGACGGAGGACGCTCTGGACTATGCGATGACTGCATAGTGCGCTGCGGAGTTTGATATGCGGCTTGCTGAGCGAGGCTGGCAGCGGTATGCCTGGTGATGCGCATAGGTGCATTTGCCGTGCCGGGCGTCTGTATGCTTGCGAGAGGCGTGCTCGGGAACTCGAACGAGCTCGCGGATGCAGAGTCCTGCGATGCAACCGTGGTATTGATGGCTGACGGTGTTGGTGTCGAGAAGCTGGGCGGTGCGGGTATCCAGTCCTCAGAGTCGCGCCTCGAGCCAACGTTCTCTTCCATCTCCGCTGTTGCGGCTGCCGACACCTTTTGCGTCATTCTGGATTTACCCTTGGCGCTCCTCCTTCCCTTGTCTCTCGCCCTCGGCTCTTCGACAATCATCTCAGACTGCGTGGCACCATTTTCGGCATCGCCCCTCTCCTCCACTTTCTCCTCGCCTCTCCCCCTAGCCTCGTCAACGTGCTGCCGCAGATCCCTCGGAATCTGCGCATGGATGCCCGTCATCAGCCGCGCCCGCCTGCAGAACGCGTCCCAATCCTCCTGCAGCAGCGCGCCGGCCTCGGCGTTGAGCGCGCTGGCCGGATTGGGCTGGATGAGCAGGCAGCTGATGGTGACGAGCACATCCCGCAGCGTCAGGCTGGCCTGCCAGTCGCGCTTGAGCGTGTCGACGCACACGGCGCCCGTCGCCTCCTCGACGTTCGGGTGCCAGATGCGCGTCCGGAAGTGCGCCGTCGGTGGCGCGTTCGGGTACGTCGCCGGCATCTCCAGGTGCAATCGGTACAGGCCGGCCGCGTACGGCGTGCCCTCGGGTCCTGCCAGCAGGATGTCGAGTTGCGTCAGGTCATCCGATGGGTCGGTGTGCGGTGCGAAGAGGTAGTTGGGCGGTAGGTCGGCGTGCAGTGTGGCGTGGTCGCCGGCGAGGCGGCGGAGCGAGCGCGAGTTCATTCTCGGCGGCGAAAAAAAGAAAATGCGATTGAAATCCTAGGAGATGCGACTAGAGGGGAGAGCGGCCGAAGATGGGTAGGCGTGAGAATGCTGGGGTAGGTGACGGTGGGATGTGTGGTCGAGGAGGGGAATGTGTTGTTTACTGGGGTGCTGTTCTGCGGTGCGACAGCCGCAGTTGAGCCAGCCGTGTGGATGGATTGAAGCGCCCTGGCGCGCGGGTGACGCGCGCGCGCGCTCGTTTCGCGCCGCGTCTGATGGCTGCTGGGCACGTCTGCACCAACCACGGGTGGCAGACCCTTGCAGCTATATACGAAGCTTCCCTGACAAGCTTTTGGCATCTCGTCTGCTGCACGTTCACGCTTTGTGGCTGAATCCATTCTTGCGTGTTCTTTCATAGCTACGCATGCATTCATACAACTACCATTCTTTGCATCAGGACATGTACTCAATTTGTAGAGAGCGCCAACACTGTCATAAAACCCGCAGCTATAGCAGTACCGTGTAAGAACCGCTAGTGAAAACCCATTGCGCCCGATAAATGCACCCAAACCCACAAGATGAAGACCCGGAGCAAACAACCCCAAGAACCCCCACCCCAGCGCTGAATCGATTTTAGGGAAAGTCACAAAGGAGTCCGGCCCGATGCCGAAAGTCGAAAAGGTAGCTTCTTGCCAGGACACGGACGAAGAAGGAGTCCGGATGCGTCTAGGATTGCTTTATCTCGCTTAGGCCTCGTCAGAGGCATTGGTCAGAGAAAGGTATGCGGTCCACGCAATGCCAATGGTGGAGACAAAGGGCTGTGGAAAGGGGGCCGTTAGCAGACGTCTTGCAGTCAGGCATTTGGAGAATCCTACAATTTGGTACTGGATGGGCATCAGACGGAAGTTGATGATTTGCACCGCTGGCCACACCACGTAATTGGCCTTCAGGGAAGGGACGTAGACATCCTGGAACTTGCGCAACACGGCGCGCTTGTCACCGCCTTCTGCAAGAGTCATGAATGTGAAGAAGCACCCGAGACCTATAACAAATACCGTTAGCTCGCATTTGCGTGAAGATGACGCACGCGACATACCAAATGGTGCGAAGATGAACTGGTCCAGAGCAACACGCTTCAGCGCCGGGCCCAACTTGGCAGTTTTGGTGATGGGGAAGTTCCTCGACAAAAAGCCGAACCATTTGTGCTGCACCGGCGCCATCAGGAAACCATAAGCCATGAATCTGGTCAGTCGCTCGAAGTCGAATGGAGGAGGCAGACGCCTTGAATCCGGGATGAGCTCATCGTCAGGATACGGCATCTTCTTGTCCAGCTCATGGATTTCAATAGCGAAGAAGTCATCCTTGTCAACACCTCCAGGTTTGCGCACCGCCCGCTGCCGGATTGCCGTCAAAGACTGTGCTACTGTGTCTGCGATGCCACCGAGAACCTATCGCTGTGTTAGCTCGCATGTGTATTTTGGTCCGAACGCGGTATCATATTATAGGAGAGCGCAGGGCGAGCCGAGGGATGACGTACGGCGTTCGTTATCATGGTGGTAAGAACTGGTCGCAGACAGTCAGCAGGCATCCCGCGCTGGATAGTTCCAGTTGAGCTTACCCGGGCGGTTCGCATAGTAGGTGTTGAACTTGCGCGAAAGGATGGATACGGCGGCCATTTGGAGGAGGAAGACAATAGCGTGTAGGAGAGGCTGCGGTTGCGACCAGCGGAGTCAGTACCAGCTTGGCGGCGGAAGAAGCGGCGCAAGGTTCGCTGGGATTCCATGGGAGCACGTACAATACTGCCGTAGATATAGCGGCTGTTGAGGGTGCGCAAAAGGCGGCGTCGTTGTCCTTCAATCATTGTGAGAGGTGTGGCGGTGGAGTATCGGGTTCGTAGTGACGTCGTTGTGAGGATCGGTGGTAGGCGCGAATGCGCTCCTGGCGAGGGCAGACTGGCAGGCAGCTGAACAGCTAGTTGAGTGGCGTCGGAACAGCCAGCGCTATCGTCACCGCACACGGGTAATGGGTATCGTCTGGTCGCGGCGGTCGCGCTGAGGTGTTGTTTCAAGGGATACTTGAGTGCAGGAGGGGATGCGAGTTGGTCGGAGGATGTTGTGAGGCGGAGTCGTCGCTCATCCCGCGCGCTTCCTTACTCTGGCTCTGATCTAAAATCAGCTGCCAGATCCGTCCCTGCATTCCCACCCAACCACAGCATCCGAGCGCACAACCAGGTGAGCTCGGCTTGCGCTATTCTTCTTCACAGCTCTTGAATGTTTCTATTCATCTAGGTATCTTATCTTCGGCATTTCATGGAACCCTCTGCCAACAATACAGTCACGGGATGCGTAAGCCCGAAACGCGTCCGATGCATTGATCCCAATACCAACGCACCCTCCAACATAGTCTTCTTCCACCAAAGCGCAAGGTTTCCCGTCTATGTCTTACGCGCCACTAGGTCTCCTATATGACACAATGAGCGGGAGATCATGGATGTCCGTGTACTCCTCCGTCTGGAGGTCAATCAGGCGCAGGGCTTCCAAATTGAGTATGCCGTCCTTGAAGGGCTCGAGCTCTATCTGAGTATTTTTGCACGCGGTCGGCGCCAACGTCCTTGGATGCTAATCAGCAAAACTCTTTTACTAGATCCGTTTGAAATTACTTACCCGACATGGAGGCCCCTCGACGTGTGGAGGAGCAAGTCTGGCGACTGTCCAACGGCAAGAGCCTTGAACACAACCTGGAACTCCAGCCGGCGCTCGCGGTCAGAGCGATTGACAATGAATACATCCCAGACAAAAGGCTCCGCGACGTAGACGCGTTCCGGCCCAACAATAGTTACCGCGACATCGATGTTTCCTCCCGACGAGGAGTCCTGCAGGCCGTTTTCCATGTAGGGAAGAGAATCAGGTCCTGGCTGCTTGGACGAGGAAGAGGAGTTGATGCTGCTTATGTTTCTCTGATGTGCTGAACGGCCGAGGAGATGGTCCGGGACCCGGAGTTTTGATTTGAGCACGTGGGCGATGTCGACGTTTGTTCTCCAGTCGATGACAACTTCAGGCTGACATTCTTCTGATAGGAGGATCTTCGCTCTTATTCTGACATCCAATGCATGGATGTTCATGGGCACTGTGTAGTCCTTGGACACATCGTTCGGTATCAGCTTGTACAGCAGGGCAACCTGATCGCCGGACTTGTAGACATTCTCGCGACCGCCGCCGAGGTTCTCTCCACAGGACTCTACGCGGCCATCCGAAAGAGCAAGTTCGACCTCGTTCAGGCTCAAGCTGTAGCCAGCCATGCCGGTTACTTCAAAATCGAAGGATGCGAAAATCGAGAGATCTGACACGGGAGCATAGCTCTTCGTGTACCGGATCCTCCATGCAAGCGCCGGAAATGCCCGAAAAGTCCGCCTGCTGGCGTTCTGTAGTGGGCGCAAAAGGTCGCGTTCTACTGACGGGGCTGGGGCAACCTTTGTGATGCGCGAGGCGGACAGATGCGGTTTTACTCCCTGGAGCGCAGGATCTCTGGCAAAAGCTTCTAACAAATTGCCTGACAGAGGAGCTAAGCTCGGTAAATACTCGTCATCCAGGAGTTCTGATTTCACCTGCTGCACAGGCTTCAGAGATGCCCCTACTGAGAAATAAACGACCGGTTTTGGTAGTCTTGATCGCGGGTGCCCTGGAGCCAATTAGACCTGGTCTGCAGTCGTTCAGCGCTGGCATTACCTATGAAGATTTCGACCTTCCAGGCTACATAGCAATACTCTTGCGAGTTGCCATTTTCGTAAGTCACCCCTCGGGAAGAGAAGAGAACCGGCTCTGCTGGATTCTGGACAGTGGCAGAGTGGAGAAGTTCCTTCAGCGGAGGAGCATGCGGAGCACCTGTGTGGGACAGGGGAGCAGTCGATGTAGCATAGGCCTCGACGTTGAGGGCAAGCCTCCCTAGGTAGGATTTGAGGGTGTTTTCATCGGTAGTTGGCGTCCGGAGGACCACGTAAACAGGAACAAGTTCATCTAGATTCCTAGGAATGAGTAAGAAGTTTGCTTTAGGACTGTGCCCAGTTCCAAGCGCATACCAAAGAATAGAAACTGTCGTTGCGATAGAAAGGGTAGGATCGATGTGCTAGCTTCGTTTATAGTGCCATCCCATGCACCGAGCGACTGCTGGAGATCAGCTGCCGAAGCGGCGGGCACGACGGTCTCGACTAGGGAAGTCTCAGAGAAATCAGTGCTGGTGGTGCGCGAATGGCCCGGAAACCTGGCTGTCGTCATGATTGATTGGTGTGGTGGTGCTTTATGTAGAATTGTGCATCTTGTGTTCCTGTATGCAAGGCGGGTCGGGGATCTGATCTGGCTGGAGGCGGAGCTTTTGATGCGCCGCCAGCTGCCGGCCCCGGGACAAAAGCGCAAGAAAGGGAAGCTGGATGGCGGGGTCGCACAGAGGGCAGGTTCCTCAGGCCGGCGGGCTGATTCGAGTTCAGTCTGCAAGCAACGAGAGGATGTCGAGCCGGGGTGATGGTAAGGGGACAGCAGCGGTGTTGACGCTCGCGCCAAGCCCCGCCGCGCAGATCGCCGCCTTCACCGCCCGCGCAAAACTAGCGTTCGGAGCTGCGACTCGCCGGCCTGCATCATCCACCTTTCACGTTCAACGCGTGCTGCTGGCTACCACGTCGCCCGCCCCTGCACAACCGTCGCGATGAACGGCCTTCCGCCAATGCCAGTTCTCTGGCAGGAGGCGCGCACCGCCGATGGTCGCGTCTACTTCTACAACAGCCAGACCAAGGTCACCCAATGGACGAAGCCCGACGAGCTTCTGACCCCGGTTGAGGTTGGCTTCTTTCACCTCTTCTGCTTTCGATGAAGCTGACGAACCATAGCGCGCTCTGAAAGATCTTCCGTGGAAGGAGTATACCGCCGAGGGCGGCAAGAAGTACTGGTACAACACTGAGACAAAGCAGTCGTCATGGGAAATGCCCGAGGCCTTCAAAGTCGCTCTCGCATCCGTGCCCCCTGCTCGTCCGCCTGCAGCACCTGCTTCGCAGTTTGTGGCTGGCGCTGCCCCTCCCTTTGCTTCACATGGGTTCAATAGGGACACCCCCGACCGCGCGCCTGTCGACCGCCAGATAGGCTACACGCAGTCTGAGAAGCTGGAGAGCCTGCGCTCTGTTCCTTCCATTGACACAAAGACCGGCCCTGAGTACTCCTCCTACGACGATGCTGAGGCTGCCTTCATGAAGCTCCTCAAACGCGCCGGTGTCCAGCCTGACTGGACCTGGGACCAAGCAATGCGCGCCACCATCAGAGACGACCAGTATCGTGCCATTAAGGACCCTAAGGACCGCAAGGCGGCTTTTGAGAAATACGTGGTTGAGATGCGCGAGCAGGAGAAGGAGCGCGAGAAGGAGAGGCTCGCCAAGCTTCGCAATGACTTCAATAAAATGCTAAGGAGCCATCCAGAGATCAAGTATTACACGCGCTGGAAGACGGCCAAGCCTATCATCGAGGGCGAGACCATCTATCGCTCTGCGAAGAGTGACGAGGAGAGGAAGCAACTCTTCGAAGAGTACATTTGCGAGCTCTACAAGACGCACGTCGAGACTGAGGCCAAAGACCGCCAGCAGGCCAGCGACGAGCTGTCATCGCTGCTTGGTGAGCTTCAGCTCGAACCATACAGTCGTTGGACTCAGGTCCGGGATGTGATCAAAGAGCACGAGCGCTTCAAGGGTGATGAAAAGTTTGAGTTGCTGAGCAAGTTGGATCTCCTGAAAGCATTTGAGGCCCATATCAAGACTCTTGAACGCAGCTTTAACGAGGTTCGCCAGAAGCAGAAGCAATCCAGAGCGAGGCGCGAGCGCCAGAACCGGGACAAATTCATTGCACTGCTCAAGGAGCTTCGCAATGACGGCAAGATCCGGGCTGGAACGAAGTGGAAGGAGATTCATCCTCTGCTCGAAAATGATCCTCGTTACGTTGCGATGCTGGGCCAGGCCGGCTCAACCCCGTTGGACTTATTCTGGGATGTGGTCGAGGAGGAAGAGCGCGTCCTGCGTAGCAAGAGACACGACGTTCTTGACGTTCTAGATGTGAGTCCCTCGCGCGGAAACTGTACGCGGAGATTTTCAGCTGACAGAGTATAGGATCGTCGTTTCGAAATCACCCAAAGCACCACTCTGGATGAGTTTATGACACTGATGCGATCTGAAAGGCGTACAGCAAATATCGATGATCACTCCCTTAAGCTCCTCTTTGAACGGATCAAGGAGAAGGAACAGCAACGCTCCGAGGCTAACAAACACCAAGCTGAGCGTGTCCAGCGCCGGCACATTGATAATCTGCGTTCTCGCATCAAGAGATTGGAGCCCCCGGTCACTCTGGAAGACACATGGGAGCAGGTACGTCCTCGCCTTGAGAAGTTCGAAGAATATCGACAGCTGGAATCGGACGAGCTGCGTCGCACTGCTTTCGACAAGCATTTGCGTCGCTTGAAGGAGAAGGAGGACGATCACGAGCGCGAGCGCGAGCGCGACCGCAGCAGGCGTGACCGCGACCGAGAGCGTGAGCGTGAACGTGAGCGCGACCGAGAACGGGACCGTGACCGTGACCGTGAGCGCGAGCGCGACCGGGACTACCGCAACGGCCATGGCCGCCGCCACCGCACCCGCACTCCCGAGCCGGACGCCTACGAGGCGGATCGCCGCAAAGCGCAAGCGGACCGCGAGCGCCAGTACCGCAAGTCCAGCCTTTCTGGCTTGTCGCCGCCGCCGCGCAGCAGAGATTGGCGCGGCGATCGCTACGTCAGCGATAGAAGAGAGGTCAGTAGCCTGAGCCATTATGATCGCGAACGCAGGGAGCGCGAGGTCGAGCGTGAGCGCTCTTACATCAGCCGTGCCGACCCGCGTGAGAAGGCTAGCGAGCTCGACTACGGCGACAGCAGGGCTGGCAGCATGAGGCGCAGAAGAGACAGCGAGAGCCCGGAGAACAAGCGGGATACCAAGGTCAGTGGAATCTACCGCCTACCGCCGTCCGTTGGCGAAAGAACGGGCTATGCTAATTAGTTCAACAGAGAACTCGTAGAGAAACTCGTGAGCGTACTTTCTCCCCTCGCCGTCACAGATCTAGGACTCCCGAGAAGAAGGCCCAGCCTGCCGAACCGCCCAAAGAGGACGCCGGTCTTCGCTCGGGCAGTGAGGAGGGCGAAATTGAGGAGGACTAAGCAACACTAGCAGCTGGCAGCACGGCGAGTGCAGCGATAATGAGGCAACACCCCCTTATCTCCTGGAGCTGAGAGGGTTACTCCTCGTTTGCTTGCCGCTAACTGTACCCCATCCTCCCCCATCCGCTACATGTTCATCCTTACCCCCATCGCAGCTCAGAAGAAAAGATCGACACGCAAGGGATAAAAAAGCAGACTGCCTGGTACGTCAAAAGCATCTTATGATTTCTTTTGGACGTTTTGTGTCCATCCCTCGGGATGCAGCTACTTGCTCTTCATCCCACCAAGATCAGAAAGAGCTCTTTCAGTGTACAATACAGTGCCGCCCATTCGAGCTCTTGATTTGATTAGCACACTTCCCATATAACAGGTCAATGCAAATCTACTCTTCCTTCTATGAGTCATGTGCAAGAACTCCATGCTAGTAAATGTGAAAAAGAGAAGTTGTATATCATCGTGACGATTAAATAATAAAGCAGCGGATCACCTAACTTGACCCGTGGTGGAACCTCTAACGCAGATTCTCGCTACACACGGCACGCGCACAAACTACACCATCACGAGAACTGATAGTCCCGGTGGTCGAAGTAGCTGTGGCGGCAGCAGGAGGAGCGACGCTACCGAGGTGCGACTACAGGAGGTAGACCGCTGCTGGTGGTGTATGTCATCCTCATCATCGTCTTCGTCCGACGCGCCTTCCTCCTCAAGGAGCCCATTTTTACCCCGCTTCCCTATGCTTGCTTTCTTTTTTCCGCCGCTATAGCCCAAAAATGCTCCGCCCCCATGAACGCCATTGTTGCTAACCGAAGGAGGTGGGAAGTGGTCGTGACGATGAGGCGGTTTGTGGTCCTTCTTTGGGACAGCCTCTTCAATTCTCTTCTTCCAGGAAGAACTGTGGTCCAGAGAATCAGCAAATACTAGAATTGAAATCAAAAGGAGGGTATTGCTTACGTAGTTGCCGGACAACTTCTGCTCCTGGTCCATTTGGGAGTTGTACTTGTTGATACGGGGGCGGTACGAGTTGGGGTCACGACGGAAGGTGACATCCAAGCTCTTCAAAAACTTGTTGCAGCCAGTCAACAAGCTCTCGGGGGTCTGCGCACGAGCGTCAATAGAAGGCTTGCCATCGAAGACAATGACGCGGTCGGCGAGATAGGTGGCCATGATGAAATCGTGCTCGACGATGAAGGCGGTCTTCTTGGAGTGCATGATGAAGCGCTTGATGACACGGGAGGCAACGATACGCTGCTCGGAGTCGAGGTACGCCGAGGGCTCGTCAATGAGGTAGATGTCAGCCGGGATACCAAGAGCCAAGACAATAGCGACACGCTGCAATTCACCACCAGACAGGTTCTGAACCTCCTGGTCAATGAAGTCGTCCATCTTGAGCGGCTTGTACACATCGGTCTGGAACTGCGGGTTGAGGAAAGCGGCTTTGATCTTCTTGAAGAACAACTGGCGAACGGTACCCTGGAACTTGGGGGTGATGGTCTGCGGCTTCATGGAGATATTCATCTGGGGAACAGTCTTGCCGCCGTCGGGCTTGAGAGCACCAGCAAGCATCTTACAGAAGGTGGTCTTTCCAGTTCCGTTTTCTCCCATCATGACAATGATTTCCGAATCGGTGAAGTCACCAGGCTGGATTGAAAGGTGGAAGTTGCCCATCGTCTTCTCCATAGCCGGGTAGGCGTACGCACGCGATTTGTCGGTCGAGTAATCTTCACCCGCCTCACCAATGCGGAACTGCAGAGATTCTTCGCGGAAGCGGAGGTTTTCCGTTGGGATGTTACCATCAAGGAAGATGTTGATACCTTCCCTAACGGAGTAAGGCATGGTGACGACACCATACACCGCGGGCTTGCCGTAGAGAACGCAAACGAAATCCGAAAGGTAGTCCAGGACAGACAAGTCGTGCTCGACAACAATGACGTAGTCATCAGGGCGCAACAAGCTGCGAATGATCCTACCGGCGTTAAGACGCTGCTTGACGTCGAGGAAAGACGAAGGCTCGTCAAACATGTACACGTCTGCCTTTTGGGCGCACACGGAACCGATGGCGAAACGCTGCATTTCTCCACCAGACAATTGAGTGACCTCGCGGTCATAAATCTGTCTCAGGTCCAGGTCGTCGAGGATTTCGTCAAGGTTACCCAGTTGTGCACGTCCGGAGATGAGCGTTCCCACACGCTTGTCGGCGGCCTTGATAGCCTTGGGGATCTGGTCGACATACTGAGGCTTGATGACGGCCTTCAAGTTGTCTTCGAGCACCTTGGTGAAATAGTCTAGAGGTGATCAGCGCATCGAATGCGGCTGGCAGCCTGGCCGAATGCTTACTCTGCAGCTCCGAACCACGGAAGTACTTCAGGATCTCCTCCCAATCAGGCGGGTTGTCGTATCTGCCCAAGTTCGGCTTCAACTTGCCGCTGAGAATCTTCAGCGCAGTACTCTTGCCAATACCGTTCGTTCCAACAAGACCAAGGACCTGGCCGGGACGGGGCATAGGCAGCCTGTGCAGCTTAAAGCTGTTCGCCGAGTATCTGTGCGTGACCTGAGTGTTCAGGTTTGTCGGCAAGTTGATGATGTTGATCGCGTCGAACGGGCATTTCTTCGGGCAGATACCGCACCCTATACACAGGCGCTCGGAGATGAAGGCGATTTTAGACGCCGGGTCGACCTCGATGCACAGCTTGCCAGTGCGAACGACGGGGCAAGCTTTCTTGCATTCCTGCCTGCATTTCTAGGCCAGAGTCAGCGGCGATTGCGGCGCGTGGCGTGGTGCGTCCGTACCTTGGGTTTGCACTGTATGCGACACCTGCAGTTAGCGTGCGAAAACATTCAAAATTCTGCCACCGCGGGGTTGGCGGGGCTCTGCGCAGCGTGACGCACCTTGTCGCTGTTGACAATAGCAATTCTGAAGACAAAGTCAGTCTCACACGAGTCTGGCCAGGCGACTTTTCAGGGTGCGTACCTCGTGAGCTTGTCCGACATGGTGTGCAGCCGTCGCCTGGAGGGCGTGTGTGTATTTCAGAGCCGAAGTGCGACGTGCGCGCAGTGATGAAACGGAGGCGGGTGGGCGTCGAAGCGGCGGCACACGGGGGGTCGTTGGAGGCCGTAGAGAGCCACGGGCGAAACGTCCCAGAGCGCAACGCTGCGGCGATCAAGTGGATGCTTTGACAGCGACAGGAGGGTCGCAGTGGGCAGCGCGAGTGGCTTTGTCGGTGAATGGGCACGCTTATCCTCCAGCAAGTGATTGGTCCTTGGGCTGCCGGGGTGGTGCACGTCACAGAAAGTCGTGGCCGGCTGCCTCTGAGCGCGTGCGTGCGTGGACTCGGCAGTACAAACTGCGGGCGCGTGCTACGGAGCACCGGCTGTCGACCAGGCTCTGAGGCCACGACCGCAATTGCACCTGCACGTTCTTGAGGCCGCCAGCTTCAGCGCATTCTAATTCTCCATCGTGCTACTCTGCGCCGGCGTCTGCAGGCTTGTTGCGTTCAGTTGCCGGTACGAGTCGCAGTGAGCGAGCGCGCTAGGCTATTTTTGGGTGGCCTGGATCTGACCGCGCTCCATAGGGCTGCTGCGTCGGCGAAGGCTCATCTTGCCGCTCGTCTTCACACTCCATACACGAGAGACACCAGGAGCCACCACCCACCACAACACCTTCCCGCGCCAAGTGCACATCCACCCGGTAGCCTCGAGCCATGGCCTGTACGTCCCTGATTTTCCTATCGCTCTGCCCCTCTCACGCTCGCTCTTCGTCGCCCCGCCTCGCTGCCTTTGGAGCGCTCGGCGAAGGCTATCATACTCTACCTTATATACCATGCCGTCATCACAGATGCTCGCATAGTCGAGTATACTGGCGTATACCCTCGTCGCTACGGCTTTCCACCACCTTAGAGCCTGCTCTAGCACCGCCTACGCCCCATTGACCCCTTCCTTGCACGTCTTCATCGCTCCCAGCCCCAAGTCATCACGAGCATCATTTTGCGGTCGGACCTTGTTTTCTCTTCGTTATCAAGACGTTTTAAGTCGCTTTTTGATGATTCTTGGTCGCGTAATCTCGCCGATTCCAATGCACCTTGTTTCACTCCGCCCGGCCACGTTTCCATCGAGAAGTCGAGCTGACCATCTCCTCCATCTAGCCGGGTCCATCCTCATGCACTCTCCGGGTAATCCGACCACCTCTCTGCCCATAGTCAACGGTCATGGCTCTCCCCTAGCACATAATGTGACCAACGTCGACGATGAAGACGCACCCAGCGAAAGCGAACTGTCCGACCCTACGAACCGTGCCGCCGCAGCTCTATCACCATCTAGCGATGCTCAGAGTCCCGTACAAGATGAGGACAATGAGGTAGATGCGCTGTCGGACTCGTCCCACAGCGAAGATGCGGAAGGCTCAGAGGACGGAGACTACGAGTCGGAAACGCCACCTGCCCAGTCAGACAACGAAGAAGTTGATCGGTCATCATCGGAGGACTCGCAGAGACCCCGGAAACGGAAAGCTAGTGTTGAAGACGATGAGTACATAAACCAAAATCCAGAGCTCTACGGTCTCAGGAGAAGCGTGCGTTCTCATAACTAGTCGTGTTGGACTCTTCACTGAACTCTCCTGTAGGGCCGCGCTCGCGCAAACCGTCGTGTGGTATGCCATCCTTCTCGCCTACGTCTCTAAGACCACTCCCACTAATACGTCTCCACAGATTGACAGCAGTTCGGAAGAGGATGACTCTGATTCTGATGCTGTGAATCCTCGCCGGAAGAAGCGGAGAACAATCGCTCCTGCCAGAGGTATGCTGTCACTAGCTGTTCGAGAACCCAACTGCATGGCCGAGCTCACCATTGCCTAGGCTCCCGTCGTCCATCGCCAGACCCTCCTTCCCCTTCTGAGTCAGACTCCGACTCCGACGCGTACATTGGTGGTCGTCGCCAGGTCCCTACCAAGAAACAACGGAAACACCGGCACCTTGTGGCCTCGGGACGGGCACCGCCCTCGCAGGCTGAAGTCCGTTTCTCGACACGCAACGCTGCGAAGGTCACGAGTTATAACGAAGACGATGATGACAACATATTCAGCGACGAGTCGGAGGATATGACGCCCAATTACTGGGTCGCCGCCGAGGAAGATGATAGTCCGCAGATTGACAGAGTCATCCTCCATCGGCGACGAGAAGACTCCGGTCAGTATTCAGTTGCCTCTGAAGGCTTGCATGCCTAACTGTCGAACAGATGGAGAGATGAGCAACCTCACGAAACATGACTACGAGTACCTGGTAAGCTGCTCCTCCTCACCTACGATGTGCCATATCATGTTGGCTAATCTTTGACGCAGATCAAATGGGTTGGCAAAGCCCCGTTTCACGCTACGTACGAGGAGTTCTCCTCACTGTCCGGATACAAAGGGTTCAGGAAAGTTGAGAACTACTTTCGCAAGATCGTCCTGGAAGAGATCATGATCATGGGTGATCCTGAAGTTCCTTCTGAGGAGAAGGAGAAGTGGAACCTCGATCGCGAGAAGGTCGAAGACCTCCATGAGGACTCACGGCACGTTGAACGTGTCATTGCCTCCCAGGAGGGTGAGGAAGAAACCGAGTACCTCGTAAAATGTAGGAACAACATCTGTCGTTGTGGTTCTAAACGCTGACACCGTGCTATAGGGAAAGCCCTCCCGTATGAGGAATGTACTTGGGAGCCGGCATCACTGGTCGGTCAGCTTGCTCAAGACCAGATCGACCGGTATCTCGACAGATCTTCGAAAGTGCCCGTCTCCGACAAGCGTGAGTCCAACATCGCCACACGTCGGAAGTACGTCGCTATCCGCGAGCAGCCCGAATACATTAAATTCGGCCAACTCAGAGACTTCCAATTGAGAGGCGTCAGCTTCTTGGCGTACCACTGGTGCAAAGGAGACAATGCCATTCTTGCCGACGAAATGGGTCTTGGCAAGACAGTACAAACAGTGTCGTTCATGAATTGGTTGCGACATGACCGTGGCCAACAAGGGCCGTTTGTCGTAGTTGTTCCACTCTCGACCCTTCCCGCATGGGCGGAGACCTTCGACAACTGGGCGCCTGACATGAACTACGTTGTCTACAACGGCAACGAAGCCTCGCGGAAGATTATCCGCGAGTACGAAATGCTTGTTGAGGGCAACCCCAAGAGGACTAAGTTTCATGTGCTCTTGACGACCTATGAGTTTGTTCTTGCCGACTCCACTTTCCTTTCGCAAATCAAGTGGCAGTTCATGGCCGTAGACGAGGCTCATCGACTTAAGAACCGTGAGTCTCAGCTATATGCCAAGCTGATGGATTTCGGGGCACCAAGTAGACTCCTCATCACCGGTACCCCGATGCAGAACACCTTGGGCGAGCTCTCCGCCCTGATGGACTTCATCATGCCCGGGATGATTGAGGTCGATGAGAACATTGACTTACAGTCAGAATCGGCCAGTCAGAAGATTGCTGAGCTCACTAATGCAATCAGCCCGTACATGATTCGCCGGACCAAGCAGAAGGTAGAGAACGACTTGCCGCCCAAGACTGAGAAGATCATCCGTGTCGAATTGTCTGATCTCCAACTCGAGTATTACAAAAACATCCTGACTAGGAACTACGCCGCCTTGAATCAAGGTGGCAAGGGTCCGAAGCAATCACTACTCAACATTATGATGGAGCTGAAGAAGGCCAGCAACCACCCTTACATGTTTGCCGGTGCCGAGGAACGCATGCTTGCAGGTAACTACCGCCGGGAAGACCAACTCAAGGCACTTGTCACTAGCAGCGGTAAGATGATGCTTCTCGACCGCCTGTTGACGAAGTTGAAGAAGGACAACCACCGTGTCCTTATTTTCAGTCAAATGGTCAAGATGCTCGACATTCTCGGTGATTATCTGCAGCTTCGCGGCTACCAGTTCCAGAGGCTGGACGGAACTATTACTTCCGGCCAAAGAAGGCAGGCTATCGACCACTTCAATGCTTCTGAGAGTCAAGATTTCTGCTTTCTGCTCTCGACCAGAGCCGGTGGTCTTGGTATCAACCTGATGACAGCAGACACTGTCATTTTGTTTGATTCAGATTGGAACCCGCAGGCTGACCTTCAGGCAATGGCTCGTGCTCACCGTATTGGTCAAAAGAACCCTGTCACAGTGTACCGACTCGTGTCGAAGGATACAGTTGAAGAGGAGGTTCTCGAGCGAGCGCGCAACAAGCTCATGCTCGAATACATCACCATTCAACGCGCTGTCACGGACAAGGGCGACAAAGAGGCTTTCGATCGAGCTGCAAGGGCTGTCGCAGAGCCGACCTCGTCCGACGACATCAACCGCATCCTCAAGAAGCGTGGTCAGAAGATGTTTGAGCAGACTGGAAACCAGAAGAAACTGGAAGAGCTCGACATCGACGCTGTCTTGGAGAACGCTGAGGAGCACAAGACAGAACAGCCTGAAGGCATCACCACCGACGGTGGCGAGGAATTCCTCAAGAGTTTTGAGTACACTGACGTCAAGCTTGACCTTGAGTGGGATGATATCATCCCCAAAGACCAACTCGAGGAGATCAAAGCAGAGGAGAAGCGTAAGCAAGATGAAGAGTTTCTCGCCAGGGAAATCGAGCAGAGTCAGCCCAGAAAGCGTAAGGCACCCAATGAGGAACGCGAGCAACGCGCTGCCAAGAAGCGAGCTCGCCAGGCTGCTCAGGAAGCTGCAGAAGCTGCGCAATCGGGCGACGAATCTGGCCCTGACGACGATCCGAAGCGGCCTTTGTCTGAGAAGGAGATTCGCAATCTTATCCGTGCTCACGAGAAATTCGGATCCATTGAGGAGCGTGGGGATGAAATGGTCAAGGAAGCCAAGTTGAGCAACCGCGACAGGGAAGTTGTGAAGGCAACCCTGAAAGAAGTGATGGACCACTGTCGCGATCTATTAAGGGAGGAGCAAGTAAAGAACGAGGCCATGGCACGTGAAAACAACAAGGTCCTCACTAAGAAGGACAAGAAGGCCATCCTGTTCGACTGGAAAGGTGTGAAGAGACTCAATGCCGAAACGATCCTGGAACGGCCACACGAGATGAGGCTCATCAAGGAAGCCGTTGCTGCAGCTTCCGAATGGCGCAACTTCCGACTTCCCGAGGCGTCAAAACCTGCGCATTACAGCTGCCCTTGGGGTGCGCGGGAGGACGGCATGCTTGCCGTCGGTATTTCCAAGCATGGCTATGGCTCGTGGGTCGCCATTCGAGATGACCCGGAACTTGGCATGCAAGACAAGTTCTTCCTCGAAGAGCACCGTGTGGATAAGAAGGAGGAACGCAGCAAGGCCGAAGACAAGAACGCCAAATCTCCGGGTGCGGTCCATCTCGTCCGCAGAGCCAATTACCTCATCAGCGTCCTCAAGGACAAGGCTTCCAACGGCACAAACGCTGCCGCAAAGAGAGCTTTGGACAATCACCATCGCAACAACAAGAAGTGGAATGCCTCGCGTCGTCCGGAGAAGCAAGGCAGTGCGTCTGCCAGCCCTGGGCCTGCTAACATGCGGAAAGTCAACCGCGAACAAGATAGGGCTCGCAACCGCACCCAGAGCCACAGCGAGCATCGCCACGAGCATCGTCACAGCGAACACCGGCATGGTGAACACCGTCATGGTGAGCATCGCCATAGTGTGGATCGTCGTTCAGAGAAGCCCGACCGAAACGGAACCCCAGAAGTCCGGCGCAAGGCCAGTGGTGAACTTGACGACAAGCACAAGTTGAAGCACAAGCACCACAGGGCTGACGAGCGGCCTCGTCACTCGGCTGAGAGCCACCATCGTCGGGAGTCAAGCAACCTGAATGGTCATGCTAACCGCAGTAACCCGTCGGCGAAGTTGCTCAAGCCTGTACAAGAGAATCTCGACGCACTTGTCAAGTGTACATCTCAAAAGATTCCCGATCGTGTGGAAAGGTCTTTGGCGCTGAAGAAGGAGTTTTTGAAGGTCGGACAGTTCATTTCACAGGGCTTGCGGGAAAGAGCGAGCCCTACGGAAAAGGCCCGTCTATGGTAAGCTCATATGCCTGAGGCCTTCAGCGGTCTAGATGCTAACAACATGTAGGGATTTCATTGCCAACAATTTCTGGCCCAGCAAAGGTGTCGAAGGGTCGAAGCTGAATGACATGTATCAAAAGATTAAGATATCCGAAGAGAAGGCCAAGACGGCCGGCGGCGAGCACGACAAGGCCAAGACGGCCGGCGAGCCGGAGCACAAGGTCAAAAACGAGCCTGGGTCTCAAGAAAAGGGGCAAGGCGCGAGTGCGGAGCAGGAGAAAGCCAAGCCGGCGACGAACGGGGAAGAAGCAAAAGCCACGTGACAATGGCATCAGACATACACGGGCATGGGAACGGCGTTTTCATAAGCTATGGCGGGGGCATGTTTGCCATCAATCTTTGCATCCACAAAGCATAGCATGGTGTTTGGGTATCTTGGTTCATTCCATCTTTTTCCCTCGTGGGCTTCTATTTGCCGCAGTGGACAGTATTCGGGAGTTTCGTCGGGGTTGCGTCATTTGATGGGCTGCATCACTTTTGTTGGCTTCATGACCACAACGTCGCTTGCATATTTGACAGGCGCTCGGCACAGATGGGAAAAAGGGGCCCTGACGAGGTCGGCTACAGATTTCTTTTTTGGTTCTTTTGATTTGTCCAAGATCCGGTTGCGCGGACGTGGACGCAAGGCATGCAGAAAGCAAGCACAAGTGGCAGCATTACTGTTTATTTTCGAGATGGCTCAAACGATACCAATACAGTGACGCCCGTTAAAGGGCGGTGTGAGAGTAGGGCAGCTTGCAAATGCCGTGAACATGGAGAGTGTACAACTTACAAAAGGCATGGCGATACGTCATTTGCGGATCAAATCATTGGTGACGGTGATCAACAAGGCTTGTAGGTGAGGAGCATGTACTACATCATTTTCGGGCAAATGCCCCGGACAAGTTTGGACAGAGACGCGCTTCTATCACATTCTGACGAAGAAGCTTCGCCGTCTTGAAGGTGCAAGGGTCCGTTTCGCATGATTATACGTTTATTTTTAGTGGCTTGTGACCTTTGCTGATCCTCTGCGCTGTTTCCCCAAGTGACATGTCACGAAGCTGACGCCGCCGTTTTTTCGCCCTGCTTTGGCTGTGGCCATTGGTGCGTAGTTGTTCTCCCTCGTTTGAGGCGCGCCAAAATACGAGAGGTTCAGGTGAAAGGCCCGGAGATCAGCTGCAGCGAGAAAAAGGTCAGGCAGGCAGGGCAATTAGTGCAGTCAACCTGGGTGGTTGAGGGATTAATCGCCTAGTATGCGTGTCACGTTCAAGCACATAAGCCGGAGGGAAATAATGCGGGGGCAGGGTGGAAACGAGAAGGGTGCGGGGATGAGCTTTGAGGGTTTTCTTTTAGAGGAGGCGTGTGAGCTGCATACATGGCTCAGCGCGAAATAGCAAAGACGTAATGATGCATGCCCACGATACGCTGCAGCGAATTCTCTTTTCGGGGCTTTAGTTTTCGTGCAGCCACATGCACGACGAAAGTAATACCGTCCGACTAAGTGGCAGTGCGGAGAAGCAGGGCGCGTGGCAAGGCGTGAACACCTAGCGGGATGCGGTTATAGTGATGCCGAAGTGCCGTGTTGATGCCTTGTCGGTGGCTCGTCGGCGCGTGGCTGCCGTCGTTCCATTCAAATGTCCCGGATTCCACGGCTCGATTGTTTTGCGCAACAAGGGTCGTGGCGCCAGCTTCCATGGAACGCTTCAGCTTCGCCGAGCCGTGTGACCTGCGCGAATGGGCGGCCCCGTGGGTTGCGGAGCACGAGAGACTGCCACGCGACTTTGGGCTGCTCGAGGCAGAGGCGGTGGACTTTGAGTACCTTGGTGGCTCTGGCCCCTTGACCGCAACGTCATGGCGCCAATCACCGCGCCTGCCCTATGCTCGTGTCGTAAAAAGAGACGTGCCTCGCGCGCTTGCCAAGTTGTGCTTCTCCGTCGCACTTGCGCCTGCGACACAAAGCAGAGAGATATAGAGCGCTCCGCAACCGCCTGGTTGCTTCCCCGTTCTCCTGCCCCCCTCCGCCATAATGGTGCGCTGCGCTCTCGCTTCGGCGCTGATTGCCTCATCAGCGAGCGCACTAAGCGTACCTGCAGCACACCTACTCCGCACGCCATCGTCCCAGTCGCGGCCTCTGACAGGCAAATTTCTCCACATTACCGGTACGCACCCCGCCCCGGAGATCGCGTCGCAGACTGACGCCGTCTTGCAGACTTCCACCCCGACCCCTTCTACAAGACCTATGGCAGCACCTCCAAGGACGGCGCCTGCCACCGTGGCCACGGCGCAGCAGGCTACTACGGCGCCGAGACGTCGGGCTGCGACACCCCGCTGACGCTGGTCAATGCCACTTTCGACTGGATTCGCGACAACATCCGCGATGAAATCGACTTCATCGTCTGGACCGGCGACTCGGCCCGCCACGACAACGACGAGAAACACCCGCGGAACGACGACCAGGTCGTCCAGCTGAACAAATTCATCGTCAGCAAGTTCAGAGAGGTTTTTGCTCGCCCGGACGATGACGATGACGATCCTACCAACGATTTCATCATCCCAATTGTCCCGACCTACGGTAACAATGACATCCTGCCGCATAACATTTTCCTCGAGGGCCCCAATCACTGGACTACCACCTACCTGGATGTTTGGCGGAGCATGATCCCGGAGGAGCAGAGGCACCAGTTCCAGCGAGGCGGTTGGTTTCAGGTCGAGGTCATCCCGAACAAATTGGCAGTCTTCAGCTTAAACACCATGTGAGTCCGGTCGCGCAAGGGTGCGACAAACAGGAACTGACACCAGACCAGGTACTTCTTCGACTCCAACTCGGCCGTCGATGGATGCGCGATCAAGTCGGAACCCGGCTACGAGCACATGGAATGGCTGCGCATCCAGCTGCAGATCCTGCGCGAGCGTGGCATGAAGGCCATTCTCATCGGTCATGTACCGCCCGCCCGCACCGACAACAAGCAGAGCTGGGATGAGACTTGCTGGCAGAAGTATGCTCTGTGGCAGCGTCAGTACCGCGACGTCATAGTCGCATCGCTGTACGGCCACATGAACATCGACCATTTCCAGCTGCAGGATTTCAACGACATCAGGCCGTCCACCGAGAAAGGAAAGATGAAAGGCGCCTTGAAGCAGAAAATCTCGCTGGATACCCGTGGCGAAGTCTCGATCATGAGCCCATCTGACTATTTGATGGATCTGCGGAATGAGTGGGCGAATCTGCCGAGTCCCAAAAAGAAGGGAAGCGCCAAGGCCGAGGAAGAGGAGGAAGAGGAGTCAATTGTCGAAAAGATCCAGGATTTCTTTGGCCAGAAGAAGGGAAAGAAGGGGAACAAGAAATTCTTGGATGAGATCGGCGGACCTTGGGGGGAACGTTTCGGCTTCTCCCTGATCGGCCCCTCCATCGTTCCGAACTACTTTCCAACCCTGAGAGTGTTTGACTATAACATTACAGGCTTGGATAATCCCGGGGACCTGCAACATCCTCGACACCTGCCCGGAGAACGCCTTCAGGAAATCTTTGAAAGGGAACTGGAGGATGCAGACCAGGACAAGGACGGTGATTACGAAGAGGCTATCAAGAGGAAAAACAAGAAGTACAAGTTCACCGTCCCCAATCCGCCTTCCAAATCGTCGCCTCCGGGTCCCGCCTATTCGCCACAAACCCTGTCTCTCCTTGGCTACACCCAATACTTCGCCAATTTGACCCGCCTCAACAATGACTTCCACAAGTCCCCCTGCTACCTCGCAGCCATCAGCCACGCTTCCGATGACAACACTACTATCAACCCGACTTCTCTTCTGTACGCCGATTACACGGAAGGCGACGATTCGGATTTCGGTGATGGATTCGGCGCCCAGCGCTGGCGCGAGGGCAAGCATCGCGGGAAGAAGCCAGCGCATCCGACACCGCACCCGCTCCCGTTCGAATTTGAGGTCTTTTACCAGACCAACAATAAGAGCGACCCCTTTAAGCTGAAGGATTTGACCGTGCGGAGTTATATCAATCTGGCGAGGAGGATTGGGAATTTCAACGAGAAGAGTGGTGGCGGCGGAAAGAAGCACAAGAAGCATAAGAAGGACAAGAAGGACAAAAAGAACAAGAAGACCAAGGAGTTAGGCGGTGCTGAAGATTCAAACCGTGGAGCCACGGACTTGGAAGCTGTGATGAACGAGCTAGTTGGGAGCAATGTGGAAGAAAAGGGCCGCGAGCTATCAGGATTCGAAGATGGATTGGACGGCGACTACTACGAAGATTACGAGACTGACGATGATGATAGAGACGATGGGGATGATGAATTAGATGCGGCAAAGAAGAAGAAGAACAAGAAGAAGAAGAACAGGAACAAGCACCGGAAGAAGGGCCCGAAACACCACGTCTGGTATACATTCATCGAGCGCGCATTCGTGGGCACCATGAGCCGCGACGAGATCGACGAGCGGTTCGGCTGGATCCCGGAACTGGCTGAGGCTGACACCACGTACGAGTCGCAGCCGCCGTCGGTCGTTGCCGATGATGCTGAAGACGTGGGCTTTGGCGATGACGAGCTTTGATTTTTATGTTCTAGTGTCTATTTTTTACCTTTCGGCCTTGTTCATTCACTTTTGGGAGCCGCCGACTCCCGGATTGGCATAGCGTGCAAAGGTTCTGTCGGACTTCTGGGCGTGGACACGGACGGCGTTGGATGGATTCTTGCTTCATCTCTTCTGCTTTGTCTTTTTATCTCTTTTCAAGATTTTCCTAAGCAGCATTGGTGTGGTTTTCGTGATTGGAGAAGATATGATGGTGGCAGCAATCGTTTAGAATTCGTTCCGGCCGAGATTTAGACACACTCTTGCTCATTAGAACAGCTCGAGTCGTTCAGCCGTAGCAGGCAAGGGAAAGGCCACACAAAGAGAATTCGCTCACGCGAGGACCTACGTAACGAGGAATTTGCTCAAGTGAAATAGAAAGACTGATAACTTGAATGAATCTTAAATCCTTTGATCAAACGCCTTGACAACTCCTACCACTACCATCGCCATTCATCGCAGCCACCCTGTTCTGGCCCTCACTCATGGAGTGTGTGAGGGAAAGGAACCAAAAGTGGCGTGTGAATGTGCGTATGTGGGAATGCAAGATTGGCAAAAGTTAGCAGTAGACAAGAGAGTGATCGCTCACTACTCGAACCGTCCCCTCCCTCGCCTTTATTTCATCTCTATATCATTCCTCCTGCAAAAAAAAAAAAGTCAAATGTCCGCCTCGGTGGAAAGATAGCACAGCAAAGTGTGAAAACAGCTCCATCCGCATGTTGAAGCGGACCACGGGTATATAGAGGATCAGCAGCGACGACAATCATCAGAGGCAAGATCAAGGAAAGACATAAAGATCATCGCTCGTTTGGTGAAGGGAAAGAAAAGAATTGCAGAACAATGTCAAAACAGAACTCCTTCCGGATTACAGTTACTTTCTACCTCTAAAAAACGGCTCCGTTGACAGAGCCACCACCACCAGTCTGGCCATTGGCGTAGACGGGTACGCCGTTGACCGTGTCGACGATGCGGGCGATCTCCGCGGGGAGGTCGTTGTTGTCACCATTGCTCTGGCCTCCGCCGCTGGTTCCGTTGGTGGGCGGGTTTCCGTTGGTGACAGCGACGGCGGCAGCAGCCTTGCTCGTACCATTGGCGCCATTTGCTTCGGTGAGCTGGGCGGCCGATGCAGCGGCAGCAATCGCGGCAGCAGTCTCTTTGCTCGCTTTCCTCTCCTCCTCGTGCGCGGTGAGCCCCTTACGGATAGCGAGGACGCTGTCAACGATGACCGCGTCGATACCTTCCTTTACTTGCCGCTATTGAGAGGAAGTCATTTAGTACAGCGCTTTCTAGAGAGGGGAAAGGTTGGATCGTGCTTACCTGCACATTGACGGGATCGTTGTTCAGCGTGCCATAGCTGACGCAAACCAAACCAGACTCTTTGACGACCCTAACCAAGCGTGGGCACATGACCAGGGGCTCTGCTGCCGTGACAACACCGAGGAGGTTCCAGCGCGAGGCGAAGCGAATGGCTTCCTGAACACTGCTGGCTCTGATGTCTCCAACGGGCGAAGTGCCCGCATCGCTGAGGAAGAGGATAGGAATAGATGGCTGCTTGAAGGATAGCAGAAGGCAAATGTCTGGGTGGAAGGACGAGAAGATGATGTTGCGGTTTGAGCCAAGGTCGTACACCTTCTTCAGAACGGTGTCGACGAATGAGTTCAGCTCGACAGCGTATGTGTCCATGTCATGCTCCTCGGTTTCATGCAACATTGGGTATTCTAAATCATCTCAGCACCGGTAGAGATCAAGGTTGTCGCAAGTGTAAACTCACTCATCTCAATGTTGAAACCAATCGACTCAGGAAGCTTCTTAAACATCTCTTCGAGAGTGGTGAAGGGCGCCTGGATAAAGTTGCCACGGCTGTTGCCTTTGTAGCCCTTCATCTTGAAGTCACGTGTGTGCTTCATGCGCTCGTTGAGGTCTGACTGGCTCTCCTTCTTGACATCAACGGAGTACGAGCGTGGCCTAGCCCGAGTTTTGGCGACATCCTTGTTCTCAGCCTTGGCCTCGACGGGTGATGACGGCCTGGAGGAGCGAGGCGTCTTTTGCTCACTCACGTGGAGGAACTTACGGAATGTCAGCCAGTGCCTACTTTATATTGGTACGTATTGGGTTTACTTACTTGCTCCAGCGTCAACGTATGCACGGGCGCATCAATACCTGTTTCGCTAACAAGGAAGTCATGGTAAATGACGGGAACGTGATCTTTGGTCAGTTGAACATCTTGACGTCGTTAGTACTAAACAGCGTGAATGCAGGCGCTCTGGTCTTACCAAACTACATATAGTCAGCAACATGCGGAACAAATAGGTGCATATAGAACATACCTCAACATAAGACGCTCCTAGGTTGGCGGCAGCAATAAAGGACTACACGTGCCGTTAGTTTACACTCTCCGTTAAGTCGATGTGTATCCTACCTGAATCGTATTCTCGCCAAGTTGCAAAGACTTTCGAGACGCAAGGTTCTTGCCCAAACCTTCACACAAGTTAGGAAAATGCAGGGGGATAGAAAACCAAAGTCCAATTCACCTCTGTGTCCAATGACCATTGTCGACGTCATACTCTTCCAGTACGTTTGGTTCTCCGTAATGGACAGGTTGGGGTGGGAGAAAGGCGTAATGACGAGGAAGTTGAAGTTGACGGATCCAATGATTTCCAGAGTATTGGCAGCGACGATCGGCACGCTGATGTCGCCTTTGAGGTTCATCCTCTGGGAGCCGACCATTTGTCTGACGCTTGACAGCATGGCAACAGCACGTCCGACTACGCGCTCTTTCGAACCGGCGTAAGTAGGGACGATATCAAAAAGGAGTTTAACCTTGGCAACATCCGTGGTCATGAAGGTTATGGGGTTAGTACTAATGTTCTCCTGGACGGGGAGGTCAATGACTGTGGGCTCTCCAGAAGCGCCTTGAGCAGAGACGACGAGAGAGAGAGCAGTATCAAGCTGAGTCGCGTGGGCATCAGAAATATGGATGTCGTCAAGCTTAACGGGCTCGATGTGCTTCCGCATATCCATGCTGCCAAGACTGACGAGAACCATGCTTTCATTCTGCAGATAACGATGGCCGAAAGTCTTGACAGGCTCCGGCACACGCAGATCCTTGTTTGCGTTGGATCGCCTCTCCTCAATCGAAGACTGCGGCGGCGACTCTGAGCGAACAGGCAGCTGCTTCTCTTGCTCCTTCTCCGTCGTGGCTGGGGGAGGCGTAAGCTCAGCCAAAACCGTCGCGATATCCAAATGGCCTCTCAGGGCAGCATGCTCCTTGGGCGTCCAGCCGGACAGGTCCGGCTTTTCCAAGTCCGCCCCGGCCTCAATGAGCAGCTTGACGACATCTAGGTGGCCATCGACACAAGCAATGAAAAGAGGAGTCCACGCAAAAGTGCTCTCTGCAAGTTCGACATTGGCCTTTTGGTCAGGAGTCCCGGTAATAAGAGCTTTGGCACACTCGGTGTGACCGTATCGGGCGGCAACATGCAAGGCCGTCTCGCCTTGCTCGTCCTGGTAGTTTATGTCCACTCCAGCATCGACCAGAAGTTTTACGATCTGGACGAAATTCGACTTTACGGCGAGCGACAACACGGCCCCCGACTTGGACACTGACTTCCGAATAGAGATTTTCTCATCAGGGTCCTGCCATCTCTCGGAGTCCAGAAGTGTCTTGGTAGTTAGTGGATGACCACCGATGACACTGAGGTGGAGGGGCGCGTAGCCGTCCAAATCTTGCCATTCGGGGGAGTCAATACCATGGGAGACGTCAAATTGGCCCCACTTCTGCATATAGTTGATGACAATCTTGCAGATGATAACGAAGCCATACTGCGCCGCATAGTGGAGTGGCAGTCTGCCATAGGAATCCCGAGCTGATAGCGCAGAGCGCTGCTCAGGCTTCAAACTGTCAAGGAGGTAGGAGAGCATGAGAACGGACTCATCATTGGCAGCCAACAGCTGGCTGGACTGCTGCTCAGTAATAGAGCTTGGCGGAGGCAACTGCACGGGGGATTCTGCTGGCGATATGAAGTTCGCAGCATCATTCGGAACGCCCAGGAATGGACCCGAACCCTGGCTTTGACCGCCATTTTGGGCCTCGTTGGTTTTTGCACGGCTGATAGCAATCACCAGTCTGTGAATACAGTTCCGCTTGTTCAGATCATCCTCGTCGTCGAGAGAAGTGAGCTGGGACAGTAATTTTTGGATACACTGGCGCGACCTGCAAGAAACGGAGCGCTGCAGGAGGTTAAGGAGCAACTTCTGATAAGCAGGGTTGGCCTTGTCCTCTCCTGCATTGGCCTCGTGGAGCAGCTCCTCGAGTATTGCGGCATCATCGTTCCGGATAGCCTGGTCTACCGTGTCTAAGAGCCCCGAGGGCAGGTTGAGGATGGCTCTCGAAGACACTCTCTTCAGCGAAGCGGTGGAGTGCACGGAGCTGACATCGTCAAACACCTTGGCTTCACCAAGGCCAGAGAGCCAGTCATTGATGGCCTTCATATCCTGCTGCAGCTTGTAGTTGGTGGCGAAGGGCGTGGGGTCAACCTTGGTAGCCAGATAGCGTTGCTGGGTGCACGAGTTGGGCACCTTCTTGTCCAACTTCTTGGTGATTTTGACGAAGCCTCTGCGATTGACCTCGCCGTACCATTGCAGCTTCCTCAACTGGCCGCGCAGCTCCAGAAGGGCGCCAACGAGGTCCTCCAGCTCGTCTCTGTCGATGCCGTCCGAGAACATGGTGGCGCGGCCGAAGCGGTCGTGGAGCAGCTTCAGCCTGCGCGCCGACTCGGCATACTTCTTATTGTAGAAGCCGTCGACATCTTCGAGGTTGCGGTCGAGCGAGTAGAAAAATTCTGCCCTACCGTTAGCAGCGCCCTCTCTCGATATGCTCTGGCGCATGCTCACCCGCCAGATCCGCCTCGCCTCCATTCTTGACAGCCTCGGCGGCCGACTTGACGAGCTTCTTCAAGCCCTTGTAGTTGATGTAGTGGGAAGCCCACTCGGGGACCTGGTTGCGGGCGAGATTGTGACCAAACTTCATGCTGGGTTATGTCCCGAGGCGGCGCTCGGCGGGAAGGGTGGTCGGCCGCGGAGAACTCAAGGAGAGGGGCAGGGCGAGGATGGCGAAGGCGGGCGCAGCGCAGAAGGAGGGGAGCGGGAGCTGTTTATGGGATTGGGGAGGGTTGTCAGAGCCATTCGACCGCATGGAAAGGATCGCCAATAAGGCCCGTTCGCGCAAGGGAGGGAGGCAACCTTGGAATTTTTCGGGGTGGCGTGGCAGGCAGATTTGGAGGGTTGAGTGAGCGTGGTGGAGAGTCGTGCTCTGAGCGGCGCAGATTACTGGACGAGCGCGACGGCAGCGCGGTGCCCTGGCCTGTCGCGCATTGTGCAAGGCTTATGTCAGTGACCGAGGAAGGGGCCGCGCAGCTCCGGCTGCTATAAAGAAAAGGGGCCCTCGTGAACGCTCACCGTCTGCGGTTGCTTTATACCACGCCCGGCGCAATCAAGGGACGCGCCCCGCAATGCGTGAGGATTCCAGGGCGGCCAAGGTGCCTGGGAGCTGTTATCGCCAGCCTTATCGCCCGCAAGCCGCGGTCGTCGAGCTTCACGCCTGCAAGCTGCTCGCGCGCGCCGCCTTGCGCTTCATATCTGGCAGGCAGGAGCAGAGCATCCGGGCGGCATCTGCGCGTGTTAGTGCCATCTCAGCTGCACAGCGCGGATCCATAGCCCGCTCCCCGCCAGTCACAGCCCGTCGCCACGACGCGGGTCGGCATGCGTTTGGTAAGGACAACATGCTCCCCGTCCCTCTGCTGCTGCCCGCCCACGCGCATGTGCCCTCACTCCGCTGCAGGCCTGACGAGCACAGGAACAAGCAACTCTGCACGCGATCAACTGCTCAATCCAACGCCCTGCCCGCCATTGGCTGCGCCGTCGGCGTGTACGACGCTCAACCGCACCAGGCCGGGCAGGGGTCGGCGTCTGGCTATGACGACGGTGGATGCTGGACGCCAAGCAGCCGCCTGCCATCTTCTGGAAGACCGCGGGGGCGGACCGGGGTACCGCAGGTCGCCTGGAGCAACGTCTGACAACCCGCCCTCTTCGCACGCTCGTCTCACCGGTGCACCAGAGTGCCCAGATGAACATCACGTACCCAAGCCACCTCGCGAAAACTCTTCGAGTCCACCTGGCCCGCTGAAAATCCTGCGTACGAAAGCACGACTCGCGAGTGTTTAAGGGTCCAGCGCCAGCCCCGCCGATGAGACCAACCCCCGGCCCCACCGCTCATCACCTTCCATTGCACATCCGTTTACCATCTCCCGAACACTCTCCGGGAGCCCTTCCGCACGCGCCGGGTGACGTATGGGCCGCCGCGAGCCCTGATGCAGACGTCCAAATGCACACACAGACACCAACCCCGCCAACACTGAACTATCGGACACCACGTGGCTCGGCAGCGCTGCGTGAACCGGTGAGTCTCGCCGGGGCGAGATGGGTCCAGCTTCTCCTGCATGTTGTGGGCTGTAGCACCGCCAGCGATATGATTCATACACCGGTCCACGACCAGCTGAAGACGACGCAGAAAAGTCCGAGAGGAGCCGCATGTCACTTACCGAGACAGCCTACTGACTTGTTCCCTACCACGGTAAACGTCACGGGTCCCACTCATCTTGGCCAGGGCTGCTTGTTGACCACAACCCTGACAAACCTCAACACCACCGCCACCCCCTAGACCTCCGAGATTCACTGTATGAGATGTGTCCGACTTGGCTATTATGCTAACACGTCAGAATGATCTTTCATTCAGCACGAGTACAGGTCGCTTAGCTCAGTTGGTTAGAGCGTGGTGCTAATATTGGCAGTCCTCCCAGAGGACTAAGAGTTAACGCCAAGGTCGCGAGTTCGACCCTCGTAGTGACCATCCTGTTCTTCTTTTTGCTCCCTCTTAGTCCAATCTAGTCTCTTGTGGTGGTGTCCTGGAGCTTAGGGACAGTGGACGCTCGGTCTGGTCGATTCCTTTTGGCCAATAACATCCTGAACCTTGTGGTTGGTCGTCACCTGCTTACACAGCATGCATCGGGTGTCTTACAAGCAGGCTTGCTGCAAAAGGAGAATCCCTGCTACTTGTCTCGGCCAGCGAGCAACAAGAGTGCAATGTTTTTTTTTTTTTTGCAGTTCTCGGAGAATCACTCAGCATAGGGTGTGGGAAGAGACACAGCTATAGCAGAATAAGCCGGACCACGGAAGCAAGGTCTGTTCTCCTGGGACGGTCAGTATCGTATGACTTGATCTGGAAATGGGTTCGGGAAAGTACGCACAGCTAATGGCGTTATTGTTTGAACCTCTACTCTTTTCTAAAGCCCGGGTAGCTGCTCCGATCACTCATACCGCATGCAGCATGTTGCCTGTATGCCAAGATATCTTGTCAAGCGGGTTATGGATCATCATCGGACCCCACGCATGTGAGAGTATGCATAAGCATCGGCCGATCTACGATACAAAGCTTGCAGATAGGGTCGCTATTGCTTAGCGCTGTTGGCTGACTTGCATATTGCCCTGCGATCTCCTAACTTTGGGGCGTGGTTACTACGATCTGCATGCGTAAGCAATAATAGCTTGTAGTGGGTTTCCAGTGCTACCGCGCCCGGAAAGGAGGGATGAAGCGAGCGACAAACAATGAGTGCTGTGACTAGACTCGTACCTACGGAAGATCGGTTCATTAGGGCGTAGTCAGAGAAAGGCTGCAACGAGAGAGAAGGGGTGAGACGTCGAGGATACTGTGAATCACGTGCCTACGCGTTTGGTGGAACGTCACTTCCGCCCGCGTCCCCCGGCTTCTCGCGACTTGCCCCGCAACATCCACCGCATTGCAGTCCAAACATCCGCCATGGGCCATGGTTCGCAACATAATCGAGGACTCCGATGATGAGGGCGACTTTGGCGCTCTGTCGCCCGTCGCCAGCAGAGAAAGCTCACCGGTTCCCACCAATCCAGCGAACGAAAAGACTCCTTCTCGGTCCCAAAAATCCGCACCCGGCACGAGTTCAACAGGTGCGTTAGCTGTCGCTCTTGGAATGGGCGTACTGCGTTGACACATTCCAGAAGAGATACGACGCGAAATTGCCGCTGCCCACAAGGATGTCATAGACAAATCGGCTGCTTCAAACCGAACTACAGGTAGCCCAGATGGCTCTGCTCGCTGGGACTCGCCCACAGATTCGCGCAAACGCAGACCCTCTCTCTCCAGTTTCGATGGCCATGATACACTGCGAGCAAAGAAGACAGATAAGAGGAAGTCTGCAAAGACATACGGTCAATCAGACCGGAGGGACTACAGCTTGTTCGATGAGGAAAATAGCGCCTTGGAGGGTATGAAGAACGATGAGGTGGCACGGTGTGGCACCAATCGCGGTGACTTCGCTCCATTGGGTCAGGCGGAGCCGCTGCTACAAGCTTCTGGAGAGTATGCGGCGTCAAACCACCAAGTTTTGATCCCCAGGATGCATTCTTCATTACAGCAAGATTTTGCAGGACACGAACCGGTTGTGATGTTTCCCACGACACTGTCGAGCACAGTCCCAGATGCGACATTAGATCAACAGCAGCTCGTAGAAGCCGCTCGCGCAGAGTACCAACAGATTGAATATCCAAGTTCTCCCGGGGCTGCAACAAAGCTCATTGGAAACCCTTTTGTTTCCTGGTCCGACTCCCTTGAGAGCAATGAAGTAAGTAGACTTGGATGCGTAAAATTGGTATCCATTGCTTTGTCGAGATTCTGACCAGAGACAGAGAGCGATGCAATCCAGCAATATCAGCCGCGGAGAATCTCAGCAACCGTCTCATGATACCGTAAAACGAAGTCAGACAACCAGACTCAGAACATCTCAGGAAACTCAACCCCAGTCCCTGGACAATGACTGCGCCCCTTCATCGTTGTCGGATTCTAGAAGGACAACCAAGCGGTCGAGAACCACGCCACATCTACGTTCATCCCAGTTAAACCATGACGAACTTGGCGAACGCGACGAACTCAGCGAAGAACCGTTAGCCAGCATTGGCTTGGCTTCGTCTCGCCAGAAAAGGTCATCCAAGTCTGAAGGTAACCTCACAATGTCACAAAAAGTGGCCGAAGAGTCGATACAGGACTCGATACGTGCCATTAGAGCCTCCAAGGCCAAGAAGGCACAAGAAACCAACTCCAGCGATATGCTAAACAGTGATGATCTTGCGATCGGATTGCCAAAAGAGAGATACGTCCCGAGGCCTAGCCGCTCAAGATCTGCACGATCGACCGTCGAGGAACCCGACTACTCGGTGATGCCTGAGAAGACGGCAAAGCAGAAGATGAAGCGTCGCAAAACCGGTGATGTCATAGCGGTCCAAGGGCACAATTTCTCCCAGTCAGCTTCGACTCCCACCCAAGAGACCAATGCGTCGACGAACGAAGAGAGCGCAGCACCGCCGATGGACAAGCCGTTGCAAACTCAAAGCAATACACCGGCGAAAAAGCGCAAAAGGGGGAGGCCGCCGAAGAAGCGTCAAGAGGATGTCAGCAATGCCATCTCGGATGATCAACAGGCTGGCGTGACAGGCAAAGGCCAGATGGACGAGGTAGACGAGCTCCATCAAGTCATGCCATCTACTAGCGAGCACCAAGCCCCGGAGCACCCCGTTTCTCATACAGAACCGCTGCTGCATGATCCCGATTTCAAGGACGGTCTTCACACGAGGCTGCCTTCACCGGTTGTTCAGCCGACGCCGGCAAGTTCAGCACACAGGATTGGCGAGGTGCAGCAAGTGGAGGAGACTAAGCCGAAGAAAAGAGGTCGTGGTCGGCCACGGTCTACACAGAACAATGTTCGAGAAGCAGCTGCAGCCGACGTGGACGAATCGCAGACGGTGGCTGATGAAAACGAGAAAGCTCAGGAGATGCAGGCAGATACGGGCTTGGAAAATGGCAAGTCGCATGACTTGGTGAAAGCAGAAGGGGAAGCGGAAGAGGCGATACTTGGCGCAGCAGACGATGCAGCCCCCGCTCTTGGCTCTTCCAGATCATCAGAGAAGCGGAGCGAGGAACACGAAGTGGGGGCAAGGGCAGCAAAAAGAGGATCCGCGGAGCCGTCGCCGCTGGGCAAGGGTAAGGTGCCGGTCCGGGTTGGACTGAGCCGAAAGGCGAGAATCGCACCGCTATTGAAGATTGTCAAAAAGTAAGACATGTTGCACACAGATATGTAGACGACATTGATTCTGGTGGCACAGGGCTGAGGGTGGCAGCCAAGAGAAGCAGTGTAGCCGGTGGCGGGCTGTAAGGCGTTCGGAACATTTTAGTTGCTGCAGGTATACCCCATGGCTGGACGGGACAGGAGGAGTATTGGCATTTTGCTTGACGAATGTAGGCTTGGGAGCGGAAGGGTTCATCGAAGGATTTCGTTTACATGCTACAGAAGTACATTGCGCATGGATACGATGGCATTAATTGAACGAAAAGGGATTCCCGAAACAACGCGGCACGCGGCCCATGCAAGTCACGGTGCCTGCGGCGGCGAAGAAAAAAAGCAAGGTTGACTCGTGAGGCCAGAGCCCGGGATCCGCCCGGCAATTGGCCTCGATGCATCTCAGGTGATGGCAAGCAATGCAACCTCGCTTGCAGACGGCAGCAAGCGAAAAAAAAAAAAAAAAGAAATAGAGCGAGAAGCCGAGTGTTGTCGATGGTCCGAGTCTGAGCGATGCTTAAATCCGAGAAGCTGCCCTTTTGGCGGAGGATTTGGTCGAAACGGGCAAAGGCTGCGACCAGGAGTGCATGAGCAATCAAATTGGACATGCGTAAGCCCAGTGTCAAACGTTCTCGATGCCGGACCCGCGAACCCGCTCACCAGCGGCACGCCTCGTCATAGCAGCCGGTCGGTGCTTTTGCGCATTGCCGGAAGAGAGCAAAGAGAGAGAACACATGGGAGCGTGAAACAGAGGCGTGGGCTCGGGGTGGGTTTGCGTGCGACACGCCAAAGCCGAGATCCATTGTTTCACCACGTCAAAGTATAATTGAACTTTTGACGTCGCCGATGCGCGAGCGAACGTCACGGATATAACAGAATGGCAGAGGAGGATTGCGGAGCGGGCACGTGGATCGTGAGATGCGCGTGTGGTAGCAGAGCATTTGCTTTTGCGGTAGTTCGCTGTCGTCTGCAAGGTGGGCGGTGGATCATGCACTTGCACGGGAGCACGGCAGGCTCTGCGAGACGGAGGGAGATCCTGCTCAGATCGCGCGGAGTCGAGTGGCGGATCTACTGGAGAGGGCGGCTGGAAAGGGCAGGGCGAGTTCAGGGCGCTGGCGGCAGAGCGACAAGGTTAAAAATAGAGTGATTGCAGGAACAGCGATCAGGGTGACGAGAACGAGAATGGCGAAACGAGCGCCGCCTGGCGCCCGAGCTCGTCGTCGGCCTTCTTGGCCCACGCGCAACTCTCAACACCAGCCCAATCGCCGCTGCAGCCCCGCACTGACAGCGACGCGCCGTCGTATATGCAGCGTGCGCCGGCCATCGGGGCCTTGGCTGCGAACGAGCCATGATTTCTGCCTCTCTGCCGCGCCCGCTGTTTCAACAGAAGAAGCAGTTGCGCCAGCCGCCTTCAGGAATGGCTGCTCCGCACTCGCAGCCACTTCCCTGCGAAAATCCACCTCGTTCAAGCGCTGCCCTGCCCGTTGCGGCAATGATATCTCCACACCACCTCGCGTCCCCGGCCCCTGCGCCAGTCCTGCTTGAGGGGCCTTGGCCCGTCTGCATGGATGGTCGATGGGCCTCTTGCTTGGCTTCTATACTGCTGTCCTTCATTAAATATATCTCTGCACCCTCCACGCGCTGCCTTTCTTTCTTTCTTCATCCTGTCGCTAGTGTCCGCTCGTCTCTCGTTTTTTGCTTCTCGCCGGGCGCGTCGATCTGCCATAACCGCGCGCTTCACTGTCTCTCGCTTTCCAGTATTATTGCCTGATCGAACCACCTCCTATTACAGCCATGCACTTCACTTCGCTACTTGCCACGACCGCCGTCGCCGCCGTCGCCTCGGCCCACGGCGACGGCCCCGAGGGCGTCCCCAAGCTCTTCGGCCGGAATGCCATTGCCGACCTGAAGGCCAGGAACATCTTCGCTGGCGTCTCCGGCCACCAGCACGTCGAGCGCGCCGATGCTCCTGTCAAGCGCCAGGATGTTGGCGGCACCGATGGCCAGTGTGGCGAGGGCTTCGGATCCTGCAATGAGGGCTACTGCTGCTCTGGTGCTGTGAGTTGAAAAACACCATCCCTAACAACCGACTTTTTCCCCTGACATAGCTTTAGGGATGGTGCGGTGTTGGCACCGAGTACTGCATGTCTCCGGACTGCCAGTTCAACTACGGCCCGGCCTGCGACGCCAATGCCATGCCTGCCGGAACTAACACCTCTTCCGTTGCCCGTGACCTGAAGGGTTCCGTCGAGTATGGTGGTGCTGGTATCTATGACTGTGTCGTGAACGGCCAGGTCGCCCTGACCTACGACGATGGTCCCTACATCTACACCGACGGCATGCTCGACGTGCTGAAGAAGTACAACGCCAAGGCCACCTTCTTCATCACCGGCAACAACAACGGCAAGGGCCAGATCGACAACGCCGCCTATGGCTGGGACACTGTCATCAAGAGGATGTACTCTGAGGGCCACCAGATCGCCTCCCACACCTGGAGCCACCAGGACCTGAGCGCCATTACCTCTGCTCAGCGCAAGGACCAGATGGTCAAGAACGAGATGGCTCTCAGGAACATCCTCGGTTTCTTCCCCACCTACATGCGCCCCCCGTACTCTTCTTGCACCGCCGAGTCTGGTTGCGAGGACGACCTGAAGGCTCTGGGCTACCACATCACCTACTTCGATCTGGACACTGATGACTACGACAACACCACCCCTGACAAGATCCAGAACGCCAAGGACAACTTCTCCAACGCCCTCGCTGGCAAGGACTCTGCCAACAACGACTTCCTCGCCATCGCTCACGACATCCACCAGCAGACCGCCCAGAACCTGACTGAGTTCATGCTCCAGACTCTCCAGGATGCCGGTTACACTGCTGTTACCGTTGGCGAGTGCCTTGGAGATGACGAGGCCAACTGGTACCGCTCGTCCAGTGGCGGTGTCTTCACCTCTGCGACATCTGCCGCCCCTACTGCCACTTCTGCCACTTCGACTACTTCGACCGCCCCCACTGCTACCGCGACCAAGATCTCTGAGGATGCTACCTGCGGCGGTACCACCGGTCAGACCTGCAAGGGCTCGACTTTCGGTGATTGCTGCTCTTCTGCCGGATGGTGGTAAGTCAATACAGACGATGCCTGTTCCCACAATTCGAGTGCTAACCACCAAAACAGCGGCTCGACTGATGCCTACTGCGGCGCCGGCTGCCAGTCCGCCTTCGGAACTTGCGAGTCAACCACGGGTCAAGTAAGCTCGATTTCTACTGTCTCTACTACAGTCTCATCTTCCGTTTCTTCTTCCTCTACGTCTGGGAGTGCCTCGTCGCCAACATCTGGTGCCAATCTCAAGGTTTCTACCGATGGGACCTGCGGCGGAACCGCTGGTTTCACCTGCAAGGGCTCGACTTTCGGAGACTGCTGCTCCAGTGCCGGCTGGTGGTAAGTTTTACCCCGATCCAAAGGAAAACAAAATACTGATTCGACCCTTCACAGTGGTTCCACCAGTGATTACTGCGGCTCCGGATGCAACTCTGAGTTTGGCACCTGCGGCACTTCCTCAGTAACACCTTCCAACTCGGCCACGGGACCTAGCACCGGAGCATCGACGCTGACCAGCTCGACAGTAAAAGCATCGTCGCCTGCTGCCTCTGGCGGCACCGCCACGACTGCGACATCGACCGCTCCCACCGCCACGTCCAACGTCAGCACCAACGGCCTGTGCGGCTCGCGCAACGGCGGAAAGACGTGCGCCGGCTCCAGGTTCGGTGGCTGCTGCAGCCCTCTCGGCACCTGCGGCTCGACCGTCTTATCCTGCAGCATCGGCTGCCAGAAGAGCTTCGGCACCGGCTGCTACTTTTAAAATAGGAAAAAGCGAAAGAGTATATGTCTAATCTCTTCTTCTACTGGAAAAAGTGGGAGGAAAGTGGTTGAAATGTAAAAAAGAGGAGAGCGATTTCCTTTTCATAATTTTTGTATCCGAAGCACTCTTGGAAAGAGGCGGAGAGGACTTTTGGAACAAAGCTTCCTGTTGATGTTGCTTAATATTTAATATCCTCAGCTGCTGGTAGTGTACCGGGCAGAGGATCAAATATCATGATTGAAGGCTTAAGAGACGACGTCAATGAGCACGCCGTTTGCCTTTATTATCCCATACACGTTGCTCTTCACCACTATCAATGCAGTCGATATCATAGCGAATATTGGGTCCGTTTTATGAATTTAGGAGCTTCTCGAGGACTAACGAATACGAATGACGCCCTGTGCAAAAGCATAATAGGGCATATCTATTGTATTTATCGTCTGCAACGCTAAGATAATAAGAGGCATGTTACGCGCGTATACGAGCTTCGCTTATTTCCAGTCCACCTGCCGCTTTCTCGTTCCCTACCTTTAAGAGTCTCACTAAGACATTTGCTTTCAATCTATTCTCGGGCTCGGATACAAGGGTAAACGAAATGCGCTGTACACTCCTGACTTGTTTAAGAGTACCAAAAAAAAAAAAGGAATGCTTGGCGCTAACTGCCTCGGCCTGTGTGTAGTGTGCAAAAGAGTGCCCACCCACATTAGAGAACAGATGACTGGAAGAAGGCAAAAAGAAGAACAGGATGGTCACTACGAGGGTCGAACTCGCGACCTTGGCGTTAACTCTTAGTCCTCTGGGAGGACTGCCAATATTAGCACCACGCTCTAACCAACTGAGCTAAGCGACCTGTACTTGTAGGTGTTCATCTGAAGCCAGAGAGACCTCAGAAATCCGGTGCGGATGAAAGTTGAAAAATGCGGATTCAATATGTACTAAAGAAAATTGTAGGATAACGAGAAAATCAAAGGAAACGAAGCAGTGACATCTAATTATGACTTTAAGAGGTAGCCGTAGGCTAAATAAATGCCTTTGAGCCTTGCTGTGGCTGTAGTATTTAGCAAGGGCCGGTTCCACACTCACAGTGATCAGCGACAGGAGACTTAAGCCCTCTGTAGTACGCGAACGACGCTCCACTCTCCGTTTATAGGTAGTTAAAGCGTGTATGCGAACGCGAATGTAAGGGCTGCAATCGAACAAATACGTCTGGCTAATGGATTCAACTCTCCACGCGCGAAGAACGCTATGTTCATAGTGGAAGTGTCGGGAAGTGAGCGGGACATAACTTTTAACCGGTCTGTACCTCGTGAGGGGTTTCCGACGAGACTCTCATCATTTCCCCTTAATTTCAACTGGTATCCTCCTTGAAGTGGCTATAATATGATTCAAAATGAAGGGAGCAGAATGACTTATTCCAGAGCGTTGTCTTTATCTATAGAGACTTAGCTCACCGCTTCTCTCTTTTTTTCCGAGAAGCGCCGTAATAGCATTGTGTTAAGGACTACCTAGATTTTTATGCCTTTGCAGTACTTTATTTCTCAGACTGTCGTCAGATCTAAGTGGGGACGGATACCAACTGCTCGTGTCGCATGTGCGACGGAAGTTGGTTGCAATATTTCGGCAAAAATCATTAGTGAGCACATGTAGGTTTATATGTGCACAGCACTCAAGAATAGGAAACTCTCACCTAAGTTTCAAAACGTCGTGGCGTTGGATATTATTGCCCCCGAGGTCTGGCGTTGCCACTGAGAGACGAAAAGGAGTGTGCGCACATTTTTCGAATAAGCGTAGGTCTCTCAAAGACATAGCCCTTATCTACTACTATGCGTCGGAATAAGTAAAATCTTCTTGAGCAGTGCGTATCCGAGAAACCTGCGCCGAAGCAGAGAACAGGAAAGAGAGAGAGAGAAAAACGAAACTCCAGCCGTAAATAACACCTTGACCAGGACCATAATGAAATGCATGTTTCGATTTTGCTGTTGCTTTCTTTTTTTCTTAATCAGAGAAAGAAAAGAAAGAGAAGATCCTTCAGATCCGTACGACTAGTAACCGTCATCATGTCATGGGCAAGAAAATCATCAGAACTACTGCAGCGCCTTCAACGCTTCTATGCCTTCCTGCAAAATCGGCGTGCTCTTCTCCTTCACCAACATCTGCTTAAGCACTTCCTCTCCGTCTTCCTCTCTAACCTTTTCCTTTGCCCTCTGTCCTATCTCCCCCTCTGCCACCACCAAGTTCTTGATACAAACGGCGCCCCTGTGCCTCAGTTCATCACTCCCACTGTCGGACGCCAGCGCAAGCAAGACCTCTACCCCGCGGTCCCGCTTGATGACAGCGTCAACGACGGCATCCGAGCACTCGGTCAGCATGGCCAGTGCACCACCCGCAGCGCGGCGCGTAGCCAAGTCTTCGACATCGGCGAGCGCGAGGAGGATGTGTAGGCGCTGGCCTGCCTGCGGGCTGCCATCGGCGAAGAGCATAACGCCCTGTTGGCCGGCCATGAGGTTGCAGACCAGCTCGACCGACGCGCGCTGCACGAGTGGATTATTGGCAAGCATCAGGTCCTCGATGCGTGTCCACGCCAGCTTGATGATGGCGTTGCGTGCGTCGTCGTCTAGGGATGCCAGGTTGGTCAGCGCGAGGAGCGATTCAAACACGGGCAGTAAGTCGCGCTGGTCAGCCGTGGGGTCGTCTTCAAGGAGCTGGACGAGCGGGCGGATGGCGGAGGTGACGGGAAGGGCGCTTGAGGCCGAGAAGATATGGCTGGGGTTTACGGAAATGAGGATGCGGGCGAGAGCGTGGGCAGCGGTGCGAAGATTGGCCTGGCAGTAAGAGGATTGCGTGTGGATGGCGGTTTTGTTGACGCTTTCGGCGACTTGAATCAACGCCTTTACGGCACCTTGCTGCGCCATGGTGCCGCGATGCTTCTGCTCCTTGGATAGATTGAGGAAAATTTGGAGGACTTGCGACAAGACGCTCGGCGAAGCTTTCCTACACTCCATCACCAGAAAGGGCACTACGCCAGCTTGCAATACTCTTGCGCAGCGGATTGTGACAACGGCATCGTTCTCCAACGGATCCTCAGGGGCTGGTTTCTTAGTATTCGCATAGGCCTTGAGCTGGGCGATGCGTTTTTGCTCATCTGTCCGAACCGGACGGTAGGTTGTGAGGTTGCTGAAGATGGTTATACCGCCGAAGATCAGCGGTTTGGGGACTCCGTCGCTACTCATGACCTTGACCAGTTCTCTTAAGAACGTCTTATCTCGTGCTAGTTCTTCCTTGACCCTCGACTTCAGGGACGAGTAAGCAAGTCCTTCAACCGATTCTTGCTTGACCGTGTTGTCCGAGTCAAGCACCACCTTCTTGAACCTAGAAACCAGTTCATCCTGATGCTCATCCTCAGACGCCGAAGTCATGGCACTGTCATCACCGACAGGGGAGTCGTGGATCTTGACAAGAATAAGGGCAGCCTTGTTTGCTCTATTCTTGTCGCTACTGGACCTTGAGAGATCCTCCAGCCACTCTTTACAATGCTTGTTGATGGCATCGCGACAATTCTTGTCAATGCAAGCGGCGCTCAACAACTCCAAGGCAGCCTGCTCAAGCCGCTGACTCCCGCGGGTGATGATGGTGTCGACGTACGTCTCCAGGAAGCCCTGCGTTAAGAACAGAGCGGATGCCTGGGCGGGAGCAATGGGAAAGATGGCAGCGGCAGCAGAGTAAGCTTGAACCAGGCAATCTGTCGTGGGCGCTGCGACCTTGTGAGTGACGTAACGCGTGATCAGCTTCTGCGAGTTCTCAGGGGAGAGCTCGAGCAGCTTGGCGGTTGCGAGGGTGGCCTGGCTGCGGAGGGACACGGGCTGGCGGATGTCTAGGGAAGAGAGAATGACGTCGAAGCCGTCGGCGTCGATGATGCCGTTCAGGTGGTTTGCTTCGGCGGCCAGGGCTCGTGCGATGGCCTTCATTGCGCGCTCGGGGTGGGCCAGGCCGGCCTCCATCATCTGGGCAAGGGACAGCATGAAGATGTCCCTCAGGGCTTGGATGCGTTTCTCCTTGAAGGCCCAGGAATCGGTATCCAGGAGGACGGCAAAGAGACCGTCGATGCTCTCATCACCGCGATCGAACAGGCGTTCGAAGGTGACATGGGGATGGTCCTTGAGCTGGGTGGCGAGGTACTGGCGGGCGTGCAGCTGGGTTTTCAGCAGAGCTCCGGTGATCCTGTCGGCAAGATGGTCCTCTCCGCTAAGGTCCATCAGAACGGTCATAGCCTCTTCGGCGACGTCGCGGGCGAGCTGGGTGTTTCCCAGCAAGCGAACGGCTTCGGTGCCGTCGGCCTCGTTCTTGGCGTTGACATAGCTCTTGACCAGGCGCACGCAGGGCCCGCGGCTTTCCTCACGCTGTAGGCGCTGCCACTCTTCCTTGATCAGCGGGCTGTCGGCGTCAATAGCGGAGGCTTCTTTCAGCAGCTCGGCCGCGCGCTGGTAGCCGCCACGTTCGCTCTCACGGGAGGCCTGCTCAACGAGCTCGAGAATCTTGGAGTCGGACATGGCTGGGTCGGGCACTCGGCCAACGCATCGGGCCCGGCGAGGAGTCAAGTACTGAAGACGAAAGGCAGGCGATGTTGTGGAGAGAGAGCGATAGTCAGGGTTCTTGACCTGTCACACGCTTCGGCCGTGGCACGCGCTTGGGCGCACCTGCTCCGCGGCCCCTCCGACGTCACTTACCTAACCCACCCCATCAACAAAGCGCCCATCAAGCGCCTCTTTAGTTTCCCCACGGCTCACATCATATCGGTCCTGTTCCTGCCAGAGAGGCCCGCAAGAGAGCAAAAATCAAAGTTATGCCAGGTATGCGTGCCAAGCGCACAAGTCTCCTCCTTGTGCAAGTCACCAGAGATCACACCAAACGTGCATCACAACCCGCACTCACCAACCCTTTTTTCCCCCGCGCAGGCTTCTCCCTCTGGCTGGTGCCCCCTGCCGCTTCTCCAGCCCGCGCCGCTCTCTCCACGCTGATCGCCGAATCCCTCCCCGCCCAATTCCCAACCGAACAGCCTCCCCCGCCAAGATTCGTCCCCCACGTGACTCTCACGAGTGACGTCCAACTCGAGTCCTTTTCGACCCCGTCAGCCGACGAGGAGCAGCAAAAGCGCGACGCCCGTGCCTGGCTGGATGCGCTGACCGCTCTCCCCGCCGGTCGCGACGTCCGCGTGCGCTTCGAGGCCCTGGACGTCGGCGAGAAGTTCGTGCAGAAGCTGACCCTGCGCGTGTCCAACGAAGGCGGCTTGCGTGAGCTCGCTCGCCTCTCGCGCCTGCATGGTGTCGAGGGAGGGGCCAATGCGGACTCTGTCGACGCCTGGCTGGAGGGCGCTTACCGGCCCCACTGCAGCTTGGTGTAGTATGCCATAGATTTGGCCCTTTTCATTTCCTTTCCTATTTTCCTTGGCTAACGGGTACTTCACAGCGGCAACATGCCCATCTCGGACCAGAAGAAAGCCGAACTCCAGAGCATAGTGGAACAAGCTGGCGTCAGTGTCACCGGCTCTGGTGAGTTGGGTGGCTGGGAAGGCGGCCTCGTGTGGCTAGTGCCAACCTTCAAGAAAATCCCCGAATGGGAACCGTGGGTGGAGAGAACCCTTTGAGGAACATACTTTAAATCTAACGCGGCGTGAATGAAAATATGGTGCTGTCCTTGTCCCCGCATAGACAGCGCATTTTCATCCCAGAGCACTCCGGACTGACATCGAACGGCAAATTTCAGGCATGATACGTCTCAACTGGCCAACCAAGCCCTTCATTACCGACAATGATATCATTGACCATTAATCCATTGTATCATAACCTTTCCTAGATGTACAAAATTCCCGCCGGACAAACACCCCAGATTCACATAAACATCCGGATAATTTTTTTGGGGGTTCTTGTAGTGCACCACACAACTCCTGAAACAAAATAGCCTTACACCAGCGGCTTGACGAGGTCCTCGCCAGCCTCAGCCTTCTTGTTGCCGTACTTCTTGAGACGGATGGCCATGACGCTGATGAAGCCAGTGGTGTCGCTGGGCTCGAAGTCGCCAATCTCATCCATGGAGCTCTCGCTCATGTCATACAGCTTCTCCGTGTCGGACCAGCGGCCCAGGACGCTGAAAGTACCCTTGTAGGCACGGCAGCGGACCTGGCCGTTGACGTGCTTCTGCGACGAGACGATCGAGTCCTCGAGGAACTCACGCTCGGGAGAGAAGTAGAGACCGTTGTACAGGATCTAGTTGCATTCTCCATTAGCCCCTGGAACCAAGCTTGATACCTCGAGCACATTTCAGCTTACCTTAGCGTAGTTGAAGGTGACGAACTGATCACGGAGAGCGCGGACCTCCCTGTCCATGACGAGACCCTCAAGGTCGACGTGGGCAGCCCTCAGCATGGTGAGACCAGGAGTCTCGTAGCAGCCACGGGACTTGAGACCAATGAACCTGTTCTCGACAATGTCGATTCTGCCGACACCGTGCTTCCTGGCGATGGCGTTGGCAGTGAGGAAGAGGTCGACCGAGTCGGTAACCTCGGTGTCCTTGCCATCCTTCTTGTAGACGAGCTTCTTGGGCAGACCCTTCTCGAAGAAGAGGGTGAAGTCCTCGGGAGCGTCGGGAGCCTTGGTGGGGTCAGCGGTGAGCTTCCACATGTCCTCCGGGGGAGTGGTGTTTGGGTCCTCGAGGATGCCGGCCTCGTACGAGCAGTGGGCAAGGTTCTCGTCCATGGACCAGGGCTTGGACTTGGTGCTGGTGACGGGGATGCCCTTGGCGGCAGCGTAGTCGAGCAGATCGTTGCGGCCAGCGAAGCGCTTGTAGAAGACGGCGTCACGCCACGGGGCGATGACCTTGATCGAGGGCTGGAGAGCGTAGAAGGCAAGCTCGAAGCGGACCTGGTCGTTGCCCTTGCCAGTGCAGCCGTGGGCAACAGCGAAGCAGCCCTCCTTCTGAGCAACTGCGATCTGAGCGCGGGCAATCACGGGACGGGCAAGAGAGGTGCCGAGCAGGTAGACGTTCTCGTAGATGGCGTTGGCCTGGATGGCCGGGAAGCAGAGAGCCTCAACGAACTCGCGGCGAAGGTCCTCAACGTAGCAGGCAGAGGCACCGATCTGCTTGGCCTTGGCCTTAGCAGCCTCGAAGTCCTCCTCCTGGCCAACATCGGCCACTGCGTCATGTCAGCGGTATTCGGTGCTTGGCGCGGGTTGCGGCAGCTTACTGAAGCAGACGACCTCATAGCCCTGCATTGACGGTCAGCGGGAGCTTTGGCAAGAGCATCAGAGTCACTTACCTCCTCGAGCAGGTAGGCCAGAATGCAGCTGGTGTCGAGACCACCGCTGTAGGCGAGACAGACCTGTTGCAGCAGTCAGCACAAGCTGCAGTGAGTCACCCCGCAACAGTGCTCGTTACCTTTCCCTTGGTCATTGTGAAGGTGTTGTTTGATGAAACGGAGGATGGAGAAGCTCGAGGAAGAAGCGGCGGAGAGAGCAACAGCGGAGGAGGTCAATTGCTCTAGGGGAGGGGTGTGAGGTGGAATGGGTTGGTGTTGGGCGGCCTTGGAAGCTGGAAATTTACTGACTGTTATCGCGCGCGCTGATCGGCGGGACCTGGGTGACCTCACCGCCCTCGCATCCCCGCGGTCTTAGCGGTTGCTCCGGCATCGCAGGCATTCCTACTGGCTCACTGTCCCCATGCGCGCCGAAAAAAATTTCGGCCTGCAGCGCCGCCCCAACTTGTCCCCGTCGAATGTCCATGCACAAGCTCACTCTAGCCCCGTTGAGTCACAATTCACGGCCTATCTGCCCCATTCCTATTCGAGTGTGCACATTGAATTACTGTACAGTATCTACCCCATGCAACAAAAGCGCCGTGCTGGGAACCCGTCCATGTTTACTCCTCGCTGATGCAAACCATCGTATATGCAAAGAAACGGCCGCTGGGAGACAACCCCGCGGTATGATAGCAGTTGTACTGGCTTTTGAGTTAACGAAAATAAAGAACGATCCTTGTGTGATGTGATGCCCAACGAAACTACTTCCAACGAGAGAAAGACAATACGGAAATTTGTCCACTATGACATGGTGTTCTGGCGTGACGCATGCAGGCTCCCGGATCCCGATGACGTCTCGCTGAGCGGTGTTTGCGGTGTCTGCGGCTCCAGAGAGAGCTGGCTCCGCAAGATCATGATCCACGGATGCTGCAGCAGCTCCGCCGCCGTGGCCCTTCTCCCGGGGTCACGTTCGAAGCACGCCCGGAGGAAGTCGATTCCTTGGTCGCTCAGCTGATCTCTCGTTGGGAGCTGAGGCGGGTTGCCTTGGGCAATGTTATACATGATTGCCCATTCGTTGTCCAGGCTGGCCCATGGTCGTCGTCCAGTGGCCATCTCCAGAATGACGCATCCGAGAGACCAGATATCGACAGCCCCCAGACGGCCCTTGTTCTCACCCTTGATGACTTCGGGTGACATGTACATAGGCGTGCCCGTCATCGACTTCTGCCTGCCTTGACGTGTCGCCGCGTGCTCTGCAGCCAACGTCTTGCCCTGCTTGGCGATGACCTTGGCGGCTCCGAAATCGACGAATTTGATGACGCCGTTATGATCGAGGAGAATATCTGCAGCTTGTTAGCAAGTCTTCACGGTGCAAATAAACTCCAACTTACTCTCTGGCTTTATGTCGCGATGCACAACGCTACTTTCATGAAGATAGGCAAGACCCTCCAACATCTGCAAAGCATAGACCATGATAACCGTCTCATCTTCGATACGGCCATGCTCCAAGAGACCGGCGAGCGAGCCCCCAGAACAATATTCCATGAAGATGTAGACCTTGTCGCGATGTGGCTCGATACCGTAGTAAGAAACGATGTTCGGATGATCAAGCATCTGCAAGACACCCATCTCGTCGCGGATCTGGGATACTATCGTCGGGATGAGCTGGGGATCTTGAAGTCGAATCTCCTTGACAGCCATGAGGTGGTTGGAGTCGAGATTGATCGCGGCGTAGACCGATCCAAAGGTACCGCCGCCGATGAACTGGCCTTGCTGCCATCTGAGAGTGACGTTGGTTGCCGAGGATGAAAGGTAGGTAAGGGCGCGGTCAGCCTCGTTCGAGTCCTCCAGAACACGGCCGAGGGCCTGCCGTTCTGCCTCCTTGGCCTTTCTTATCTCATCAATCTCCGCCAGCTGCTCGAGCCATCCTTCCCGGACAAGCTCTGCTGATTCCTCATCGTTCTTCAAGCGACTGATGTCTAGTTGCTTCTTGCCCAACATCGCATCGATACGCTGCTTCTCGGCCTGGGCGGCCATGGTCGATCTCGCTCCCATGATGTCGAAATGAGAGATTAGGAGAGACATGCACCCGGCCACCTTCGCACGCAGTCGAGCATACTCCTCTTCGTTCAGCGACAGGATATTCTGGCCTCGTGTCATCATCATAGCAAACTCAAGCGCCACTACAGCCCATCGGAAAGTCTTCCGATCAGATGCCACACAATCGTCGCAAATAAAGCTCACCCAGTCAAGGGCGAGCCTGGTGAGTTTGAGGTTGTTCAGAGCGCGGCGGTTGAAGTCCATGTAGTAAACCGAGCGTTGACCAAATTCAGTCGCGAAGGCAAAACACGTTTGGATAAGTTCTTGGCACTCCAGCCCGGCGGTTTGTTTCCGAATTATCTCAACACTATCCATGATGGTGTTGGACAATTTGTAAGCGACCTTCTTTATCCGCTGCAGCTCCACGTTGACACGAGGTAGGTTGGCTCTTTGGTCCACAATCTTAGTCAACTCAACGTTAGCTGACTGTAAGAAGGTAGCGTTGGCGTTAGCCAAACGCGCCTGAGCGCCGTCGGCAACAAGCCTCATGCGGCCAATCTTCACATCAAGATGCGGCGTCCGAACCGGAGCTTGGAGTGTAGGTCCGTGCCAGCGTAGAGGATCTTCGGGCCTGAGAATCAACAGATAGGGGTTGGTGGGATCTTCCGTAACCTCATCCGTATGGTAGCAAGTTCCGAGGAGAGACTGGATATCTTGTGGTCGGTTCATCAAAACGGGTGAAGCGATGAGGTACAGGCCCTTGTTGTCCGTCGATTGTGTTTCCACGAGAAAGTGTCCGCTCATTTCCAGAGCTTCAAAGAGATCCTGCACCTGTTCGGGAACGAGGCTGATGTTGTACTCTGTGGAGTTCTCAAACCGTGTGGTTAGAATCCTAGAGAAACGGAACAGTTTCCTTTGACGGACACGGACGGAATCAAGGATTTGCTTGTAACGCTTATCCATCTCGGCTCCAGCAACCTCTTCTGGGCGTCTTTGCAGTTCCTTCTCGAAATGTGCCGTGAGACGGGAGAGAGACTTTTGCGTCAGGTAGCTGGAAATGATCAGTACACACGAAGCGAAGGCGGCAAACGGCAGGCATACCTAAACTGCTCGGCAACTTCTACGTCACCCCCCTCCAAGTGCTTGCCAAGGGTCTTGGAGAACTCCCATTCCTGTTCCAGGATTTCGGCTTCCTTGAAGGTGTTCTTGTTTGCAGAAAGCTTCCAGTTCAGCATCTTGAAGTAGAACTTGAGTGCATCCAGCACGACAGCGTCGAAGTTCTCTTCAATGCATGGTGGAGGATCCCAACCCGGCTCAGGTTGCGAGACCACAGTGTACGACTCCTTGATCCTTATAGCCAACTTGAGGAGGATTTGAAACTGGGCAATCATCTGCTCAGCCATCATCACACCCTGCTGTGCGGGGTCTTTCATGCGCTTAGCATAGGATAACCGCATGCGGATGATCTCCTGAACCAGGCGCGAAGGGAAGTTGATTAGGGTAAGGAGTTCCTCGATGTAAGGGGGAAGGTGACGTTCCTGGAAGGCAGTAGCATTGGCGATCAAGGTGGCTTTCGCCTTGTTGATCACGTTGTTCAGGCCAACCAGAAGACTGTCTTTGCTCTGAAGAGATTTCAGACCATCCTCCTTCAGAATCCGGTCAATAAAGGAAGAATCATCCGTGAGATGGCTGTCTCTTTCCATGCGGTCCTTTCTCTTCGAGAAATCCAGTTCGTCGTTGCCGACCCAGCTCCTCAGGATTGAAAGCTCCGTGTTGATGAGCTGGGTAGTGTTGTGCCACGAGATGACAGCATCACAACTTTCACGGAACGCCGCCGAGGCTGCACGGGGCTGAGCGTGCTCCAGGGTTTGCCAGGTAGGATAGAGACCTTCACACTTCTCAATCTTCCGTACCATGTCTGCAACCTGCTGTGCAGCCGTCTGGCCAACCTCGGCCTCTCCCTTTATTTCAAAGGTAATGATTCCTTCAATCAGGGTCTTGGCCTTGGACCGCCCGTCGTCAATCAGCCGCCGTTGAGCCTGCAGCGTGCGTCCGCAGCACTTCGCGCGAACGCCCATCCAGATCTCGGTTTTGATTGTGTTGTCGCCCTGCTGCTCGCTGCCGCCGATCAGACGCTTCTTCTCCTGCTTGACGACATCGCCGGTAAGGACGCTGGCCAGCATCGAATGCCACTCCAGCCTTTCCCTGTTCTCGGGAATTTTGAGCTCCTCCACCGACGGCTCGAGGTCGTCGTTACCATAGTAGAGCAGGGTCTCCTGGTCATAGGGGTCATTCTCGAGATAGTCGGTGGTGGAAGGCGACTCGTCATCCGTCTCGGAGTCCTCAGTGCTGTAGCCCAGGCTAGGCGTGCGCAGGTCGGGATTGAAGAAATCGTCGTTGTCCGGGGCGTCCTGGCGTATGCGCTCGACGTAGGCCTTCTCCTGTGCGCGATACTCGGCATTCGGGTTGCGGCGACTGGCACGATTCGTCGACGAGGCGCGGTGGCGGGCGCCCGAGTTGCTGTTCAACGAATACTGCTGGGGACGGCGCTGGGGGGCGTATGCATTGGACGGGGTACGAACGGCGGACGGGCGAGGAGGGCGGGCGCTGTTCATGGTTGGCGGCTGGAGCTGAGCGTTAGGCGCGGCATCGTAGACGCCCACGCCATTCGGGGCCCCGCCGCTGCCTCCTCGGGAGCGTGAAGCGTAGCCATAGGGCGCAGCGGCGGCCATGGGAGGGACCTCGTCCCGCGGAGTCGTCGACAGGGCGGGTGCAAACTCGTACTGGCCGTCAGCGTCGTCGTCGGAGGCGTTGCGCTCGCCGACTGCGCGCTCTGGGTCCGACTCGCCGCTCGAGCCTGAGCCCGAGGTCGACGAGTCGTGGCGCGGCAGGTCGGGCGCGTCCATGGTCGGGTCAGCAGCTGCTAGACGGTCGTCGGGTGCGGAGGGCTGGCTCTTGTCATGCTCGGGCTCCGTGAAGCGGACGCCGCGTTGGGTGGGCTCGCTGGAGCTCATGAGTGCTGGCGATCGGCCTGGAGCTAGCCAGCACTGGGCGTAGGTTCCGACGCGCGGGAACGGGAGCAGAGCCTCGGCGTGTGGCGGTGCCTGGACGAGGTTTCTGTTCGACTCAAACAAAGCACGCAGCCGGCGATGGGAGCGCACTGGCAACGGGCAAAAAGAAGCGGCGCAAGCAGGCGATCCCGTCGCGCTGTCTGTGCCCGGCTGCCAGCGCCTGGCGAAAGCAGGTTCTCGGGGCTCATTTCCAGCCCACACGGCACCACTCGCCGTTAAAATCACCGCGACTTAACATGGCTCGGCCCAACAGCTGCGGTGCGTGCCGTGGCCGGGGCATCTCGACCGTCGGTCGCCCTCCGAGGACCCGCTCTCCACGTGGATCCCCTGCCTCCGCAGTGAGGAGCAAAGACGTCCGTTCTGCGAAGGCGAGCTTCTCTGAAAGAGCGTGTCCTGAGGCCTCCGCGCATGGCCCGCTCTTCCGTCCGCCGCCGTCCCCACCGGCCTCTCTTTGCCGATCCAACGCGTTTGTCGCGATCTTGCCATCTGTCTCGTGCCTAGCGGAATCGGCGTGCTAGCGGAGTCAGCCGGACACGGCCAGCAACAACGGCATGAAAGACGATCCTTCGGTGATCGTTGCGATGCCACGCAATCGTCTTACGAACTATGGGGGATGCATGCACGATGCCATGAGAGAAGCAACTACGCGTGGCTGACTTTGTATCTCCGTGAGCTGTCAGAGCAAAGCCTGGGGGAGATGCACACGGGTCCTACCTGGAGTGTCTAATGGCGATTTGCCACCACGAGATATAATGTCATATTGTTAGACGTTGCTCAAAGCACCTGCCTGAGTCAGCTTGGGGTTCCTCCCGTCGCGTGGGACATGCTGAAATATCGGGCTGCCAATATTAGAGGCTTGATATATGAGTGTGCATCGCTGAGCATCAGCAAAGTTTCCTCGCTAGTTGCATTTTGGTACTTCATGTGTCCCGTTGGCCCGACAAGGCGAGGATCTTTTGCTTCTTTAGGAAATGCGGCCGATCCTCATCCAACGACTCTTTGGCATGCAAACAGCATTTCCCCTTGTCCACCTCATAAAGTCAAAACTAGTAGTAGGAGACATTAGATGTCACAGTCCAGGGGAAAGCATCTAATACATACGGGGGCACATGTGCCCGAAGCCTTCTTGTCTCCTAGTTGTACATCTTTGGCCGGGTCATACACATTCATGTAGACAACACTACCAAAATCAATGCTCGATAGATGAGAAGAACGTTCCCGAAAACTGGTTGAGCCACGTCTGGTCCCGACCTCCCAATGGCTGCAAGAACAACATCATCATCATGCCAGGGCACACCTCGCGCGTGTTGCAGCAACAGCGAGGCCCAGCCCCTGCAGTGCCATCGTCAATGCCGTGTTCAGCGTCGCATATGCAGGCAAAACCTCAGGTAAGCGCTTCTTTGTGCAATGGAGTCAGAATATAGCAACGCACTTGTCAAGAGAATCTCAGGAGCGTGGCGCTTTCAACTGAGGGGGGAGCCGACCGTCGTGAAACACTTACAACGGGACTGACGGCGTCAACGAAGAATATCGAGGATACCCATGGCTTTGGAGCGATGGTCTTGGATGTGACGAGTCCACGCGCGATTTTGCTGACCTCAGACGCTAGAAGTGAAGTTCACTCCGAGTGGCGGGGATCCTGTACGAGTACGCGCACGACGAGGAAGCATCCCCCAACCAACAAACACAATCAATGGGCAGGAGGAGATGGCATCGCGACGGGTGGCTGCAGTCCCCGGTCTTTTGTCCTACTCCGCTGCACGGGGCCTCCACTGTCGCAGCCGTCTTGCCGGATCTGATCGAGTGTTGTGCGACCTCAGCCCCTTCGGTTGCGAAACCTTCACCGCTTCGAAGAACAGACATTGGACAAAGCGAAGGATCATGTCTCTGGGCACTGCTTCCCCACCAGAGATTGGAGAGGTGCGTTGACGAAGGCCATGCTGCAATTCTTTGTTCAGGAGCGGCGTCGGGTGTTCCTGCAAGGTAAGCCATCGGCCGGGTCCATCAGCATTCTAAGTCAACGGCGGAGGGGGCCAATGCTATGCTGACGGCACAAGAGGGCAGCTAGCTGTGCCACCTGCACCAGCGGCGATTGGCGCGAGGGCTCGTCTGATGAAGTGGCAGCATGGTCTCGCCAGCCGACGGCAGAAAGCACGGGTTGCCCGTGCAGTTATTTACTTCAGCCCGCAACGGGGCGCGGAAGTGAAGGACACGAGGCACCAACGGGGAACGATCGCAAAGAAGAAGCTGGAGCCAAGGAAAGTCCCGGACTTGGGGGTGTCGCTCTATTTTCGAAGGCGCACGCCAATCACCGTCGCAACGGTTATCAGCTGTGCCCCTCGCTTACCAAGGCGTAGAGGCCTCAGACAGGATAAGCCATCCACCAGAGTTGGAACACATTGCGCCAGTGGCTGGGCGGAGATTTGTGGTGCCGCAGAAGTGCAGAGGCGCGTGTCCCTGGGGCACAGAAGCCGGCCGGTGCCGGGGAGCAGAACGGGCACAGAGCTTGCGACTCGAGCCATCAGCTAAAGCAGCGTCTAATGCAGGGGTACAGGTACAAGAGCCCTTCCAGTCGAAGAAGGTGGCCAAGGGCGCGAGTAAGCACTCGCGTGGAGAGGCACAGCGCCCAGCCGTCAGGGCATCAGACGGTCCCAATCCGGGACGGGCGGCGTTTTGGGGGCGTGCGCGCAGCGAAAGTTTATAGGAACAGGCGGAACGAGTGAAGACCTCCAAGACATGGGGGCGGCCGGGCGTGGATCTCACGAGAGACTGCAGATGGGCAGCCTGATCCCCATGATCTTCGCCCTGCGACGCTGCCGGCGACCCGCTCAGACCCCGCCGCCCGGTGGGTGTCGACGACGCCTAGAACGGCGGCGTGGACGCTCGCCTCCAACGGTCGAGCTAAGGCAAGGGCGCCGGGCGGGCGGCGTGGGCGTTCGTCTTGGCCGCGCAGTGCCGGCTGAGATAAGGGTTGCGGCGAAGGATGCGTGCAGCAGACGACGCACCACTCCCGGCAGAAACTGCGCGTATGCGCCCTGGCGCCGTACGGCAGCAGCATCGCGCCGGGCCCAGTGCGACGGGGCAGATTCGTCGCGGGAGCGCCGACAAGGACCGCGGACGCCGGCAGCCGAGGATCTGGAAGCGCAGGGCGAATGTCTGAGCGTCGAGCGTCGAGGGCAGGTGCTATCGGGCGTGGTGGTTTGGTGCCTGTAAATGAATGACCTGCGGCCATATCGGCCATCCCACGGGGGTGGCTCGACCTGCCGCCCCGCGATTGGTTCCCTCAGCACTGCTTATCTGTGGCTGCGGTGCGCCGTTCGTGCGTCCGACCCCGTTTCCCAGCGCGGCCTAGCGGGCTAGGCGCAGTGCCCAGGAATGAGCGGAAGCTGAGGCCCTGCAGCGCAGCTTCCCAGTTCCTAAGATATGCCCTTTCATATAACACTTGCGCTCGTTGCTGCCTCGCGTGTCAAGTGTCGCTAGCTCGCTTCTCTTCCCGTCGCCGCCTCCCGCAACGCGGATCCGGAGCGAATTACCGCGATCGACGAGGCCCACCTCTACCTCTGCTCTTTAACTCTCCACAAAGCCGCTTCCTCCACACCACTTGCGGCTTCCGACCTTTCCACTCTTTTGCCCACCAGCTCCCGGCGTCCGCGACGTCCGTAAAAGCCCTCTTCGTCCACCACCCGCTACTTTCCCTATTCATCACCTCCCGATCGTCTGGACCGGCACGCGCCAGCACCGCCCGACATGTCGGCCGCTACCACCTCGGCTTTGCCCTATGTCCCGCTCGAGTCCTTCCCTACTGATGCCCCGGCTACCGGCGGCGACAGCCTGACCGAAGACTTCAATGTCTACTACCAGGTCAGTATTTATCCGGACGCCATTGACCGTGCTAATGTGCATGATAGTCGGGCGACATTGCCTGGATCCTGACCTCGACCGCTTTGGTCTTGCTCATGATCCCTGGTGTTGGGTACGTAGACGCCTCAATGCTGAGTTCCGTCGCGCTGATTGTTGTCCAGTTTCTTCTACTCCGGCCTTGCTCGTAGGAAGTCGGCGCTTTCCCTCATTTGGCTCTCGGTCATGGCCACCGCCGTCGTGTCTTTCCAGTGGTTCTTCTGGGGCTACTCCTTGGCCTTCTCGCACTCGGCGGGCAAGTACATCGGCGATCTCTCGAACTTTGGTTTCAAGGACGTTCTCGGCGCTCCTTCCGTTGCCGCTTCCACTATCCCGGATATTCTCTTCGCCATCTTCCAGGGCATGTTCGCGGCTATCACGTAAGTTGCACTGAACTACATTTATAAGTGTTTGAATAACCCGAATCTGGCAGTGTTGCGCTTGCCGTTGGTGCTGTTGCTGAGCGTGGCCGCATGCTCCCCTGCGTCATCTACATGTTCATCTGGTCGACGATCATCTATGACCCCATTGCTTGCTGGACCTGGAACCCATCCGGATGGGCGGCGAACATGGGCTCAATTGATTTCGCTGGAGGCACTCCGGTCCACATCGCGTCCGGAACTGCAGCGCTGGCTTACTCCTACATGCTGGGCAAGAGGCGTGGTCACGGTACTCAGGAGCTCAACTACCGCCCCCACAACGTCACTCACATCGTCATCGGCACGGTCTTCCTGTGGGTCGGTTGGTTTGGTTTCAACGCCGGTTCTGCCGGTGCCGCCAACGTTCGCGCCGTGATGGCAGCTGTTGTTACCAACCTTGCTGCTTGCGTAGGTGGCATTACATGGTGCTTGGTTGACTACAGGCTTGAGAAGAAGTGGTCTACCGTCGGCTTCTGCTCCGGTGTCATCGCTGGCCTCGTTGCCATTACTCCCGGATCTGGATTCGTGCCTGCTTGGGCTGCTGTTGTCTTTGGTGTATGCGGTGGCGCTTTCTGCAACTACGCCACCAAGCTCAAGTACTTCCTTCGCTGCGACGATGCCCTTGATATCTTCGCTGTCCACGGAGTTGGTGGCTTTGTTGGCAACATCCTCACCGCATTCTTTGCTGCGTAAGTCTTCCTAATTGTTGGTCAATGCAGCCCAAAATGCCTAACCGTGGTATAGTGACTACATTGCTCACCTCGACGGCTCCACTGAGATTGACGGAGGCTGGCTCAACCACAACTGGATCCAGCTGGGTTACCAGCTTGCCGACTCGGTCGCAGGCGGTGCCTACTCCTTCGGCGGAACTTGCATCATCCTGGGTACTCTTGGCTTCTTGGGCACCTGGATCCCAGCCCTGAGGCTTCGCGCTACGGAAGAGGAGGAGATTCTTGGTATTGACGACGTTGAGATTGGCGAGTTCGCGTACGACTACGTTGAGCTTGCTCGTGAAGCCAAGACGCCCGAGGATGACGATGCTATCTCGCGCCACTCAGTCGTGCGCACTTCAAGCCACGATGGCCACGAGAAGAACCATGACTCGGTGGGCTCGCAGCTCCCTCTCAACTAGATACTTTTCTTCGATTGGCCAATTCCGTCCGAGCACCGTGGCTTTCTTCACAGGTCTTGCTGTAGATACATTTAAGACAACCTGGTGGGTAAGTTGATGGTCTTGGATAAGCTCGATACCCTTCGGACGAAGCTGTAGCGTGTCGTCGTCCTTCCTTTATTTCTCATAGCTTCTTGGCCTGCATATTTGGCAAGACTTGTCTCGGTGGGCGTGCATTTGAGCGGGGATAAACAGTAGATAATTGCAGACCAGCATTGGTGAAATCCATGACTACGTAATGACAAACGAGCGGGCCGCCCGCGTTGTGCAGCGCGTGCCGTGCCGTTGCTGATGGGCTGGCTGCGTCCCGGTTGGTAGCGCATTGACGTCAGTGCTCGCGCCAAGCCACTACGTCTTCCGATAGGCGAGCAAGCTCGCGACAGCTCTACTTGTAAGCGTTTCTGCCTCATCTTGAAACACCACCTCTCGAAACTCCACCCCGCGACAACCGCTGAGCCCTCCGCTGTTTCCTCGACCGTCGCATATAACAGCGAGTCCCGGCCATTGTGCTTGCGGTCCCGTGCGCCTCGCCGCAGCCTTGTCGCGTCCGTTCCCGCGCCGCTCCGCCGCTCACCGACAATGGACGACACGCGCACCAAGTTTCCCGTGAACCCCGAGGATTTCGATGCGGACGAGCGCATCTCCTGGTCCAAGATCGACAACAAGTTCATCTTGGAGGAGGCCAACGGCAACGAGTGGGAGTTTGACGAGAAGCTGAAGAGATGGGTCCCAACGGTACGCTGACGCCCCGCCTTCCCCTCCGCCGCGGACACTGGGGAAGATCAAATCCTCTCCGCGAAGCCCAAACCCGTTTCTGGCTTTTCTGGTTTCTGGCTGCAACGGGATGCTGCCACACGCGCACACCCTTGCCGGTTTGAGATTGTCGAGGGCCGAATCGATTAACCACTGGGTTTCCGGAAATAGGTGGACAAGGATCTCTTGGAGCAGCAGGGCAAGGCCTACCAGGTCGCTGGCGTCGACGAGGCTGAAGATGCCAGAGAGCAATTCAAAGCCAAGAAGAGGAAGAAGAACGGCGACGACGACGAGGGCAAGGTAAGCGCGTTCCACCCTCACCTTGGCTTGGCAATGTCTTTGCCCTTCAGCTAACAGTGCTTTGCAAACGCAAAAAGCCCCCGGCGAAGAAACGCGAGGGTGGCGGCAGCTCCGCTGTCTACGCTACGTCCATCCCGCTAGATGCTACCTTCAAAGACATCGAAACAATCTTCTCGAAATACGGCCTCATCGCTGAGAGCGCGGATACCGAGCAGAAGAGGATCAAGATGTACACCGACGAAAACGGCAAATTCAAGGGAGAAGCCCTGATCATCTACTATCGCCCTGAATCCGTGCAGCTGGCCATCGACATGCTAGACGATACGCCTTTTAACTACAAGCAAGGCCCCAACGGCAACATGAGGGTTCAAGTTGCAGATGCCTCCTTCAAGAAACAGAAGGAGGGTGACGGAAATGGCAACCAGCCCAAGCAAGCCAAGAGATACCAACCGGACAAGCAGAAGCTCGAGGCGAAAAAGAAGGAAATGCAGCAGTACGCGCCCCAACCTTTTCCGGAATATACCACGTGATTTCTGACTACGGTTCACAGGAAACTGACGGACTGGGGCGACGAAGAAGGCTATGAGCTTGCCAACGCTGACAATGCTGGCTCGCGCTGGGAGAGGACTGTTGTGCTGAAGCACATGTTCACACTCCACGAACTCGAGGTAACATCTTTGAACAAACAAAGCAGTCCGCAGGGCTAACAGCGCGCAGGAGGATCCAAATGCCGAAGAGGACATCCAGGCCGATATCATGGAGGAAGCCGAGAAGTTTGGCGAAGTCGAGAAAGTTTTCGTGTTCAACGAGGAGCCTGCGGGCGTCGCGAGCGTCAAGTTCGCCGATCAAGCCGCAGCAAAGAACTGCGCGAAGGCCTTCAATGGTCGCATGTTCGACAAGCGTACCGTCCTGGCGTACATTGCTGACGGCAAGGAGCTCTTCAAGAGGACCAAGAAAGACACCGAGGCGAAAGAACAGGCCCGTTTGGAGCAGTTCGGCAGGGATCTTCAGGCCGGAGCCTTGGTCAAGAACGTGGATGGCGCCGGGGAGAAGAACGGCGAAGAATAGATGGCCCCTTCCCATCGAGGACATGTGAAGCGGAGCTAGACAAGGACCCACTCTTACAGGGTGACCTCAACTTTGGGTCTCTTACCTAGCAATTCTCTCAATTGCTCTTAGCGAGCTTGGTTTTGGCTTCGATATTATGAAACGCGGTGCCAAGGTCACCTGGTATAAGGAAACAAAACTTGGAGAGGGGTTTACAAAGGGTTACTACCAGGCCAGGCGCGACTAGGCATGGGCACAATTGGCGAGTGTCCTTCGAGGCGGCATATACCCGGGTTTGACTTTTCAGAGGCCCAAATGAGGACAATTGCTGCTATTTCAGAAAAAATGCTTTTTTTTTCATTCCCATACTCGTTCTCATAATTCGGTCTAGTGGGGTATCGAAGCTGACACTGCAGAGCCTCTCTCTTCTCAAGATCCTTATACCGTTCACAACGGTATCAACAAGCTGTAAAAAAAAAAAAACAGAACAACCGTGGTATCTCCCTCCCAGAAATCATAAACGTAAAATCAAACAGGTAAAAACATATCATCACAAGAAAAGGACAAAAAAAGGAAGGGAAAAAAAAACAAACGCTTTTGCGCTCAAGGCCCATAGCTCCTCCTCACGATACTACTCAACCTCGGCCTCTTGCCTCCCAAGCTGCTGAACAAGGGCGTCACTTCAGCCGTCCTCGGCCGACCTGCCCTTGCTGCGGCCGCCTCGCTTTCAGCCTCACCATCGCTTCCCACGTCCTCGACCGTTCGCAGAGCCACGTCGTCGAACGACGCCTGGGGCGAGTAGTATCGCGGCAGCGAGCTGCCGCTCGCGCTACGTGCCCGCCTACCAGCGCCGGACGCAGTCGATGTGGATGGCATGCCCGCTGATGCCGCAGCTGCCGTCAGGGCAGTCAGGGCCGATTGCCTGTGGCCGGCGAGAGTGCCGCTGCTGCTGCTGGGCGACGTGGGTGGCGACAGGCGCTTGGGGTTGGTGGTGTTGCCATTGTCCTCTCCATCGCTGCTGCTGTTGCTGCCTCCGCTGGCCTCCCTCCCCTGCTGCTGCTGCTCCGTCGCAGCACCCTCGACCTCATCGTCTCCCACGCACGGGCTCGGCGTCTCCAGGATGATGGTCGGCGGCGGCTGCATCGTCATGAGGGGGGCCGACATGTGCCTGTTGCGGACCCTGTCGCGCACGCCGGAGCCGTTGGAGTCAGTGCTGTTGCTGTGCAGCGAGCCCTGCAGGCTCGACACGCCCGTCGCCGGGTTCTCGGGCGACTGGGTGCGCTGGACTTGCAGGGGGATGAGGGTCGAGGTCGAGAGACGGGCGAGCGGCGAGACGGTGGGGGCGTTTTGGGAGTAGGGGATGTAGAGCTGGATGCTGCTGTTGGAGGTGGTGCGGGCGCGAGGCAGGGGCTGGTAGGTGTCTGCTGACGGTTGCTGCTGCTGGACTTGATGGTACTGGGGGGGAGGAGAGGTGGGGATGTTGGGGGTGGAAGAGGCCTGGCCCGCCGTCGAGGAAGGGTTGATAATGGTGAAGGCGCTGATGTCAGGCGTCGTGTCGTCCGAGTAGCCTTCCTCGGTGGTGTAGTAGGTGGAATCGGTGGCGTTGGTCGTGTTGCGCGTCGGCGGCGAACCGGCGGCGCGCGAGGGCGGAGTGATGGCGGGCGACGCGAGCGGGCTGTTGCTGGCGGAGGTTATCGGTGGTGACAGGACATAGGGGTTGTTGTTGCTGTTCGCGCTTTGCATGATGGCAACGTCGGATACGCTGCGCACACGCTTGTAGTCACCCCTCCTGGAGAAGGAGCGGGCGATGCCTGCCTTTTCGGCGTCGAGTGAGCTGCGATGCTTGCGTTGGCGCCGCTTGTGCAGGAAAATGCCGATCAGAGAGATGATGATGGCCAGGGCGAAGACACCGAAGATGGAGCCACAGACGATGGTGACGGTTGATGAGCCTCCACTGGGTTGGGCGGCGGCAGTCGCGCTGGCACTGGCGCTGGCGCTGATTGTTGAAGAGGCGCTCGTGCTTGACGAAGAGCTGGAAGAGCTGGTTGCAGAGGAGGTTATGGAGCTCGAGGCGGCGGAGGAGGTTGATGATGATGATGATGATGATGCCGCCGCACTAGAAGAAGCGGCGGCGGAGGAGGAGGAGGAAGAGGAGGAAGAGGACGCGGAGGCAGAAGCGGAAGCGGAAGCTGAGGAAGAGGAAGAAGAAGAAGAAGAAGAAGAAGAAGAAGAAGAAGAAGAAGAAGAAGAAGCTGTTGATGAAGCGGCGGCGGCGGTCGAGGAAGCAGCCGCAGAAGTAGCAGCGGAGTCGACAGTGGTTGTTGTTCGGGCCATTTTGGGAAATGTTTGGTGGTGGACAAGGGACCGGGCGAGTAGCAAAACACGCAGAAGGAAAAGGTGGAGGGAGCAGCGGCTGCTTAATACTGCAGCAAATGGATCGTCTGCTTGCTTACTGTGGATACAGATTGTGTCCGGGAAGGGCTTGCTAAGCACTGTTAAGTATCAGCGACGCCATCGTCAGAAGCACATGTCCCGGGGATAAAAATAGGCAGGGTAGGGGAAAGGCCCCATGGCGGCTTGACTGTTCACGGTATCGCGGTTGAGGAAAGCAGCAGGGCCGCAACGGGCCGTCCGCAGCACAGGTCACCCTCCAGCAAACCCTCTGGCTGCCTGCTACGCCCCACAGAGGAGACCATCCACATGCCAGCTTGGCGCATCCTGCAACACACAGGCCGCCGTCTGTTTTGTTCCTCGTCGACGACTCATGGCCAATCGAAGGACGGGCGGCAGCGCCTCTTCCCAATACCAACGCATGGCGACATGAAGCGAAATGAGAGCGGCAGGTGAGGCTTGCTCAGGCACCGTCAGCGAGCCACAGGCAAGATGGCGGTGGCAGAGGTGGCGGTCGAGCAGCGAGGTGGTTCAGCCTTGCCCGGTAGCGCTGATCGCAGCTCGGGACCGGGCCCGCGACGCCTCAACGGCTGCGCGTCCAATCACGTCAACATGGCGAGCAAGCTGCGGCTCTGACCTGCTGCGGCACGTTGTTGACAGGGCCCGACGCCGCAGCCGACACTGACGCTCCCAAAGCTTGCTCCCGGGCGGCGCAGCCGGATGCAAGCAAGCAAGCGAGCGTGGAGGCTTCGACGAGAGATCCAGCGTGACCGTGCGCGTGTGGAGGCTGTGCGCGTCGTCGTCGGCCACGCCATTCGCCCTCTCACCGACTCGATCCAACACCGCGAAAGTCGTCACCACGCCGTCTGCAGCGATCATCCCTTCTGGGAAAGAGCGTTTCCCCCTCGGCGCTTTTATGATTTTTCGTCGGTGCTGCTGCGGGTACCGCCCTTGGGGGCCAGTCTCACTGCTGACTCCCCAGCGTCATGGCGGTCTGTTGCTCGCGTCAGGCTGGAGGCGTAGCCAGCCGCGTGGTTGAGGCGAGCATGATTTACGCGAAACTTCCAGATCCGCAAGGCTTTGCTCAACTCTCCTGATCCCCGGGATCCCGGGTGTGCGTTTGTTGGTTCAATTTCCCCACGAGTCATTGCTCCCCCAGGCTTGCGCAATACGAACCCGACCTCTTGAGCCTCCTCGCGCAGCGTCAGAGGTTGACAAAGCGGTTGACGACGCCTCCCCCGCTGGCCCGCCGAAATCGTCCGACGCTATGGCACTTTCTTCTGTCCCCGTATTGAATATCACCATCATAAATCTCACCGTTTGCTCTGCGACATTGCGTCCGTGGGTTTCCTCATCCTTTCTGCCTGATGCCTGAACTTCCGGTCCGAGCTTCTGACAAAGCGCGGCCGTCTTTCTGTCCATCTCCACCCTGAGCATAAAAATAGCGGCAGGGGGAACCGATCTGCTACACATGGCTTGCTGATCTCCAACTTTGTATACAAGCACTCAACTCGATGGCGGTGCACAGGTACGCTAGGCAGTGTAGCGCGAAGGCAAGCAATTCTAGCTTCGCGCTACTGGCTGGCCCTTCTCCGGTCTGCGGGGATGCTAGAGCAGAAGAGAGAGAGAAAAAAAAAGAGGAAGAAAAAGGCTCCACCGCCCGCAGAATCCAACATCCGGCATTTACCGCTTAAGTCCGGGAAAGCTTTCGTCTAGGCTCTGCTCCACGCCGTCGTTTGCCTCAACTTTAGCAAAACAGCAAGCGAGCTTGGGTTGTGGAAGCACTTCTCGTTTCTTCTTGCGTTGTGCCGGGAACTTGCTGTGCCTCAACGCGGAGTTGTGCCCTGTTTTCGAGCGAGGAGACAGGCATGGATGGATGGTGTGAAAACCGCAGCATAACCTGGGCAGTGCCGCATCACTGCAGCAACACAGAGTGTTGGCGAATGTCATGCCAACGCCTCCATGTGCATCGAGTCGGCCTGCGATTTCTTCGTTTTAGCCGAAGTGATCGTAGACACAAGGCTGTGCTTTTGACATCGCTCGAAGCCCTTCGAAGTTCGGGAATTGCTACTACCGGTGTGCCCAGAGAATCCTGCGCGGATCTTATCCTCTGCGGGGTCGTTTGCACGCCCCATCTGGAAAGCCCTCGCTCGCTGTACGGGATTCTTGAGCTCGTGCTGTGATTTCGACGGAGCTCTCCCGCGCTCGAATCCTTCGCGCCACTTCCGCTTGCTAATCCATCAGCAAGGTGGAACCACGCGGTGAGCGCGGCGGTCATGTTGGTTTCATCCCCCTTATACTGCTCATTCTTCGCTTTTCATACGTCATCTGTCGCCGCTGTTTCCTACTGAGTGTCCCTTCTGCGACACTTGCAGGTCTGCTGTGCCGCCTGTGCCGCTTGTGCCGTCACTTATTCTCACCAGAACACTGCATAGTATGAGGAGAAGAGACCACTGTGCTGCATAACTGTTACCTCCAGCAGATTCTCAAAGAAGTCATTTTCATATGGGGCCAAAACTGATGCTAAATTTGGTTGATGATGCCTGTAACGGCGGTAAGGGGTAACAATGACTAGGGGACAGAGCGCTAAGCATCTGAAGGCAAGTGGAATTAGCACGCAACTGCGACCACTCTCATACTCGCCGGCTTGCCTCTATGCATCGCATAGTCTTTCAATGAAAGTTGAGTATCTCACTCATCAGGGGTTTTGCTGCGAAGGTGATAATTGAAACAGGTAGACCTCCCGCTCTAGATTGCTTCCTCAGAATCAAAATCCCCAACCAAGAGCATTTCAGATCAAAGTAAATAGTTCCTAGAGCGTGCTTACCTCCTCCCAAGTAGCGCTGTGCGCCATTTTGTTCGATGTACCATCCCGAACTGAGTTTACTTCCCGCGCCTCATCCCGATATCCTGACTGACCCCCTACGCCCACAAACCGCCTCCTCGGGCTCCCGGAATAAATATAGCTATAGATCACGCTATTAATAGATGCTATTGTCATACCTCCGTCTCTGGGCACCCCATTCCTCCGAGGCTATCATTCTCTTTCTGCCATACTAAACAGTACCTACTATCTACTCCCAAGGGATCAGCTTTCTCTAGGTATCAATAGATGGATGAGGCCGACTACTCTACTGGAGGTGACTTCGCATATTTCTGGGCGCTCCTTTGAAGATTATTTCTTCAAAAAAAAATTTTTGGTTGCTGTCTCGAGGGCGACGTCGCAAATTTTCGTGTCGACCATTCCCTTTTCCAACGTACCGCCCTACCAACACTGTTACATCTATACTTTACTTCTTGCTACTCAACAATTACTATGTCCAGAGTTACATTCTCTCATATTGCTTCACTTCGATTGACTTCACATAGACACCGTTAGCAACACGACTCTCCTCGCTCATGTCAACAGGGCGTACGTCTTCAAGAACGAATTGCAAGGGCACCCTATTCATGCCCAGCCATTGTCATTCATACACTGAAAAGGGGGCCTATATGTGAAATCCTCAGTCGCACCAAACTCCATTAAAATGCCCAGCCCTAATAAAGACTTTTTTCCTCTCTTGCCAGATCCCATCCATTTACAGCTTCTCCAGCAATATCCTCGATCCCGGATTGCCGCTCGGCTTCTTCTTATCCTTCTTGCCCTCATGCTCCTTCTTGTCCTTCTTCTTCTTGTCAGCACCGCCGTTCGCCGCCTTCTCCAACTTGGCCTTCTCCTTCTTCAGCGCCTTGAGCACCTTCTCCTTCTTCTCGAAGCCCTCGGCCTCGACCAAGGCGACGACGACGAACGAGCTGTCGCCCGTGGCCCACTCAACCAGGTGGTCCTTGATCTGGTCGTACAGCGCGTCGGCAAAGCCAAGCGGCGGGTCGGCGAGCTTGGTCGTCTTCGTCTTCGGGTCGAAGTGGCCGCCAGTGGTGAGGGTCTTGAACATGCGGCCGGCGTGCGGCAAGTGCGAGAGGTGGTCCTCGGCGCTGGGGTCGCCGCCGGCGAGGGTGGCGACGGCCTTGACCGCTGCGGCCTTGTCGCCGTCGGTGGCGCCGAGGAGAGCCTCGGTGATGAACTGGCAGCCGAAGGACGACTGGGCCAGCGCCGACGGGTCGGCGGCGATGACTTTGAGCATGGTCGCCGAGTAGGCCTTCACCACCTCCTTTCTCCTGACTTCTGAGTCCTTCTTGGAGGTTGTGCTGCGGATGGCGTGAACCTCGTCGAGGAGGGCCAGGTCCTCGGGGCTCGGGAAGAGCCACTTGGCCCGGCCGCAGAGAGGATACAGGATCGTGATTCGGCCGACCTTGTCGAGAGCGAGGTTCAGGAGTTTCTCCTGTTGCACCTCGACACTTGAATTCGTAGACAGAAGTTCCGGAAAGATAAGCTTGGTGGTGAGAACGGTGTCGTCAACAACGTCAAGGGCGGTCAAGAGGACCTGATGAGCATGGGGGTCGTAGGCCATAATCTCGATGTTCTCCTTGTACACCCGCAGAAGGTTCTTCCTGTCCTTGGCAGTTCCGTAGGCGAGAGCAAGGCAGGCAACGCGAGCTCCATTCTTCGTGAATGCCAAGTTCTTGAGCAAATCGCCCTCCTCGTCACCCTTGATAAGCTCGAGGAATTCTGTTGCCTCCTCGCTGCCAGGCTTGGTGTTGAGGAAATACTGAAGCATGGCATCGTGAAGCATGGTGAAACCGGTCATCTTCTTCTGAATGAGCGCGTTGATCATGTTGCGGCAGTAGTCCATGATGGGCCTCCGCTTCTCCGGCGACTCGTTGAGGATCTCGGAGAGCTCTTCAGGAACATCCTCGTTTTTGCCGGCCTTGAAGACGGCAAATTCGGTGCCATACCACTCCCGCAGAAGCCTTGCCTTCTGCTTCTTCGTTGCCATGCCTCTGTAGATATCGTCCAGAATCCAGGAAGCCTCGGGGTGGTTGATCAGACGCTTGACTGATCCGTAGAACTCGGAGACGATCATTTCGCGCGTTTCGGTGTCACTTTTTATAGAGTCAGTAAACGACCCAAGATACAGATCATAGATAGCACTTACCCTTCGACGAGAATCTTGCCAACCAGGAACTTCGCGTATCTGCTTTCCGCAAGAGCCTTGTATTCGCCTTTCAATTCGTTGCCAATCATCTTGCGCTGCTCCGGAGTCGAGTACTTCAGCGCGCATTGGATAATGCGGGTAGCATCATGTTTGAAGACGAATTCCTTGACCCTTCCAGTAATGATGCTAAACAGCTCGGTGACAAGCTTCTTGCGCTCATCCTTCGGGACGTGCGACTTCAGCCTCAAGCGCTCCCAAATCTTCTTCGACCGGTGGAGTTCGTCGCCAAGTGGCTTGTTCATCTTGCGTTCCTTTGCGAGTTGCTTCTGCTTCTGGTGTGCCTCTCTCGAATTGCCCGCTGCTGTCTCGTCAGTATCCTGTGCGCGCATAACGTGCGAGGACTGGACATACTACCAGCACCGTTGTCTGCTGCCGCCGGTTTCTTGGACGCTTTCTCCGCGGTGCCCTGGTCCTCCATCTCCACATCACTGTCGCTTCCGCTAGCCATGCTCACATCTTCATCGGCGCCGTCCTTAGCGGAAAAGCCGGCAAAGCCATTCTCGCTCTCAGTGGTGTCCGACTCGACAAGATCCTCCTCCTCCTCGGGTTCCGCGCGCTTGACGTTCTTCTTCGACGGCTTCTTCGCCTCTTTCACAGCCGCAGCTGCGGCAGCCTTCCTCACGTCGGCTTTCTTCACATATTTGAGTTTCTTGTCGCCGGAGGCTTTGGAGGTAACGGACGCCTCGGTGTGTTTGCGCTTGATTCCTGCCATATCTGCGCGTGGGGTGGGAAGGGAGGATTTTTGGCTGCGAAATATCGAAGATTATTGTCTTTGCTACTCGAGAATCTTTTGCGCCAGGGAAAGCGGTCTGATTGGCGGTGGCAGGCGGCAGATACGTCAACTGACTCGCGCGAGTCCCCCACCAGGATCCGGATGGTCCCGGGCCTAGCAATCAAATCACCGACCTTTCTAGTCCATCGCAATGCAGAGCCATGACGAAATAAATTGCCGTGCAATGTTTGGTTCTTGTAGCGGGTACAGAGACGCAATGTCGAACCGACCGACCAAGACGGACGCGCTATGCCAAATGTCCAATCGCTGTGGCTGTGGCATGAACCGGTACATTCTCTGCTAGCCTGGATCTTCGGATGGATGCCTGTGGGCCTGCGGCATAAGCCCGCTGACAGGGTTGTCCCAGATCTCAGGGTCCAAAAAAGGGGGACTGCTAGATGAGCATACTCGATACTTGATCAAATACTGATTGAATGCCTGTGTACAAGACTCGGCAGTGATTATATATTACATGGTATATCGTCCCGTCGAGGTGCCATACGGGGCCTGCCTTAGCCAGTCAAAACGATCGTGAGACTCCGTGTTCCTCTGCTGCGTCAAACGCGCTGGGACTTCCCATTAAACGCCAAGCCCATACCCAAGAAGCCTCATGTATATACCACCCAAAGAAACGTCTCATCCATGGCGTCGCGCACTCATTTCGACTCAACCGACACCTGGTGCATACCATCCATGGAGCGCGGCATAGGACTTAGCTCGGCGCCTTGGCCGCTCTGGCCCCTCTTCCTTCCCCCGACGAGGTGGAAGCCGAGACCGGACGCTGGCCGGCTGTCAGGCTTGGAGAGATTCTCCGAAGAGTCACCAAACCTGGCGAAGAAGCCCTTCTTCTTTTGCTTCGGCGGCTCGTCGTTCAGGCCGACATCCTCGAAGTCTTCCTCGGTTGTAGAAATCGGCCGTTCGAAGCGGCGTTCGTTCAGGGACGAGCGCGGAAGGCGGCGAGAGTCGAGACTTTGGCGGGGCCGGATATCCAGGTTTTCGATGACGGGAGCGCGGGCAGAAATATCCTGGTTGTCACTGTAAGCTTAATGCGACGGGAGCTTATCGGCCGGGGAAACGCACAAAGGATCGCCGGTACGAGTCGAAAGACTCGCGCGAAATGCTGAAGGGCTCATTGTCGCTCAGAACGCTGCGATGGTTTGACGAAGTCGAAGTGCGCGATTTGCCTCCCCAGAAAGTGCTCTTTTCGGTTGGTGAGGGCTGAGAGATTGTCAGTCTTCTTATCGCGATGCGCCTGACTCGGGGTCGTAGCGCAGGGAGGACTGTGTGCTCGTACCGGCAGGAACACGCCAGAATCGTTGATCTCTGTGACGTATTAGCGGCTGTCGTCGGTGGTGACGGCTGCGCATGATCTCATGGAGAGGGCGCTGGAAAGGAGGCTGGAGGAGACACGCACCGCTGAGTTTGTACTCCTTTTCGAGAATCTCGACGGGCTTCGATCCGGTAGTCTTCGCCCGTTGGAAGCCAGTGTCTTCGCTCTGGCCGCGGGCGCTCGGGCGCTGATTCTCGTCATGGACGTCAACCCCGCCGGGGCCTCTCCTGAACGGGTTGCGGATAGGCATGCTGCTGATGGAATTGGGTGTATGGATGCAATCGTAGGCCAAACGCTGGCAGTCGTGGGGAGCGCAGGTGTGGGTGTCGGTGGTCAGCGCAATTATCAGGATTCGGGCAGCGCTGGGCAGAGCTGGGCGCGGAGCAAGCGTCACGACTGCTTTTGATGTGTCCGGGCCTTGCAAATCCCGGAGCCGTCGCTCCCGGGGGCGGCAGGCACGGCAGGCAAGGACTGATCGACAAGAGGAGGGCCGAGGAGCTCGCACTACTTGGCAGAGGTAACCCCACCAGCCTGCCTGGAAGCGCCGCCTTATTGGCCTCGGTGCGCTGTCCAGCGCCCACCCGCACAGATCTGGCTTTGCCTGGCGATTGAATCTATCCTTTCGTGCGTTGCAAGCACGCTCCCGTCGAATCACGCCGATATCCGACGGTACTCGGTGGAAAGTTAAGGTTAGGTATGAGCCGGCCGAGTGCGGAGCGGAGCGACGCTGTGCCGCCGCCGGACCATGTCGTCGGCCTCTCGTACGATGGCGACCTCCGGCTTGTGAAAACCATCCCACCATGACCCCATGCGGCTTGCCTTGCGAGATGTTTGGAGGGAAACCCATCAGCAGCGTCGGTCGCCCAGAAGCGCGCATGCTCTGCGCTGATGGCGCATTTCTCCACACAGCAGCTCACGCCTCCGCGCGCCACCGGTTAAGCATCGACACCGGAAAAGCCTGAACGCCTCAGCCGCCAATGGTTGCCGCTCTCGGACGTTTGGGGAGACAGCAGCACGCCATCCTCGAGCTTGTGCACGCCTGCTGCGGTCGAAGAGATAAAGTTAGCCATGGGAGGATTGAAGCCACATTGCGGCATGCATTGCGGCCGCTCGTCGAGGAGAATGTGGAGTCGCAAGATTGAGTCTGCAGGCGGGAATGTTATATTCCAGATCGGATGGAAGCGTGGGCCTGAGACAGCATGCTTTGCGCTCGGGATCTATTTACAGCTGCACATGGCTCGCCGCCTCAACGTGGTCAATGGACACAACAATACGGTTGCCGGGTCTGGACTGGATTCCACGCCCAAGGGTCTTCTCTGGCACGAGTCGCCACGCTGCAGCCGTGCGTTTGAGCCGCGATCTGCTTGCCAGCATCGGGATTAATACGGACAGCCCCGTCACGAAATATGAGTCAATGCGAGGTCGTGTTGCACTGAGGCTGGATTAAGGCAACGGGGTCCAGAGGGCTGATGCCCTTTCCGGTGGCTTCGGTGCAGAGAAGGCTGCAATAGAACAACAGCTGCAGATGTGTCGCCATGTCAGCGGCCGGTGGGCTGAGAGACCAAGGCAGCGCCGGCTGACCTGCAGGCGCTGGGGCATAAGCGAAAGCGAGTGAGCGAGCAGAAGAAAAAAAAGCTGGAAGCGGCAGGCATACGAGATCTACATACATGATGCAGAATAAGCGGTGCCGCGTGCGCTTGACCAGCTATTATTATCTTCACGCATCGGTCCTCGTGCGCGAGGCGTGGAGGCGTGCGGGTGGACGCTGTTTATCCGCGGGTGAAAAATAGATGAAGGGCGAAGGGCGACGACGCGCGCGCAAGGAGGCCCCCGCCGTGCCGCCCTCGTTGGCGGAGATCAAACGGCGGCGGGACGGGCTGATTGGGTCGCTTGCGCGCTCCAGCCGGGACGTGTCAATCGCATCGGGACCGCGCGCCACGACAAGCCACGGGCGTCCAAACGTTCCACGACCATGTTTCACAACGCTTGCTAGCCATCATGGCTCCGCGCCTGCAGCCCGCCAGCCGTCACCGCTGCGAGCGGCGCTGAGGCGCACGCCGCATGGCGGGGCGTCCCGGAGACGCGAGCGCTGGTGCCGGCGCTTGCAGACGCGCTGCCGTCTCGCCCGCGGGCCAGGCACAGCTGTGCACGCCCGATTGGGACAGGCTGCTGTCGCATGTATTGGATGGTGCAGCAGCATCCTGGCCCTGGGCTTCCGTGTTTGTCGTGCTCCACCGGCCTACTGGCCCTGTGCTGGGCCCGCGCCGTCTTGGCCCAGCTGTCTGAGCGGCTCGTAGGCAGGGTGAAGAGCGACTGGCCAGGAAGCGCCTGGGCACCGTGTCGGCATCCAATAAAGCGCTCGCCGGCCTCCCGACTGGCGGACGGAGTAGTTTTCATGCACGCCTTCTGCAGGTAGCATGGCAGCCGACACACCGGCCCAACCCAACATTGTCCTGTGCCACCGTTAATTCGCCTTCTCTGCCCTGGCGGCTCTCTCGTCCACAATTCCAGCTCTCGTTTTCTGTGAGACGTCGCCGGCCGCACGTCATCAGCTCTCCCTCTTTTCGCTGCTGCTTCCCTTCCGCGCCCCAGTCAGCCTCAGAATCCTCCTCTTTCCTGTTCCTGGATCGGCCAGCCCGTCCGCCAAGCACCAGTTGCCGCAATACGAACCACGCCGGGGGGGTGCTCCACGTTGAGGCTTCCGGAACGCTCTTGCCTTAAGAGAAGCAAACCGCCTGCTCACACCATTGTCGCCAAGACTCGAGCTCATCGCCTTCACTGCCTTACATTCGTTGCTTCATTCGTTTTCTCTTCTTCGCTCTGCTCCTCCTCCACCGCGGCACCTTGCTCCCCGACAACTTAGCTCTTCCACTGTCGCTATCGCTACGCCGCCGCCAACATGGGCAAGGTCTTTTTCGTCGACTGGGCGCTATGGCAGAAGATGACCTTCGTGAGTCTATGCCCGTACCCGTCTGCGAGGTCCCTTCCGACGGCTAACACTTCTCCATGACAGGTGCTGGCATGCGCAATTGTACGACGCCTCTTCCCGCGCGTCACCGTCTGTGCTCGTAGCTAATTTGTACAGGTCCTAACCATCTTCATCGGCTGGTTGAAAGTGCTCTACACCAACCGCAAGCTGAAGAAGTTGACGAAGCCCGTCGGCGCAAGAGCCGACCAAGAACCTCAGATGGTCGAAGCTGCCGCCGCACCGAGGAGAAAGTCTGGCGACGACATTCCATTCGGTATTCGCGCAATCCAGAGCGGCATCGAGGTCGACGGCATCTGGATCTCTGGCACAAATACACCTGTTCCCAGCAGCCCCACCCAGTCGGCCCAGGACAAGCCCGAAGCTTCTGGTTCCAACTCCCGCCCTATGAGTGCCTTGGAGATTCCAGGGCCTGCGACTGCTGGCCCCTCCAGCGGCCCCTCCAGCCGTCCGTCTTCTCGTGGCCCTCCGTCCTCCAGCTTCGATCGTGCTGTTTCTGCTGAAAGAATCGCGAGCCATAGCCGCGATTCTTCGCCTGGCTCAACTGCTTCCGGCCAGCGTGCGCGCACTCATCGCCCTCCGCCGACGGCTTACACCCGTTACAGCCAGGCCAGCATGTTGAGGCACTCGGCTACTTTGGATACCCTCGAGGGCGAGGAAGACGATGCCCGGGCCATGCATGAACGCTCGGGTAAGTAGAAAGCCGACTTTACATTACTAGATGAAGCTAACATTCACTCGAAGCTTCTGCCAGTGCCAACCCTTACGCTTATAACTTCAGCTCTAATGGTTCCTCTCGCAAGTCCAGCGGTAGCAGTGACAACAATCCTCCGGATCGGTCAAGTGACGACGACACCGTCGGGTCCACGAGCATGGGTAAGGCTCCGATGGTGGCTGTCCCCCGTTCTCGTGACCCCCGCACCGATCTGCGCCTGCTTCAAAGCCACCGTATGTCGCATGTGGCCGAGACCGGCTCTCTGGTCCGCCGCGAGCGCCCTGACCGCCCTACTGGCCGCAGCGGGGATTGGAGCAGCATGTCTCTGGATGCGCCTTACAGCCGTTCTGCGCCTACCTCCGGTCCGCCCTCGCCACCTTCCGGCCCGACGTCTGGTCCTCCATCGCCGCCTACTCCTCCCATTTCCCAAGGCGCGAATCCGTTCATGGCTCCTCTGGAATCAGTCAGCAGCCCTACTCGCGACAGCCACCCCGAGAACACGGTCGCGCACGCCGTGCCGCTCCTCGAAACCTACCAACCGCGTGGTCCCAACTTTGATGACGATACGCCACAGGCTTACACCACTCACGACTCTCAGGTTCTGCGCAAGGTGAACTCCGGGTTCGAGATTCTGCGGCCCGGCACCTTCCCTGTTGGTCCTACAGAGGAAGCGTTGAGAGCTCAGCAACCTCCCAAGAAGCTGCAGAAAAAGAGAAGGCCATCTGAGGCAGATTCGCGAGTTTCGAGCTTCGTGGAACAAGTCTAATCTTCCAAGACTGCAGCATGGCCTGCTTAATACCCTATCAAAAAACAGTGCGAGTATTCTACTTGCTCCAACCTTTTCCCTCGCCGGGATTTCCATGTTTTTCGTTCCATCGGCTGGTCGCTATCTATAAGAGCATACTTGCACGAGCAAAGCGAACAGGCGTGGACCTGCACCTTCCTACGCCTTGTATATACTTTGGCCTGGAAGTTGTGGGGACGCTCTGTCCGCCCTAATGGCATCAGCACGGCGTTTTCATCAGGAAGGATTGCTTTTCTACAGACTTGTGGAGGTGGGTTTGTATATGCCAAAGCAGGGATACAAGCATTGGGTTTACGGCGTTCGATTTTTTGGGTGGTGCCTTATTGTGGCTTTTGTTGGTACAATCGATGGAGATTTTTGGGCTAGTCATGGGCGGGTAGGGACAACGGGAAAAAAATATGACCAGGCTTGAGAGACGAGGAACCAGCAGTTTTGCAAGCAGAAAACAACAACAAGGAAATGTGTATTTTTGGATATATGATTCTTCATTTTTCCTCGCAACAGATTCCTTGAGAACACCGCGAACAGTGTATCGCTTTGCCTTCATGGAGATGCAGCCCTCCAAGATCTGCTTACTTGCCTCCGCACTCACCAGTAACTCGTCCGGTCGGTAACCGGCAAGGAGTCGATCAGTCTGACAACAGAGCGGGGTTCCTCGAGTGGGGCTAGAAGCCCTAGTACGAGCTACGGATAAATGGGGTAGGGTTTCACCCGTGCGCGATAAAGCTGAGGGGATCGGTGGTTTGAGATGCACGGGAGGCCGAAAAGTTACGCATGCACGCCGGGATCACAAACACGACCACACTTGACTTGATTGAGGTGGACGTGTTTCACGATCCACTTTCGGATGTTTCGTAGACATCGACCCCTGAAAATGGTATGCATTTATATATTTTCATCTGTTGATGCACTCTGGTACGAACAAGGGATGTGGATAGGATACCTAAATACAGCCGATAAATATAACTATAAAGACAGCGGACCGGCATACGAGGTCTGACCCCATGATTTTACGACAGAGGACGGGCAGCTAGATCGTTTATCCGGACATTAATGCACGAAATTTATGAATAAAAAAGTATTCGGACAAGAGCTTTGACTGTCCCAACTTGTGTGTAATACTGAATGGTGCTTGCCTAAAGGGTGGTCTCCTAGATTCGTGCGGACGCAAACTTTCTGTTGAAGTACGAAGAGCAGCACTTAGTATTTACCCAGAATAGATGGCCTATTTAGATTTAGTCCCACCTCTGAACTGTACATAGTTTCAGCTAGTCGCGTGCCCCTTGGAGGGTTAATCTGGGTCTTAGACTGACAGCCTGGTGAACTTCGAGCTCTTGGTCGCCAGTCGTGAGCATGAACGGAAGTAGACAGCGCGGGATTTTAGACATGGTAAGGGCATTCCGAAGTTGATGAAACCAGCCCATTCGGATCGCTCGAAGTATTGTACGGAGGCTGTTGCGGCCCATCGCGGTGAGATCTGCAAGCGTTAGCCATGTTGCATGACAGTGAGAAGTGCGCTTGCATTTACCTGGGTATCGAGCGTCATCCAGCAAATTGAATATCGTGAGGGAAGCCATGGCGGTAACGGCGTACAGTTGGCGCTGGCGAGCGACGCGCTGGCGAAGGAAGATGGTGGGTGACGCGCTGGTGAAGAGAGATGGACCGGCCTCCTCGGAGCTATCTCTTTCATAGATACTCAAACACTTGAAGCTCCAAGCTCCAAGCTCTAAGCTAAGGCCATGACGTGCCTGCCCAAACCACTATACATGCCAAGCTATGACCTCAGAGCGCCTATGCTCGCGGCGTCTATCTCTCACTCCCCTCTTCACATATACACACACACCCTCTCTCCCTCTAAGATCGCGGGCGGTGATCGCGACGCCTGTTCTTACGCCATTGCCTGGACCACCACCAACTGAGCTACCGCTGCCCTCATTCCTTACCCTTAAGAGGTGAACGTTGACCACGGTGTCTGTCCTATATCTCTACCTGGATTTTCGGTACGTCTGAATTGCCGCCACTTCATCTCTCAAGCGCGACGTCTTTACTTACATCTCCGCCAGAGTTACCATCGCTCCATCTCCCATCCTCAAGAGGCGGACGAAGAGGCGGACGTTGAGCGCGGCAACAGTTCCCACATCCCTACCCATGCTCTCACACAATCGCGCGCTTGAATCATCGCGGACTCGTCTCTCATCTTCGAGAGGCGGACGAAGAGCGCGGCGACTGTTCTCGCGTCCCCATCTGTGCACACGCCTCCGCACGCCTGAATCGCCGCCGCTCCGTTCGCGGATGTTGAGCGTGGTATCTGTTCCCAGTTCCCACGTCTACGCCTGGACTACTGTGGTGCCTTCAACATGGCTTCTCGTGAGAGCATTCAGCAGGATGATTTCTTGGATAATCCTTCGTTTGAGGCCATTTGTGAGCAGATGCAGAGTGCCACAACTGATATCTTGATTGAAGATGGTGATCAAGAAAGTCAAGATAAGTGGACAACGCACTTCGAAGCCTCCGAGCAAGAAACACGGGATCTTGTACTTGTTTCTAAAACTCCACGCACTCAACAAAAGATTCAGCGTATGTATAAGCTGTGGAATGCTGTTCTAAAGATAACGAAATGCAGGTATGTATTTCCCTTGTATGGTGGAGACTTCTTCTATACTAACAAGGCTCTAGCTTTACCACCTCAGATGGCCCATCAGGGGATCAAGTCCTTATGTTTATAAGGATGTCGATTCGCATCATTCGACCAAAGTCATCCACTCAGTCTATGCCCATGCTTTCAACCATCGGGCACATGATGTATACTCTGTTTACCATCCTCAATTTCGAGCACCGCAACTTCTCCAAGGCGTTGACGCCACACTTCAAGACTCGTCCCACATCACTCCTCAATCAGGCTTGTGCGAACGGGCAACTCTAGCGAGGACTTTCTCAACCACGAAAGTGAGTGGGTGCACATCTCATGCGGCGTATCATGACCGCTTATCTTCAGCACCATCTCGTAAAGAGATTAAAGAAGGCGGACGCTGTCATCCAGAGTCTCCTGGCTATCTCCCTTCTCTATGGAACAGCAGCTCGACCCCAGGACTTATTTCCCGACCAGGCTGACTATCCTGGTCTCTTCTTACAGTTCAAGGACATCGAGCTGAGGATTGTTGAGCCAGTGCTGATTGACCCAACCACCTCACTACCACCGATTTCCGCGTTGGAAGCAACCGTGAAGCTGCACCATGAAAAGGGTCATCAAGGAATGCAGAACATACCAGGGTCGAGAGTTTTACGAGCTCCAAGCAATCCCCAGGATTTCCCTACCTGCCCACTTCTTAACCTACTGAGTCACTGCATCAGACATGACTTGGTATTTGGCGAGACCATCGACGAAGTTCTCTCTGATGCGGTAAAACACAAGAACGTTATCTGATGGCGGTTTCCTGAGTACCCCGTTGTCTCAGCGCTATCTACCAAGAAGCCGTCTATGAAGTTCACAAAGCCATTTCCCCGCGGAGCATTCAATGATATCCTCAGAGAAATGGCCCTGTGTGGCGGGGTAGCAGACACGACCACTGCGGTAACAATCCGCCGAGGCGCTGCTCGAGATCTGTCTCACCTGGACCAATCCAACTTTACCGGAGTTTCGACCCAGTTCGCCGGGGCGCAATTGGGCTATTCCCGCGGATCCAAAGCGAGCGGAACTACCGACATCTACACCGGCTCTCCTCACAAACTGTTCTTTAATACTCGGGCGCAACTGAGCCGCCAGGATTACACTACAATATATGCGGTAAACGGCACCGCTGGCGCAGAGGTTCTCAACAAGACTTCTTCTGATGAGATTGCGGAGTGGTGAGACGAGAATGGACTTGATTTGAGTATACCGAATCATTGCAATAAAGCAAAAAAAAAAAAGCGATTCAGCAAGAGAAAAGAGACGAATTCTTTGCAGAGGCTCAACCTGAGGAATCAAGGATGGTCCCGTTGAATGATGCTCATACGCAGGAACTGTTCACAAATATTACCTCCGCTGTAGCAAAGTTCTGCCATGGAGAATCACAACCTCCACCTGCTCTCGACAGCCCTTCAATGAGTAGCTCGGAAGAGCCTGAAACGACGACACCTCCAGCTACTATTTCACAAGAAGATTTCGTCACTTGGCTCTCAAATGTTCAATTTGTCCGGGTCAACCCCATGGAAAAGGCCAAAGGTACAATTGAAGAGCCAGCTTCAGGCGTTCCCTCGATGACAGAGGACTACAAAGACTGGCTAAAGCATTAAACACCACGTTACTAGAAGGGCAAAAAGGAAGGAGAACCAGACGGACCCAATGGTTTTCCAAGCTCTGAATAGCTATAGTAGCATTCTGCCATGGAGAGCCACAACGTAGACCTGTTCTTGACAGTACTTCAATAGGCCGGCTGGAAGAGTCTGAAGATGAGGATCCGATCGAGGCTGTGATGAACGGAGTGACCAATACTTTTCTCTGCAAAACTTCTGAAACGACAGCGCCAATGGCAACTACAGTACAAGGGGACTTTGTAACCTGGCTCGCACACGTCCAGTTTCCCAAGGTCGGGTACACCACAAACGCCGAACATCTCGCTGTCTTTCTCTAGTAGTAATCACGCTTTCGGCTTGTATCGGACTGAATGTAGCGAATATGAAAGCAGCGCCGCTTACCGATTTGCTCCCATTTGTCCCCAACAATTTCTTACATCTTTACGGTAATGTCTACCAGCCCTGCTGCCCTCGCCATCATGATGCCCAGCAACATTAACACCGCGCCTAGCACTACCGCGCCCCACTCTCCCACCACCATCCGCCTAGTACGTGCCCTCACGTCCCCCAGCATCAAGATTTCGCCGCAAGACTTGCGTGCAGACTTCAAACCGGGACACCCGTCCAGACTGTAGCTGTTGTTCTGGCGCTGGTAGCCCTGAATGGCGCCGTCCTTGGCGAGCATCTTGGTTGCCCAGTTGGACATCGTGTCGCGGTCCTCCCAGTACTTGGCTGCGGCGTCGGACTCGACATCATCTTCCGCATGCTCCTGCGGAGAGCCCTTGGGCGACAGGACGGGGACACCGTAACCACATGATGTTTGAACCTGGGATACTACGTGGTGAGTCATGGCCGAGGGCGGGATACACAATGGCAGGGAGACTTACTTTGAAAACATCAAGGACTATGACGGCTCTGCACGCCTTGATGCCCTCCTTGATGCCGGTCTTGGCCACCCACTCGTCGAACTGACGGCTGTTCCTCTCGACGACGCGGCCCGTGCAGAAGAGGCGCATGATGCGTGGCGAGGTGCCGAAACTGCACGCCATAAGCGTGACGCGGCCATTCTCATAGATGTGCGAGATTGTCTCACAGCCGGAGCCCGTGGCGTCCAGATAGGCGACCTGGTTCTGGTTGATTATGGCGAGCGAGTGAGATGGGAGGCCCTTGGGAGATACGTTGACGTGAGCACCCGCGATTGGGGCGCTGGCGACGAAGAACAGCGGTTGTGCAAGAAGCCATTCGGCCAGATCGCTGGAGAGGGAGGGGTAAAACTTGGGCATTGTTTGATATCAAGCGGTGAAATTGAATAGTGTGACTCAAAGTGACAGGCTGCGATATTCAATGGACAGTACAGATATAACCGGACACGAAAACACGGATGGATGCGTAGAGGTGCAAGGCGAGAAGCTTGAGCGAATCTCAGATCGAGGAATGTAAGATGACTGCTAGAATGGCAATCGCTCACTGGGCAACACTTAATAGAGGTCTTGCGGTATGATGACTGTGCCACAGTCCGTTCGCTCGGCTTAGCGTCCCTCTTTCGTACCCTGATGCGGGGTGCTTCGGTCTTTCGGTCCTTCGGCTCACAGTCAGCCCTATCGGCCGATACCGGAGATCCCCAAGGAACCCGTCTCTGGCTCGATGCAATGGATTTCCGCTTCGTCTGGTGCTATTAGTTCTATGTACGGGCGCTCGCAATTAACCTGGTCGTTCAGCTTTGTATAGTGTCAGTCTGAAAGAAAGATCGTTAGCTGCAGCTACGGGAAGAAACAATGCTATAGCTCCAGCTTAGAAGGTACGCTCTTGGAACGAAGTAATTGCCGGGCTGCATGGAAACCCTATTCGGATACCGCATGGCTTCCGGTGGTACCTGAATTCCGCTTACTGTCGGGTTCCTTGCACGTCCATCCGACAAGGAGGGTGGAATCTGCTGGAGATGCATTTGGGTTGACGTTGCGGATGCTATCTTGGGAAAGCTCGTCGACACCCATGCCGGCCAGCTCGAGGTCTCTGTAGTCGAACCGTAGATATAGATAACAGCCATAAGCAACGTGGTAATGCAAGGCGGATGTCCGCATGCGCACTGCGTTGTCCACTGCAACAGTGGTAAATTATCGGGGCCAGTGCGTCGCGCTAGTAAGGTGACTTGGGGCCTGATTGGGCATCTCCAACTCGATGCACGTCTTGTCTGTGTAAGGACTGTTGGCGTAGCTGAAGCAAAGGATTGGCTTCAGCATACTTCTGCCGTTGCTATCCGCAAGGAAGTAGATTGGGGGGCCGAAGCAACTTGCATCGAGTCGTACGATCACGCTTTGTTGTTTTGCTTTTGCATGATGTACTTGATGGCAGACATGAAAGTGGAGCTCATCACTCACGTAACATCTAACGTCATCGTCCCCTTGCCCAAGAGCGGTAGCCACTCAGGCCCGAGCTCTTGCCCAACGTGCCCATATCCACGTAGGCAGATGCGCGCAAGGGGGTTCTGTAGCCGTCTGACAGCATTAGCAAATCATACACGCCCCGGCCGGATGCAGTCGGCGTTCCGCAGCAAAGCTAGAGTCTGCCCGTGTCTTTGCGGAATCCATTGGGAGCGAACTAGTCGATCCACGTGGGTGAGATTGATCAGTCCTGGGACTCTGGTACCGTGCCCAAGCCCAATCTCCCGCTGGCCGCAGAAAGTTTCTCGGTACGACAGGAGATATACCTGTGGCGCCCTAGGCACCTTGTCCGAGACATGCAGCACCCTGATAAGAAGACGGCGGTGTGGAAGGCTGCACACCAAAGGGCAAAAGCGATGCTTATCAGTTGGAGTCGACACTCGTTTCGTTTCGCAATTCCGTTGAAACGGCAAGAGACTGACCTGCGGCCGCACCAATCGCCAGGCGGCGCCATCATCGCGCTAGACCGGGCATGGTAGCCGATTGGGCAAAATTGCTGTGTTGCCCTCATCAGTATGTAGCAATTGGATCTGAGATAGGCGGCGGGCTAGGTGCGCACTACCACGCCTCGTCTCCTGCGGATGCTCTCCACGCGCCACATCGAGCCGGAGCGAGCGCGCGGAGGTTGGCGTTGTGGGCGATGACGATGTGTACACGAGCGATCGCCGAGGCATGGGCCCTTGCTCTCGAAGAAACGTGGGTTGCGCTGCATTGTTGATAGGCCCATCATGGTGCAGCCGCAAGCGCAGCGTCTGCTAGTCTGTTGAGAAGTGCTGAGAAATTAAGGTATAACGAGCGCATCCGCGGCTTGGGAGCGGCGTGGCCGGATCTTTTTATACAGGCAGCTAACGGCGTGCGTCTGGCGGGATCAGGGGGTACGCGCGCGAGCGAGTCGCTGATCCAAGTGAACATCACTGAGCCACCACCGCCGTCGAACCCGAACCGAATAACTTAACCTGCGCGCGCCGCTATATGCTACCATCCCGGCCTCCTCCATCCCGGCCTAAACAGAGAGCGTCCAAACTAAGTGGCCGCCTTCTGCCCAAAGCGTTAACAGCCTGCTGCATCGGCGCTCCTGGCGCCGCAAGACCTAGAGGTTCTCGGTCCAAGACCTCCCCGGCCATTATCGCCCAACCAACAACCTCGACACGCCCTGGAGCCTCCCGATGCTCTTTCATGTCAGTGCCTTCTGTCCCGCATAATATCCCACGAGCCAGCACTCCGGTGAGGTCCAGCAGGGTCTCTCAGGATCGTCGCAATGCCTCGTCGCCGCCCTCGCCCGACGACGGTGCAAAGGTGACACCAAAGACGCTGTCGCAGACCGGCCGCTCCAGGACCGCTCCGCTCTCGCTTGAGTCGCTGTATCCCACCGCCGGCCCCCAGCTGTCGGAGCGCGACAGCATCTTCGCGACCAACTACATAGCCACCGACAGCCCCGCCGAATCTCCCAGCCTGCAGCCACGACCCGACGCCGCCTCCAGTCCCGCGCAAGAGCAGGACCAATCTCCCACCATGGCCGACATCTCGCCCATCCGGAAGCTGGTCGATCCGCCGCTGCTCCGGCAAGCGCACCATCACCACCTCTTATCTGCCGCCAATGCCTCGTCGCCACTAGAACATTCCACCTTCGCCGACGAATATCACAAGCTGAGGCACAGGGACACCGCCAATCTGCACAATGACAACTCCCACCCGCATCTCAAGGGCCACTTCATAACGCAAATCCTGGGTAGCAGCAGGACCGAGTCTCCAGCAAAGCACGATAGCACATCCGTCGCCGTCGCTGTTGACTCGCCTCACCAACGCTCCAATGCGTCTCCCGAGGCCGCACCCGCTCCGGATACATTTGATACAGACGAGAGAGTACGCTATCGGTCGTGGCGAGAGGGGAAACCAGCATTGAGCATGTCGGCGCATCAGAACGTGAAGGAGACGACCAACACCCGCGTCGACAAGAAGATTGAGGCCACCCTTCCCAAAGTAGAGCCAAGCACCGTTGCTGCACGCAGTCGCAAAGCCAGCCACTACCTGGGCCTGTTCAAGGAAAATGAAGCGGCGCAGGAGCAAAAGAAGCGGGATGAGCGAGCGAAGGACCGTTTGGCGGAGCCCCAAGATCCCACAGCAACTGAAGTGGACGTGAGGATACCGCCGGCTGAGCAACCAAGCGATATTCCCGGCACACCGATCCGCGAAGATCGGCGCCCAGACGCATCAACCTCGCCAAGGAAACCGCAACTGCCGCCCGAGCCGGTCAGCAGCCCTGGTCGTACAAGAGCCGGGGATGAGGACGAAAGCATCACCATTAGGTCCCACGGTATTCCATTGAGTCTTCTAGAGGAGATTAGGAACTTCCACCATCTCACTCCTGGTGGTCAGAGAGGAACTCCGCTTTCCCATGCGTTGTCGACGGCTGAATCTCAACGTGCAAGACAAACCTCTGACCTACAAGGCACAGAAGCGAGCGACTATTTTGGCAACACGGATGCTGCGCAGGAAGGCAAAGCTGTCGCTTCCGACGAGGACGAGGAATCGGAGCGGGAACACATCTCTTCGGCGCTGTACTTCCCACACCGTCAGCTTACACCAACAAAGTCCACCCCCGAGCAATTGAGCCCTGTGCGGGAAGAATCTCCGCTGCAAAGAATTGTGTCAAGGCCTTCCACCAGAGGCTTCCCCGCGGGCTGGAGAGACAAAGAGACTACCCCGACTCCAGATGAAGTCCAGATATCCTTGCAGACGCAGGATGAGCAAAAGTACCTTCATGGTGACCTCAAGGCTCAGCCGCGGTCGCCAGAGGCAGATCACCATGGTTTTGTGTCTGAGTCGGATGTTACTGCATCCGACTTGGGCTCGGAGTATGAGTCTTGGGACGAATCTGCTCAGTCCACGCAAGGATACGATAGTGCAACTGAGGAATTAGGCACTACGCCCACTCAGACTTCTTACAAGAAAGATACTACTTCAGCGCCGAAGCCGCATCATCACCATCACCATCGCCATCACCATCACCAACCAACGGCACCGCTTGGTGCTGTTGAGCTCAAACCTTACGACCATCAGGTCGGTGGGCATTCTACCGTTTATCGCTTTTCGAGGCGCGCCGTGTGCAAGCAGTTGAACAACCGTGAGAACGAGTTCTATGAGACGGTTGAACGTAATCATCCAGAGCTGTTGGATTTCTTACCGAGGTAAGACCATGCCCTTGACATACGCTTGGCTTTTAAGCTGAAATCTCAGCAAAGACGTTTCCGCCCACTTCCCTGCTGTCTCCGCATCTGACTGTCAATTTGCTAACCGTACACTACAGGTATATCGGTGTCCTCAATGTGACCTACCGAAAGGCTCCCAAGAAGAGGAAGGCGACAAAGGGCACCAAGGACCAAGATAATGGTATCAAATTAGAGATCGATTCTCAAGTTAAGGAACAATCCGAGAAGGCGTCAGTCGGACTTGAGTCTCCGATCAAACTTACTAGCAACTCATCCGACACCCAGCCAAGACTCGTGAGCCATTCGCAGCAAATGACGCCGGCTGTCCCACAAGTCGTTTTTGAGAATAACATGCACATCATCCCGGACAATCTTTTCCGCCTTCCGCCGCGAGCGACAGTACCCAGACCGCACACAGGCGATGCTTCCTTACTTTCGCAACAATATCGCCGGCACCAAAGTATGGATGCTACCAATCATACAGGAAAACATTCCGCTGGCACGAGTCCTACTCGACCTGAGTTGAAGCACCATCCAAGCTGGGGTGCCACAACCGTAAACCGGAGGCTCCGCGAGCAAGTACTCAAAGAGGTTTTCACCCCTCCGACCATTCATCACCACTATCGTCATGACCGCAATCATCACAGCCTTCCTGGCAGAAAGCACGCCCTCGGTGCGAACGGGGTATCGGCTGGTAGTCAGCATGCTCGAAGAGGAAGTGCAGATGTTGCGACACGGCGGGAGTCAATGCTTGACGAGGGCGACAGCCCACGAAAGCAAGTCTTGAGATCTGAGGCTGAACGGCACTTTTCGAACCATCTTCTTCCTGGAGAGAGTAGATCACTGGAAAGATTTCCTTCTCTGCCGCAATTAAACGGTCTCGATTCTGCAAAAGACGTTGTCGAAGAGACTGGTGCATCTAAGCAACGACAGCCCCGACGGCGACACTCGGGCGGCGGACTACGTCGTAGGCCAAATGAAATAGACGAAGGGGGCAGGGGTAACCTTGAGTACCACGAGGAAGATGGATATGGAGGAGATGGCGAGGATGATGTCTTCGCCATGGATGAAGACAAAAAGCTAGCAACCACGGACCAGCGCCCTACGCACACTGATGCTGTACAGCCTGATCAGATGAACGGCCACGCAGTACCAAGCGGCGGCTCTGGCACCATGCTTCCAGCTCCAGTGGCCACCCCAACCATGTCTAAGCCTCTTGCGGCGGAAGATCCATCAAACCCCAAGGAAGCAGTTCAGCCAGATGAACGTGTGCAGCACTTTATCTTACTTGAGGACCTCACTGCAGGCATGTCTCGGCCTTGCGTGCTTGATTTGAAGATGGGAACACGCCAATATGGTGTCGAGGCAAACGAGAAGAAGCAGCGTTCGCAGAGGCGCAAGTGTCAGATGACGACGTCGCGGGAGCTCGGCGTGCGTGTCTGTGGCATGCAAGTCTGGAACGTTAAGACTCAGTCGTATGTCTTCGAGGATAAGTACTTCGGTCGCGACCTCAAAGCTGGCAAGGAGTTCCAAGATGCGCTCACGCGCTTCTTCTTCGATGGCCACGGCTACACGAGTGCTACCAAGCACATTCCCATCATTCTGGAGAGGATCTCAACGCTCGAAAGGATGATCCGTCGTCTGCCGGGATACAGGTTCTACGCAAGTAGCCTGCTGATGCTGTATGATCGCGGTGATAGCTCTAAAGATGGCCCTTCGCCTCCAAGAAGCCGGCGCTCGTCGCAAGACAAGGACAGCAGGCCTGCGTTGGATCAAGAGAAGAAGGCAAAGTCGGAGATCAAATTGAAGATCGTTGACTTCGCCAACTGTGTCACGGCTGAGGACGAACTCCCTCCAGACGTGCCGTGCCCTCCTTCGGACCCGGATGGCGTGGACAAGGGCTACCTGCGCGGGCTGCGGACGCTGCGCATGTACTTCCAGCGCATATGGCGCGACATGAATGAAGACAAAGGATACGTCGAGCGAGGCGAGTGCGAGGGCCTGCGGCTCGGCGAGGGCGATCTCGGCCACGGCATGATCCTTGAAGGATGGGAAGACGGGCCGATCGTGGACGAGGACTCGGGCAATGTCAGCGTGTAAGATACAGGCTGGATTGGTGTTTCTTGGAGCAACGGACATTGATTGCGGTAAGGATTTTTGAGCAAGGTGGGTACGGCATCGTTGAAGGCGTTTCCGTTTTGACTTCTTCATCTGCATGGGTTTACGGCTCTTTTTTAATTCTGCTGTTCATTAAAAAGCGTTTCATTCGCTGGGTTGCCCTCGTCAAGGGCATGGCGTTGAGTTGGGTGTGCGTCCAGGCAAGGCGGTACGCGAAGGAACGGAATGGAAATTGCTAACACGACAGCTTCGATTCGTTGTATCATAGATTGGAACAATGAGAATAATTACGCCTGAGAGTCGTGGTGAAGAATGTGGCGCAGGGTGTGGGAGTTCTACCTAGCGTGCATACATAAATGACGTGGGCTCGTGCACGCACCCGCTCAGGCCCGGGATCCTCGATCATCCTGGCGGCCACCTTACTCCATCACCCGTCTCCGAGCTTGCTGCACGCCGGCCCTCGAGCTCTCTGCCACCCCAAGTGAAATGGAGCTTCCCAAATGCCGGCACTGCTCCACCTAGAAAGCCATGTTCTGGCCCATTGGGAGCCCCAGAGTCTACGCCACCAGCCAGCGCCAACTGCCGCCAGAGCGCCGCATAACCTCCGACGACGGTGTCAACAACGAGGCGCCCCCCGCCGCAGTCAACGGGAAGCATCACGAGCCCGATCACGCCCGCGCTGCACAGCAGAAGCCCCGCGATGACAGCGCTGAGCACGATGCCACGGTGACGCAAGGGCCGAACGGCTCCGCGCCGCAGACGTCGACCGCAACCAACGGCAGCCTGCAAGGGACCGACGCGGAGGCAGACATCGACGGCGAGATCATCGCCCTGCGCGTCGCCCGCAGTGGCCAGTTGTTTGCTACTATCACACGCTCGACCTTGACTATTTGGCAGACAAAGGTGAGCCCGCAGCAGCCGAGTCACTCTGCCCTGACGCCAGCTGACATGCCTTGCAGCCTACAGCAGTACTGGCCTCGGTACTGCGATCGCCCACTTCTCTCAAAACCTACGGACCCAACGTATCGCTCCTGTTGCGCCCCGACTCGGCCATATTCGTCGTGCAGACCGCCTTGGGCTACCTCATTACCTACTCCCTCGCTAGCGACCCGAACTCCCGCGTCTACCGACAACACTTCGACCCCAACGCACATGGCCATTCGCGCCGCCAGAGCATCTCTGGCAGCAGGCTCCATGCTACCGGAGACAGGTTTGCAGGCCCGGGCGAAGGCGGTGGCATCCAGGATGTCAGTGTCCGCTTCCGCATGGTCATAAGAGTCGACGCCGGAATTGCCAAGGCTCTCGCTCTCGACGATGAGCTGGTCGTGGCCACGGCGAAGCCCGCCGCCATTCAGTGCATTCGATGGGCCCCGGACAGCCATGGGAATCAGACTAGCACCGAGTTGCTCAGCAAAATGTCCTGGCTCAGCAAGAAAACGACCGTGGTTGACATTGTGAATGACCGGCCTATGAATCTCTACGCTTGGGTCATGAGTGACGGCAAGGCCTATGCGGTCCAGAAGCTCCCGCCGGGTTCAGCGGAGGCCCAGTCGCCGAAGGCTTTGTTCAAAGGTTACTGCTTTCACGAGCCAGAGACGGAGGATACTTACGCTGTGAAGGCCGCGATCAATGCCCGTTTCTCTCTGATTGCGGTGGGCTGTGAAAACGGGGAGATACATGTGTATACAGCCAGAGACTACGACGGACACGTCCCCTTGTCACACAAGTTGCAGACTGGATTGACCTCGGCCTCGTCAGGAAGGCTGACTTTCCTAACATACTCTCCGGACGGATACTGTCTTTTTGCTGGCTATGAGAAGGGATGGATGATGTGGAGTGTTTACGGCAAACCGGGTGCAAGCAGCTTCACGTCGACGCGTTTCATGTCCGAGAATAACGAGGAAAGATGGCTCCTGAGCGTTCGCGACGGGTTCTGGATCGGCGGGGGTTCCGAAATCCTCCTCCTTGGGAAGAACGACAATCGGTTGTGGCTCTTAGAGATGGCAAGGAGTGCTGTCGCCGGTTGCTATTCCTCTGCGAACGTTTCCAGATCTCTCCTCCAGACGAATGCCGGCTTCATGATTTACCGCGGGTACGACATGCCGGATTTGACAGCTATCTCGGCAGAAGTTTCCCTTTGGCATCATGTTCAGGTACCCGCTCCGTACCTCATCGACCAGTGGCCTATCCGGAGCGCGGTGATCTCGTCTGACGGGCGTTATGTGGCGGTGGCGGGCCGTCGCGGCCTTGCACACTACAGCATCACCAGTGGAAGATGGAAGACGTTTGATGATCCTGAGATGGAGAACGAGTTCGCAGTCCGAGGCGGCATGTGCTGGCACCAGCATGTGTTGATAGCCGCCGTCGAGGCGGGCAATTCATACGAGGTAAGGCATATTGCGCGTCACCTGCAGGCATCAGCTAATCCGAAGCTAGCTCCGTATCTATTCTCGTGAGAAAGAACTGGATAACAACAAGATCATGCACAAGGAGCAGCTTCCTGCACCTATTGTTTTGATTGCACCGTCGGGAGATGACTCGTTGTTGGTCTACACATACGAAAACATCCTCTATCACTACATTATCAACGTCGCCAATTCCTCTGTTAGGATTATGCAAGTCGGACAGATTGCCCTCCATGGAATCATCCGGGCGCCTCCACGAGTACGGGCGTTAAGTTGGATTCTACCAGAAGATCAACTCGGTAAGTTCTATCTGGGTCTAAACGTGTACCAGCCCCTGTGCTAACAAGAACCAGATCACGGTGATCCTTCGCAGGACGTTGCAGTGGCCACTATCCTATTCCTGGTTGACGGCAAACTTGTCCTTTTGCAGCCGACGACCACGGAGGATGGGATGTTGAAATACGAGATGCGCATCATAGCCCAAAACGTGGAGTATTACGCTCTCATGCGGGACCATCCGTCGTTCAAGATTGCGGATGACGAGGACTACCTGCCACCCAGCCCCTCAGCGGCTCTGCCAAACAACAGTCTCCAGGGGCATGATTTGCGAGATTCCCTGTGGTACTTTGACGGACAAGACATGAAGCTCTGGACCGATGCGCAGGACGTCTTGGTATCGGCATCGATGGAGCTCGGTAGAGAGCTTCCGGCAACAGTCAGCATACCTGTTGACTTCTATCCCCTGTCACCATTGTTGAACAAGGGGATCCTTTTCGGTGTTGAATCAGAATTGGTGCAGAGGCGGGACATCAGTTTTGCCTACTTTCGTTTCGCTACAAGAGTGAGTGATGGTGCCCAATGCAAATTACACACGGCACGCAAGCTGACCAATCTAGACTCACCTCTTCCTCCCGCCGCTGCTTCGACACCACTTGGCGCAGTACAACTCCCCGGCAGCGTTGCATCTGTCACACCATTACCAGCATCTCCTTTACTTCCCGCATGCGCTGGAGATCTTGCTGCATGACGTGTTGGACGACGAGGTGGACACGTCCCCACCGCCGGAGCAGGCGCTTTTGCCAAGTGTGCTGTCGTTTCTTTCGTCGTTCCCGCAGTACCTGGACATTGTGGTCCAATGTACCCGCAAGACAGAAGTACGATCGTGGCGCACGCTGTTCGCCCACCTACCTCCGCCTCAAGAGTTGTTCGAGGAGTCGCTGCAGCGGGGCTCTTTGAAAACGGCGGGCGGCTACCTCCTCGTGCTACACACGTTCGAGGAGCTTAGTTCGAGCTCGCACCAATTGATCCGGCTGCTCCAGCGGGCCAAGCTCGAGCAGGACTACGATCTCTGCAAGGAGCTCGCGCGATTCCTGATGGCGCTCGACGAGACGGGCGAGACGCTGCGAGAAGCGCTGGAGATGGCCGAGCTCAAGTCGCCGACAGAAGGCGGAACGAAAAGGCCGGCAGCAGGCAGCTTCATGTTTGAAGAATCACGGCTCAGCATTTCGCGCAACAACGGGAGGAATGGAGAGGGCGGGGTTGGGGATATTGGCATCGGTATAGGCGGGATCGACCTATCAAACAGCAGCGTGGGCAGCCACAGTCCCGCGAGCGCGGTAACGAATGGCGATGGCAAGGCATCCACTCACGACGGCGGCAGTAATGACGACTTCTTCACGTCAGGATTTGGCTAATAGTAGACGCGACCGATAGAGGGGTCTAAGGAAAAATGATCAAATGGATCCACTTGTCACTGTCATCAGACCCTGACGGCCACGGAGAATCTAGAGCGCGGTAGGGCAGGGGGGCCGTTGAATGCTTGAGCTTGGCTCAGCCAGCCACAGATCACGAGGCGGATAAGCCTCGCGGGTGGATCGCGGATGACGGAGCAGGCCAGGGGGGAGGGACGAAGCGTGTGGCTCTGGCGGCTAAGGTACGTACGTACCCATGTACCCGCGCGGACGAAGGCGGGCGCAAAATGCGTGCCAGTGGAAATGACGACCCCCACCATGGCAGCGATTGGGTGCTGAAGGGTGCCATATCCGGCACTTGTACCCCCAGGAACGGCGAAGCCGAATCTTCCTTTTCCCCCTCGTACGATGCGCTGGCGGCAGACGCCGCGACGACCTACGGACGAGAAACATGCAGATGATGCAGGGCAATGCCTCAGGCCAAGGCGCGTGAGCTTCCGGCAGTCAGAGGCGGCGTCAGCACGGGCGATGCGAGAGATGTGGGCGATGCTGACAGACGCTAGGGACGATTTCAGGCCGTCTAGCGAGGCGGGGGACTCCCTTGACACGGCGGCAGCGGGCGCGAAAGTGTGGTTTCACAGAGCATAGGGCTCAGCACGGGCCCCAGCACAGCCTGCGATATGCAGCCGTCAACACACCCTAGCGCTCTTTCTGTAGCCTTTCCGCTGAGGCTTGACGTAGCCTCTACAAACCCTTTCACCGACTCGCCCAAGACTAAGCTTGCACACAGCCTCGCACTGTGGTACCGCGGCGCCGACTACGGGCGTACTTGGCTCTTATACATACTCTTGCCGCCTGCCCTACGCCGTCCCCGCACATCCCTCCCCATTCCGCCTGTGCTCCCACGTTTGATCGCCCGGCCCTCCCGCAGAGGCTCAAGTCGTCCGCCAAGACTGCGCTGGAATATGAGCAGAACCACCGCGCGCCTCCCACCACGCGTCTCCGCAAGTTAGACCCCAATGGCGTGCTCCTCCGAGAGCTACCCCTCCATCCAGCAGCCCACCACCTCCGCCGAACACCACCCCGCCATGGACCTGCAATTCACGACCCCCACCATGCCGCAGTCCACCTTCCCCTGGAGCTCGCCGGGTGAGCCCGAAGTCTATACACTTCCCCACACCCCCATGACTAATCCCTCGGAAGACCCCTTTGCCATGTGCACTGCTCCTTCTGCGCCGCCGGCTTCAGCTGCTGCGTCGTCACGTCGCCGCACCAGCAGCCGCACCTCGTCGCGCTCACCCACCAGCGACGACGCCGGAAACAGCTTCAAGTTTGTTACCGCAACCCGTCCCGAGGAGTTCAAGGATCCGGAATTGATGCGTACCGTGCGTTCGCATGTCATGTTTGGCGTGGTCGAGGGACGCCAGCGCGTCCCGCCCCGAGCCAAGAAGCCGGCAGCTGCCCCTGCCCCAGGTGCTTCGACGCGTGGAGAGAGCAGCAGCACTGTCACCACTGCTCAGAAGAGGACGCCGACCCTGAGGAGGTCCGATTCCGCCGCCGACGCTAATCCGGTCAACCCGCAATTCATGGGGAGGGAGGAGGCCCTGGATATTTTCCAGAGATATCGTGTCCCAAGATCATCAGCCTCTTTGCCCGGTAGCACGCCGCACAGCGACCAAGGCACCGATGTCGACAGCCCGGAATCTCAACGGTCGAGCCTGGTGAAGAGACCGAAGAGGAGCTTCGTCGACACTCCTCCAACAACCACTCCCATCGAGCAGCAGCTGCCCGAACAGATACTTGTCCAGCCGCCCCAAGGCGGAAGCCAGTGGATAAATCCGCTTTTTCATTCCGCCTTCCAGGTCATGGGACCGTTTGAGGCCTTTGCGCCGGCTCCCTCCAATCCGTTCTCTTCTCACGACCCCTTTCTGGCTCTTCCACAGCCAAACTCTAACATCAATATGCCAGCAGTGAAATACTACTGTATGCGCCTTTTTTTTCAAAAAAAAAAAAAAACTCTTGCTGACTGTATCCAGGCCATCTCTATTTCGGCACGCGAGGGATGGCGCGTGCATGGCTACCGCAGATGATCCAATCGCGCGAATCGTTCCTCAGTACTCTTGCCATTGCCACCAGTCATCAGGATGCTATGGCAGGCAAACTTGCGCCCACTACCCTCACCACCATGGTCCAGACGGAAGTGGCCCACCTTCTGAGAGAAGCCTTCAACGAGCGCTGGTACAGAATCAAGGATACCACCATCATGACCGTGGTTCAGCTCCTCTGCTCTGAGCTTGTTAACTCTAGTGCTGACCGCCTTGTCTTTCACGAAACCGGCCTGCGTCAGCTTATCTCCGAGCGTGGCGGCCTGAACCGCCTCGGCCTCCAGGGGGAGCTGGCGGCGGTCGCGACGGCGATGATATACTCATCAGCCATCTTTCGCGAGGGATCGCCTGATTCAATGTTCTCAGAGTACGCCAACACGGTTCGCCCTTCAGTCTATAGCGACAGGCAGATCGTCCCCGAGTCGCCGCTGTTCTGCCCGCGCAAGCGCTTCTCGACGTTGGAGCGCAGCCGACGGTGCGACAGGCGCACGCTGGAGCTCATCAGCAAGATGAAGGAGCTCGTCGACTTGGTCGACAGCCCGCTCGAGCAGAGCAGCTGGGACACGGAGTCGTACAAGCGCGAGATCCTCAACTACATGCGCGGCCTGCCGCCGGCGGAGATGCTGCCCGAGCCGTCAACCGACATCGAAAGAAAGGCGCACTGGCGCTACGAGGCATGCCGACTCACGGCCATCCTGCACGCCGAGAGCCTGGTTCACCGCCGTCCGCTGTCTTCGCTGCCGTTGGAAGCCAAGTCCACCACCCCGGCTTCGGAGCGCTCGGTGGGAGAGGTGCCCGACGCGGTGTCGTTGGAGAGGCTGGTCGAGGCGGTCAAGAGGAGCGATTGCGGGTTCTCGGAGTGTTGGGGCGACATGACGGGTTTGCTGTACTGGATCACGCTCGTGGGCGGCGCGGCGGCCCGGGATGAGGCGCCGCAGCGCAGGTGGTTGACGGCGTTGAATGTGAGGTGCGCGATTGTGTTGGCGTTTGAGCATCGCAGCGCGGTGGTTGTGAGCTTGAGGAAGATGCACAGGAGTATGGTCGCTAGGTTTTGAGGAGGAAGATGGCGATTGCATTGGGACTGGCGATGGCGTTTTTCGGATAAGTCGATGACTGGCGTTTGGATTGACGAGGGTGATGACTGCTGCTGGACTCGATTCCTGAGTCCGGCAGAGGAACTAACTGATACCACGAACTCACGAGCTTCAGAGAGCGAGGAAGGAATGGCGGTTTGACCTTTTTCTTCTTGCTCTGTTATTTTTATGACTCTTATGTCTTTCTAATAGTTGGGCATTGAGATGGTATGTTTTTTTTAACCTACTCTTGAGTGGTGGAGAGAGGAACACCAGCTGGTCTGTAATCTAAGTCCATGTGTCTTTGGTCAAATCAATTCTTGGGAACATCCATGCATGCAAATGGCAAATAACTTTGTCTTCGATCACTGCACAGCGCTTCAATATCATCATTTCAAGCACAATGTCTTTGCGAGCCAGGGAAACAGTGATGTGATTACTCATTCTTATGCTAAGCATGTCGTGGTGTCTAAAGTCTCGACACGAGAGAAGAAGCTCTCGCCGAAAGGAAACTCGTTCATAGCGTACATGGCATTCTCAAGGATAGGCTTGGGGTATGAGGCCGTGCGTGGCGAAAGGTGGAAGAAACGAACAAGACCAAGTTCACGTGGAAAGGGGAGTTTCAGAGAAGAAGCAAAGCAAAGGCCACACAGGTAGACAGTTTAGCCGTGGGTGACCTTCTTGACGGTACCGTCGTCGGCCACGTGGATGTTCAGGCTATGGAGGATTGTCAGCCTTTTTTTGTGTGTTTACTCTTGTGTAGTGTAGGCTAGCGTACCGGTCTGGGACGTGGTCGGCCGTCACGATGTCGCCTTCCTTGACGATGCGGTGGCTTTCAGGGAGGTCCTTCTTCGCAAAGGTCTGGCGGCTGCGTCAGCATGATAGTGGTGTGATGTGGGGCGAGAGGCGGAGGTGAGGGGGTGAAGAAGGGAAGATCTCACAATGTGGTCTGAAGTGTCACCAATCTTCTTGCCCACAAGGTGGTTGGTCCACTCCTCGGTCTTGTTGCCGGTGGAGTTGAGGCCTGGGACTACGAGAGGCATGGTGGATTGGTTGTTCGGTGTGTAGAAGCTGAGGATGTCTGTGCGCAGGTAGCGTGCGGAGGACAGCGGGCTGCAGGTTGGTTTATATGCGTTTCCTATCTTTGCCTTGCTGCCTATTGTCGACGCGGTCTGCTGGATGCGTTGGCTGAGACGCAGCCCCGCATACGTCATGACGGTGCAAGTGGGGCAAGTTTCAAGTCCGGCCGCTGCCTCTTCCACCAACGCCGACGGAACCCGCGCCTTCCCCCGCCTTCATCGGTTCTTCACGTGCATCTTGGAGAGTGACTTTGCTAGGTGCAAAACATGACGTCGTGCCCGACTACTGCAATTCTACGACCTCGGAAAGGAAACAAACGAGATTCAGTCCGTCTGAAATTGCCATGGACAGCTTCTTCTATGAGCCTGTCTATCCGAACATCCATCTGTTGTCGAAGGTTCCCGGCTCGTACCGCTGGTAGGCATTGCTTTCCTTCTTGAGCAGACTCACATCATTCCGGATGCCTCGCACCTTGCCGTCAACGTCGCGCTGCGCCGTTTCACTGGCCTCACTCTGCTTCTTTACGAGCCTCTTCAGCCCCTTGTTCTCGCTCTCGAGACGCTCGATCCTGCCACAAAGTGCCTGGACTCTGTCTTCCGACGCCTTGTTCTCCATGGCTTGTTTGGCCCACGCCATCCAGCGCTGCTCCAGCTCGGCGATCCTCTCTGTAGTGCGAGATTCAAGAGCATTGGCCGTGTTGAATATGCATGTCTGGAGTTCCTGTATCCTGGCCTTGGTATTCTTCTCGCGAGCCGTCTGCTGAGCCATAAACTCCGCATGGCTGGTTTCCAGTTTGTTGGCACGGCGCTCCAACACACCCAAGGTTTTCACGGTTGAATTATTCGCTTGTTGGAGTTGTTGAAGAAACTCCTGTTGTCGCAGAGCTTGACCGGAGTGCGTAGGGAAGGCCTCGAATTGCTGCTCAAGAAGGGCGATCTTGTGCGCCATATCTTCATGATCAGCAATCTGCGTCTCCCACCGAGCGTTGGATGCTTTGGTCTCATGCATCATCGCATGCCGGAGCTGCTCGATGTTGTTCGCCTGCTCCATGATCCTCGCGTCTTGCGCGGCATCATGCTTCTTCCACATCTCTATAGCCAAAGACGGAAAGTTCTCGATCTGCTTCAGACCCTTCAGGCTGTTGTACAGCTGCACGACCTTGCTGTCGAGACTAGTCACAGACCCCATGAGTCTGTCCGTCTTCTCTGCCTGGGCTTCAACTGCATCCGTAACCGCCTTCTTCTTGTTTTCCAGCAAGTTGCGGTGCTCTTCCAGACTCATGTTGAGAGTCTCGCTAGCCTCAAACGGCCCCAAGTAGTCATTGATCCTGCTGATGGAGTGGGACAGCCTCTGCTCCTCGTTCAGCGAGCTGCATTTCTGCTCCTCCAACTTATCCTCCACCTTCTTCACCTTTTGGTAAGTCTCCTGCTGACAGCGGACCAGCTTCGCCAGTATCTCGTTGTGCTCTCCGCACGCTTCGCTCAACGCCTCAACGATCTTTCGATGGGTTTCAGCCCGCCGGTTCAAGGCTTCGCGCTCCTCGATGGCCGCCTGCTGAGCTTGCGCTTCCTCCTGTTGGCGCCTGAGCTGTTGCTCACGCTCGAGCGTTTCTTCGTCCCAGCTCGTCCACATCCCGCCGTCGCTGCTGTTTGCCATGGTCGAGGACGAGGCTCGCGACAGGCTATCCCACTCTTCTTCGTCGAGGGCGTCGTCATCCTCGGTATCTTCGGCGTCTTCAGCGTCTTCAGCGTCTTCAGCGTCTTCAGCGTCTTCAGCGTCTTCAGCGTCTTCGGAGTCTTCGGGGTCGGAGGGGGCGGGGCTGATGGGGGGCTGCTGGACGCGGCTTCGTGCCAAAGGCTCTGAGGGGAGCAAAGAGTCTTGCTCGGCCGTTCTCTCGACGCCGCATTCGGACACCGCCGGGCCCAAGGGCTCCTGGTTCTCTGTGTTGCTGTTGTCTTTCCCGCTACGAGAGTTTTCATGGCCGTTTAGTTCCATTTCATCGGCGAGCTCCTTTTCCTCTCTCTCCTGCAGTTGCCGTAGGCTTTGTTGTTGTTGCTCCTCCAGCAGCTGCTGGAACGTGGAGAAGCTCATCCCGCCGGCACGTAGTTTGGGAAATTGGGATGTCTTATCAGACGGAGACGGGTACGAGAGGAAGCATGCGCTGGCTATTGCGCTGTACAATGGCGGTTTACCAGTAGGCTCCACACCGGCTTTGTCGCCGGAAGGTTTGGAAGACGACATGGTGATTCTCTCGGATCAACTGAAGCTCAATACTTAGATGAGGAAAATATCTTATATGATGAAAGAACTTGTGTCGGCAGCGAAGCAAAACTTCTACTGGGGATCAAGTGTTGGGGTTATGGTCAGGGTTTGCCAGTGTTGAACCATGGTTCCTAATGTTTGGATATTGTGAGGGAAATATGCGGAAAGACGGGGTGCGTGTCCCCTTCTGATATGAATCGCGAGCATCTTTTGATCTCCTGGCTGAATAGGTGTTTAACTTGCAGTGAAGTTTAAATTACCGCCATGCACAGAGTAGCTCTTGCAGGCTCACATCTACATCCACTTCCACCTTCGCCAAGCCTAGCGCTTTCTCAATCAAAATATATGCTGAGCGGCACCCCTCGATAGCAGCTTTAGTGCTAAAATTCAACAGGGTTCTTACCAACATCCTCTGTTCTCCGTATTTTGGTGGGTCGCTTCCTCACGCTTTAACTATTAAGTATAATCTCCGAAAATACGGGAAGAAGAGGGATAGCGTATAAAGAAGCATTACTGGGCATATCGACCTAAAAGGCGCCCTCTAATGGTACTGGAGCATGGTTCATTGATTTCTCAGTATGGGAAATATTCTACAGCTTAGAAGAAGACGATGACACTGCATCGAGAGCGGATTTAACCCTCGAATGGCCATCTTCTCAACAAATGTTTTGTGAAAGGCGGGTTACCGCGTACCAAGGAACCATTAAGATCCCATCAACCAGTTCGGCATTTCACAGACCCTTCAAAACGACTCACAACTACCAGATTCGGTGTGTGGACCAGGAGACGAGCCTTAGTATGGCCAGGCGTGGAAAGCCCGCCTACTTCTCAGTAGGGTTGCCCTCAGAACCGTCGAGCGGCGCATGCTTCTTGTCACGTCCACCGACAACAAGCTCGGCCTTCCAACCAGCGCCGCCCTCCTTTCCCTCCAGCTGCTTCTTCTTGTCTTCGGCCAGGGCATCCAAGGTGGCGTAGGCAGATTCGACGAAATGCTCCTCGTCCGCACTCTCCTTGGCCTCGCCATCATCATCATCCCCGTCGTCGTCGTCGTCGCGGGCAAGGCGCCAGAGGGTGATGATGCGCGGCTCCATCTCCAAGACGTAGCGGACCAGGTGCTCGACCTCGGCGCGGGCGCGCATGGCGCTCTCGTCGGCCTTGCGCATGCTCTCCTCGATGGCGCCGGCGTTGCTGCGGCCCGGCTCGAGCGGCGGGAAGGCGTGGAGCAGGTCCGCAGCCTCGGCGGGAACGCGCGGCTCGCGCGTGTCGTGGGGAGTCAGGGGAGGAACGCTGTAGAAGAGGCGGGCGCGGTAGGCGCGGGAGTAGTAGCGGCGGAGCAGGGTATGGGCGGACGTGCCGGCCTTGTGGTGGGCCTGTGGTGTTGGTTAAAAGAGAGGCTGGCATGAAAGAGAGGGTGGGGATAGGTGGTCTGCAAGGAGTATGAGGAGAGAGAGAAAGAGGAAGAATATTCATTTACCTCGAGGTCACCGATCATGGCCTTGGCCATTCGAATGAGCTGCTCGAGCTTGGCCATCTTGCTCTCGAACTCCTCGCGCTCGCGGTAGAACCTCTCGGCGATCCAGTCCATAGTCGGGACTACGATGTCGTACGGCATGTAGTGGAAGTGATCGCTCTCCTCATAGAAGTCCTCGCCATAGATACTGTCTTGAGACATGGCAGTAAGTAGTCGAGGGTCTATCTAAACCGCGAGCGATTAGGAAAGAGGGCGGCATGCATCGGTCGGGGGTTGCGAGCAGCTTGAGAGATGCACGGTGATGGCACAGACTTACTGGACGGATGAGTTGATGTCAAGGTCTTCTCAGGAAGAAAGAAGGTGGCGCTGCGACCGTGTTTTGGTGGGTGTCAAGCGAGGTGGTTGGCGTGGTGGCCAAAGAGTTGGATGCGACTTGGAGAGCGGTCTCTGCTTCATATATATCCAGATGTTTCCATGGAAACACCAGGCGAGAGCACTACACGTGCCAACGCGCAGCAGAGTCCCACTAGGGAAGGTGCAGGAAGTCAAAGGCACATAAAAGGATGTGCCTCTGTAACTTTGCGTCCGTAATGCTCGGAAGAATCTGCGTCTTGTTTCCTCCACTATGATCAGACGTGGGAGAGAGAAGTTTCAACCCTTCATGGGTCCACGGGCTCATGCAAACTTTACTTTCCTAATAGTTGTTGTTCACCCGGCGACTCTGCTTTCATCACGCGCTTCCGCGTTTGCTGTCTTGTTTAGATGAAGACAAACGCCCTCGGCACTACCCTCCACCCATTTTGACCGTCGCTCTCATTGGTTCTGTGATTTCTTGTACCATAGCGTCGAGATCCTTGGATGCTCGCAGGTCTTAGCATACGACGGTCCCGTTGATGGGTTGCATGCAAAACAATCGGCGTCGAACATGAGCGCACGAACAGTGGCAGGATGAACCAAAGGAAGATGATCATTTCTAACTTTTAATTTTCGTCGTAGCATTACTCATTCGTGGCTTTCGCGAAGCGAGGTCGCTTTACCCATGCCGAGTGCCGTTCAGCAGCGAGTAGATTCCCTTGAGAATCCACCCATTGATGTAATGATCGTAATATGTATGACCACGAGCTGACGGTGAAGCCCCTACCGCGGTCTTTAGTCAGGGTATACCTCCTCTTGTGCTTTTCTGCATGGCTTATTCTTCTCGTCTCCTGACGTTCCTGTCCTGGGATTGTGCTTCTGACTTCATTCCACCAATGGCACCCTCGACCAGACGCCTCAGTTCGGCTTGCGCCTCCTCGCTCTGGTAGTCCTCCCGCGCAGCCAGCTCCTCAATCTTTCGCCTAAACTCGGGGTCGACGACATCCTCGGGCACATCGTCGGCCGACATGGATCCAACATTGACCTTGATGCCGTCGGGCAGCGGCGGTGGGTGAGTTAGGGCATCAGCGCCATTCTGCTGTGCGGCACCATTGCTGATGCCGGTCATCCTACTCCTCAAGTATGCAGCAACAAGGGGAAAGTCGCCCTCGGCCTCGATCTTCTCCTCGGCAGTCTGGCCCTCTTCGTTGCGGGCGTTCATGTCGGCGCCAAGCTCTTCGCACAGGCAACGAGCGGCGTCAACGGTCTCGGCAGCGAACAGCGGCGTCTCGTCGTCCTCGTCGCGAATGTCGGGGGACACATTGTAGGTGCGGACGAGGGCGCGCAGCAGGTCGAAGTGGCCGTAGGAGCATGCGGCGTGGGCGAGCGAGTAGCCGTGGGCGTCGCGGGCACCGGCCAGCTGCGGATGGGCGGGCAGCTGGGCGAGCACGGCGGCGGGGTCGTCGGCAGCGAGGTTGAGCAGGCGGTCGATGGTTACTTGGGCCATGGCGGGATGATTGCAGGAGCAGAGCTGTCTTGGCGGAATTATTTTTTGGAGGGTTGTCTGAATGCTCCGCCCAGGCTTGGCGCGACGATCGGCTGCAGGGGTGGCTCCGCAGCGCTCCGCTCTGCAGGCGCGCGCGAAGCACGCCGGCACCTGGAGACACACGGCCCAGCCGCAATGCACTGGCTCAGAAGCTCGCGAGACGGGCGCGACAGCTCCCCCACACGCCGCGGGCGGAGAGCGGCTGGGGCGCGGGCTGGCGGAGCGACGAGCAACCTCTGACGCGGGCCAAGCGATTTGCGTCTAAGCCTCCTCCCTCCCGTGTCGCGTGCCTCTACCAACGCGACTGCGCTGGGGTTGCTGTCTCACGGCCCTTTCCCGGGCCCTGCGCGCGCGCTCCCAAGCCCTCCAGCACAGCGCCGGTGAAGCGTAAGATTAGTAGCCTGGGCACATGTCGACGCTGCGCATTCCGCCGCTCCTTAACCACCACAGCCCCCGGGCCCCGTCTTCCTCCAGCGACACCCGGTCTCTCATATCAGCCATGCCGTTCAACATCGCCGCCCTCGGCCTGCCCTCGAAGCGCCTTGTGGCCTCATACATTCTCGACTGGATCGTCATCATGTGCGTCCTCCTGCTCTGAATTCTTCGCACTAACACTCATTCCCGAACCAGCGGTATTGCAGCTGTCGGCGCCGGCTGGAATGACATTAAGCCTTACCACCGTCCGTTTTCTTTACTCGATCTTTCCATTTCCTTTCCGCACACCGACCCGGAGACCATCCCCACCTGGTTGCTCGTTGTCGTCGCTCTCGTCGTTCCCGCCGCTGCCATCTTCTTCGTGGCTTTGGTCTTCGTGCCCGGCCCAACCGCCAACCCTTCGACCCCGAAGACGCTGATATGGCGCCGCAAATTCTGGGAGTGGAACAGTACGTAGCCCGCCTTTTACCTCACTGTCCCTCCGTACTAATGTTTTTTTAAGCTGGCTGGATGGGGCTTGGACTTAGCCTCGCAACTGCCTTTATGCTTACCCAGGGCTCGAAGCTTCTCTTCGGCAAGCCGCGCCCTGATCTGCTTGACCGCTGCCAGCCCGACCTTTCTAAGCTCCAAAGTGCCACGACGGGCGGCTATGGCCAGGATATCTCTCCTCGCTGGGTGCTCGTCACTTCCGAGATCTGCACGCAGACTGACATGGACATCCTCAATGATGGCTTTAAGAGTTTCCCCAGCGGCCATGCCTCTTGTAAGTCTTCTCGCCACCAGCCTCTTTTTCCCCTCTGTTCTGACATTGGACGCTCTTCACAGTTGCGTGGTCTGGTCTCCTCTATCTCTTCCTCTTTCTCTGCTCCAAGTTTGCCATCGCCATCCCCTTTCTCCCACCACGCCCCTACTCGGCCAACCCCAACCATACGGCTCTGGAGCGCGAGCATCGCCTTTCATTCCCGCTTCCACTCCACCACCAGAACAGCAGCAAGCGCGCCTCGCTCGACACCAACACCGAAGGCAGCAACCCAGCAGTCGTCCCCATCCGCAACCAAGCCGCGGCGCCGCCGACCTGGGTGCTCGTGCTCGCGCTGGTGCCGCTGGGCGCCGCCATCTACATCACCGCCTCGCGCTTCTTCGACTTCCGCCACCACGGCTTCGACCTCATCGTCGGCTCGTCGATCGGCATCGTCTGCGCCTGGTTCTCGTTCCGCTGGTACCACCTGCCCATCCGCCAGGGCGCCGGCTGGGCCTGGGGTGCCCGCAGCAGGGATCGCGCTTTCTGCATTGGCCTGGGCATGGGCAGCTACGTCGGAACCGAAGGTTGGGGTAGTGCAAAGGATGACAGGCAGCCTGTTGGACCGGACCCGGATCTGGAGCAGGGCGGTGCTGCGGCTGCAGGTATGACGAGCTTGAATGGGCCCGGGCTGGATGGACAGAGGGATAGTGGGGTTGAGTCGAGTGCGTAAGTGGCATGAGACAATCGGGTCTCACCAAGCAAGGAGACGGTCAAACACTACAATTGGGAAAGGTGCCGGGAACAATCTCATCCGGTCTCCGTTCAAGGCGTCGGGAAGGTTTGCATGGAAGGAATGGGTTGGCATATGCTTACGAATACCCACGGCTCTTGATTCTGTCGAGGAGGATATCGACTCACGTTGTAATATGTTTTATCCATGTATGCTTTTATTGGTTAGATTTTGACGAAGAATAATGCAGAACGACGACATCATCACTAGACACGGTCTCGGCACTACATTTACACGTCAAATCACTCTTCAGCAGACCCAAACACATGGAGTCTCAGTCAATCCCAATCATTAATGCCGTAAATCATCAACCACACCGTATCGTACAGAAACACAAAAGACACGCTATTGCTTCCTCTCGGCACTCGCAGCACCTTCCTCGCGCATGCCCTCGCAGCCAGTCACTTTGCCGGCGATCTCCTCGGCGCGGCCGTACCCGCTGCTAGCCGGGTCCCGGTCCGCCGAGGCCTGCTTCATCGTGTCGACGGCGTGCGCCTTGGCCTGCTCGCCCGACTTCTGCCACGCGTTGCTGCCCGTCAGGGAGCCGATGGTGCTCTATAACCAACCGTTTAGTGGAAACTTAGAGGGTTAAAAAAAAGTCGAGGGGCCGGAAATACCTCTGCGGCGCCCTTGACGTACTCGGCGTGGCCGGAGACGAGGCCAGGGTTGGAGGCGGGGTTGCTGGTGTTGTTGGAAGACATGCTGCTGTTTCTGTGGGAGATGTCTGAGGCAAAAGCGGTGCGAGGTTGGATTACAGGTTGCAAAGCGTTGATTTGTTTGAGTAAAGGGAGATGTCTGAGGGTGAGGTGATGCTTTGTTTATCATTTTATCTCTCGTCTCATTCGCAGCTGCAGGCTATGACGATGACTACTGGGCCCGAGTACCTTGCGTTGACGTCATCCCCGCCTCATCATCCCAACCCCACACGGCCCGGCGAAGCTCAGGCGAGAGCCCAGACCAGAAAGTATACCTCTAGTTGACAGGAGATGAGCTCCGCGCTTTGATTTCTTTTTTCCGTAACCGGCATGCAAATGCCCATTCTTTTCCCTCTCCTAAAATGTGCGGGGTGATTGCGTTCCCCTCATTGATGGGACTGAGACTGATCATCCAGTCTCCTCTCCCTGTTTTACGCTCTCGCTCTTGATGCTGAGGGACGACTGTTGTTATGGGAGTTCCGCCGTCTCCTTTGTGGAAGCAGCGGCCGTCTCGGCCGGTGATTGTGTCGCCGGTGGTGTTGATCCCTCAGTTTCGGGTGCCTTGAAGCCTTGGAAGTACTGTTTGTGGATACATTAGCATCTATATGGAATCGTTTAATGAAGAACATACCTTGCGTCGGAAAGAGTTCAGCTCATCGGCGTGGCTGCCGTGCTCCTTGGTCCGCTTTGTCCAGGATATAGACCTGTCCACTTGCGCATCCGGGATACGGCGGTAAGTGAGCAGCCTCCGTGACCCTATGACGATTTTTAGTATGCAACACCTAAGGCTGCCGGGGGAAACGAAACTTACATTTGTTGAACGGCTGGACGCTGACGCTAACGAGCTGTAAACACGGGTGCGAGGGGATGGCAATTTCCACATCCTCGTCGTTTGCCGTCGGCATCCACATCGACAGCCTTCCCTCGTCAACCAACATGTCCGTCGAGAACTCCATGATGTCGTCAAGCATGGCCTCGAAGCTGTATGGCTTTTTCGGGGGAATGTATCCCTCGCGCCTATGACCGTGGGTCAGCACATGCACGAGACTCCGCATGTTTCGGGATATATACTCACAGATGCGCCCACTCTCCGTCGATCATCACAGCCTCTTGTCCACTTCCGTCCTTCCTGCCCAGAACCTTCAGCCCCTCTCTTACTCCATAGGGTGGATCGCACAAAATGCCATCCAGCCACCGGCCTCTCCTTAATGGTGTGTTTGTGAGGTCGCTCACAAAGTTATCAAGGAATCTTCCCGTCAACCCATACTGCCTGAAATTGGCAATCACGCCCTTTCCCTCGGCCTTCCCCCTAATGCTCCTCCCATCGATGTCGCTCCCCACCGTCACGGCGCCAAAATGGGCCGCCGCAACGCTGAAGCTGCCCGTCCCGACAAACGGATCGAAGAAGATCTTGCCGGGAGCCGCCATGGCCATATTGGCGGTGACGAGGGCCAGCTCGGCATCCATGGACGTGGTGCTGATGTAGCGGCGCTTCTTGAGGTCGTACGTGACGACGGCCCTGCGCCCTCCGTCGGCGACCCAGCGGCCGAGGAAGACGCGCTTGGGCTCGGCCGCGAACTGCTCGTACTCCTCGAAGATGCACAGGTGCAGCTCGGCGTCCTTCATGCGGATGGGCCCCGCGAAGTTCAGGTAGCGGAAGCCGTTGATCAGCTCGCGCTGCGCCGTGCTGCTGCGCTTGCCCTGGAACGTGTCGACCGAGAAGCGGAACGAGCTCTGCGCGTAGTCGGCCCACCGCGACGACGTTCGAGACGTGACTGAGGCGTGCAGGCTGGGATAGTCGGTCCCGCTGCCCCAGAGCTCGTAGACGCCCATGGTGAGGATGCTTCGAGATATTATGGCTCTGGCCGCCGTGTCGGACGGCAGAGTGACGAGGGCGAAGGGGGTCTGAGAGGGACGGTGTGAGTGCTTGTTGTATGGTATTACTCAAGAGACAGTTGCGCAGGCATGTGCTTTTCGCTATGATTGAAGCGAAAAAAAAAAAACGTCGAGCCGTAATAGCGTTGAGATAGAGCAAGAATGAAGAACAATATCATAAAACGAAATATTGGCAAGACGAAATTAAATGGAAACGAAAATGCACACGAAAGTATAGTGAAAAGCCGACCTACATCTTCAGAATAGGAAATGAAATTCATTTCGACACCGGCAAGGGTCGCCAATGACTCCAGCTCAGATTTGCGAAAGCTCTCATGTTGCTGCACGCAGCGGATCAGATACTCTGGCATTTTGGTGGACTGGCAAGCCTGCTATGTCGAAGTCTGTGCTGGATATAGAGTGAGTGGAGAGCAATCCGATGAGTCCAAAGGAGTGTCGGTGGAGAGATCGAGCCGGGCCCTTGCGCTTCTTCCTTCCTCTTGTGTATGTACAAGTTTGGTTGGGCGCGTGGGAAGGAAGCAAGCAAAATCTTCGGCGCCGCTGACAGGAGTCACCGTTCAACGCCACAAGCGCATAAAACGGGCGGCATTTAGATCACGGATTCTCTCTGCCCACTCGGTATTCCATGACATCCACGCCCATGCCCTCGCGCGTTCGCAGCGCTTGCCAAACTTCTGCTCTGCCAATTTTGTCTCGGATAGAGCCCTCTTGCCAAGGAGCGATAAGCGGGACATCATCGGCGATCTAAACTATCAGCTCGCCTGCTCTTCGTGCCTTCACATATTATGTACAGCCTTGCATGAAAGTAGTCGTTTACACATGCTGTCGAATGAAAATGTCCCCCAAGCCGCGCCGTCGATTCTTATTCCAGCCAGCCAAATCCGCGCCATATTGTATACATTTCCCACTGCACCGCCTTCTCTGCAGCTAATTTACGCAAGAACAGTCCGGAAGAAGCAAACCCAAAGCCAAAGAAAAGAAACGCGCAATGATTCTCATGCTTTTGCGCGTTTCACCCAACATCGCACCTAGTCCGATCCGACCATGTCCGAATGCCCGGGTATCATCGAAGAAATGCGAATCCAGAGCCAGAGCTGACGCGAAAAATATGTATAAAAACGAGAGGGAAGAAGCCATAAAGCCTTCGCGGAAAACCCTTCCCATCCCTCCATCCGCCCTTGATGCAAAATTGAATACGCAGCCCGTATTTTCTCCGCCTTCCAAGGACCTTATTTGGATCCTTCCATTGTCGCCTCCCCTAGTACGCCGTGGAAATGCAGAATAGGCCATTAGCCGTGTGGTCGTTGGTGCGTACGAATCGATTCCTTCGTCTTCAGCAATTACGCCCCGCTCCCCTTCCTCTCCTCTCCCCTCCCCTCTATGACCTTTCAAACCAGAAACGAAACAACCAAATCACTCAACTCCTTCACGTTTGCGTTTCCATCGTGATGTCAAGCCGACACTGGCATTTGGTCGCCAGACAATGCCCGCTAGTCAATTTACGAGTTTCATTAAATCTTTCGGAACGTAGCCCGTTGGAGAAATGGTCCCTGTTGACGCGTTGGGGCTCCGCCTCGGTCCAGCGGACCCGTCGTCGTTGGCCTCCGGCTTTATCTGCTTCGTCTCCAAACTGAGCGCCTTGGGCGTATGCGGGTCGCTGTGAGGGGGCGCCGTGTTATTCTTGGCTGATTGTGGTGAAACCGGTGCCATGGGACCATTCGCAGCGTCCATCTTCTTCCCGCGCCTTTGCGGCTTGGTCTTCAATTCCGACGTGTTTTGCGCTGCGGGCTTGGAAACGTTGAACGCATTGGTAATTTTATCGTTGGACTTCGCGGGTGCGTTTGATTTCTTTTTCGGTGCAGCCTTCTTCTTGGCCGCCGTCGCCTTCGCACCTGTAGATTTTGTCTTGGGCCGCTCAGCGAGAGGGACGTTGTTCAGATTTCTACCCTTGCCCTTGCTTTGCGCAGTAGCCTTCTTGGACGGCGTGGCTGGCCTGGACACGACCGTGATTTCTTCTCCAATCGACGAGTCCTGCGGCTGAATCTTCGGGCTTGACGCGGGAGTGGGGATGCCCTTCACCTGCTCGACACGGTCCTTGCGTGGAGAGTTGAAGATGCGAACCTCGGGGCTCGGCTTCTGCTTGGCAGCTTCGTATTCCTCCTCAGAGAGGATTCTGGCCATGGTCTCGCTCCTGTCGTTCCAAATGCGTAGAGCGGCTTGACGGGCAACAGCGTCACACGGACCGCGCACCACCAAGTCCCAGCAGTTCTCCAGGTCCACGCCCTTCGGCTCCGGTTCATTGTTGATCCAAACAGTAAGGCCATCCTTGCGGTCTCTCACCGTGTTGACCATCTCTCGAGTAATGCGCCGCACTCCAGGGACCTTCAGTGTCGTCCCAACGACAATGACAGCATCAGGGCGTGCTCTCAGATCCGCGGTGGTCACGGAACCTATGGCTTCATCATCGGGTCCGTTTTCGTTGTAGAGCACCATGCGAGGCCGCAGCAATCCGATACCATGGCTCCTTTTTCCTGCATGCTGAGTGCGCACTTGGTCCGCCTCTTCACACGTCTTGCAGGGGGGTGGAATGGGCCCGTGGAAAAGCTCGGGCTCGAAATCCGTCACGTCGTTGCATTTCGCACAGACCATCTTCTCCAGCCCTCCGTGGAGTAGGACCGTTTTCGGCCAAGGGCCCTTCTGCGGCAGCGGGATTTTGGATTCCAGCGGTTTTAGCCTGGTTTCGATGCCGTCAACGTTCTGGGAGTACAGGCGCAGTAATCTGCCTTCGTCGGCGAGAGTTGCAATAAGTTGATGGAACGCGGTGGGCTTGGCCTCCTCGGCCTGGCGCTTCAGCGACCGGACCATTTCGTGAAACGTCGCAGTGGTGTCGGGATCCCTGTATACAGAAGCGTCGAACAGGTCCTTGCCAGAGGATTTGAGATTGTGCTGCTGCTTGAGCGTGTTGAAAAGGCCCTTGGAGGAGCGGAAGTCGGGGACTGCAGGGATTCAATGCGTGTTCGACGCGACGTGGGGAGCTGGGGGGACTTACTGCCGGCTGCGACCGAGATTCCTGCACCCACGATCATCACAATCTTGCGCTTCTTGTGCAGGACCTTGAGCAACAGATCAAGAGCGTCGCGTTCCGTGTCGTCGATGATGTCCTCGTGCAGATTCAAATAGCGAGTGACACGCGGCTTCGGCTCGGCGGTGCGTCTCTTCTTGCGTGGAGGGCCGTCGTCGTCGCAGGATCGCGCGGGCTCCATGGCGTCCGGGAGCGGTGAACCTTTGGTGGACGGGTCCTGCGAGGGAGGTGGAGAGGGAAAGCCGTAGTCAGACGGGGGGCATGGCGACGAGGGCGGCGAGCTCAAGGGCGAGCTCTCGCGCGAGCTGCCCGCACAATAGGCGTCCGAAGCCATTGTGCAGGAACGGGGCGGCCGCGGTTGTGGGAGGGGAATGCGGCAGGCACGACACGGGCGGGGCCCTTCTATGTCATGAGCGAGGGGCGCCGGCCGGTGAGGCGGTGAAAGTGGCTGGCGGGCAGCTGCGACGCGCGTGTGCGGAGAGCACAGCGAAGGGGACGGAGACAAGAGCCAGGGCGCGGGTGCGGATGGGGTTGAGATGAGGTTTGAGGAACGAGGCGTGAGCTGATGGGCGTTGCTTGGCGGCACCAGTGACGCCGGCCTTGGTTCTCGCTGTGTTTATTTTGCCCCGTCCGTGCTTGTTCGCGCGACTTTCAGCCGGCAAAGCACAAAGCTGCCAGCCTGGCCTCCGGCCGGATCGCTTGGTTTGCCTGCATTGCGGCCGTGGGCGAGCCGTCGCTGGCTTTCATCGGCCGCGCCCGCGTGCATCTACCTGCAGAACGCGTCGCATTTCCCCCCCGCGCAATTGATAGCAGCGCACCGCCGGCGAGCCCGCGGCGCCCATGCACGCGTGACGCAGCAGTGCGCCCGCCAGCTCAGGGGGCCCGCGGCCGCTGCGCGCGCGGTGATGTCGAGCCCGCGGTGGTTCGAAAAGAACAACAGTCCGTAACAGGCTTAGTGCAGCCGCTAGCTGCATCTTAGTCAACGCTGGCGCTCTGCATCCGAGCACCCAGACGGCCCCGGCTCCCTGCCCGCTAGGTACAACAGCCTTCCGTCCATGATGCCCCATGTTCACGTGCAACTTTGACTTTAGCTGCCTTTGCTCTGCACTCCTGCCGCCAGCCCCGTCTGCCCAACGGTCGCTTACGTCCGCGCCGGCTATGGGAACGATCGGTGCCGAACGTTGCTGAACACGCTCACGTCAAGCCCACCCTCGCGCGCGGCATGCCTTTGATCATGGACGACGATCAGTACATGGACCTTTTCAATGAGGCCGAGCAGCTTCCCATTGCCGTGCAGACACCACCTCTCAAGCGGCTTGCACAGCGTCTCGATGAATTGGGCGAGTCTGGTTGCTGCCAGTAAGCCCGCGGTAGCTCGCCAGAAACACGACTCCACACTGACCGAATCCAGGAAAATATCGTGGTCCAAGAGCGGCTGCGTGGCTTCAATCACCCGGGATGGCCGTGGTGTCAACCTGCGCGCCTTCCAGCGCAATCCCGTGGACGGCAGGTGGATCTTGGGAGACGAGGCTCCGCTCCACATTCCCTCTGTTCATGAAGAGTTCCCGCTCGTCCATGTCTCCTGGGGCCACCTCGGTGTTGATCTCGCCATTGTGGACGCCGCCGGACGCATCCTTGTCTACACGGCAGCCCAAGCCGCGGACAGAATGAAGCTCTCTCGAGAACCCTTCTCGGACCACGAGAGCGAGTCTAACGCTCTTGTTGGCTTGCATTGGCTGCCTGTTTCCCCGCAGCAGGTCAAGGTACGTGATAAACGCAGACACCCATTGGTCCCATACGTGAGCTTAAAACTGCTTTTACTCGTGTTCGGACGCACAACCCTCTACTTGCCGTGTATTCTGCCTCCCCGGCCCTGGGCGCATTGCTGACTTTACCAGTACCACATGATCTGGTCAGGCGATCGTGGCGAAGACAAATGGCAGTATCGGATGACTAGCCACCCGTGGAAAGAGCCCCATAATCCTGTTCATCCGCGCATGTCCCTAGGTTCATTTATTTGTTTTACGCGCGGAGGCACCATTCGGTTATTGTTCCAGCAGCCCGATCAACAATGGTACGAGGCAACCGCAGAAGTCGAAGCATCCAATTCTGGTAAAGATGCGTTCACTCACGCCTCATTCACCTCAGACTCGGGTAGGACTGTTCTTCTTCAACACCGCCACCACCGAGCTAACTGATTAGAACAATCACTGCTCCTTGCCACCCATACCGTTGCAGGGTCGATTCTCGTCTATCGCGTCAAGATCAACTGGAACACTCAGCCTGGCAAGAGCGCTTCTCCAGCATTCGAAATCTCGCCACTGAAAGCGGAGGATGACTGCTCTCCTCTCGGTACCAACTTCGACGCCAACGATGCTACGCTCGGATCTGGTCAGAAATTATCGTTCCCTGCCAAGCTTACTCACCTTTCTTTCGTCCCTATCGGCCCTGATCCAGGCCCGTCTCCTTCGCATCCTACTGTCATGGCCATTTTTTGTCACACGCCAGCCCCTGTCCCTTCACTGATGGACCAGACTCACGCTCAGCCACCACCATTCAGTATAATATCTCGGTGGGAGCTGCATAGCTCATCTTACGCTCTGCACTCTGGGTTTGAGCAATTGACTGCTAAGAAGAAAGCCCCAGGATCCGCTGGACAACGCGTAAGTTCTATCCTGATGTTGTGTAGGCACTTTATTCACCTTGTACAAGCAAAAAATGAACCTCAAACGGTTACCGGATATTGTGTTGGGTAGCGCTACGTTGGGACTTTTCAGTCTTGACTTTCACACGAAGTTCGCCCTTTACCAGAGTAACGGCGGCGTGGAATTCAGAGACCGGTATACAATGGACATCATTACGGCGGATTTGAATGAGAATAAGGTATCTTCCCTGCCTCAAGCTGGCTTTTCGTTCTCAGCGAGCGACCCTGGTATGTTTTTTTTTTTTTTTTGGAAAACCTCTGTGGGCCTCATAGCTAATACCTATCAAGCGCTTCATACGGTCCTATCGCCCAGCGCCTGCATGCTGGCACTACTGCAGCCGGACGGTACTATTACGTTGAAGAACATGGAGTTCAATCTTGGCTCGCTGAATAGTGGGGACACTGATCGTAAGTACGAACCATTCGGGATAGAGAGCGTGAGACTCACAGGTAGTAGCAAAAATACATGCAGCCATTGCAGCGTTGGTCCTGCAATACAGTTCTGCTTCGTTGCAGTATATGCCTGGAGATGATCTCTTCGCAATCATGCCGTCGGATATGGATGATAGTAAGTTTAACGTCCACTTCAGTTACGCCTTTGCTAATCTGCATAAGACTTGAAACGTTTGTTCTTGAGGGGAACTCACCATTGTATGAATGTTTTGGCCGACTATCCGCCTGAAGACACATCTCAAAAGGCATACGAACAAATCTTCCGCAACAACGTTCTCCGCGGATGTCTCAGTACTCAGAATCTTCTGGGTATGACGCCCAACGGTTCGCGGAACTTGAGCAGCAAGCTTGCTTGGATAACTCTCAATCTTCGCTTCACTTCATTCCTCCTCAGCATACCTACGAACCACGCTCGAGGCGGTGGGCCGGAATCTTTCACGATGGGTATGTCTCGCTCCTGTTAAGCCTCAAATCTGCCATTGTACTAACGCATAACTGCCGCAAGAAACCGCGAAGTCTGTCAGTGGCCTGCTTAGGTGGACGATGGATCTCATGGTGTACATGATGAACGACCTCATCGAACTGTCGCAAGAATGCAAGAAACACGAAGCTGACAGGGGATTCGTGCAGAAGAAGCGTAAGTTCTCGGCGAGAGTTCGAATACGTTCATTCACTGACAAACCTTGTAGTGCAGGAAAGGTGCTCGCCAGGATTGTTTCTCCTGCTGTGCAGCTTCTCTCGGTCAGTATTCCGAATTACCCGGCAACCCCTGCAGCTGCTCCTGACCATCAGCCAATGGCACATCAAGAATGCGCCAACTGTGATCCACCGGTCCGTGTTCAACGGGCTGTTGGCAGCTATGGTCAGCTCTCCAGTGCATCCGCCTCACATGGCGGCGCTCGTGCTCGAAGTAGACAACCAAGTGCGTCTTTGTTACACTAGGGCACAGTACACGGATGAGCGGCGCAAGGCAACGGAACGAGAGATGCTCATCAGCGCGGAAATCCCCGACGTGCTCATGCCTGTGGTTACGCGGCTGCTTACTCATGGCATGGACAAACTGCTCGACACGGTGGACCCAGCTAAGGTAATGTACTGGGATCTGCGATGGCTAGGACTGAGCGAAGACAAGAGGGAGAAGGAATATCTGGAGAAGAACACAGTTGACGTTCTGCGCAAGGTGGTAATTACCAGAAAGGAGAGCGGGCGCAGGAGGTGTGTCAGGTGCGGCGGCGAAATGGAGGACATGGAGTGGATGGGTGGACAGAATAAGTGCGCATGTGGAAGCCATTGGGCGATGGGATCTTTGACGAAGAAGGCTTGATAGCATAGCAATTTATCGACGGCGACGAATTTGGGAAATGAGCGGCGGCGTTTGGGCACAGGAGCGGTGCCGGTGATTGGGCGAAGGCGAACGACAGCCCCTCTCAGCGCACTCGAACACATCAACAACCATGTACCTGCGGACAAAGAGAAGAATTTGAGCCTCTCTCTCCTCTCGCTCTCGCCTGAGCTCTAGTTGTCGCATCGCAAGGCTCGACAGCAACTTCCAGGCTGCAGGGCGACTTGAGCCCCAGGGGTCGGCCAGTTTAGCCGCAGTTCTCACGGCGCCGACAAGCCATGGCTCCACCGCTAACCATCCGAAACCTGACCTCGACTCCCCTCGAGTTGAAGCTCGTCGAGCGCTATGAGGCGCCCGGGACCAAGACGACCAGATGCCTGGGAGCGCTGAAAGCCACTCTTATCTCGCCGTCGTCCAAGAAACTTGCTGAGAACGCCGAGAACTTCACGCGTCAAGGTGAACTCAGGGTGCCATTGAAGCTTGACGCTGCATACTGACCTGTGCCTGCAGATGTGAACCTTCGCCTCGAGCCCTCGCACAGCCACACGACCGACATCGAGGCGTCGGAACGCGAGGTCAGCGATACGCTGCGCCTGACGTTCGAGGCCGATGGCCAGCGCTACCGCATCGACACGCCCTCGCACGGCCACGCATCCAAGACGTTCACGCCCCTGGTGCCCGACCCGAAGCATCAGTTCACGGGCATTTTCTTCACCAAGGATAGCTATCTGGCTGTTTACTCGTCGGCGAAGCTGCAATGCTGGATGCGCGAGCTGAGTGATGTCACCCCGCTGTCTGGTCTCTCGATCCCAGGCACACACAACACGCCCACATGCCACCGAGCCCTGCCTTCTGTGCGCTGCCAGGCCGTGTCGCCCAAGGACCAGCTCGAGAACGGCGTGCGCTTCTTTGACATCCGCGTGCAGCCGGACCACCCCGACGATGCGTCCAAAGACGGGCTTACCCTCGTGCACGGCGCCTTTCCCATCTCCCTGACCGGACCCAAGCATTTGCGTGGCCTCGTTCGCGACATTCACGACTTTCTCAAGCGCAATCCGTCCGAGACGGTCATCGCAAGCCTCAAGCGTGAGGGCACTGGTCACGCGACGGACCAGCAGCTCAGCATGATTCTGCACGACCACTATGCGAATGAAGAGCCCAACTGGTGGTATACAGAGCCGCGCATCCCCAAGCTGGGCGAGGTGCGCGGCAAGCTGGTGCTGCTGCGCCGCTTTGCCATCGACGACAGGCTCAAGGCTGAACACAACGGCACGGGCTGGGGACTGGATGCAGAGGACTGGGCCTACAACACGCCGGATGATACTCACGGCACGGTGCGCGTGCAAGACTTCTGCGAGGTGCTGGAGCCGGACAAGATCCAGGTCAAGACCAAGTATGCCGAGGAGCACCTGGCGCGTGCAGCCGAGTGCGTTTGCCCGATTCCCGGCATCACGACGGATGCGGTGCACCCTGTGCCTCCCGGCCCGCTGTACTTGAACTTCCTGAGCGCGAGCAATTTCTGGAAGAAGGCGTGCTGGCCGGAGAAGATTGCCGCGAAGCTCAACCCGTCGATCATAGAGTACCTGTGCATGAAGCATCACGGTGACGCAAGCCGCGGGGACGGGAGCACGGGGGTGGTCGTGTGCGATTGGGTGGGCGAGGACGGGGATTGGGACCTGGTCAGGTGCATTGTTGGCATGAACAGCTTTTTGGAAATGAGGGAGAGGCAGGTCGCTTGAACTTGGAGCCGACTCGGCACCGGCCCACACGGCAGTCCCCACTTGCGCAATACCAAGAAGTCGATACCGCTCTGAAGTTCGATTCGTGTGCTGCTTTTCACGACTCGTTAACATGAGTCGGGTGTGCCAGAAGCTAAGACATCCACGGATTTTGCCTCCGGCCTGATCGGCATGCAGATAATTTCCTGATTGGGCAAGTGGCGCTCTCTCCTCCGCGATGACGGAGTTTCCAAAACTCCACAAACTCCCCGGCCTCCCTCCACCTGCTCTCTTCTTTCGCCCGAGACTCCCACATCTCCTCATCCGCCGTCACCATGGCCGCTGCCGAAGCCGTGCCTTTTGTCGTACCCCCCGTCAAAGAATGCTCAACGTCACTACCCACGTCACTGCCGCCTAGCAATGTCGCGACACCACTGCCCGTCGAACACCGCGGACAAACACCCCTCGACCCGAGACGATTAACAAAGTCGCCGCTCCTGCGGCTTCCTCCGGAGCTCCGCACCCTCATCTACGCCTACCTGACTCCGGCGCAAACCATCTCGTACCCGCTGGGGCCGAACACGGCCATCAGCGCACTGTCGCACCGCCCGCCGCCGCGCGCCCTGCTGCTGACGTGTCGCCTGCTGGCCTGCGAAGCGCTCGACCACTTCTACCGCGTCGCGCGCTTCCGCATCATGCTCAACCCGCCCGCCCCGCTGGCCGACCCGCACTTCCAGCGCCTGGCTCACCTGCCGCAGCTGCGCCGCATCCGCAACCTCAACGTGCTGCTCGACTGGGACCTTCCCAAGGTGCCGTCGTACGCCCGTGATGCCGGTGCCGCCGGCTTCGAGTTTGGCCTGGAGGCCGGGGTGCCGTTTTTCAGGCATGTCATGGACCGGGGACGCTGTGCGGATATGATGAGGCTGGCCAAGAGGTTGGTTGGTGTGTTGGATGCGGCGAGGGAGTTGAGGGGCCTCTGCGTCAGTTGGACGGATCTAGTCGAGGGCTACTGGGACGAGAAGAAAGCAGTGCTGGAAGTGTTGGTGGGGGCATTGAGCGCGAGGGGCGTGAAGATTGTAAGAGGGGATATAATTGCATCGAATGAGAAGGAAGCCCAGAAGCTGTTCGATGGATGGGAGGTCGCAGCAGAGGGGAGAAGGTGAATGGATTGAAGGTACGAACAAAATACTCATGGTCAAGGTGTTTGGATATGGGCATAGTCACCGGTAAGGTTTCGGAATAAACGGTTCACACACTCACTTTCCGCGACTCGCTGCTCTTCCGCACAAGTGCCCACAAGGCGTTCAACTACCCATGTCTCACAGCGTCCTCCGGAAGAACCCCGGCCGCCACCTTGCACATCCTACGTCATGCACGGAAAAAGCTCCGCTTGTGAAAGCACCGTTGCAACTACGAGGTCGCTCCCATTTGTACTTCAGCAAGTTGAGGCAGTTGAAGCTCTTGTCCGGATACATTTGCTCGCATTCAGATCAAGCATTCATGTCCGGATGGACACTTCAACTATCCCAACTTTGTTGCAATACTAATGGGACCGACTTCGTACGAATGCATTCGGAGAGGCGCTTGAAACTGTGCTACGCTGCATCCGACTGCATTTGAAACCAATCCCTATCTTGGAAAGCGTTGCATAGGACGGCTAGTGCGAGGAATATTGGTTCCGAGAACGGTCAATGACTGGGAACGTTGCTGCCCTTGAAAACAGAGAAGGCGATGATGCCAGCATGGTCAACAACGTATACTGATGGAAACCCCCAAAAATCGAAGAACGAGAAAGGGGAAAACTGTTCTGGCCGTTTCCCGCTCTATATATTTGTAAATGCCCCTTATTCTGGAAAAGGACCGGAGTATCTACGCGTAACGCTCATCTCCAAAGAATGGTTCCAGAATATCTTGCCCCTCCTTATGGGGCGAAAAACAAAACGTTATTTCCTAAACGGGTATCTAAAGCAGATATTTGGATGTGGACGCAGTTTTCAAAACTATACAGAACCGTCCAGACTTAGTCTGCAACCATCAACAAAGGTATAGTCAAGATCTCCAGCGAGACGGTTTTGAGGAGGGCGGAGTGCTTTTACAATCCACTCTACCGCAGTCATGGAATAGTACAGTATACAGCCTGTCGTGTGCATTATGATCTAGCACAGCTGTTGGTCACATGAATTAGAAGGCCCCGGTTCATGATTGGTAACTTCCATCCCATGCATGTTCGTTGCTGGTTGAGCGCTCAACTGATGCGTTACTAATCTGAGGAAGCTGTAGAGGCACACACATCAGCATGTTTTGTGTCCATCGGCTCAATACTCACGGCTTCCACAACGAAACTTCTTTCATGTCCGGCGACACCATCGCCGCATCATACTTCGAGCGAGTGCGCATCGAACTATAATAGGACTCTCGTCTTTCACACCTCAAGCTTCCTCACAACCAAGATTTGGGTCCTTAAAGGACAGTCATTCTTCCCAGAACCCCCAGTTTTGTTCCCTTTTCAAACGTAAGTGGCTATCCAAAGGATGGGCCTATCAGTAAATGGCACTATCAAACCGCCTTACTCTACTGACTATTTAAAGCACTCAATAGTGGCCACCCAGACATGTGGAACTCTCCCCATAGCCTATGTCACGGTACTTGGACTCCGTGGTGCAGCGTACGGTAATATAATGCGCGCAAGTTTCGATAAGAAACCATCTGGATCTGGACCAGAACACTGATTATGCAAAGTGGTGGATCCACCAACTCTTACGTCCTTGTGAAGACTCACCAAAGTTACCGTGAAGGAAGCGAATGCGCCAGTATCCGTTCGGACAGTCCCGAATGCAGGCTTTCTCCCTTTGTTGTGGAGACTGACTCAAAGAACTGTGGCCTTCAAATTATGGATGCAACCCATTAGACGATGTCCATAGCCTTGATCTTGAAACTTTCATCATCAGCAACGGACAGAAGGACAGGAATGTCGCCGTTCTATTTTAAAACTGCACAAACGTCGGATCTATGAATACTTGTCTTTACAAGCTACTATACGACAGCGAATGACGCTCTGCAGGCAGTAAAGCTACCACTAGACCTTCTACTCACTCCAGAGCCGAGCCAGTAATCTTCTCCAGGAAGGATATTGAAAAACAGCAATGGTCCACGTTACACCGCTGGTGAGCAGCTTCTCAGATGCCAACAATACCGTGTCTCCGTGGAATTGGAACAGAAACTTCTCTTCGATAACGAAGTCCGCCCGCTCTGAACGTACTCTTTTTTGATTGGAAAGACTCCATCGCGTATCGGGCAGGTCCCGCGTGATCCACATCGATCTTTCCACTCTTCTAAGCACTAATTGGGCCAAAATAAAGGAAGAGGGGGAGACACTGCCGCACGATGAGCTCCTTGCCCACCGCACCGTCCAGCATGGAAAATACCACACGCTATTGGACTCCTTCGTGAGGGGACTATTTTCCCGGCGGGCCAATCAAGAGACGAATGTGAGCAACACCAACAAAAAGGGGCCACCACTCCCAAAGTGAACTAGAGCCCGCCGCCACTTCCCCTTCGGCAAGGCCGAACCGATCTCCCGCCACCGCTATGGCGCATAGATCTCCGCCGCCACCGCACAAGTTCAAGCAAGAAAGAAGAGAGAAAAAAAGGGTATCACAACATGGTCAGCACAGTATTGCAATACCGTGGGGATAGTTGATAGCGCATGCCCGGATACGAACTTCTGGCCCTCTCATTATACATCTACGAACATTATTAACGCTCTTACTTGACCTTCTGTAATCGCAGCAATGCCGAAAATTGCACAGACCACCTGAACAGAGCAAAAAGATGTTCGACTCCGAGACGCAAGCCTCCTTCCAATCATGCAGATTGTACCACCATATACGCACATCATGCCGCTCCGCCTTGAAATAGGAGTGGACGGACCTCGGCACCGTTTTCCGCCCCATCCCTTCTCCTCAACCCCCCGCCCCTTGTTCTGTGGGTGGAGAGAGAGAAGAAAAAAAGCACAGTCACCCTCTCAAGACTAAAATTGGAAAGCCGCGTGGTGTGGTGTTGGACATTATGAGCCTATCGCATAATGCCAAGACCATATTGCCAAGGCGTTCGCGGACGGTCGGTCCGCCCACATTTAGGGGGGGATCATTTCCGAAGAGCGTGCAGGCCATGATAATAATCCAGGGCGCAGGGTGGTCTGTGTTTTGATATGAAGGAGATCATATACGTCTTGTCTCCCTCTGCACACACCGCATCGTGAGATAGTCAGGTTGTCTGGAGCTTTGATTCCAGAGCTCAACGACATCAAGTTTTGAACACTCCTTTTACCTTTTTTCTCCTTCACACAAGAAACTGGAGCATTGAGGTTTGTTTGCTCGGGCTGTACGGATAGCATTCGCAAACGTTCACTTCGGCTTAGTCGTATCCTCCAGACGCTAGCGGTTGCGATTGCGGCTGCGCAAACGTGCGTCTTAGGGTCACTGCGTTGGTGAGCGGGCTCAGAATAGATTGACGGAGGTGCGTAAGTTCTCGTATCCGTGTGTTATCGGTGTCGACATGTGAACAGACTTTGCTGGATTCCCACGCTGAATGCAAATCAAGTCCAGACTGGATTCCACACTTTTATACTCGGCAGGGCTGCGTCACGTACCCTGCCGGAGTAGATATGACACGAAAGAATGACGAAGAGTGCCCTAAAGTGACGTGAGTGAGACATGGGGCGCTAGTGTCCGATAAACGTTTCTATGATTAGTTTAAATTATCGTGGTTGAGAGGGTACTTGCAGCCACTCTATCAGCATGTAAGAGAAGACCAACCTGATGCATACCGTTCATACTAAAACCGCCACCCGACAGGTCAGGGCATCGGGATATTATCGAAAAAAAAAAAAGAGAAAAAAAAAGGAGCACGAACTGATCCTGTTCGAGGCTTCCCCGCGTCGGTGCATGCTCAGGCTCCAAAGCTTGAGTGTTTTAAAATGCTCTAGGCCACCAGTACTTGCCCGGAGCAGTAAGCATAAATTTCGCTCCGCCGAGTCTCAGATACACGGGAGGCTATCGATTGAATGGGAGTCTTACACGCCCTACCTATCTAGCACTTGATTTCGCAATCTATAAGTGAAGATGCTGAACACTTGAGGATGCCGTTCGAGGGGTGTGGCAGCTTACGTGATGCCAACGACCCTTTTTCTTAGGATGCTCCTCGGCGGGTAACTTTTGGCAGGCTAGCGCACCACGGAGTTCCGGAAGTGGCAGACAGCTTGCACTAATGCAAGCTAAGTGAACTCAGAGAGCGTGGGGTCCCGAAAGGATTGAAAGGGTTAGATAGTAAACAAGGGAAACCTTACCTGGCGCCGCCTGGGTAACTGGAAGAGGAAATGATGGTCCCGAGACGCACGGTGAATCGTCGCCCAACGTTGTATCCATCGTCGATGGGTCCGATGAGGATACAGACCAAGGGTAGGTTTTCCTGCGTAGGCAGCTTCTAAATCGAATGATCGTCTCCTAACGACGGGCTGCATTCCCGTAGGGCGCGCATTGAGTCCAGAGGGAGCTACGCAATTTCATGCCGAGCATCAGGGCTCCCGCGCTCTTCTCGGGCAATCTTGAGCGGCAAATTACACCCTTCTGGAAACAAAGATAGACATCCAAGATTCACAGCATGGGTGACGTGTAGCTTGGGGGCCAGCAGTAGCACGTGGTGGTGCAAAGACAACGAGATCCCTGGTGACGGGAGACCATGGGGTTGCGAAATGAGAGCGAAAAGCGCCAAAAACTGGGGAAGCAATTTCTTCAATTGTGTGTTGGAGGGCCAATCAGTGCCGTTATCGGGCAGGCGGCAGGGCGGAGGGTGGGAGGTGAGCGGGTGAGGCTGGTTGGCCAGGCACAGAGCGTGGTAAATTGGACGAGAGCCGATCGGAATTTGGCCGCTCGAGCTCTGCGCAGCGTTCCAATGCTGATCTGGCTGATGTCATGGGCGCGAGCAAAGGCATTTCTGGAAGGCTGCGAGGGCGAACCAGCGGGGCGGACCCTGGGCTGGGAGATTGTGTTGATGGGTGTCAAGAGGTGTGGAGACAAGTGGCATGCCAGATCTGGGAGCAGCCAGTCGGAAGGCAGCGAGGGCGGGCGGAGGTGACGGGGGCTTGTGTCTCGGCACAGCGCGCGCGCTTCGGCAGCTGCAGATGTGACGGCAGCGGGTGACGATCGGCAGAGGGAGAGCGCGCCGGACGACGCGGGCGCGGGAGCTGGCAGCGCTGGCGGTGGCGCGAGATAGCAGGCGTGGTACTGGAGTTTCTTATGCTGTGGTGGTGCTCGAGGTGCGGCATTTGGAGGGCGGGCGAATCACGACGCAGCCGGTACAGATGGGCAGGCCGTGCCTGCCAAGCAGGGCGGGCTTGTTTCAGGCGCGGCGCTAGCCTGTGCAGGCGCCCCTGAGCACGGAAGCGAATGCAGGTGCAGCGGCGGCCGTCGCTACGGCCGGCTTTTTCGTCATCGTGCGCTTCCGCCGCCTCGCGTGCGCCCTCGCCGGCGCATAAACTGTACCCGGCCATCAGACGCGACACCATCGCCGGAGGATGCGCAGCGGACACGCTTCCCAATGCGCCGCCGCGCCCCGCCCATCTGGCCGGGGAAATTAGGCACAGATGTCACCGCCGCAAACCGCAGCTGCTGCTGCTGTGCGGCGACACGAGCACTGGCACGGCGCAGCCATGCCCACGCGCCCGCGGGCGGCTGCGCATGCGCATCTCCAGGCCTGGTTTCAAGGGTGGGGCGTCTTCTCTGCACCCTGGGCGAGCCCGAAAGCGCCGCGCGCTCAGGCCGTCGGCTGCCTCCCGCGCCTATTCGAGAGAGACCACACGTCCCCTGTCTCTTACGAGCGTGCGTGCGTGCGGCCTGTCCCCAGCTTGCCCACCGCGCTGTCACGCCGCGCATCGCACGATAACTGCCTGCCAAACGCGAGTCTGCGCGCTCCCTCCTCGCCGCGCCTCTCTCCCGCTCCCGACGACCGACCCGTCGACGACGCAGTCTCACATTCCTTCTCCCCACCGCGAGCCGTGTAGCTCCCCCACGCTCTTTGACAGAGTCCGCTCCCGCGCAGGCTTGCCCGTGTTTCGTTCTCTAACCCTCGTCTTCCCGGCCCACCGCAGCCCGACTGCCTGAGCCCCGGCTGGCCTCTTGATACCGCCCTGTCGCTGTGTCGACCCTCCCTTATTGCCTCTTCTGGACGGGATCCAAACAACGACGTTTCCAACCGTGCTAGGACCGAGGAGGAACTGTGGGTCAGGCCGGATCTTGTTGTTTGGAGGAAAAGGAACTGCGCGCGCTCCAGTCGCCGCCGGAAGGACCGCACCTCTCGCACCCCAGTCTGGACCACCGCATCATGATCGCGAAAGCCGAACACTAAGGGATCCTCTCGTGCCTTGGACTTCTCATCACGCCGCTCTCTACTCATACACCAACCACCCCAACCCACATTCATTCATTCTCTACAATCAAACACTCGCTCTATTCCTACCATGACGCCGCCCAAACCCGATGTGGCGCTCAAGAACCATTGCACCGTCGTCCACGAGAACACCCTCTACGCCTACTCCCCCGATGCCTTCCAGTCCATATCCCTGGAAGAGGACGCGGAATGGAAGACCTTGACGTACAACATCTCGGCCGCCGGCGCACAGTGTGTGTACGGCGGAGGGGCTCTGTACGTTGTTGGAGGAACCGTCGATGCTAGTCTCAACTATCCGGGTCTCATGAAGTACGACTTCGCCGCCAAGGACTGGGAATGGCTCTATCCCACCGACAGCATATTGGCCAACCGAGTGAACCATGGCGCCGCCTACCTGGAAGCCTCGTCCCAGCTCCTCGTCTACGCCGGTACTACTGTGACCGGAGACGCTGGAACATCATCTGGAACCTACACCATCAACACTGCCGCACCCTACAGCATCTCGTCTTACCCTTCTGGAGGCGCTCCCAACGTGATTTCTCCCATCTTGCTTCCTTGGGACGATAGCCATGCGCTCATGCTCGGTGGTGGTGCAGCCCAGACCCAAATCTTCAAGTTCAGCGTTGAAAATGGCTGGGAAAACCTCAATGTACAGCTTCCCACCGCCATTGTCGACCAGACCACTACCAAGTGCACTTTGGTCGATGGTGATGATGGCAGCAAGGTGCTCGAACAGTACAACCTTGGTGCCTCGCCCAACGAGGTCACGAGGCTTGCTCTGCTGGGAGCCGGCGGAGCTCAGGCAGAAACCGGACAGGCCATTGGTGCAAAGAGGAAGAGAGATCTGAGTCTGAGCGACTGGCCTTCATACAACAGCTCCCTCGCGCCCGACACTCCCCGCGCTGGCGCCTCGATTGCCCAGGACTCCCAAGGCCGTGCGATTATCAGCGGCGGTGATGACGACGATCCGATTGTCATCTTTGACGAACGCAAGAACACTTGGATGAACTCTACTCAGTTCTTCTACGGCAGCCAGGAACCTACCAAAATATCCTCGAGCTCTTCTTCATCTCTCTCCTCAAAGATTTCCTCGGCAACATCATCTTCGCTTGCTGCTGCATCCTCCACCGTCGCATCCGCCATTGCTTCCGCAACCGCTTCCGGGACTTCCTCTGCAGCAGGATCCGCATCTTCCTCCGACGCATCCAGCTCTGACGACGACCACAAAAACCGCATGCTTACCGTGTTGGGAGCGACCCTGGGAACGATTTTCGGGCTTGCCGCCATTCTCGTCATCATCCTGCTCATTCTCCGCTGCAGGAAGAAGAAGCAGAAGGGCCCTGGCGGAGAGAAGGGAGGAGAGAAGGATCGGCTCAGCTTTGCGGACAGGGGCGTCAGCCAATTTGGCCAGTACCCACCGCCACCAGCGGCACCCCCTTACATGCAAGACAACAACGCTTCTCAAACATCCTTGGCCATCATCTCAGGCAAGTTTGGCAACGGTGCAAAGGCGCCCAAGACACACACTCGCGGCTTGCCAAGTGATGCCAGCACGGCTGGTCTCGTGGCGAAGAAGACACCATATGGCTACGAATCGCATGAAATGTCGCCCATTGGAGCGGCACCGCCGTACAGCGTCCAGAACCCCATGGCGGAACCCCCGCCTGCGGCTGTTGCCGACGAGAAGCCTGACCGGAGCCGGAGCTCGGGATGGAGCCGTTACTTCGCTAACAATGAGGCTACCAATCTGGCCAATGAGCCTTATGATCGGTCGTCTCGGGTTAGTGACATGAGTCAGTCAGTATACGACACCAATTCGCGCTATCTGAGTACGCCTCCCAAGTTTGGCAACCCCAACCAGATACTACCGCCTCTGGACGTCAGCTTCGCCAACAACGCATTCGATGGCAACAAGGTCAGCCAGATCATGTCTGCAAGCCCAACCATCGGCAACTCCCGCGAGGATCTCTCTAGTCGCGGCATGGGAGTGGGTACGCCTATGCGTGCCGAGCTGGCACGTGCGAATAGTGTCAGCACCATCTCGAGCTTCGAGTCGAAGAGAATGTCTCAGGCCGAGGGCCAACAGACCTGGACCCCTATCGAAGGCAGTGGGTGGAACAATAGGGCTCCTAGCAGTCTCTACCCCGACAGCCGGCCCCAGAGCGAAGTTCCCTTCGCCGACGGTACTAGCTCCTACTATCCCAACGATGGCACGAGCTCTTATTACCCCAAGAGCAACACCAACTCCTTGTATCCGCCCAGCTTGCATCCCGATGCTGCCAAGATGCCTGCACCCGCTGCCGGCCGTGAGAGCACAGTAACGGTCTTCCCGAGAGGAGTGCCGTCGACGGTCCCCACGGACGAAGAGAGGCAGAAGGCTATTGGCAATCAAGACATGAGTTGGTTGAAGTTCTAAATGAACCAACCAAAAACATAAACACAAAACCATTCTACCCATCTCACTGTCCATCATCTCTTTCCACCTCTTGCCACAGCAGCTGGGCCAAACCGGCGCCGAGGCTGAGATCCGGACGCAACATACTAGCCGCGCCAACACCGGCCAACACCGGCCAACACCGGCCAACACCTGGCGCGGACGGGCGTCAGGCGTTCCTTCTTATTCGCTTCTTTTCCCATGTCGCCTAGCGCAGCGTCTCAATACCCAAATGCCACTGTTGTAGCGGCAGCATCAACAGGAGCAGCAGCTATGCGTTTTCTTGTCGATATTTGGTCCTTGCCACCATTTCCTATTTCCGTCTCACCTTTCGTACTTTGATAGCTCTCTCAGAGGTGCCACGCGTTTGCCTTGACGGCACCTTGCAGTCGTTACAGATACCCTCCGCTATTCTTGCGCCTGTTGTCATGTTTGTGATTTTTCACGAGCCAGCTTGCGAAAAACCACAGCGCCGACGAATACGTAGCAATATTGCACGCCAACCATCTGAAGAGCTACCCTATGTCGGCCGTTGCTTTGTGGGCATTGTTGTCGTTTGGATTTTGTTTGAAAGCGTTCTGAAGGGAGGGAGGAGTCTCGCAGGAGTGATAGAGGAGGAGGCGGTGTAGTAGTTATTCTCTTTTTTTTTTGTCGTCTTCTTTCTCACGCACGATGGAGGGAGCTAAGAGCGAGAAATGAAGATGGGGGAAAGTGGGAAACGGTGACAATGTTGACATGACTCTCTATCATCACGTTGTCGTCGTCAACACAACCACGCGCATGCCAAGTAGCTAATTATCTAATTCTCCCGGTCCTTTTCAGCGTTATATCATCACCCAAAAAATTCCACTTCTTCGTTGCCGCCACTACTGTCTCCACAGTCTGTTTCTCTCATTGTTTCAATGCATGTGTGTGGGGGAGGGGTTGTGGGGGCATTGGATCATGCGTTTGATTCGGTCTTCTGGATTATGTGTCTTGGATTGAGCGTCTTATAGGAAGACGTTTCAAATAACATCGATTTTGATCTTTTCGTGCATGCTACTGATGGCTGCATTGAAAGTCCAATACAGTAGTGAAGTAAGTGCCGCTCGACGTTGGTGTTGAACTACCAGTATGGTTTCATGTGATGACGTCTATTTTCATGTTGCCCATTGAATGCGAAACTCGACTTCGCCGAAAGATATTTTCCCGCTTCGCCCTTCGCCATCGTCCAAATTTCCACCCTTCACCTTGCGACTCCTGTCCCCACTGAGGCCGTCAACGAGGTGGGGACAGGAGAGGGGGAACGCTGGTCGAAGGAAGCGAGTGTGGCGACGACCATGATATTCAGTATCTCGGGTCTGCGATGTGGCAAGCTAGGGATCGGCCGCGCCGCCTGCTCGCAGGTTCGCCGTCGCGTATTGATTGGCCCCTGGGGGCCACCGTTTGCGATTTTCGCCTACAGAATGGCTTCTACGTAAACATTTGCATATCTTCGAACGCAGCGGACGGCGAATCTACAGTTTCTCCGTCCGCTTACCGTGGGGCGCTTGTGGTGTACGGAAACGACGGAAGAATTGTGGATGCATTTTGTCTGTTTGATCGTGGGTCTCGGGTGTCTGTGTTCTCGTTGCCTCGTGTATGCGTGTCTATCGTTTATGATTTTCACCCGCCACTCGTGTTTTAAGGTTCTCCCGTTGGTCTGATCTCTCGGTTACGGATACGCGCGTAGATACTGGCGCGTCACAGAATGCTCTGCTGCAGTGCAGAAACGCGCGGCGCCTTGCTTTTTTCTTCTCGTCAGGACTATTTTTCCGCCTGTCGCGTCTTGTTTCTTCTCCCTTCTACCCCTCCGAAACGTAGACGCGAAACATGTGATGCGGAACTCGCCGATCTTTCCTAGGCTGTGATGTGAATGATCAGAATAGGCAGTTGTCCTGTATCTCTTGCATCCGTAGAAAGGGTCAATACAATTGGGCCTTTGGCTCCCTCGAAAACAACATGCTACTACGCTTGCTATGCTATGCTATGCTATGCTATGCTGTGCTGTGCCATGGCTGAGACCAAATGTTCGCCAGAGTCAAGACCCTTATCGAAATGCGTGAGAGCGGCTTCTGGACATGAAACTTGAGTACGAATGCCTGAAATGCCGAAAAGATCCGTAGGCGTTTGAGAAGGTCGATGTGCAGATAGCCGACCTCGCTCATCCCTTTTTTGCTGTCTTGTCGTATCGTCATGAGTCGTGAACAAACGCCACAAACAACCCACCATTCCCTCCAATCATCGCATCGTCTTAGCGACAATGTCTCTCTCATAGAACCTTCATCTCCTCCTCGAATCCCAACCCACTCCCTCCCCCTCCTCCTCTTTCACCGCCACCCCCAACGTCGTCACCATTCCTTCTGTTTGCCCTTTTGTCCTTTCTTCTGCCCCACCACGCCTGGGTGATGTCCATTACGGCGCGGCTAAAGCTGCGGTACAGCATTTTGCCCTCCATGGTGCCGGACACGACGCTGAAGATGAAGATGCAGACTATGCTGACGGCGAGAACAATGCCGAACCAGGTCCAGAACTCGGCGACGGTGAACTCCTGGTCGTTGAATTGGCAAGAAAAATAGGCAGCCATGATGGAGACGGGCATGAAGAGAAGCGTCGCCTTTGCGAGCAGCAACGTCACCCGTGTCAGTCGCTCGACCGAGAGTGATTCCTTGATGGCGATGAGGTTGAAGTTCTGTTTGCGTAGGAGCTGGCATTAGCAATGTCTCAAGCGGCGTGATTAAAGGACGTACCATCATGACCAAGCTCTCCTTCTGGCTCAGGCATTCCTCGATCTCGCTGATAGCATACAGCCTGGTCCGGTATTTCAAGCGCTTGAACCTCGCCCTCGCGGCTGAGCTTAGTGCCACGCCCAGCATGCTCACATCCTCGTCTATCCGGTGCGCATTGCTGCTAGCGCAGTATGATCCGTCATCGAGCATGCTGCTGTTCCCTTCATCCAGAGGCGAGAGAATGTGCGAATTCTTGAGGCTGGCGAGCGTGGTCTCCTGCTTCTCGAGCACGCGGTCGATGATGACCTCGTAACTCTGGTACATGCGCTTCAGCACCGACAACTGGCGGCCGATACGGTGCAGGCGCTCGACGTGTACCAGCTCCGCCTTCTGCATCATGTCGGCACGTAGCCGGTCCAGCGCGGCGGCGTACTTGTGCTCACGCCGTGCGACCAGGCTGTAGGTTGAATACCAATCGTCGAACAGGTTGTAGAAGAGCAAGCCCGGCGCGTCGCTCGGCCGGTGCGCGCGCTCCTCCTCGCTGTCGCCAATGCGGCGCCGGATGGGCAGCACGGCAATGGCGGCGGAGCGGCTGATGTCGAAGCATTTGGAGAGGTTGCGGAACACGTTGAGGAGGTTGCGACGGATAGAGTAGAGTGTGGCAAGCTCCTCCCAGTCGTAAAAGCCGTGTTTTTCAGGGTAGGGGTCTTCGTGGATATTGAGGACAGTCTTATCTTCGCACAGCACCAGCCAACTCCATACACGCTTTCCTTCGGGTAAATCGCCACGCTCCGTGTCGATTGGCTTGTTGTCCAGCGGTTTCGATGGGTCTTTGCTGCCTGAGGTGCTGTGCAGAGAATTGTAGCCCAAGCTCACGTACCGGCGCCCTTCGTCAACGGTGGACCAATGCCATACTTCGTCGATGAGGCGGTAGTGACTGATCATCTTGGAAAGGTCATCGTCGAAGGTGCCGTCGGATATATTTATTCCCGACTGGCCTCCCGGGTCGATTCCTGATGTAAAACTGTTGGCCACGCTGTTCGGCGTATTGCGTGTACGTTGCATGGGATGTCGGAATTTTCTTTCCCATAGAGAAGAGCTGTGCTTTGAGTCCGGGTGCCTGGAAGCGTTAGGGAAAGGCTCTGACTTCATTATTCCATAAAGGCGGGGCGAAAAGTCGTAATGTTTTGCAAGCGTCTGGAGAGCACGTGAGCTGCTGGAGGGACGAGATGGAAACAAGACGGACTAGTGCTCACCCCGATGATATCTTTTTGCTTGTACGGCACCCAAATGTTAATCCATCTTCCGTAAAGGTTCGACGGCCTCGGTCTGCTCAAAAGCGCCTTCAGTGCGTCGTCACTGAGATCGAAAGCACACCAGGCATGGTCATCGCCAAAGTCGACGAAGAAGTTGCGACTCGTGGGGAGCAGGACCTCGGCTTGGAGGCGGTGGAATTCCCTGGGGTCGTCGAGATCTCTAATTTTGTGCAAGAGTTCTTCGTTGTCAAGGCTGCGATAGAAGGAGGGCAGATGGCGCTGTGGTTCAGCTCCTGGTAGTTGCAGGTGGTTGCTGTTCTCGGCCATTCTGATCGCACGCAATGCCAAGCAGGGAGAGTGGAGATGCGGTTCGGATGGCACAGGAGATTTAACAGGTGTTGCAGCGGAGGGTAGCTTGACGCGGTAGCCTTGTGACGGGTGCAAGCCTGCGAGAGGGCAAGCATGCGCCAGGGTCACGCTTCAGCCGCGCGGTCACACGCAGCCGCGCTTCGCGTAATCAAGCCGACCTCCTCCAAACCATTCCGTAACCCAGCCACGGTTGCCGATGAGACACGGGCTGAATTTACGTCAGGGCCATCATCCGGCTGTCCGCAGCTTCACCATCCGTCGTAGTGCCCAGAAGCGTCGGCACCCGATGGCCGTCGCCGTGACTACGCTGCCCAAACGCTACCTTGAAAAGTCGATATGGGATCATCTCATCGACCGCCAGAAGCAGTTCCGGCTTTTCTCTCTCAAAAGCGCCCCGGAAGCTTTTAGTTCGACGTACGAGCGGGAGCTGCAGTTCGCCTGGGACGTTTGGGAGAGCCGTCTCACAAATCCGCAGGCCACCACATTCGTCGCCATCCCAAGCACAGACCCGGATCATCTCGACGTGCGCCAGGTCCTGCATCATGAGTGGCTCGGGCAGCTTGTCTTAGTCAGGATGCACCAGGAGGACCGGGAAGAGCTGTCGGCGAATGCATCTCCATGGATGCAGGATGAGTTGCCGCATTATCACTTTAGCGGCATGTTCATCATGCCGGCTGCGCGCGGCCAGGGAGTAGCTCAAAAGCTCATCGAGCATGCCATCGCCAGCAGCACAACAACCAGTGCTAGGTACACCGTCGTTGTGTGGGCGAAAAATAAGTCGGCAAGACGCGCCTTCGAGAAATGCGGATTCAAGGTGGTTCGGGAGGAGATGTCCGAAAGTGGAAGCAACGCGCAGGAGTTGGCCCTGGTGTTGGAGTGCGAGTCTTCTCGACGAGTGGAAAAGTAAGGCGTCTTGTCGACAAAAGAGTAGAGAGAGATCAAGGCGAGAGGAGCACGAGATGCGAGCATCCCCGGCCTCTGAGCTAGTCCGAATCGGGCAAGCGCTCGCTTACGGCCGCCGCCCACACTCGGGTGGGCGACTTCACTGCGCGCCGCGAACTTTTCCGCCTCCAACAACGACACCTGCGCCTAGTCCTCACCAAAAGACCCCACAGGTTTCTTGGAAGACGGTCATTCATCATGTCTAAGATCACCGTCGCCGGCGTGGTAAGCAGCCTCGTTCCCGCCTGAGCCAGCGCGCCTACAACGAACCGCATTTACTAAGCCAACCCGCAGCGCACCAACGTCAAGGAGCTCCTTGAGTACTCCAACGAGACCAAGAAGAGGAACTTCCTGGAGACCGTTGAGCTCCAGATTGGTCTCAAGAACTGTATGTCTCGATCCACCCTTGGGCGCTGAAGACGTCCGCTAACTCGCCACAGATGACCCCCAGCGTGACAAGCGTTTCTCGGGCACCGTCAAGCTCCCCAAGGTCCCCCGCCCCAACATGGCCATCTGGTACGACTTCCTCCCACGATACTTTCAAAGCGGCGATTCCCGTGGGGACAATGCGGAGAGGGGGTAGAAAGATGCGGCGCTGACTGTGGATTAGCATTCTCGGTGACCAGCACGACATTGACCGTGCCAAGCACGGTGGTGTTGACGCCATGAGCGCCGATGACCTGAAGAAGCTGAACAAGAACAAGAAGCTGATCAAGAAGCTCGCTCGCAAGTACGATGCTTTCATCGCTTCCGACACTTTGATCAAGCAGATTCCCCGTCTCCTGGGTCCCGGTCTCTCCAAGGGTAAGCTTTCGCAGCAAAAAGCAATCGATGGCATGCACTGACAAGATGGACAGCCGGCAAGTTCCCTACGCCCGTCTCGCACGCTGAGAACCTGTCGGACAAGATCACCGAGGTCAAGTCCACCATCAAGTTCCAGCTGAAGAAGGTTCTCTGCATGGGTGTCGCCGTCGGCAACGTCGAGATGACCGAGGATGAGCTGATTGGCAACATCATGCTTGCCATCAACTACCTCGTTTCCCTGCTGAAGAAGGGCTGGCAGAACGTTGGTAGCCTTACCATCAAGGCTACCATGTCTCCTCCCAAGCGCCTCTACTAGAGTGGTGCATTGGCAGGGTGTGCAGTCCGTTGGGCTTTGCGTAGCGTAGTCGTTCCGATCGCTGCGTACTTGATACCAGATACACAATGGATATGCATGAAATGAATTTTTGGCCTTCTGTGATTGTGTGTATTGACCCGCTTTCATGAGCGGGCTCCTTTATCAAATTTCATATCGTCGGACGCTGGTGGGCGCATTTCTCTACAGTCTTGCAGCACAAATGCCTGCCGCGAAGCATTTGCGACAGCGAGCAAAATGGCGGCATGGTGCTTATTGAGCAATGCGAGCCAATTCTTGGCAAATCATGGCACTGCGCAGATTGCGACGCTGACACAGGACGCGATTGCAACAAAGCGCGTCGCAAAAATCTTCATTTGCGTTCAGCGGTGTAGCGGCCATCCCACAACCACGGTCCATTGAACGGACTGCACGCGATTGGTAGGAAAGACGGACGCGTCGCTCAACGAGGCCGGGAACGGAACGAAAGTCACAGAGAACAGGACTGACACTCAGCAAGTCGCCGTAGCGAAGCCTCGATAGGTAATTTTTTACCTGACTGATGATGAGGAGGAAAGAAGGGTTCCAGGGCGCGCGAAGTTTTTGTAGGCAGAGTTTTGGCGCTAGTCGCGAATGGTTAGCGGGCGTTTTTAGCGGCGGGTTACGTAGTCGAGGCGGCAGCTTCGACGAAGACCGTCTCAAACACCACGACGACGAGAGCAGCTGCGTCGAACACGTGCCCAGGCGCTAGCCCGACTGCAGCGTTCTACATGTGCATGCCGCCGAGTTTCCGGCGCCGGAGACCACGGACGCCGCGAGTTGCCTGCGCCTCGCCATTCGCTCGCTGTCGGTTTCCCTCACGCCCTTGCCATGACGGCCGATTTGCTAAGCGATTCCTTTCCATCCCGCAATGACGGCCAAATACCGCCAGGTCGTCATGTTCAGGCCAACTTTGCTGATTCCTCGCTGTACACCGCTCCCACAACGGCTTAGCGGTCGTCATTCTGCGTTTGACTCGTTAAATGATTTTTAATCCATCGTCCTACCCATGACTGCTGTACAAATACCTTTCGCTCCAATACTATTCTGTCCTGCTTATCCTTACCCTCATTCCCGATTCTTACCGGGTGACGAAAATGGCTGCTGCAAGTCCTCAGCCTGATGGTCCCAAGTAAGCTGCGTCATCGCGAAATGGCCCATCTTCCCCTCACTGACATGCAAGAAAGGCCCAAGGGACCTCCTGACTTTTCAAATGCCACGCCCAAAATGACACCATCTACCCTTGAGGGCGAATCCGAGGAAGCTCGTCTGGAACGCCTTGGTAGACAACGGCCGGACAAGCTCCCTTCGATCTGGTCGGAGATCGGATTCGTCTACTCGGTGACCATGTCCCAAGGGCTTACGGTTGGTAGCACTCCGGCAGCGTCTGCGACTCAAATCCTGATGTGTTCCAGGAATACTTCGTGTCTGGCTTCGATGTGATTCTGCCCACCGTGGTAAAGGAACTCAACATCCCTTCGACCTCCAAAACCTGGCCTGCAAACGCTTTCTCGCTTGTTATTGCTTGTTTCCTGCTTACATTCGGGCGCTTGGGTGTGAGTGCTATCTGCTCCGTCGATTGTTGTCGAAGGGTGCTGACAGAACAAGGACATGCATGGTGGCTATCCGGTCTATGTCGGTGGTATCGCCTGGTTCACCATCTGGTCATTCATTGCCGGCTGGTCCCAGAACGAGCTCATGATGGATATCTGCCGTGCACTGGGCGGCCTGGGCCCCGCTGCCTATCTCCCCACTGGCCTCATGCTGCTCGGAAGCTACTATCGCCCTGGACCACGGAAAAACATGGTATTTGCCATCTACGGCGCAATGGCCCCTCTAGGATTCTACTGTGGCATTTTCTTCGCTGGCATCGCCGCTCAGTTTACAACATGGCGATGGTATTTCTTCATCGGAACTATCCTCTCCCTCAGCACCGCCGTTGTCGCTTACTTCGCCATCCCGTCCGACAGAGAGGATCGTAAGGGCATGGGTATAAAAATGGATTGGTGGGGCGCCATATTGATATCGGTCGGCCTCGTCCTTGTCGTATACGCCATCACCGACAGCTCCAACGCTCCACATGGCTGGGCCACCCCCTACATTTACGTTCTCCTCATCGTCGGCGTGCTGCTCTTGGCGGCGGCCGTCTACGTTGAGGGTTGGGTTGCAGAGCAGCCGCTCCTTCCATTCGACATCTTCGATGTCAAGTACATGAAGCCGCTCTGCGCCGCATTGCTCTTCTCGTACGGAAGCCTGGGGGTTTTTCTGCTTTACACGACGTTCTACATGACTAACATCATGGGAGGCGAGCCACTCCAGCTCGTAGCATGGTTCACACCCATGGCTCTCGGGGGGTGCATCATCTCGACTGTTGGCGGACTGGTCCTCCACCGCATTCCTGGCACTGGCATCATCATCTTAGCGGGCCTCGCGTGGATCATTGCCCCTCTGCTCTTCGCAATCGCACCGCACGGCGCCAACTACTGGGCCTACACTTTCCCCAGCATGATTTGCGCCACCATCGCAATTGATCTCACCTTCACCGTGACGAACGTCTTCGTAAGTCAGACGTATTGCCCTGCTTGATACGAGTTGCTGACACCAATCTGCAACAGTTCACGACCAGCCTGCCGTTGAAGCGGCAAGGACTCGCGGGCGCGCTCATCAACACACTCGTGCAGCTCAGTATCGCCATCTTCCTCGGGTTCGCAGATGTGACTGCATCGAACACGGCCGACCTAGGCCTGATGAAGAGCTACAAGGCGGTCTTCTGGCTGGAGGTGGCCATGGCCGGCCTCGCGCAGGTGCTGATGGTCGGCTTCGTCAAACTAAAGCCGGCGACGAGCGACCTGACGGCTGATGAGAAGGCGGCACTCGAGATGGCGGAAGCGGAGGCGCGAGGAAACGCGCAAGATGCAGCGGCAAGAGAGGGCGGTGGGGAAAAGATGCAAGAGCACGCGTGAGGGCGGAATTCATGTCTTTGTATGTCATTGATGAGGTAAAGGCGTCCATCCACTCACAGGTAATAGATTATAATGCTGCCCCACTCTAGATGCGGGGGTGACGGCGGAAAAGGCGATGACGGAAAAAGAGCTACTTAAGCCATCCCTGCCCCGCAATCGCGTCATGCTGGAGTGAATTGGCCTACGACGCGCCGGGCGATTACGAATCCACGGCAGAAACAAAACTCAACCACACACAAGAAGGGTCAAAAACAACGAAGAAATGTCAAACCCATCTAAAGATGTCGCCTCCCTCCTATCAGACTACGACCTCAGCCAGCCACTCCCCACTTCGACAGGACTCCGCCAGGGCCTAACGGCGTACGGCGATGCACACTTCTCGCTCTTCCTGCGCAAAGCATTCATCAAAGCCGCCGGCTACGGCGAGGACGCATTATCGCGGCCCGTCATCGGCATCGTCAACACGGGGTCGGGCTTCAACCCGTGCCACGCCAACGCGCCGCAGCTGGTCGAGGCGCTGAAGCGTGGGATCCAGCTGGCCGGCGGCCTGCCCGTCGACTTCCCGACCATTTCGCTGCACGAGTCGTTCGCGAGCCCGACGTCCATGTTCCTGCGGAACCTGATGAGCGTCGACACCGAGGAGATGATCCGCGCGCAGCCGCTCGACGCCGTCGTCACCATCGGCGGCTGCGACAAGACGGTCCCTGCCCAACTCATGGGCGCCATCTCGGCCGCCAAGTGCCCCGCCTTGCCGCTCGTCACGGGGCCGATGATGCCAGGCAGTCATCGCGGCGTGAGGGTTGGGGCATGCACGGATTGCAGGAGCAATTGGGCCGCGTATAGGGCTGGGGAGATGGATGTCGAGGAGATTGCGGGGGTAAATGATGAGCTGGCGCCGACGGTATGCTGATTTCCTTTTGCACTTTTTCCGCCTTTTCTCCCTCTTCTTTTGGCAGACTAAGATGAGAGACGGAGAGATCAAGAAAGAAAGGTAGCCGAGGGGTTGGAAGAGAAAGTGATTCAACTAACAAAGGCTAGTCCGGCACGTGCGGTGTCATGGGAACCGCCAGCACCATGGCATGCATCACTGCCGCCCTCGGCTTGATGCCACTTCGGGGCGCCACTGCACCCGCCGTGTCTGCCGCGCGGCTGCGTATCGCCGAGGAGACGGGCAAGAACGCCGTCTTCGCAGCCACCAACAAGGACCGGCTCCCCCTCCTGCCCACTGATGTGCTGACGCGCGAGTCCTTTCTCAACGCCATCACTGTCCTGCAGGCCATTGGCGGCTCTACCAACGCCGTCGTGCACCTGCTGGCCATCATCAACCGGCACCCAACCCTGGCAGGCACCATCACCCTGGCAGACTTCGACGCCGTGGGCCGCCGCACCCCGCTGCTCGTCGACCTCAAACCCTCCGGCGCCAACTACATGACCGACTTCCACAACGCGGGCGGCATGCCCGCCCTGCTGCACCAACTGCGCCCGCTCTTGCACCTCTCTGCCCGCACCATCACCGGCGCCACCCTGGGAGAAGCCCTCGACTCGTCGGGCTTCCGCCCCTTCGCCGCATCCAGCCAGATCGTGCGGCCGCTCTCGGACCCGCTGTACGCGGCGTCGTCGCTCGTCGTGCTGACGGGCAACCTCGCGCCGCGCGGCGCCGTCATGAAGGCGTCGGCGTCCAAGGACCGACGGCTGCTGCAGCACAGCGGGCCCGCCTGCGTCTTCGCCGACGCCGCCGACCTGGCACGCCGCATCGACGACCCGGCGCTGCCCGTCACGCGCGACTCGGTGCTGGTGCTGCAGAACATCGGCCCGCGCGGCCACCCGGGCATGCCCGAGGCCGGCCTGCTGCCCATCCCGCGCAAGCTGGCCCGCGAGGGCGTCGCCGACATGGTGCGCGTCAGCGACGGCCGCATGTCGGGCACCGCCGGCGGCACCGTCGTGCTGCACGTCAGCCCCGAGGCGAAGGAGCTCGAGAGCGTGCTGGGCATCGTCAGGGACGGCGACGTCGTGAGGGTCGACCTGGAGGGCCGCCGGCTGGACGTTCTGCTGGGCAACGACGAGATCCGCGCCAGGATCGAGGAGAGGAAGGAGATGGAGAGGAAGCGGGAAGAGGCCGAGGCTGTGGACGCGACGGCTGCGGGAAAGCCGAGGCAGGTGAGGAGGGGCTATAGAGCCCTGTATGATAGGTCTGTGAATCAGGCAGATGAGGGAGCTGATTTTGACTTTTTAACTGCGCGGGGAATATGAATGGGTTTCCACACTTATCGTGGAAGGAAGAAGAGTGGCCTTTGGAAGTACTTGGCGTTGCAGAAGAAAGTGTGCACATAGCACGGTAAAGGCTGATTAGAGAATGCTAAATACAGAAGCAACAATATAATCAATTTCTAAAAAGATATTACACACAAGCAAACAGCAGCTAGATCTATTCAAGAACGTTAGAAACCCGAATATAAATCAGTTCGACTAGAGACAAGCAAGTTGCGCCAACGCGTTGACCATCTCTCTGCCAAAAAAAAAAAAAAGTGACTTCAAACGCAGTATTTCGATTTGACATCTTGTTTCCAGTCCTCAATCTTCTTCAGCTCATTTCCCACGCGGACGTAGTCCATGGGCACCGCTTCGACTTTTGGCACCACCAAAAACTCGTGACTTTGATCGCACAGGCGCTGCTCGATAGAGTCATCCGGACTTTTCAGTTTATGCACACAGTCCGCACAGAAGATGGTTCGGATGCAGTCCCGGCAGATGTGCATATCGCTTACGTTCGTCCACGGATATTCGCAGTTGTCGCAGGACGACTTCAGGCGTCCTCTGAGATACCTTATCTCGGCAACCTCGTGCGTAGCGTCCGGACTCACCCCTTCTCTTTCCAGGGGACCGATGAGGAACTTGGCAGCAAGGGCGTTGGCGTCATCGTCCATGTGGCCGAGCGTGTTGGAAAGCGAGGTGTACCCTTCCCAGTCCTTTTCCGGATCAGCGTCCCAGAGGATGTTCAGCGCAGGACCGACGTGCTTAGCCGCGAGCCTCATGGCGTTTTCGCCCAGCTTTTCGGCGAAACCCCCATCCTTGGTGTCCTGCTTGGCGAGGTGATAGGCGCGGGCGAGCAAGACCTCCTCGGACCCAGTCCACTGGAATTCCCCGCACTTGCGCTGGACGAGCGTTTCCAGCTTGGAAACGTAAAACCAGCCAGCAGGCGTCTTGTTGAACTGGTGGTTCCTGGCGAGCTGTAGGTATACCGAGGACAGCTTGAACGAGGTGATGCGCTGGATGTGCGAGCCCGGCGGGATGTCATCGTCGAAGACGTTCCGCTCCCAGATCTCAATCGCTTTCCTGGTGTCCTCCCATTCTCTATCCTTCTGATACCATAGCGTCAAGCCGTAGTAGTGACGTAGGTAGAGCAGAGTCTCAGAACCTGATTCGCAGGCCTCCACTGAATCCTCGTAGGCCTTCTTGACCAGTTCGAGCCTGTTCTCTTTTACCGCTGCAAAAGTGACATCATGATGGAAGCTTGGTGATTTGGCAAGATCCAAAAATAGCGTCTTGAGAAGCGGTCCTCCGTTTTGTTCCCCGTTTTTCCTATCTTCAAGCAGTCGGACGATATCAGAGAATTTCTCCAGGCGCTTCATGCAAGATATTGCCTTCCCGATGGTCTCAGAGTGAGCTGGACAGCTCCTGAGGAATTTTTGATATGCGTTCAGAGCGCATTGCAGGGGATCTTTTTCCTCATTAATCTCAGCATGAAGATATATGATCTCTTTCCAGGATGTTCGGAGGTCCTGTTGAAGCCGTCCATCAGAACTGAATTTCTGCATCACAGGATCAAGGGAAGCAACAGCGGCGGGATTATCGCCTTGTACGTGCTTCTTGCGTGCGATACACCAGTGTTTCATCCAGCCATCAGGGTTGCGGCTATGAGCCTCATCGATGGCTTCGTCGTAGTATTGAAAGCGCATGAGAGTATCAAGAAGCCGCATATCCGCTACCGCACTGCTCTTGAAGGATCCTATGGCAGATTTCGCATATTCCAGAGCTTTGTAGATGTCAGCAAGAGATGGTGCAACTTTTTCTGAATCTTCGTGACTCTTGCGCTCGGTCTGCTCAGAGCCTTCAGTTCTCTGTGATACAATCGTTAGCGAAGTTCATAATATGTTATTTTTCGGGAAAAGCCTTGAAGCTTTTGCAATTTTCTGGCACCGATTCCCTCCAAAGATAATACGCTGACAAGGATCGGAGGGATGAAAACCTCTGGCCAAAACGTAATAATGACACTTGCATCGCAATCGTGCGGGATGGAAGGACATAGGAGCCACTTACCCTTTGAACGAATCCCGAAACCCACCAGAAAGTTTGGGCAACATCCCAATCTTGAAAAAGAAGCCATTTTTCGGCAACGAGCCTGGTAGTGTCGACAAAAAGGTCTCCGAGGCATCTGGTGCCGTAAATAATCCCGTTTATGACGTCCTTTTCGGCAGGACCGACCCCAGCAATGACTTCTGGATCTTTGAACCACTGCAGGGTTATTCCTGCCAAACTGCTTTTGTTCTGCTTTGACGGGTGATAGAGCCACTTGTGCCGGACCTTTTCTATTCTGTCTGGCGTGAGCCAGCCTTCAATGCACTTCCTGTCCTTGAGCAAGCTGAACAGCAACCCGCCAATACTTTTCCTCCTCTTCACATCGATGCAGGCGAGCTCCTCCGGTCGGATTTGTGAAAGATGCCAGGGAAGTCGCGAAATGGCAATTTCAATGAGAGGTTCAGACTCGGCCTTTCCCTTCTTGCTTTTGGGGCAGAGTGCCTGCAAGCACCTGAGGATGATTCTTGAGTGGCCATCCACCGGATCAAACCCTATCTTCTTGGCAGGATTGCCTCGGAGACCTTCAAAGAATTTTTGAAACCCGAACTTCCGATAGACCTCTTCATCACAGAAAGCCGAGAGGAATTTCTCGACCATAGCGACTTCGAGATGATGAACAGGGCAAGAAGGCCCATGGGAAGCTGACCCAATGATTGGAGATATCACCGCCGAAAGACCGTCTTGCCACGCGGTGACATCTTTGGGTTTCCGGGAGTCTTGGCCACTCTTCTCTTTCTTGAAATACTTCATTGTATGATAGGAGCGCACGAGCATGCCATCGACTTCTAACAATGGCGCGTACCTCTCCGTTATCAAATTGCGCACCGACTTCAACGGAGTTTGCTCGTCTTTGAGATAGAGAACCGCTTTCAATTGCTTCGTCGTCGGCCAGTCGTACTTTGGTAGAACAATCCAGGGAAGAATCTCGTTGAGGTTTTCGACCTCATGGTATGTCAGCGCCTTCTCCATATTGGCTAACTGGAGCTCGATTCTCTCTTCTCGTGACACCTTTAGGCCGTGTGGCTCTATGATCCGTCTGATGTCCTGCACTCCTCGTGCGTTGCTGATTTCTTTGAGAGTGAGATTCAGGTTCTGGTAATCGCCGTCGGTGTTTTCCAGGAGAGCGTTTTGGACTTGCTGTTGAAGTTCCTCACTGTCGGGCGTTTGGTCCCATGTCCTGCTGATCTCCCCCATCTTCTTCGAGATGAAAGATCGGAGGTCTGGTTCGTTGTGCTCACTGACGGTTAGCTCCGTCGTTTGAGATTTGGTGTCAAAGTGTCTGCTGAGCTCGGCGAGATCAGACTTTGTGCCCGTCAGGAGGAACCTGATGGATGACCGCCCGTTGTCGAATGATGAAACATCTTTGACAATACGTGAGAACTCGATATAACCCTCAGTGGCATGCCCTATCCCGTCAATGACGATGAATACCTTGCTCTTGACCTGCGAATGCTCCAAGTAATCCAAAATGGAATCTTTCCAGAGTGTGTGAGTCTTGGATGAGGGCAGGTGCTGTACTTGTTCACACTTCCGTGCAAAGAATTTTGCAAATGGCTTGTTGACTTTGTTGATGGATAATTGCCATAGTATGGCGCGCAAGGCGTTTCTCATGGAGTTGGTCTCCCGTTCGTCCTTCTTGAAGTAGTAATAGGCGACGAGTCTTTTGAGATCGGGATCGTTGGTCCGTTGCTTGAGCAGGTGATGGACGACAGCGGCGCATAGGTAGCTTCGGCCATAACCATCGTCGGCTTTTAACGCAAACACGGCAGGGGCTGCGGATGCTCCGCTGTTTTCCCAATCCCTGAAGTCCTGTCTCTTGAAAAGCCAGTCTCCGGTCGAATCGGCAGTGTCATTCCAGATGGCAGTCTGTGTGTCATGCCAGCTGTGTTTGGTAGCGCCGATGCCCAAGGCAGTCTTGATCGTGTCCAAGCATTGATCCATGTCTTCCTGGTCCTCCTTACTTTCCAGACGCTTGAGGAAGCCGTGCATCTCGTGGACTTCGATAAAGCCGAGAGTTTGGAGCAATCTCAACTCCTCCTTCTCGAGTCTTTCCATCTCCTCGAACTTCTCTGAGACGCCATCGTCAGCGCGGACTGCTGCCTTAGCCAAGCGCTTGAGTTTGCCTTCTTTGGACTTCTTTGTGAAGTGGGTGCATATCCAGATGAAACATTGCAGGCGTTCGTGAATCACCCTCTTGACTTTGCTGAGTCGAGAATCAGTGGTTTTGTGGAGCTGCTCAGAGCTGTGGTAGATGTCGAAGCACTCCAGGAACGGTGCAATCGCATCAAAGAGCTCTGTAATCACTGCCCGCTGTTTTTCGTACTCCCAGCAGGTCTCAACAAGGTAGGATACTGCAGTGAAGCAGAGTATACCAGGCGGAAATACCTGAATGTGAAGTTAGTCATTTTTACCGTGGAAAGAAAAGAGAAGAACGGACATGGGATGCGCTTGATGCGATCAATTCGCTGAGAGCTGTGATGCGATCCAGAACCAGCCTGACACTTTCTCGGCGTGCTTGCCGGTTGCTTTGGTTGTCGTTTGTATCGCGCATTTTCTTTAAAACGTCTTCAATCTTCAAGGGAGGTCCTCGAAGATCCATACCAGTAGCCTTCCGGTAGCTATCTGCTGCCTCACTCCACATGTCCTCGAGAGACTTGTCTTCTTGGTGATCCCCCATTCTGGCTCACAAAGCTAGCTGGAATCTCGGATGAAGTGGTGTGTCGGGCGTGGAAGATAAACGGAAGATTTGGACTCAGTGCAGCCTTGTTGAAGCTGAATATGAGGCTGAGCCGAGTTGGGGGCCGACTGAGGTGGGGTTGCACATACTCTCATGTAGCTGCAAGAGCAGGGATGCGCATTTCACAAGGACAGTCCCCTCTCGCAGCCGATGACTAGCGTGGATTGTTTCTTTTTCTTTTTTTTTTTGCTCATGTCATGGGTAGTTGAAGCTATCGTCCGGACGTGTATTTAGAATTTATAATTCGACATTCTCGTCCGGACGATAGCTTCAACTACCCACATATGTTAATTTTTTCTAAAGCCCTGCTATTCTTCGCGCTAGCCATCGGCTGCAGCACCCCTCTGGAAAGAAGCTGCAGGTCGACGTGAAGGAGCATTCCCGCCGATTATTCATCAATTAGCGCAGGAGCCTTGCTAATACACGAGCCAATCGTCTCACACCCTCTTCCAGCCTTTCTTCATCCTCCCACATGAAGCAGAGCCTCACCCTGTCGGACATGCAGCAATCTGAGACTGCGAAATGATTACCCGCTGCAATCAATAGATTCTCCTCGTCCAGTGCGGCGTCAGCTACGGCGCAAGCCGTAAGCGGCTCGGGAAGTTTGAGCCACACAAAGTAACCCCCGCCCACCCGGTCGAATGAGGCTCCAAGAGGACTCAAATGCTTGTATATGGCAGAAGAGAGCGCCGAACATCGCCGAGAACAAGCAGGAACAAGTGTATTCTTCAAGTGTTCTGCGATGGATCCGTCTGCCAGCAGGCAGTTGATGAAGGTTGACATTAGCTGTGATGGCGCTCCACCGGAGCGCGTGGATCCGCTAGAGTCGGATTAGCACACATCGAATTAGAACAGTGGCCGAATTCTTACGCTTGTGAGAGTCCATAGATGAATTTCTCAGTCCCCTCGGCCCAGCCCACCCGACACCCAGGCCCAGCTATCTTACTGAAGCTGCCGTTACTGACAACATTGCCAAAAGAATCATGCGGTCCGCCATCCAAAGCTTTGTCAATATCCACGATCCGCGGGAGTAGTGAAGTAGCCTCGTCGTTACCTGGGTTCGCCGAAAGAAAGTCATACACGTCGTCACAGAGGACAAGAATATCGTACTTTCGCGCAAGCCGCACGAGGGCTCTGCGGGTAGCTTTGGGCATCGTGACGCCAGATGGATTTGAAAAGGTTGGAACGCAGTAGATAACATGGCTGTATATCTTTCTGTGAGGCGCTGTGGGCTTCGTTGGTGGCTGTGTCTGGGCCCGCGTATGGTTAGCCCCCACCGCTCGGAGTGTGTCAAAATCACATACCTTTTGATGCCACTGCCTTTCAACGTCCTCCATGGCATTCTCCAGGTATGCGAGGTCAATCCCGCCCAGCTCAGCATCATCTCCTCCAGGGATGCCTCGGATTCTTCCATCCCCGAATCCCGCGTCCTCAAAGATCCGTCGCGCCAGATAGTATGCGGGCTCGACCATCCAGACACATCGTGCCACCGCGGGATCTGTGTATACCTGGAGAATGCAGGCTATGTTCTGACTCGCACCTCCGGTAATGCAAATGTGCTTCAGAGATACAGGCTCCGCCGGCAGGTAAAACTCGGTCATCCATTTTGCAATGTTCTTCCTTAGAGGCTCGTAGCCTTCGTCCGGACCGTAGCCAAGCCCCGGAAAGAATACATTTGGATCAGATAATGCTGTGACTGCAGCGTCCTTGAGCAGGCTGACAGGAAGGAGGCTTGGCGCGGGCCAGCCGGCAAAGAGATCGATGCGGTTGTTCGGAGGAGACATTGAAGAGTGCAAAGAAATGAAACACTTGGACAGCAAGATACGGAGATAGGACTGAAAGTTTTTTCTCCTTGCCAATGCCAAAGTAGCCAGAAGTTTCCTGATAGCTGACAACCTTTGGGAGGAGATATACTAACCTAATCGGGCAGTATATGCGATTCGACCAATCACGACGCTCTGTTCTCACCTAGGTACGGTAGACTGGTCCACTGCCTGTCAAACCTGTCAACCGCAAGGCGCGCTGCGGCTGGCATAAAACGTGCCTTCCGCGGAATATTGCCGCTTACTGCTCTCTCAACTTTCCATTCCCCCTCAGCGTCCAACTCCGGTAAAAATGGTCCAAATCAAGCAGTTCGCCATCGAGCGCGTAAGTCGTCAAAGCAGTAGTCTCCTGGACCCTCTTGCTGATCAGATATGCTCTTTCAGTGGATGGATGACTACGAGCACAGCGCGAAGCTCAACCTCGCAGAGACCTGCTGCGCCTCCATTTCCCTGCACGATCTGCAATCCCTCTCCTCGGCCGAGTCCTCAAAGGCCATCGTAGATTACTCGCAGAAGCAGGTGTACGGCGCCATCCGAGGTACCGAGACCTTGCGCTCCAACATTGCAGCACAGTTCATCCCGGAAGGGGCGCGCCTGAACGCCGACAACGTCCTCATCACGAACGGCGCCATCCAAGCCAACTTCCTGGCTCTTTACACCAATGTTGGCCCGGGTGACCACGTAATTTGCCATTACCCAACATACCAGCAGTTGTATTCAGTCCCCGAGTCTCTCGGTGCCGAAGTCAGTCTCTGGCGGGCGAAGGAGGACGATGGCTGGCGCGTGGATATCGACGAGCTGAGAGCCCTAATCAGGCCCAACACCAAACTCATCATCATCAAGTGGGTGCACCAGCTTTTCAATCAGAAACGTTGCTGACCCATGGCCACCAAAAAACCAGCAATCCACAGAACCCCACCGGCGCAACCCTCTCGCGCACCGTCCTCTCCAGCATCGTCGACGTCGCGCGCGAGCACGCCATCTTCATCCACAGCGACGAAGTGTACCGCCCGCTCTTCCACTCCCTCAACGACGATGAAGAGCGCCCCCCTTCCATCCTTGCCTTCAACTACCCCAAGTCCCTCGCCACCGGCTCCATGTCCAAAGCCTTTTCCCTCGCCGGCATCCGCCTCGGCTGGATTGCTTCGCCCTCGCCCGCGCTCATCGACGCCTTCGCATCCGCCCTCGACTACACCACCATCAGCGTCTCGCAGCTCGACGACGCCGTCGCTGCCTTTGCGCTGAGCGAGGCCGTCGTGCACAACCTGCTCGCTCGCAACGTTGCGCTGGCCCGCTCCAACCTCGCCCTTGTGTCCGCATTTGTTGAGGAGCATAAAGCGACGTGCCGCTGGGCCAAGCCGACGGCGGGGACGACGGCGTTCGTGCGCTTTGAGAGAGATGGAAAGCCGGTGGATGATTCGGAGTTCTGCAAGAGGGTGTTGGAGAAGACTGGCGTGCTTCTCGCGCCAGGCAGCACGTGCTTCGGTGAGGGAGAGGTATTCCAGGGGTTTGTGAGGATTGGATATGTTCAGGACACACAAGTGATGGTGGACGGGTTGAATGCTTTGAGGGCCTTTATGAGAGAAGAATTTGCAAAGGTGCCCTTGGCTGCATAGTGTCAAGTGCCAGTCTCTAGAATAGGACGAGATCGAGACCGGATTTTTGGAGATAGATGTCCCACCGGAGTGGACTGCTAGAAGACCAGTAATCGAGTAAAACTTGCCTAGCACGCGTGTAGTTGCCCATACCGAGAATCTGCATGTTGAGCATCCGGCTGTTAATAATTTCTTGTTCCCAGATTTCGTCAGTCTCGCAGCCAGCGCTGAAAATGGGCCAGATAACGAGTATGTTTGCCGTTGATGACCTTGGGATATCGTTGACCGCAGAGAGAATATTGGAGATGTCTTCCCGAACCTTGGCATGATCTTTCGGAAGGCACGTCACGCGACGGTGGAGATGCAGTAAAGAGGCGTGAAAGAACGCCATGTTCGTGCTTCGGAGCTCTCTTGCTTTCTGCTCTCCGTGAGAGCCGTTCTCATGGTTAGAACTGTGGGCAAGCGACAGAATGTCTGCCTCAATCTGCCGTGCCTCTTGAGACAGGCAATGATTAGCAGCGTCACCTTGTTCGCCCACATCCCCGTCCGCATAAACGCTGGGAACCATCTCTTCCCGTTGCGTCGACCTCGCTAACCTCCCAATTCTCACCATGATTGGCATCAACTCCAACCTGTACCCGCAGAATTCGTCCACCATGCCATAATGCCTCTCACCCGCCCCCATCTCCTCCACTAATGCCCAGCACCCCGAATCATCCGGATCTTCGGCCCCCTCAAACCCCGACACCCTCGCCACCGTATCCATCGTCGCGAACCACCTCGCCAAGAATCCAGCAAACGAATCATCGACGACTGTAGCGGAAGAGCCCCTCTTTCCACGCGCCTCCTCCCTTTCTCTTAGGATCAACGCGTTCAATAGCTCCCGCACGCCGGAGAGGTGGACGCGCCACCACCGACGGGTTCTACTGCCATCACCCGCAGCACCGGCATCGATGCCGTCGCACACATCGTTGGTACAGAGCGCCATGGCCGTCATGGCCGTCTCAGCCCGCGCGACTCGGCCCGGGTCGGCCATGGCGGCGCGCAGGCCCGCGACGGCGAGGTACGTGAACTTGAGGGCGGCTTCCGGGACGGCTGTTCGCGATCCGGAGGACGGGTGCGAAGATGCGTTGGATCCGGCCCCGGCAGCGACGAGGCGGGCGTGGTGACTGCAGGCCGAGGCGAGCAGGGCGTGGAGGAGGTGCGGCGTGTGCAGCGCGGCCGAGACGAGCCGTTGCGTGAAGGCTTGCGGCGCGAGCGGGAAGAGGACGGGCGCGGTTTGCGTGCCAAAGTGGTGCATGAAGAAGCGGGCTGTGGAGAAAGATAGGGAAGGGGAGGCGATCAGTGTGACTTGCTGCGGCATTCCCGAAGCAAGCGCGTTGAAGTGCGCGAGAGTGACGGTGGGGGGTTCGCGCTGCTCATGAGCAGGCCCCGTAGCCTGTCGTGTCCTCCCACGCGGGCTTTTGGCGACGATACATCTTAAATCGTATTTGCATTCCTTGGGATAGCGGAGGCACCGGGAACATACCGGTCTCTTCAGATCGCACTACACGGGACCAGTTAGTACGGGCCGCACTCATTGTAAAGTGAAAGCTACTTGCCTTGACTTTCTTCCGTCTACACTCAGAGCAACCATCACGCCGCCTGCGTGGGCTTCCAAACGAAACTCTTTGCATGCTATCTCGATGGCAAACCAAACACTAGCCCAAGATTGCCGAGTGGAGAAGCAGATGTTGCTATGTAATGTTCAAATGTCAAAGGGCGTTGATGACAACGGCAGATCTGCGGCTATGAAGGCTTTCCTTCACGTGAATATGGCGGGGAAGAAAGCCTGTACATTCCCTTCTTGCAGCCGATGGCTAGTGTGGATTTGTTTTTTGCTCATGCCATGGGTAGTTGAAGCTATCGTCCGGACGAGAATGTCGAATTACCCACGTATGTTATTTTTCTGAGGCAAAGCTGTCTGCTGCGAGAGGGGGTTGTAAGGAGTAAATCATGCAGACTGGACGTTGCTGCTGGAAGAAGCCTGAGTCTCAGATAGTATATTAGTGAGATATGGATGAATGGTATCGATTTTGCAGGATGATGGGTCGAGCATATCCTCTGGTCGACCTGCGCTCTCTCTCTACATGCCTTCTTTGATCTTCTGGCGCCCATCATGATGCATTCTCGCTCTACACAGAACGCAGATCGTATTCATATGTTCCCCCAATCGACCTTGCCTGTTCAGCAGAAGGTCCCCGCAGAAATGCTGACACTCATGATCTCAAAAAAAAAAAAAAAGCACAACCAAGACGCCAAAATAGAGGAATACTGATGAATAGTCCCAAGGCATCATCGTCGCGCGCCCTTTTTGTATCGACACCAAACCCAAAAGCACACTGCACACTCCAAAGTGACAGCCAAAAGACAAGAAATATAACTTAAGCTGGAATACCACCCATCTCGGCCAGTCGCTCTTCTTCCTTGGCTTGGCGTGCAGCCTCGGTTTCTCTTCGCAGAGCCTCGAGGTTGAAGACGCCATCGTCGTCGTCCGACTCGTCCTCGCTGTCGTTCTCCCAGCCACCCTTTTCGAAGAGCGCACGGCCGGTTGCCTCCTTGAGCTTCTTGGCCTCCTCTTCGGCCGCCTTCTTGTCCATACGCTCCTGCTTCCACTTGGCAAAAGTCTCGGCAGTAACGGGCGTCCCCGGGCCCGTGAGCTTGTGGCGCTCCGATTCCAGGAAGTCTTCGAGAGTAAGCGTGTTCATGGGGTTCTTGTCCTGCAATGCCTTCTCGGCCGCGCGCTGCTCCTTGGTCTTGATGACGAAACCTGGAGGCAGAGCGTGCCTATACATGCACTTGTCGCCGCCGTTGGGGCACGTCCAGAACCATCCGTACTTCTGGTTCTCGATCGCCTCGATGAAGAACTTGCACACCTTGTCCGTAGTCGTCCGCGGGTTTCCGTGCTTCGACTTGACAACGTCGCGCAGCTTCTCCTCGTCCCACTGAGACATATCATCGTTCTTCTTCTCCTCGTCCTCACCCTCGCGCGTATCTGCGTACAAGGATTTCTTCTCCGTCTTGCGCTCAATGGCCAGATCGTGGGAGAACTTGCATTTCTTGCCTGCAGCCTCTCAAATTAGCAAAGAAACCATGCTTCCCGCATATGCCCATCGGGAAGTTAGTCCCAGAGACGCACCTTTGTCGCAGTGTCCCTTCTTGAAAAACTGGCACACGATCGTCTTCGGATCCACGCCGAACGGCACCTTCTGCGTCTGCACCGGCTTGAACAGCTCCGCCGCCTCCTTGCGCGCCTGCTCGGCCGCCTTCTTCTCAGCCTCGCGCTGTGCCTTTTCGGCTTCCTTGCGTTTCTGGTCGGGCGTCTTGGATGATGATTGAGCCTGTTGGATCTGCTTGATCTGTTTTTGCGCTGCGCCGCCCTTCTTGTTCTTCATGCCAAAGGTCTTGTCGACCGTGGTCTTGGAGGCCTTGGGCTGGTTCTTGTCCTGCTTCTTGGGCGGCATGGTGGCGGTGGTCGAGTTTGTGCCTGGCTTAATCGAACGTTAAGGTTTGTGGATCGGATCGCCGCGATCGAGGGCGCACGTGTGAGAGACAGATGGCGCGCTGGAAGAGGGGGATGCAGCCCAGGGAGTGTGGGTGTTCTTGGGAAAATATGAGGAGACGGGTGGTGTCGACGTCGGACTCGAAGGTTGCGAGGCAAGCTGCAAGGCAGGGTGCGCAAAGGCAAAGATTCAGACGATGACGGAGGCAAGCTGATTTGGTGGGGGCACTGGCGCCGGGCCCGCTGCGGAATAGTTAACCCGATCGCCGAAGCAAAAGGCTGTCGAAAGTAAGGCGACGGCGCTCAGTTGGCTCTTGCGTGCTGGCTGCTGGAATTCGTGGCCGCCCGCGCTTACGACTGCTGGCGACAGGGTTGCGGTTGCAGCTGGCCGGAGCTCGACAAGTGAACAGATACATCAATTGCTCTCCGCACATCCACCCGCTCCCGCCACACCGCGACGTCGCTCTTTATTCCGCCGTATGCGTGCATGTCCTTCGCCTGCACCAAGTCCTCGCAATTGACCGAAAATCACAGAGCCAGAGTCCGCAAGACCCATACGTTCCGCGCACCCCCCGGACGCGCAAGCAATCGGCCACCATGATCACCGACACCTCCCTCTACACGCTCGCCATCTTTCTTGGCAGCGCTGCCATGCTCATGATCGTCCTCTACCACTTCCTCGAGGTCAACGCCAAGGAGGGCGAGGCTCTGTCCAATGCTCGCAAGGCCGACGCCGTTCCCGCCGCTGGCAAGGCGAGGAGCTAGATTGCATGGTCACCTTCGTGATGGGAAAGGGTTTCACGCCGGAAGAGTCGGGTCCTGTTGCACGCCCTGCGAATACTGGAAGGCGACTGTCAGGGTCACAGTGGACAAGATTGGAGGATGGCGCTTCATCTAGCGTGGAAGATGCCAAAAAAACGGCAATTGAGGATACCAAGTGGAAACACTGATTGCAAGGCGTTGGTGGAATATTAATCGAGACTTTACAAGTCAGACTCATCCAAGAGTCCTTTGAATTAAGACTATGTATCTGGATCTCCGCAATCATGCAGCATCTCCAGCACCTAAAACTACCGTTCCTAGCTTCTCCAAACACAACTCTTGAATCAAAGAAGTTGTAGTATCTGTTGCAGTGATGCATCAGAAACAAATGGTTCTAAGGATGACCTCGGCGATGGGCCCCCCAGTAAGATCTAGACAGCCGCTTTCCATGGGCATCAATGCGTGATCTCAATTGCTGTCGCTTACGACTTCTTCGAAGTCCTCGTCGTCAATGAACCCCATTCTTCTTTTCTGGTTCGGGAGCCTTGCACCCCCACGATCAAGTCCAGGTCCGACAAGTTTCTTCTTCCTTTCAAGGGCTGCCTGGAAATCCAAGGCCCTCTCCTCATCAGTTTTGATATTTGGTCTGCCGGGGCGCCTCGGAACCGGCGATAGCGCTGGCATAACTGCAGCGAGCACTTCCTTGGAAGGTGCTACGAGCGGTGTAACTATTTTCCCCGTTCTGGTATCTGATAGATACGCCTCGCTCGCGGAGTCATGGGACTCTGCATTCCGTATCAGTGAGGTTCAGCTTCAAGAAAGTTGCGAGAACAAGAGCAACTAACCCGAAAGTCCGCCCGCATGACCATCCCCAAGCTGCCACAACTTCGGCCCCAGGTGGGCGAACTCAATATGATCTTCCAGGTCCTCCTCGACCCGAAACCCATTCGGTTTCCCTGTGCGCTTATCAATGTAGCGTTCGTTTTCCTCACAGCCGGACCAGAAGCAAGGCCATTTTTGTTGCGCGTTCTGACCATGGTGGAATTTCTGTACGTGCTTCTTCAGCGTTGCCATGTTGTGCAGTTCAGCGCTGCAGTCTTCCCATTCGCATTTGTAAACGATGTAGGAAACCGGGCCTGTCGTGCTTGCCGACACATCAGGTGAGCGTGACTCGATCAAAACCACGCCGTTGGATGATTGGGAAGCGCGCAGGCCGCTTGGTCGTGATGCCGAGGCACGAGATGCCGAAAACGGCTGGGGCGGTAGGCCGGCAGCTTTTGCTTGCGCTTCCTTCGAGTGCAGTGACTTGCGCCAACCGACGGGCCGGCCTTTTTTCTTGGGGAGAGGTTGTCCATCAGGCCCATATTCGCTCTGGCGAAATGCAGAATATCCGACAGGAGTGCTCGCCATTGGTGATTGATCTTTGTTGGGCGTACTGAAAGTTGAAGAAGAAGCGCGTTCGCGTTCCCGGTCGCGAGTAGATGGGGTGGCACGTGCGTCACGTGCGTCAGTGGCTCCTGGCGCGCTGAGCTTGGGAGGCCGGCCTTTGCGTTTCGACATTTGCTGAGAAGTAGGCGACGGGACAGGACGGGAGGGTACGGCCTGCAGGTTAGATGGGCTTGCCTGGTAGGATGGTGCGGCTTTCGGTTCAGGTTGGGTCGGGCGCGGATGAGGTTGTTCTTGTACATCCTCTTCCTCATCGTCTGCATCTTCGTCCTCTATCTCTATTGCGTTCGGCGTAAGCGCCTCTGGAGGCGGATCGCCTGGATCGATGAGATCCCATCTAAGCGTGCTCAGATCCGAAGTGTTGTCGACTCGCTTGAAGTTTTCCTTGAGGATCTCAAGGTGCCCATTGAGGGGCCTCATTTCTGGGTGCTTGCCAGTTGCGACTAGGACGTCGCGAGCGATGGTCTTCACCTCGTATGCTGACCTGCGTAGAGCATACTTCCGACCCAACGGTTGAACAACATCCATGTTTTTGGTCTTATCGTCGACGGGGACCATTGTTGGTAAGTTTGCGTTGTAGAAGTTGCTTGGGTTAGGTGGGTATTGGTGAAATATTGAGTCCGGCGGAGCGGCCCAGGCAGGCGCAATGTCACTAGTAAATCCGGCCTGCTTCTTAGCAGGCGGCTCGTCCTCGTCAGAGAGTAGCGTCAGATCGACGATCTCATTAAAGTTTCGTTTTCTTGCCGCATCAGCTTTTGTCGCGGTTTTTTGGCTATCCTCTCGTTGCGACGAGCCTTGCCTACTTCCAGAATTCTGCCTGTCATGCCTAGTATGATGCATAGGCGCGACAGGAACCTGTGGAGGAGGGGTTGATAATGCGGTTTGGACAACAGTCGGCGTGCCGGTAGTTGTGGGAACAAAGTACGGGCTTCGATACTGAGGTTGGTCCAAAGCCGGGTACGGTGATTGGACGCTTTGCAAGTGTTCGCCGACAGTGCTCGGACGACTGGTCGGAACATTCGAGTAGTTGGTATGATAATTGGGGTTTCGGCCTGTGCGGAATCTCTTAGTACACAATAGAAAACGTCACAGGTTTACGGGTGCCTACCTGGCAGCTCTGAGGTCTTGGCATTCTCTGCAGAGGAAGGTGGCTATCGACGACGCGCGTTAGAATGAACATATTTACATCTTCCTCTGCTCCACATTGTAATTTTTACTTACTGCTCTGCCATTGGCTTGGCCAGCCTGTGTCGAATTTTGGCTTGGCTTGTTGATATCAGGTACAGCTGCAAGCAAGGCTCTTGCGAAGGATGCTCGCTCCAGTTTCATCCCTTGAGATTCTAGCCACTCACATAATTCTATGTACCTTGGGTTCCGATTGAGTAAGTCCAGGATTTCCTGGGGTGTGACCTGCTTGTTGTGATTCTCTGGAATAGCATTGAGCCAATCGGCTGCTGCCTTCGAGATTTGATCCTTTTTATCGTTTGGCCACGCCGTTGTGCCAGTCGGCGGCATTCGCTTGTTTGGCTGTGGAGGGTTTGTGGTTTGTTGCTGTAATTCCCGGTCGGGCTGCTGTTGTGGTTGGCGTTGCGGCGGCTGCTGGGGTACATGCTGTGTCTGAGGTTCTTGCGGGGGCTGCTGAGTATGAACGGGAGGAGCAGGCGTGGTCGAAGTTTGCGCATGTGAGCTCAGCCGCGGTTGGCTTGTCGACGCTTTATTTTGAGCAGTTGTTCTGCTAGGCTTCTGCGAGGGCGCTGGTGACTGGACAGCTGGTTGGGTTGATTGAGTTGGCTGCGAATGATTCTGTCGTTCTTCCTCCCATATTCTTGCGAGGAGAGCCGGATCTTGATTGTTCAACTGTCTCATTTGCGCCATCAAGGCTCTCATTTGCGCCTCAACATTTGGTTCTGTCGAGGTGGCTTGAGCGGGCAAAGAGGACGCTGCTGCAGCCACAGCTTTTGCCATCTTGGATTTGGTGTTCGCTTTTTTCCGTTTGTCGTTTTCGCGCTGGGCTTGCTGGGCAGCCTCTGCCTCTCTCCTTTTCTCCTCCTCCCGCATGTGCTGCAGCGCTTTCTCTTCCTCTTCTGCCTTCCTGCGGGCTTCTTCGGCTTCCCTAGCTTCCTGGGCTTCCCTCTCTGCCTTCTCACGTGCCTGCCTCTCTCGCTCCGCCTGGGCGCGCTCTTCCAATGCTTTTGCGGCGCGCGCGGCCTCGCGTTTCCGTTGAATCTCCGGCCACGGGTCGTAAACCTGTGTTGGGTCGACGGTTTCAAAATCACGCGACCCAGCTGTATCTGAGTGTGCGTGCTGCTGGCTACCCCACTGATACGCGGCCGAAGTTGACACTGCCTGTGGTTGTGTCACGGTTGGTAAGGTACGGGCAGGGTGGTCAGACGTCTGCACTGAGGCTTGCTGTACCGCCGACGGCTTGCGATAAGCGGCGGGGTTCTGCGGTGAAGTTATGGCACGTTGTTGAGCGCCGGGGTGAGGAGACGCAGAGGTCTGGAAACCCGTTTTTGGGAGAGGCGATCTAGAAGGGTTCAGCTGGTTGGAAGATCGCTGTTCAGTCCTTCCTACAAGAGAGTTCACGCTCTTTGGGCGTGGTTGGCTGTAAGTGGTGTAAGAGGCGTTGGGGTATGAGGCATGCTGCGACTGGGTTGCGGATGCAGCTTGGTTTGCTGCGCTCGACTGTGCAGCGGCGCGCTGGACAGTATCATGAAGACCAGACGCATATGCTAGGTTCTGCAAGTCTGCAGAAGCATTATTTCTTGCAGCAACAGCTGTCCCGGAAGCAGCGCCATAGTTTGTCGAACCGTATGAATAATCTGAAAGGTTATACGTCCCGGAGGGGGCATATGCCTGCGCCGAGTATGACGAGAATGACTGGGATACGGGGTGACTCTGGGAGGCGTACTGCGCAGCGGGGCCAGTCGATGCAGGTCTCTGGGAAGGGTAATGCGTGTAATGTTGCTGGCTTTGACGACCGGGAGCGCCGTAGTAATTCTGGTTTGACATTTCAGGCAGAAGGTGAGCAAATCAATGGTCCGCTTAGAAAGTTGCTTCTGCGCCGGGAGTGTTGGTCCAGAAATCACGAGCAGACGGGGGCTGCGGCGAGATGGGCGGAAGCGCGGAGCGTGGCGCCCATAACGGACAAACGCACGCGGCAGAAATTGGACGGCAAGGAAAGGTCGGGCGGAGAGTGCAACGCGTCGCACGAGGTGAGGCGGGCAATCCGAGCGCTGTGAGGGCCAAGAAACGCAGGCGCGACGCGTGCAGTCGCTTGCGCTTCGCGTTCCCGTTGGAGTTCACGGATGCATGCCGGCGTCGCGTCGGAGGTGCCAAGACTTAGGCCGTCGGCGCGCCGGTGAAACTAGATTCCGTTCGTCAATCTCTCCCACAACGTTTTTGCCCGGCCTTTGCTTGCAGGACGACGAGACGACGACGTTACCCCCAACTTCGACGACACCCACACCACCTCCGCGATGACCGTCATTAACCCCTGTACGACCTTCCGCGCCGATGCAAATTGTCCCGTAGACTATCGCTGACTTGAGCGCCACACAGCCATTGCCTCCTCGCGGAGGAAGTCGCGCAAGGCGCACTTCAGCGCCCCCTCCAGCGTCCGCCGCGTCATCATGAGCGCCCCTCTCTCCAAGGAGCTTCGCGAGAAGTACAACGTACGATTTCCCCCCGCCCATTCTCTCCGGGATCCGAGCGATTGGCGAACATGAAGACTCCGGACAAGCACCGCCAAGAGCAAGAACATGGGCAGACGCTGACAGCTGTCTGCGAGCAGGTCCGCTCCATCCCCATCCGCAAGGACGACGAGGTCCTGATCACCCGCGGCTCCAACAAGGGCCGTGAGGGCAAGGTCACCTCCGTCTACCGCCTGAAGTACGTCATCCACGTCGAGCGCGTCTCCCGCGAGAAGTCCAACGGCCAGTCCGTCCCGCTCGGCATCGCTCCCTCGAAGGTCGTCGTTACCAAGCTCAAGCTCGACAAGGACCGTGAGAGCATTCTTGAGAGGATAGGCAAGGGTCGCGAGGCCGTCAAGGCCAAGACCACCAAGGCGTAAAGTGGTTTCGTTCTTAGGGAAGTTGATGGGTTGACGAAATTCTCATTGCTTGGTTGAGCCGGCTACAAGGGGCGCGGTCGGTTCTTCGGGTCAAGCGAACGGAATACACTATCCAAACCGGCGTCTCAAAAAATGATCAGTCCAAAAGTGCAAAGCCGCATGTGGGATGTTTTAGGGATTATGGACTTGACAATAATCAAAGGACATCCATTCCGGCCAACAGGCTTTAGTGCGGGATTGGTGAGATTTCGAATGCTGATTTGACGGGTTTTCCATCCTCCGCAGACACGCCTGCACACGAGGCCCAGACCTCTGTAACCGCTAGACTATCTACTCGGCAGATCCTCTCGATGACTGCAAAGAGTTAAATGATTAGCGAAGAACGACTAACAGGGTCATACTCTGACCCGTCTCGCCTGCAGACTTTCCGGTGAGATTTTTGTCAATGAAGCGGAAAGTTTGATGGTGAGATACATTCGATTGCCAAACGCGTCTTACATACGCCTTATTTCCCAATGCCGTCAAAACAGTTTTCGCCGTATTTCTTCACAGATGATTATTTTGGCCTGCGCGTGACCCAAATGACAAAGGATAGGTCCAGCGTTCAAGGCCATAGAGCCATCGGCAGTTGAATGTTAACTGCGAGCCATTCAAAGCTTACCCGATTTCAAAGTAATTTAACTGCAAGTCTTGCAGATGAAACAGGCGCCGTAAAGTCTACCTGCATAGACGATCGTTTTCTCTACTTCAGCCGTTCTTCAAACCACGAGTAGCCCATTTATATCTCAAAGCAGTTGCAGGAATTCCACAGCCTTGGACGGCCTCAGCTTCTGGATCCACAGGTACTTCAACCTGCGAAGGACAACCTACAGAACCCGCCACGGAACGGAGGCTTGAACAAGGCCTTTAGGGTGAGCATCATTGCTTGCTGAATTGGGTCCTCGGGCAGCCATAGCTAGTGGGCCAATTGGAGTGACATTTTCCATAATGCGGGGGCTTCTGAAACCGAACATGGTGGGCGGATCATTCGGCAGCTGTTGCTGCAAGCCGATTTTAGTGCAGTGTTGTAGGTAGTTACGTCGTTGGTCAAGAGAGGTACACCGCGTCCCTACAAGGGCAGCTCGCTTAGTATTGCAGTTGAAATCACTGTTCACGCGCCCCTGTTTGCAATTATGTTGTGCATTCGAGTCCAGATGGGCAGTTAAAGTACCCACCTTCGTTGTACTGTGTGGAACTCTTTGAGCGAAGGACGTGGTGAAAGTGCACCAGCGAGCGCTTGGGCCACAATCGAAGCCTGAATCATGCACCGTCATGACGGAACTCCATCGCGGGGCATGCGCCGCACAAGTGATCTCTACCTCATGACGTTGCGATAACTCGGCTTTAGGTAGCACGGCCTGTGTGCTCGCCCCTCCTTTCATTACAGCCAGACAGTTTTCGTCCCTCCGACTCGACTGCCCTCCAATTATTTCGTGCCCGCCTACCGCGCGCCGGCCGCCCAGCGACTCTCCCCACCCACCATGGCAGCGATAGCGACCACGCCCTACAAATTCCCGCCGCACTACAGCTTCCCGCCCTTCTTCACGCTGCAGCCCGTCGCCGCGACGCGCGCCTCGCAGCTCGCCAGCTGGAGCGCGCACATCCAGGCCTACTGCCGACACCACCGCCGCTTCCAGCTCTCGCTCATCGACGCCCTCGACACCGATCTTTTCTGGAACCGCAAGCTCGGCAAGCGTCTCGCCCTGCGGGATGCCCGCGACGTCGTCAACTACATGTGCGGCGCCGAGGGCGGCCATCGCGCTGAGTGGGTGGACGGCGATAAGAAGAAGGGTGGTGGTGATGGCGAGGCCGCGCAGGCGTGGATCTACTGGCGGAGGCCGGAGGAGTGGGCAAGCTTGATTGAGGGATGGGTGAGTGTTCTTGGCCCCTTGCACACCCCTTTTCGTTCACTTGTTGGGAGCGGGATTCGCGGTTGATAATGGAGTGTTGAGGGTGGGCGCGGGATGAGTGTGGGTCGCCGGGCGTGGGATTGAACGCTGACGGTGTCTGCACCATGTAGGTCGATGCGACGGGCCAAAAGAACACGGTACTTACGCTTTACGAACTCACGGAGAGCGATGCGACGGCGTCTCAAGGTAATAGATCCCTGCTCCCGTCGGTGTTATGAAGAGATGCTGATTGGCGCAGAGTTTCACGGCATGGACGCAGAACTCCTGCAGAAGTCACTCCAGGTCCTTGTCAAGCGCGGAAGGGCTCAAGTCTTTGGAAGTGAGGATTCCCTGGGCGTGAAGTTTTTCTAGATGTCGAGTAAGAACTCTTGGGGCGAAATAGAGCAAAAGAGTGACAACGGCATCACTCCAAAACATGAGGGAGTAAGCCGTCTTATTCAAGTCAATGGCAACGGCTTGATGAGGTGGCCGCGCACTTCGATATAGGAGCCTGGCCCATTTGCATGGCACACTGCCTAAGCGAGCCGCATGAAGGCCTTAAGCAAGCATTCAAGGGTCAAGGGTACCTTGGAGGTTGAACTGAGCATATTGAGCTCTGCGCGGGCTATTCATGGAAGACGAGATATTCTCATTAGCTCAAGGACGGGGCCATGGACACGGTAGTAGCGCCGGATTAGTCTATGTTGAGTACGCTGGCCATTCCATTTCCACAAATATACGACCAAATTGTGGAGGACAGCAGCATCCAACGAGGGGTAACAAGTCTCAGTTAGGAACGCTCTCACAAGCAAGAGGAAAATACAAATGAAACAGTCACTGGCCGCAAGAGACAAATGGGTCGCAACGCTTCACTGGCACTTCTATTAGATCCCGTTGGCGTGCCCTTTTTCGTAATCTCATCGCGATTACTGTCCTGTGTGGGTTCATCATAAGACGCACGCTGCCCGCTCACTGCTTGCTCGCTTGAGTAGTTGAATCCAGTACGTCACGCCTACGTCCGGCAGTTCTTTCAGCTACTCACGTAAGAATAGTACAGTATTCTGACAGGCACAGAGGGCTGAAATCTTCTGAAACCAATAAACTGATGCATACCAGCAAGGCGCATGCTCCTTTGTAGGATCGCGGAGACGTTGTGGATTCACGGCGTTGGCCTCGTAGCCGTTGAAGTCTACTGCAGTAGCACATTGCTTCAGGCGTGGGTCAAGCAAGTTGATCATGACATTTGGGGTTTGTTATGGGGATAGTAATTACAAGATTCTCATACTCTCGGTATCACTCAATGGGGTCGTAAATGTGTGGGCGGGGATGCGAAAACGGAAGGGCGGATAATTATCCGCCAGCGTGAGTGACCTGTGTGAAGCCACACGCCAGAGCTAGCTGCATAAGCTCGCCACATGGCATCACTCGATTTGTGCGTGACCTTGCAGCGTGCGTCGCGATCTCGGGTCTAGTATCTTGGGTCGACCGTCGACTCGGGTAAGCAAGGTGCAGGGAATTCGTCGGGTTCGCATTCCATGATTCGTCCGGTTCTTGCGGCTATTTTTCATGGGGGAGTGATGATCGGCTGTTCCTTCGTCACCGCTTGCGCAAGGCCATCGGGTGCCTGTCGGTAAAGAACGATCTCCGACTGCTTGAAGTAACGGCGGGCGTCTAGACAAAGTGGTGTTTATTAGCGCTAGAATTGGCATCAAGCGTCGATGACAAAAACGCTTTACCTTCGTCAATGAGGACCAGACTGAGATAGTAGCGAGTCGAGTATTTCTTATTGACCTCGCGGAACGTCGGTGTAAGATCGAAGCCTCCAAGGAAGAGTCTAATCGGTATAGTCTCGCCTGGCCATTGTCAACATGATGGTGCTTCCCACCGAATGGGAGCCTGTAGGCTGCTTACCTCTGGAAGGCGAACCATCCATGATCTGGGGGTGCGTTAGCTGGGTGCCGAGCATGTTGGTTGTGGATGCGCCATACCTCGAACCGAACCAACGTCTCGCTCTCATTGTACTGGTTTGGCGCAGCGCCCGTCGTTTCCCTCCTGATAATGGACAGCTCCATGTGCTTGATCTTTAATCGGACCAGCAGGAAGTAGATGCGGCCAACGATGACGTCCTTCAGGTGGTACTTGGATTTGGAGTATTCGAATTCAATGTGCAGGCAGTCCTCGATACCGACGTCCATCTTGATGGAGCTGTTGGTCTCCGGGGGTATCCTGTACGAGTAGACCCAGATGTCCTTCTCGCGCACCACATCGGCCATCCGCCGCGACACGGTGACGCGCACGAAGTAGCGCAGCTTCACGTTGATGCCATTGTACGACTCGTATTGCTTCTCGACGTTCTTGAAGTTGAAATCGAAGGTCTGGGGGTGCTGCAGGTCGCCGGGGGCGGCAAGCTCCTGGCCCAATGACAAGAACTCGTAGTGGTTGCCGCGGTCAAAGAACATTTCTGCCGATTGTCAGCCCCGCGTCGATAGCCCCTCGGGCGTCAGGCAGACAGACCTATGGTCCCGATGAATTGCACTTTGATGCCGGTGTGCTCCAGGCGCTTGCCATCCTTGGGGCGAATCGTCACCTGGCCCTTGACGGACTCGCCGTCCATGTAGAGCGGCACCTTCTCGCGGCGGCTCTTGTCGAGCTTGGTGTCGACCATGGCGCGATCATCGCTGTCCTCCAGGACGATGTCGATGTCGACCGGGGTCGAGAAGAAGATCGACATGGTGGATCGCGGGGCCCCGGATCGGTGTACGGCGGTCGGTCGACGGAGGCACAGACGGGCGCGGTCGCGATGGCGGGGCTTGGCGGGTGTTGTGGTTGCTGGTGATGTCGCAGCTCCGTCCGGCTACGCAGCTTCCCCGGCTAATGCTCGGCGCAGGGCGGCGCTAGCGCTCAGGAGGGAAATTTGGTCGCAAATTCTGGAAGAAGCTTGGCCTCAGCCTTACGAGCGTTTACGTACTCGTGGCAGCCACGGCCCACGGCGAGACACGCCCGCAGCCCGCAGGCGATCGCACTCATCACGCTGGAATGACCCTTCGCTTCGGCGCCGTGCAGGAGCCGCACCCCTCGGGGAGCCGCGCCCCATGCGCGGATGCAGCCGCCCGCCCCCTTGTTTGGAGCGCGCTAGGCCGGCCGGGGGCAGCCCTCACTCGAGCGATGAAAGATGCAGCAGGCCGCGCCGAATTGCCTGCCGCGAGCGTGTTCCGTTGCTGGAATTAGGTTGCCGATGCGCCACGGGCGACCCCCACGCGCCCGAGGGCGGATCGTTGGGCAGCGGAGCTGGGCGGCAGCACTGGGCCCGCGTCACTGCCCAGCACTTTGCGGGGCGGCCTCGTGATGGCTGCGTGGCTGCATGTGGAAATGTGGCCCGCTGGCAGCTCCGCCGCCGCATTTCCGACGCAGTGAGCTGGCAATGAATTGGAGGGGAGCACGCTGCCATGCAACTCTGACAAACAAGACTGCGGGGGCGGGCCACGGTGAGACCTTTGATCCGCCTCTGTCCCACGCTAGGCGCTGCCGTCAAACGCCGACCGGCCCAGCTGCGCCCTCCCATTCGCCCCCGTCTCCGACCGGCTTCCAGCGCCTTCGCGAACGCCTGCAAAACGCGAGCCGGAAGCGTGAGATCTTTTCCGAGCGCCCGGGGGTGATGTCAACCGCCCTGGCTGAGGCTGGTGCTCTCTCAGGCCGCTCGCTGGTCTGTCTGCCTGCCCAGCCGTCGCAGATGCTTCTCATAATAACCCCAATCCGCCCACTCTAGCCCTCGCGACTGCACTTCGACCCGCTTCCCCGTCATAGACAGCCTGCCAACATATAAGCCGCGCCCCCGGGCCTCCCTCTCGCACGCAACAATTCGCGCATACCTCCTTCCCCTTGGCGATACCGTCTCCCCGGCCACTGCGACACCATGTTGACCTACGACCACACTGCTCCGTCGCTCTACGGCGCCCAGCCGGCCAGCACCAATTTGGCGCCGGTCATGCCCGCCACCAATGGTGTGCGAGCACAGCCGCACCACCGCCACATCTGGATCATCACCGGCCCCGCCGGCTGCGGAAAGAGCACCGTCGCGAAGTACCTCGCCGACCAGCTGCAGCTGCCCTACGTCGAGGGCGATGAGGTTCGTTTCTCCCATTGCCCAGCTAGGCGTGCATCAGCCTGACTCACTGTCGCAGTACCACCCCAAGGCCAACATCGAGAAAATGGGCAACGGCATTCCCTTGACCGATGCTGACCGCTGGGACTGGCTTATCCTGCTCCGCGAGCAAGCCGTCCGCGAGCTGGAAACCGGCGCATCCGGCGTCGTCGTGACTTGCAGCGCCCTGAAGAAGAAGTACCGCGACGTCATCCGCGTCGCTTCGTACAACAACGCCAGGGTCCTTGTCCACTTTGTCTATCTCCAGGCCACCGAGGAAATGCTGATGGCAAGAGTGCGCGCGCGCCCGGGCCACTACATGAAGGACAACATGGTGCGCAGCCAGTTCGAGAGCCTGGAGGAGCCGGACCAAGAGGAGCTCTCCAAGGACGTCCTCGCCGTTGACGTCAGCGGAACCATGCCGCAGGTCCAGGATCTCGCCCTCGGACTCGTGCAGGAGGTGTTGAAGAAGGACTCGCTGCCCACTGCCGCATGATAATCTGTGCCTTTTCTTTCTTTGTCTGATACCTTTTATTGGCTTTTGAGCGTTCGGCATAACAGGCGCATTCTACCATTCATATTTTGAGGGCATCGGGGATACCAAAACGGACGGAACGGAGGGCGTTAGAGCTGCACGTATGCACCCAGAGGTGTGGTTTCAAGACGACCGATGCAGGCGGCAAATATAGCAATCGAAGTCGATTTACCATGCTAGATCCACGCCGTCGTGCCTCTTTCGGCAGTACCTGCATCAAGCGCGATCCAGACTACGCACCAGTGGAAATGACTCGGGTCACTGCAGGGAGGACGCTCGAGCGTCTTCCCGTATGTGGTTATGGACGAGTCGGGTTTAAGTCTTCTCCGCTTCCCCGCATGTACGTGGGACGCTTAACGTCGGCTTTGGCCTGCAACACCAACTCCCCCATGAAAATGTTTACGTGCCGCTACCTTCTGTATATCTTTCTTTTACTCCTCGCTACTATCGTTATCGTGTCTCCGTAGGTCGTCATCTTAGGCGTTGGCCGCCGCGAGGCCGGTGCCGGTGTTCGCAGCGAATAGAGTGACGGTCGTACGGAAGAATAAATGCTTCTTGAGCTAGAGCGCGGACTTTGGGGTGGTACCTAGGGCGGCGGCAGCGAGATGTACGGAGAAGATAGGGGCATTATTCGCGGGTGAGGAAGATATATTTGCGAGGTTCAAGTAATGTGCAATCTATACAGCGCTGCGTTAAGAGCTTTGCCCACTATGTAAAGAGATACATCGTAACGTATCCTTGCACGAAATAGAAGTCATTGACTAAACGAACACTGCAATTGTGAGAGGTCGCCATACACGAAGGCTAGCGTGGATTTATCATCGCTCACGTCCGGACGATAGCCCTAACTACCCAAATATGTCCTTTTTTTTTTTAAAAAAAAAGGAAAAATAAAAGGGTCAGGGCATAGTCCCTTGTTCCAGTGCCCTACAATTCTCCGCCCTAGCCTTCGGCTACAATACCCCTCTGTATATCGATATGTCGGCAGACTACATTCGCAAACGGCCACAGAATGGGGATGTCTTGGAGACAATCGCCGACCGCCTTGAAATATTCTGTAGCACGTGGCAAGGTGTATCTTGGCAAGTGAGGCAAAGGCGGCCGTCCAATGAAATTTTGTTTAGAGAAACGAAGGAACGTCGCTGGAGTAAGTTCTCGCCATTTGTATTCTCATATGTATGGAGGAAAAAAAGGAGAAAAAGGTATGCGCAGATGTGGGACACGTCTCCCTTATAAACCTTTCTCCTGCTTTGCTTCTTATGATGCACCAGTGGCCTGAGATGTTACGCTTACCCCTCACTTCTCGTGCGACGCTGTTACTCGTTTGGGGAAGCCAAGCGGCAAGGGTCATGGGTGAGAGGCTCCGTGGTTGCGTAAGGAAAACCGAACTTGGTTTCAATGCCGGTTGAACCTGAACAACCTCGCACAACTGCTCCTGCCAACCCTTCGAGATACGGAAGAGTATTGGAAGACATAGGGAAACAAACGTTTGTGCTTAGAAAACGACCCCTATTCGGTTCTAGACGCTTCATTCGTGAATCATGGAAACTTGTGCTGTGACTGCGACCAGCGAGCATGTGGGGAGGGACCCTTGCGGAGCACGGTCCGGAGAAGTCGAGCCGAGTAAATGCTCAACATTCGGACCATGCGAAAAGAGGAATGGATGTGGTTCTACACTGACTGGGAGATCAGAGGAGGCTGCGATCGGGTTAGCATATTCGTCGCACAAGTTTTACAAAAATCTTTTATAATAAGAGCAATCTCCAGCTGTGGATTAGTGCGTGGATTGGCCAGAAGATCCAAGGATCCAGTCTCGGCAATAAGCGTCTGTGTAGTGGTCTCAAATGGAAGGAATACCCAGGTTGAGAGTCAATATCCGTCTGCCACCTCTTTTAGCCTTGATACGCTCGTAGCGATGAACGTAATGTTGAGTGCTACAGGGGTATTGTAACCGAAGCCCAACGTGAGGAATAATAGGACCCTTGGGACATGGCGTAATTATGCCTCAGCTTTTTTAAACATATGTATGAAAAAGGACATAAGTAGGTAGTTGAAGCTATCATCCGGATGTAGGTGTAGAATTAACAATTGTACATTCCCGTCCGGATGATAGCTCCAACTACCTATGACATGAGCGAAAGACAAATTTACGTTAGTCTTCGACTGGAATACCCCTCTGTAGAAGCGCCGCTTAATTGTTTCATATTTAAGTACGGTACTCAAATATAGCCGCAATGGGTAAGCTCTTCGATATCATTTTTAAATCTTTCCTTAAAAGGAAAAGAGAGAGAGAGAGAGAGACGGGATTGCCAGGAGGGACAGAAAATTCAAGGCCGTAAAGTCTTCCGCAAGCCGCCGCGACATAGATACATTTAGTATCGGGGCCGCAGAACTACGTTGATACCCTGTTGCATCACAAACCACCTACACGAATTAGTAATGCATATCCCATGTAGCGGTCAACCAACTCACCAGCAGGTCTCTGTCCACTGTGACTCAGGGTCTACAAACTGCAAATCATAATGCATGAAGAGAGTTGGTATAAGCTGCCATTGGTCAGTAATGAGCCCCGTCAGTTGTCTATCCCAGTTGCGCATACCTTGGACATCTCCATCCAACTAATGTCTGTGATAGTTAGCTACCGAAGTGATTTGGTCATTTTCTGGTTGACTTACTCCGGCCAATGCAAGTCCTAGCACCCGAGCCAAAAGCGAAGAAGAACCGGTCTTGTCTCTCGTCAGCTTACATGCGACGTTGCCAGGCGAGAGCGATTGGGGCTTACGCATATCACCAGTATTATCTTTCAACCATCTTTCAGGTCGGAAAGCCTCGACATCATCTCCATAGACTTCCTTGTTGCGGTGTACGACCCATGGATTCACTCCAACGACAGTCTGCCAGCACACGTTAGCGAAACAAGTGTGGAAGGGCGGCCAGAAGAATACTCACACCTGCAGGCAGGTACGTGCCGTCAATCTCGGTACCTCCGGGAGGAACGACGCGCGGAAGGCTCATCCCCACGGCCGGATGACAGCGGAGAGCCTCGTACATGATAGCTTGCAGATAGGGCATGTTGTTTGCCTCATCCAGGGTGACGGGGTCACTGATCTTGCCCTGGCTGCGGAACTGGTTGATCTCGTCGACGAGCCTCTGCTTGCACTCAGGGTTCTTTAGCAGGTAGTAGATGATTGCGCGGGTCGAGATGGCCGTGGTATCACTTCCAGCAAAGATGTTGGAGCTGGCCATGGAGACGAGATCGCTGTAGTCGAAATCGACAGGGCGTTCTTTGTGGACAGCGAAGAGCTTGCTCAGGATATCCTTCCGGTCGCTGCCGCGGTCCTTACGAGCTTCGGTTTCGCGCAAAGCGAACTGACGCAGTGAACCATTGCGAGCAGTAATACCCAGATAGTTGCCGATGTAAGGCGAAAGGTAGTCGTGAAGCCAGAAAATCCATGGTACTTGACCAAGCCAAGCAGCTGAGCGCAGAGCCATCTCGATGGCTTGGAACGAGCCATCATCTGCACCAACGTCCATGAAGCCGAAGCGCTTGCTAAAGGTGATTTCTCCGATAATGTCTGTAGAGTGTAAGCGGAGGAGATAGTCTTGGTTGCTTAAAGACGTACCAAAAGCAAAGAGCTGGACCCAGTTGCCCATATTCATAGGTTTGCCGGCCCTTTCGTTCATGTTCTGCATGAAGACCTTGATGGACTCATCGACGTACTGTTCGAGATCCTTGAGGGCATCCATTGAATACGCTCTGGCGACGAGACGGCGGTGCTGGCCATGGATTGCTTCATCACGGCCGGCGAAAAGGTCGAATTTCCTTCGTCCCTGCCAGACACCGTACCACTCGGACTTCTGGAACTTGGTTCCAGCACCTTTGCGAAGGCGTCAATAACGGAGAATTGCACGGGGTAGGAGTGCTCACCGTAGATTTTCTTGATGGCCGAGAGGTCGGCCACGCTCCTGATGCACGATGAGCAAATGAACACCAAATTCGGTACGATTTGTCGACTTACACTTCATTTGGGCCAGTGCGAACCAGGTTCCCGTGCTTGTTGTGGAGCTCAATGACGGTCCGATGCATATCACCGTCCCAGGAATGTTTGGTGATCCATAGCCGCGAAAGTTTCGCAGAGAACGGGCCAGGAATCTTGGCCAAGGGCGATAGATAGAGCTGATAGACTACGTATGCAAATATTGCCAGCGCCGGGCCCAGCACAAAGACAGCGAGTTTGTGGTCGGCAGCGAAGCCGAGGACGGCATCAAGGAAAGGCATGTTGGTTGCAGTGCAAGGCGGAATCGAGCACAGAGGGCATCCGTTTTATGAAGCCGTCCTCTGTGATGGGCTCGGTTGGTCGGTTATCGTCAAAGTAAGCTTGAGGGGTTGACATGGTGTTTAGCTCTAGTGATCGTCTGGTTGGGCTGGTGATTGGCTGGGCTTTTCGGGGTATTCGGCGATTAGCAGGACGGTGTTCTTTTTATTCACAGATGCAGGCGATGATGTTGCTTGATTACACGGCGTAGCCGTTTTGGTTGATGGCCGCAGCGAGTCAGCAAGCACACGTCTCCGAGACAGACGCCTCCGAGATACACCCCAGTGACGATTCCGAAATGACTAGCTGCGCGCTCCCGGGAGATGATGCAAGACCTCGGTGTCGCTCGGGTGGCCGGGATGGGCGAATCAGGGGCGTATCGAAGTCATCTGGTGGTGAAAGTGTGGGGAAAGGCAAGGTTGAGTGGGCCGAAGGGTGTGTCGCGGTTTCCGGAGTGGATCTAGCGCCCGAGGCAGTGAGACTTGCCGACCCCGGATTCCGTAGCAGCCACCTGCCGATTTTACAGCCGCGTTGTGCTCGCCGCCATCTCCCCGCAGCGCACAGTCCACGGCTGGGAAACGCGGCGAACAACCTCTCTCCAACGCTCCCGTATTTTGCTGCCGCGCTACTTCAGCCTCGTGCTGCATTACCGATGCCGAATCGGCATCTCCCTTTATCTACCACCATGCCTCTCACCTCGAGTCCGCTTCACCACCCCTCTCTCCCAGCCTCAGCCTGCCAATCACGGTGCTGCGCCGCACCTTGCCTCCCCCCGTCAAAATGGAAAAGTACGACATCGTCATCATCGGCGCCGGCCCCGTCGGCCTGATGCTGTCCTGCCAACTGCAGCGCTGGGGCTACAAGATCAAGCACATCGACAACCGTCCCGAGCCCACCCCTACTGGCCGCGCCGACGGCATCCAGCCCCGCTCGCTTGACTTGCTGCGGAACATGGGCCTGAAGCGGAAGATCATGGCCCACGACCCTGCCAAGGTCTACGAGGTCGCCTTCTGGGACCCCTGCAACTCCGGCATCCACCGCACCGGTACCTGGGCCAGCTGTCCCAAGTTCATCGACGCCCGCTACCCCTTCACCACCCTGCTGCACCAGGGCCTGATTGAGCGCGTCTTCATCGACGACATCGAGAAGAACGGCGGCACCATCCAAAGACCCTGGACCATTACCGGCTTCCAGAACGACGCCAAGGATGCCGACTATCCCGTCGAGGTCAGCATTGCCCACGTCAACGGCCAAGAGAAGGAGACTGTCCGCGCAAAGTATCTCTTCAGCGGCGAGGGTGCAAGAAGCTTTGTCCGGAACCAGCTGGGCGTGCAAATCAGACACAAGGACCCCATCGCTCACGTGTGGGGCGTCATGGACGGTGTTGTTCAGACCGATTTCCCTGATATCAAGGTACTTCACTATCCCCTGCCTGTACGCGCACACTGCTAACCCTAAATCCAGATGAAATGCACCATCCACTCCGACCACGGATCCATCATGGTCATCCCCCGTGAAGACAACATGGTCCGCCTGTACATCCAGATTGCCTCTTCGACAGACCCCGACTGGAACCCTCGGAAGACGGCTACTGAAGAGGAGGTCCAGAACCATGCCAAAGCCATCCTTGCTCCTTACTACATCAAGTGGGATCGCGTCGAATGGTACTCTGTCTACCCCATCGGCCAGGGCCTGGCTGATAAATACACGCTCGACGAGCGTGTCTTCATGGGCGGCGATTGCTGCCACACGCACAGCCCCAAGGCTGGCCAGGGAATGAACACCGCCTTCCTCGACGCTGCCAACCTGGCTTGGAAGATCCACCATGTCGAATCCGGCCTGGCAAAACGCGACATTCTCAAGACGTACGAGTCGGAACGTCGCCTCATCGCCGACAACCTCCTCAACTTCGACGCCAAGTACGCCAAACTTTTCTCCGAGCGCCTGCCCTCGGCCGGAGAGGTCGGCGCCGCCAATCAGCATGCCAAAGACCAGCCAGTCGAAGAGAACAATTTCATCAAGACGTTCAAGGAGAGCTGCGAGTTCACCTCTGGCTACGGCGTGGCCTACAATCCCAACATCTTCAACTGGTCCGCTGAGCACCCTACCTCGTCGCGTTCGTCCCTCTTCCTCGATCATGCCGCCGGCACCACCAAGCTCCGCACTGGCCGCATTCTCACGCCCGCCACCGTCACTCGCGTTGTCGACGCCAACGTCGTGCATCTGGAGCAGGAGATTCCGCTAAACGGTGCCTACCGTATCTACGTCTTCGGCGGCGCTCCGCAACGCACGCACCAGGCTCTTGCCGACTTCAACACTGCCCTGCGCCGCAAGGGCAGCTTCCTCTCGGCCTACGCCGTCCCGGACGAGAAGGCCGTGTCGTACCACGAGCGCTACAACCCTCACAGCCCTTTCTTCACCTTCGCCACCGTCTTCGCCGCCAAGCGTACCCAGATCGAGATTCTGGAGGACCTGCCCGAAATTCTGGCTCGCTACCGCGATCTCGTCTATGCCGACGATGTGTGGGACCAGCGCGTGCCCGACGCGAGCGCCGCTGCCCACGCGAAGATGGGCTTGAGCGAGGAGACGGGCGGCGTTGTCGTCGTGAGGCCAGATGGATACGTTGGCTGCGTTGTCAAGCTCGTCGAAGGTAGCGGCACCGTGGATGCACTGAATGAGTACTTTTCGACATTCTTGACAAAAAGCTTAGGCGGCGAGAGGGCGCAGTTGTAGGGGAAATGACGTTTTGCACCTTTTCTTCGCTCATGTAAAATGCGGTAGCGTCTTATCTCTTTTCTCCGTCACTTCTTTTTTCGGCTGCGATGCCAGCCAGATCTTCAGCGACATGCACAGCGGGTTCTCTTTTTTGGCTTGATTCCCGATAGAGTTTTGTGAATTAAGAACAGAGACTGGAAAGATAGGGGGCTACAGGAGTTGAATAAGATATTAAAGAATCATCTCTAAACTGTTCTGTGGACGGTGACATATGTTTGATTGGTATTAGTACTCCGTAAAGTCTCCTCTTGCTGCATATTCTTATATGTGTTTACGTTCTGCACGGTGCCACCCCTTAGGCAGCATAAAGAGTGATGGCACGGTGGATGGTACAAGACTGAGCTCTCATTGCCTCATAAGCGATGCTGGAGAAGGGTATCCTAGCCGAAGGCCCCCGTGATTTGTTCTTCCTTTCTTTTCGCTCAAGTTATGGGTAGTTGAAGCGATTGTCCGGTCGTAAATGTCCAATTAATAATTATGCATCCACGCCTGCGATAGCTTCTGTTCTGTGTTTAAAAAAAGTTGCTGGATAACAATTATCTCTTATTCTAGGATCCTACTATTAATACTTCGCGCTAGCCTTCGGTAGCAGTATTCCTCTGTGAGTTCTTCACCATGGGCAGTTGAAATCAACTGCATAGAAATACGTGGTAATTTTGATATTGGATTTAACTGTCCACACAAGCAGGGTAATATATTGCTATACAACCTCTATCAAGACCATGAGCAACGTAAGTTCATAAATGTAGCGTATCTCAAAGACGTATGAACACTTTAAATGCAAGCAAAGGATTTCCACCCTCCTCCTCGTTCCAAATACACTCTGTACAGCACATACATCTACCTTCCTCCCTATCTAACTTACTCGCAATCAGCAAACTCCACAATCTCGATCTTCACTTCCTCGCACTGCGCCGCCCACCACCGATCATACAGGTTGTAGAAGTCGCCGCTCAAGCACCTGTACCACGTCTTGCTCCCGCCGAGCGCCAACGAGGCGGTGCCGTCTTCGCTGCAAACGCTGAACCCGGCCGTGTACAAGGCGCCGGCCTGCGGTGGGGCGTCGAACTGGAACTGGTAGTTGGACGCGATGTAGCCGGTGCGGTTGTGCGCATCGTGCAGGACGCCGTCGGCCAGGGTGAGGGTGAGAGTGCTGCTGGTCGGGCAAGCTGTCAGGCTGCGCTTGTTCTTCTTCTTCTTCTCGTCGGTGGGCGATTGGATCTGGCCGTCGGAGATTTGCGAGACGGCGGCGACGCTGGTGGCTGCTGAGGAGCTGCAAGAAGAGGACGTCGGGGTGGTGGTGGTGGTGGTGGCGGCGACGTAGGTTACGATGGTGGCGGTGGTACCGGCTGGAGCTTGCGGCTGGCCGTCGCTGATTTCGGAGACGGGGACGACGGTTGTGGCTTCTTCGGTGGAGGAGGAGCTGACAGGCGTCCTACAGCGGCTCTTTAGAGACGTTGTTGGAGTGGTGGTCGGCGTGCCAGCAGGTGCCTGGGGCTGGCCGTCGCTGATCTCGGAGATGGGGATGACGGAGGTGTAGTCTGGCGTGTAGACGGGTGTGGTGACACCAGTCGTCGGGACCTGGATTTGGCCATCGCTAGTCTGTGAAATAATATAGACATCGCCAGCGTTACTGGCCGTAGCCCTACAGTGGAGTTAGCATGCCTGCTTCATAAAATTCTCGGTGGAAAAGTGTCCTACATTGATGACAAGGTTGCCACGCCACTTGCAGAAGAAATAACGACGACGGCGATCCCGAAAGATCCACTGTAACTAGCACTGCAGCCAGACGGAGCAGCACCACTAGGAGAGATTGCAGCGGTCACTGCTTGTGGGAACGGGGAGGCATGGGCGCTACGGGCCGCAAGGGCGCCCACAGCTGCGATAGCTGCATAACTCTTCATTTTTAAGAAGAATGGTTGGACGAAACGATGAGATAAGAATAAGGTTATCCAGAAATTGATGTTGTTGGGCACTGAACCAGCCCTACCGAAAGTGGGTGTGGGGTTAACCGGCGAGGGAAATGAGGGATGATGGACAGAAAGACCAGGGCATCCTGAAACGAATATAAATGTCGAAGGGACGAACAAACGTGGCTGGCAGCCAACCGTTCGGCCGTGAAGGCGGGCTGTCGAAACACGCTTGATCGTAATGCATTCCACACCGAAGGCCTGTGGATGCCGTTGAGAATCGGAAACCTCGACCCATGTTTGCTCCAGCCATGTCTGACAACGACGACTATGAACGCACAAGTGGGTCTCCTGCCACACCAAAGCTGCGGTATTGGTCAGGCTACTGAGCATCATCCCATGCTGGGTGGCTGAGGTCTTGCCACTTTGAGCCGTACGAAAGACATGCCGAGGGGCAAACAACGCGTTTCGGTGGGCTTCTCGGGCCAACCCGCCAGTCGGACCAGAATGTTTCACGGGGAGAGGACGCGGAAGCGTGCGTAAGAAGATGGTGGGGACGGGACGCGTCGTCACCTTTGGGCGAAGGCGCAGCCTGGTGCACGCGCCACAACACCAGCTACCTACAGCCCCCTCTCGCAGCCGACAGCTTTGCCTCAGAAAATAACATACGTGGGTAGTTGAAGCTATCGTCCGGACGAGAATGTCGCATTAAAAATTCTACATACACGCCCGGACGATAGCTTCAGCTACCCACATATGTTATTTTTCTAAGGCAGAGCTGGGCATAGTTGCTTTGAACGATCGCATAGAAAGAATGTATAGAGCGAGCATACGATTACGAAAGCTGTGGCGGGGATCGACGGGTCGCTGTAGAATTGACGGCAGTTCATTGCGCGGCACACCTGACGCCGCCATTGCTCGATGCTTGGGGGGAGTCCTCGAGAATCCATGTGATTGATTTCCTATCCTAGGTACTCTGGGCACCGTGTAATTATTCACAGACCTGTACAAGTTCAAACAGTAGCCACTCGCAGCCAGATGACCAACCTGACCTGGACGTGTATCTCCTTTACACAGACCTCTTTACTCGTGATGGGGTTGAGTTGAGAATTCTGCTTCCGTCGATGCGATGCAAAAGAGTGGAGATTGGTGGGCTGGAGGACGCGGAACCCCATGCCTCCGCCAAAGAGCAAGTAGCGGTTTCTCTGATAGGTAGGTTAGATCACTCACCCAGTAGGCAAGTACTCCGCCACTTACTTCCTGCGCGACCCTCAAAAATTCTAGCTTGAGTCTGAAATGGACTCCAGCGTCATCGATGCGTCAAAATTGTCAATTCCCATCAGTCACGTATCCCAAGTCGCAATGATATCTTCCACTTCTTTCTGGACTTCAGCACATGAGAGACGTTCGTCGTCGTCACTCCGCAGCATGCCTTGAATAAGCTCAGCAATGCGCGTACCGCATCCCTCCAGCTTTGGTGTAAAGAGAGGAGGGAGCCTCCCGAGCTTGAGCTCGCTAAGAGTGTGGATTCGTTCTGACTCTGGATCAAAAGTTAGTAAAGAGGCGTTGGATGTCATGGCAAAAGTAGAGACTGAGGGTAGTACTCATCCCCCACGTCATAGAGAGTATAATCCAAGAAAGGACTTACTAGTATCGAACTTCCACAGCAGCTCAAACGCAATGACTCCAAGGGAGAAGACGTCCAACTTCTCGCTCGGCTGGCGGCTTGGACCCGGTGGGCGGTAGAACTCGGTCCCAACCGCCTTTTCTGCGCCGTGTGCTTGATCTCCTCCAGCACGGGCAAGCTCAGTGACGAGCCCAAAGTCACCAATGCGGACGCCCATCTGGAGATCTCTACAAGGGCCTACTTTTGCACACTCCCTGCACACGCCGAGATGCACGTGTCCCTTGTGGCGGTAGACTTGCTCGCACGGAGACAAGAATATATTGGCGGGCTTAAGGTCACGATGAACCATGCTACGCGCATGTAGATACTGGACACCGTCCAGAATTGCCAGAAGAATCTGGAGCGATGGTTTCACATGGAAGCAGTGGCGATACTTCACATCATCAGTCTTGTCTTTTGCGTCATCCCCAGGACCCACTGTGAGACAGTCCGTCTCAACTTTGAGGTAGTCAGCCAGAGTCATTGGGTAAAGCGCCATCTGAATGTGAAGCGCCAAGTTGATCTGTGATATATCAGAGCATCTGGGCGTCCTTGGGTCTGTGCGACGTTGTGGATGGGCATGGTAGTCATCCTCAAAAACAATGTCCATTCCGAACGAGTTCTCCCGCGGTCCCGAGAGTGCAAGATTAGCGAAGTCTCTTTCAACTTCTTCATCAAACTCATCATCGGTGCTGTGGACGAAACTCTTCCTCGAGACAGACGAAGATAGTGTATTGTGGCTTTCTCTGCGCCTCCGCGACTGCTTGGTGGGCGAGAGAAAGTCTATGGGATCCCCGAGCTCCGATTCCGGTCGCTCGGATTTAGCCGGTGAGGAGGAAGTCCGGCAGCTCTGACGTCTGCTGCGAGGGGCTTGCAGATGGTAGCCAGAGTGAGCCGTCGGGCCTGGTGCAGAATCCTCGCCAAAAACGATACCATCATCTGGGCTTGATAAATCCAGCCTCGAGTCGAAAGTCGGTTCGAGGCCTGCTATTGAGCCAGAGACGTCGCTTGACTCCATGTTGGTTGAAAGGTTGGTAGAACCGAACTCTAGAAGCCTTTGGTTGGCCTTCACGAGATTATGGAGACTTCCTGAAGGTCGCTCAAGCCAAGCGCTGTGGTAACGGACGATGTTTGGGTGGTCGAATCCTTGCATTGCTCGGACCTCCTTTAGAATAGCGTCGAGCTCAGCTTGGCCTTTGCTGCGAATGTTGCGCATACGAGAGGCACTAAGCGGGATTTGCTTGATGGCATAGAAGCCTCCATCGAGGGGGTGATAGCCTGAAAACACAGTGCCGTATCCGCCTTTTCCGATTATTTGGAGGTTGTAAAAGCTCGCCATGGAGAAGCTAGGCGGCAGAAGCGGATGTGCATGACCAACAATGCTTTGCAGTATATCCGGAGTAGGGCCTGGGGGCACTGGACCAAATCTAACAGGCGAGCGTTGGGGCGATGATGTCTCGTTGTGGGCATGGCCGGTCAATTCCAAAGTACTCGACGAGCGATAGATGTTCCTGTCCGGGGACTTCTTGCGAAGGCGCTCAAGGGCGCCACCTCCTGGTTCTTTGGCGACATCGAGGGCCTGATTGTAATTGTCGCGGAGCGGCTTGAACTCGTCCCTGTGAAGGCCAGACTGGCTGATGCCGTGGGCGGCAAGGCTTGAGGCAACCTTGAAAAAATTGGCTTTTGCGCAGGCCTTAACTTCAGGGTCGTCTTTGGTGTAGAGGCGGTCATGTTTCGGATCGCGTGTTCTATTTAGCTCTTCGACGGCTTCAAGCAGACAATTTCTCTCCAGCAGAGCATGGAGCACACCCTCTCGGTGGTCGAAAAGCTGCCCACCAACATAGTTCTTTGGCAGGGAGCGGGAAAGCTCTTCGATGGATGTAGATGCAGCGGACTTGGTGCGGGCAAGATCATAGACATTGGCGGGCTCGTCGAGGCTCTCTTGTTGGTCGTCTTCGTAGACACCAGAGGAGTCGCTCTGGTACGAGGTATCGGTGTCGTCGAGCGGGGAGCGGAAGAATTGTGAAGGCATGCTGCCAAGCTAGTTGCGAGCCTGCGCGGGAGAAAAGTAGCTTAACAGAGGATGCGGATGCGAGTGCTGATGGCGGGCATGACTGCTAACGATCGGCGCAGCCAGAGCGCGGAAGGATCGGGTAGCAGTCGTGAGCGAGCGTGTCAATAATTGAAGGAGGGCGGAGGGTGCAGGGAGGCAGAGATGCCAGGTGGAGGCTTAAAGGGCAGATGTAGCAGGCTCCGAAATGTCCAGCTGCAGGGCGCGCGCCCTGCGCCTATGACGCGGGGCCCAGTGCAGCACAAGACCCTGGCAATCGACACGGCAGGTGCGCGTGCCCCTCGGCGGTCTGACGCGCCGCGCCGCGCCTGCTCACTAGGTGTCACCACTCGGCGCGTCATGCGCGCTTGCCTCTTCTTCTGCCTTCTCTCGCCTCGCCATCATCATGCCCCGCAAATTGCCATGGCTCAGCGAGAAATCCGACTCGAAGCCGGCTGAGGCATCCGTCAAGAAGCGCCGCCTGCAATCTCCCGACTCTCTAGACGATCTCGATGCTCCCGCTGCCAGCACTCCCCGACCCAAGGGAAAGGCTCGCGCCAGTATGCTGCTAAATCTACGCGCGTCCGCCAGCGCTGATGTTCTGTAGCTCGTACGCCGTCGTCTTCGCCCCCGCCGCAGCCCCCGAAGCAAGAGTACGCTCCTCCCGACCACTCCATCGTTGTTCTCAATCTGATTTGAGCTAGATTCATGCAGGAGGGACTTGCGGCCGACGACGCATGGATGATGGTCGAAGATGAATTCCTCGATACAGCGAGAACATTTACCCGACATCTGCACCATGCCGAATATCACCGCCTGAAGCGTGCGGCCCGCGAAAAGAATGCATCCGCTGCCCAGAACATTGTTCGGCCCGTGGTATCCCGTGGCAAATTGAGTGTCGAGTCACAGATGAAGCACGAAGCAAAAGCACGGGCAGAAAGACAAATCGACGCTTTGCGCAGAATTGAGGGAGGCAACAAAGGCAGAGACGAGCTCGAGGAGGAGGCTCCCTGGGCCCGAGATCCACACCTTGGCGGCCTGATGTCGGGCTCGCAGGACTCGTCAAGCCAGCTGGCAACGCTAGCCGGCATCAAGTCGAAGACACGTGCTGCCGCCGGCTATGCTGGTGCCGGGTCGAGACCGTCTTCGAGCAGACATGATGTCCCGAAACCTTCCAAAGGAAGCAGATCCCGCTCTTCGCTCGAAGGATTAGCGAAAGAAATCAGACGTGCTGAGGCTAGCAGTGATGAGGATGATTTGGACGCATTCTCTTCCGGCAGGAAACGCATAAGCAAAGAGTCTGTGCGGCGGTTGTCTGGTTCTTCCACCAAAGCTCGAGAACCTTCGATGCTGCCACCGAAGCGTCCCAAGCAGTCGGGACATCCTAGTCTACCACTAACGAAGCAGACAGTCTCTAGTTCGAGCCCGCAGCGTCAAGTGAACACCTCGGACCGATCAACATCAACCTCTGAACCTGCTAGAAATACTCCTAACACCGTGACCGCTACGAACACTACGACTTCTTCCAAATCAAGCAAACGCAAAGTGCTAACATCAAGATTCACGTTCTTTGATACATTTGCAGGGTCTCATGATGCACTGGATACGATGAAGGATGACATTCCTGCAAAGAGTCCCAAGAAAAGCCCTGAGCAGCCTGCAAGACCGAGCGCGAGGAAGGACAAGGAGCAGAAGCAGAAAAGGTCGATTTCAGCTGACGAGATACCCACTTTCCTTTTACAGTAGGCAGCTAATCCTTAAGCCAACTACCATTTCTCCACATATGGTCTGATATCGATCTCCCACGTGAGGGTAGTTCTGGGCTGTGTGTGAAGGTGCCAATAGGCATCCGCAATCTGGAAACGCAAGTCAGCTCACCAACGCATGTACAATTCAGCGGTTGAGGACCTACCCCATCAGCACTGATCTTTGCATCCGGCGGCGCATCCTTTAAATACTCCTTCGTCCTGGGAATGTCAATGACGCCGTCGATGATGGCGTGACTGACGTGCACGCCCTGCGGGCCAAACTCCTTGGCCAAGCTCTGCGACAGGGCTCTCAAGGCCCACTTGCCCGTGGCAAACGACGCCATCTGTGCATTGGCCTTGACAGAGGCCGTGGCGCCAGTAAAGATGAGCGAGGGCGGGTGCTTGGAGTGGGGCGCCGCGCTGACCAGCCGCGGCAGCGTCGCCTGTGCGAACAGGAAGGCGCCCTTGCCCGACACGTCGAGCCCGGCGTTGAACTCATCCTCGCTCAGCTCGAGAAACGGCTTGCGCACGAAGCGTCCGCTGGCGTTGAAGATGGCGGCCTGTAACCCACAAGGTCAGTCTCTGGAGCACACAAGCGGATGCAAGTCAGCTGTGAGAGGACGTACAGCCAGCGCGTAATCACCGCCAAACTCACTCCCGATCTTGTCGAAGGCGGCCTTCACGCTCTTGGCGTCGGCAATGTCGGTCGAGATGCCGATGGCCTTGCCGCCGGCGCCGTTAATGTCCTTGACGAGGCTGTCATAGTTGTCCGGATTACGTGCCAGCAGCACGACCGGGTAGAGTGACGCAAACTTGCGGGCTACCGCGCCGCCCGTGCCTGGCCCCACGCCTGCGATGACGGCTACAAGCTTCGACATTTTGTGTGCTCCTGGTTTGAGGCTTGTAACTTGTAAGGTCTTCTGGTGGTTAGAGAGCGGTTGGTTGGGGAGTTTTGCGGGTAGCTGCTGGTAGCTGAGAAGAAGCGGGGTATTGTTGTGGAGAGCAATTGAATGCGGGCGGCGGCACCGGGCCCTTATAAGTAGCTTCGAGCATGTAATGCGGAGTAAACTATGAGGTGATAGTAATCAACTATGAAGCATTCGTGAGCGCGTGTTCAACGTCCGAGGCCGAGCATGCTGATTTGTAAGGGTCCAATTGCATCATCAAACCCCCGAGCTCCTTATCGATAATGCGTACTATCCTATGAACCCCACCACCCACAAATAAGTGTCGGCAGATTTAAAGCTCCTCACGCGAGCAGTTGAAGCGATTGTCCGGACGTAAATGGGGAATTTACAATTCTACACTGAAGTCCGGACGGCAACTTCAATTACTCACCAATACCGAATATTATTGAGGCGTGGAATGTTTCCGCCTGACGTGGTAAGCACTATTGTTACTTCCTGGACTAAAAGCCTGGTATTGTTCACTCTAGCCTTCCGCTTCAATGTCCACCTGTATAAGTTATCGTTTTGCCGACAAACATGAGAGAATACTCTACGGCGATGAGTAGTCTCACATTAGCATAACACATATTGGAGGACTTCTAGGATTTTTCCGTATCATAATGTATCTTGTCATTTTTTGTCTAAGTGAATTTCCAAATGCTTCTTTTGCATTGTCCTTTGACTGCCTGGGGGCTGCTGACCTCCCAGCGCCTATTTCCCTCATCCTTCATTAACGCCAACGGAATTTCTAAACCAATCAAGCTTTGCATGTTATGCTCCATAAGTTCCGAAGCTGCTTACACCTCGTTGCTAGGGTAAGGAACCTTCTCAAGAGGCAGGAACTCCTCCTTGATCGCCCTCATGCTGACGAAGCGGCTGATCAGGTTGGCGCTGCCAGCCTTGTCGTTGGTGCCCGAGGCACGAGCGCCACCGAAAGGCTGCTGGCCGACGACGGCACCGGTGCTCTTGCAGTTGACATAGAAGTTACCAGCAGAGTTCCTGAGGGCCTCCTCGGCGAAGCGGATGGCTTCCCTGTCCTGAGCGAAGACGGCGCCGGTAAGGGCGTAGGCGGTAGTCCGGTCGATAGTCTGGCAAATCTTAGAGAAGGCATCGGGGGCAGCATCATCGTAGACGTGGGCGACGAGGATAGGGCCGAAGAGCTCGCGGCTGAGGAGCGGGTGGGCGGGGTTGTTAGTAGCGTAAACGGTCGGGTGGATGAAGTAGCCCTTGCTACCATCGTACTTGCCGCCGACGAGCAGCTCCAGTTCGGAGTCGTTCTTGGCCTCATCGATGACGCCGGACAGCTTCTTGAACGAAGCCTCGTGGATGACGGGGCCGCAGAAGTTGGAGAAATCGGCGGGGTCACCGATCTTCAGAGCAGAGGTCTCAGCGACGAGAATTTCCTTGAAAGCGGGCCAAAGGGACTTGGGGACGTAGATGCGGGAGGTGGCGCTGCACTTCTGGCCTTGGTATTCGAAAGCACCACGCACGGTCTGCTTGGCAGCGTTCTCGACGTTGGCAGAGGGGTGAATCAGGTGGAAGTTCTTGCCACCAGTCTCACCAACGATGCGCGGGTAGCCTTGGTAGGTGCCATCGGCAACTCCAGAGGCAATCTGACCATACAAGCTGCGGAAGACCTGGGTGCTACCGGTGAAGTGGAGGGCAGCAAATTCTCTGTGGCCAAGAACGACCTTGGTGACTTCCTGGGCGTCGCCGGGCACGAATTGAATGACGTTAGGGGGCAGGCCAGCCTCGAGCAGAATCTTGTAGAGAAGCCAGTTCGAGGCCATGGCGGAGGGAGAAGGCTTCCAGACTACAACGTTGCCCATCAATGCCGGAGCGCAGGGAAGGTTACCGGCAATGGCAGTGAAGTTGAAAGGAGTGATGGCGTAGACGAAACCCTCCAGCGGGCGGTACTCGACGCGGTTCCAGACACCGGGAGAGTGGTGGACCGGCTGGCTGGCCAGAGTCTCCTGAGCGTACTGGACGTTGAAGCGGAGGAAGTCACAAAGCTCAGCAGCAGAGTCAATCTCAGCCTGCCATGCGTTCTTGCCCTGGCCCAGCATGGTCGCGGCCATGATATCGTATCTGTACTTCGTCGAGACCAGGTCGGCAGCCTTCAGGAAAACAGCAGCACGGTCGGCGAAGGAAAGAGACTCCCAGGAAGTCTTGGCCTTCAGGGCAGAGTCGATGGCAGTGGTGACATTGGCGGTGGTGGCGTTGGAAAAGCGAGCGACGGGTTCGGCGTGGGACGACGGGTTGTTCTGAGTGTGGACAGCGGACGATTTGATCTGCAAAGGGTCAGCCGCGAGTAGGAAGAACCAATCGTCGCAAGTAATTACCTCCTTGCCGCCGACATAGACAGGCACCTCGACGGGGCCCTGCTTCCTCATCCTCTCAAACGCCTCCTCGAGCTTCTTCCGGTCGACGGAGCCCTTGGCATAGTGTTGCTACAGCGAATGATCAGCAACGGCGACAATTGACAGGCGAGGAGCTGGGAACGAACGTTGGGCTCGTTGTTGACGGCAGGCACCTTGAAGGTAGCCAAATGGCCCATCTTCCTGGAAGCGACGCGCGAGGGCCATTGCGGCGTGTTGATGCGGGGTCGCGGGCACGACCTGAGCTGGGCGAAGCTCTGCATACCTCCCTTCGGCGCAGCCATTGTCAAAGCAGGCAGTGACAGGTCAGAGACGCGAGTGACGGTATGGACGTGAGCCAATTCAGTCGCGAGGCGGATGGTTAATTAAGTGACCAGAAAGGTGAGGAAGCTCTGGCCTTGCGGGCGGCTACCGTCGGCTTCGCCACTTCTGCGCACCCTCGCGCGCCCCCGAACATCGGCGTTCCCCACACAAACCCCCGGCCGGCGTGCGTTCCGAACTCACTGCAATTCTCGACACATCGATTGGTCTCCTTCACTGCCGCATTAGGGTTGATCCTTCGTGCCTATAAGCGTAGATGTGGGATACAAACGATGGTTTGAACTCCCTATTTAAGCCAACTAAAATCCTCGCAAAACACCAACACGGACACTCAATTACTTTGTAGCTCGAGACAAAGTTGGTGGGAAAACGAATCATTGACCTGCAGGTGCGGTGAGTTGTTCTTCCACCGGGGAACCAGCTGGAGACAGGAGACCAAACCTCTGTAGGAAGTAAAGGTACGACTCGAAGGGTGTTGCAACTTTGAGAAACGTTTGTCTTGATTCTATCTCATGCCTTTACGGAGAAGCAAATTTTGTCTTGGGATTGCTACGCGAATATACCGGTTTTGCGTTCCGCTTCGCTCGTCAAGGCCACAGTTGGCGAATGCCATAAAACTCTATCATTCAGCTTGCAGAGCCCTGGAGCCCGTAAAGGCACTGCATGCAACGTCTCTTAAGTATCTTGGTCTTTGGTATTTCGAAGACATTATCCCAGTCAAGACCGCGCGAGACCATTCCAAAGTACGCCAAACACCTTTTATAACTCTTATTGACCTCTGACTGGTTCACCTTTTTCAAGATTCCATAGCCTCGGTGCTTTCTCCATCGCCCCAAAGACCGTCAAGTTTGAACTCTGCAGCCCATTCCTTGACGATCTCCTTCTGGTCACCCACCGGCGCAGCGCCAGCCTCAGGAGCAGGCGCATTGGGCATCGAGACATTTGCGACCTGTAAGATAGGGGCGTCCATCCAACCCTGAATCCTGCCGTCTCTCCAGTCGGTGATGACAGCAAGCGCGGCGCTATGGAGGTTGGGAACACCGCCGCGACTGAGCCTGCCACGCTTGCGAGCGACGTGGATAAGGAAGTCATTGGTGATGTCGCCCGAGGACATGAGCGCAGGAAGCTCGTACACGGCGAGCAACTTGTTGAACATTTCTTCGTTCTGCGACATTCTCTTGACCAAAAGGCTGACTGCCGGAATAGGGTCGTCAATTTCCTTGGGCGGAATGGCGTTAAGCAGAATGAGACGAGCTTGCTCCTCCGCCTTGTGCGCTTTTGAGCCGGCGCTCGACGAAGGGAAGACGATGCCAGGCGAATCGAGAAGCTTGAGCTTGTTATCGAGCTTGACCTCGCGCAGGCTCGTGGTAACACCAGCCTCGGCACCGGTTGGGCAAGCTGCCTGCCGGTTACCGATTCTGGAAGTCAGGGCGTTGATAACGGAAGACTTGCCGACGTTGGGGTACCCGATAACGCCTACAGAGATGGATCGCTTGAGCTGCTTAGACTGAGCGTATGACTTGAGAGCCTTGAAAAGGGCTTCCGAGGTTGCCTTGACAGTAAGCTGTTTGTGGTCGAAAGTCTTCGCGTTCGGTGCCGGATTGGATGCGCGAAGTGGAAGCGTAGGGAAGTAGCGGCGAAGGTGGGTCAGCCAGCCTTTCAGGACTGGGGGCGGAACGAGGTCGATCTTGTTCAGAATGAGGATCAGACGCTTGTCAGCCGCAGCGGACATCACCTGCCGCTCCACTTCCTTGGACCTTGTGCCTTCCGGATCCCTAGCATCCAAGACATAAAGGACAACATCTGCTGCCTCAACCACCTGCTTGAAGATCTTGTCGAATGCCTTCCTCGAAGAATCCTTGCGCGCCGTCGCTGCCGAGTTCTTGTCTTCACCTGTTGCCGTCCAACCATCGTCATCCTCCTCCATCACATCGTCCTCGTGCTCTGCTTCGTACTCAGCGGCGCGGGCTTTAGCGGATGCGAGGAGAGCAGCCATAGGGTTAGAGGAGTTGTCCTGCAGGCGGATTAGCAATGACTTTGAGTGCGCGCTGGCAGCACATACCTCATCCATGGCATCGTCGTCAGAGGCCTCGTAGTCAATCATATCTTCGCCGTCCTTCACGTCGTCCATATCTTCCTCCTCCTCAGCGACCTCGGCATTCTTGCCCTTCACTGCCCTGCGTGCTTTCGCTTCCTCGCGCTTGCGTTGTTGCTCCTCCTCCTTCAAGCGCTTCTTCTCCTCAATCTCGGCCAAAATCTTGTCCTTGTACGGGAAAAGGTTCGGGATGCCAGGGTCCTTCTTCAGCTTGGAGCGCCATTCGGGATTCTAGGCTGCTGTAAGCATGCGGTTACAACAAGACAGATGTGTAGAGCTTCTGTACCTGCTTTGCTTCCTTTTTGGCCTTCCGTTGCTTCGCCGCCGACTTCTTCTCGATTTTGTGCCGGAGACGCACCGGAACGCGCTTCGACTGGGGCTCTGCATATGGTCAGCACCGTGTAAAAAACGCGATCTTAAGGAACATACTGCCGACTTTCATAGTGAGTTGTGGTGAGGTTGTGAATGTTGCTCTATCTCCGCTCGCAAGTCCGTCAGGAAATTTTGGGAAGCGGGCGGCGCGCCAAGATTTCGCGGCAAAGCATCGGCTAATCCCTGGGTGGGTCGCCGTTATGGTACGTACTATCCTTACCGTCACGCCGTCTCTAAGACAACGATCCTTCACAATTATATTTTGCGAGGAACCGCACTCGACTTATGTAGGCAGTCGAAGCTATCGTCCGGACGCTTCTGTGTAATTATTAATTCAACATATGCGTCTGGACAACCGCTTCACATACCCATGTAACGAAATTATACTTGCCAAAATGAGTCGCGATGATGGCTCACCCGCCGCTGTGGAATAGTTAAACTTGTGCGCCTCCTGCGCGGCGTACACGGAGATGGCTTAAGTTAATCGTTTATTATACGTCTACATCTATATCTCTGCTTCAATTACTACCCCCTGGCCAGCACTATAGCGGCACGACATGTACTTTCTAAAGCCCAGTCTGATTTTTAAGTTACTACCGTTCGCCCGTCTGGGTTCTGTCACGTGAATTTCGGACCATTGCGGCTGCCCAACCCCAACGAGGAAGCCATCCGACCGCCTTCGGCGCCGACTCGACCTCCAGGATACGTATATCTCCACCACCCCTCGCCCTTTTCGCGTTCCCTGCTCCTTTCGCACCATTCTAATTTTGTCTGTACAGAATCATGCCGCACATTCAGGAGGAACCCAAGTTCTCGGCACCGGCCGAGGTACACCCTTTCGCCGGAGTGTAAGGCTTAATTTCGCTCCCCACCAGGAGAGATTACCATGCCTATAGCATTGCTGACTATGGCCCGACAGCTTGAGTGATCTCGACGGGACAATTATAGATTCAACGGACGCAATTGTCAAGCACTGGCACAAGTGAGTGTGAAAAATTCTCCGGGAGTCGGATCTGGCAGAAATCATCAACCGTCCCTAGCCCAGCGCCACACCCGCAATATCCAGAAGCTTATTGAGTGAAATAGGCTCGGAAAGCAGCTCGGCGTGGATCCGAATGTCATCCTGGCAACGTCTCACGGACGTCGCTCGATAGACGTGCTCAAGCTCTACGATCCGAGCTTGGCAACCTGGGAGCGTGAGTTGCCCCTGACCGAACGTTTTCCATGAACCACCGTACGATCTCGACATGCTTGCACGTGGGGAGACGAAGATCGTGTCCCCACAGGATTGTCGCGCTGGTTTCCTGTGCTTCCTCGTTCGGACGAACGCTTCACCTCCCTGTGCTCCGGGACTAGGATTCTCTACGGCCAAACGCAGAGCCATTGGGCCTTGGTGCTGACTCTCTTTCTTCTGCTTGCAGATGTTTGCCATGTTGAGGGCCTCATCCCGAAGGAATTTGGCCGAGACGCCGTGGAGATCCCAGGCGCTCGCACGTTCCTCGACCGACTCGAGGAGGTCGGAGCTCGCTGGGCTATTGTGACTTCCGGCACCCGGCCCCTCGCGACTGGCTGGCTGGACGTCATGAAGCTGGCGCACCCCAAGAACCTGGTTTGCGCCGAGATGGTTGAGAACGGCAAACCAGATCCTGCGTGCTACCTGCTCGGCCACTCAATGCTGGGAGTCGCGCCCGGCGAGCCCGTCCTGGTTTTCGAAGACGCTCCGGCCGGCGTGCAAGCCGGCAAAGCTGCTGGTTTCAAGGTGGTGGCACTGGCGACAACGCACACAGTTGATCAGCTGAAGGAAGCCGGCGCGGACTGGATCGTGCGCGATATGCGAAGTGTCACGCTCAAGGCGTACGACAACGAGAGCGGCCGAATCAGCATTGAAATCTCCGACGCCTTGCAAGAATAGAGAGGAAGACGGCGCACGGCAGCGGCCGGGATTCGCCCACTGCAGCACAACACTCCTCTCGCGCTCTTGGTGGTGCTGATAAGCTCTGATTCCGCCTGGGTTGCATTGCATTAGAATCCTTCAGCAGATTTTCTAGAAGGGTTGCAGCGCATTGCGTTGACATCATGGGAAGGCGGCGTCGACAGCGAGGGGCAATTGGACGGAGCCTCCTTGCTTTAGGCAGAAATGTATAGATCATGAGAAGGCTTTTTGCAAGAGCGGTGACACGTTATAAGAAGGGCTTTGTCATGGCGGGCGAGTCCGACGTTAGACGCGCGAGGGACGAGGTGCGGTCTCGGTGGTGCGTGACGTGGAGAGCTGGGACACGACGGGCGGGGCGGCGGCCACGTACGGAGGCATGATGGCATCTCCGCAGATCGTCGTGTTCATATCATCATCTTCACAGCGGTTCGCGGTCGCACTTGGCGTCGAGCTGCAAGGTACGGCTCACGCTGGCTCTCCCGAGATCCAGCGGCAAGGCCTCACTGCGCCCCTGAGGGCTGCATCAGAACGGCAGCGGTGGGGTTGCACAGAGGAGGCTATGCCGCCTTATTCAGCGCGGTTTGATGTGGATCGCCCGGCTTGCCTGCGCAGGTGCAGCGGCGCGCGGCCGGGTCGGCTCAGGTACGGCGTGCGCTGGAGGCAGGGTCCGCCTAGAGGCATGTGGAAAGACAGCGTCACGCGTGAGGGCTGGCAGGCGCAGGGCGGTTGCGGAAGGGACGCTAGAGCGCAGCGTCAACTCCACGCCCGCCGGGCTAAGGCTGAGGCCAATCACGCGGCGGGCTAGGCGGTGGAGAGGCGAACCCCCGGCCTGTGCGGGCGGCTACGAGTAGCATGCACCACGGCCCTCCTGCGATCGATGGCTGCCGGCGCAGCGCAGCGTCATCTGGCAGCCCGCAGCCCTCTGCCTCTGCGTGAAGGCTGCCAGCCTCCAGCCTCCCTGGTGATCAGCCGCGCCAGGGGCCGCTGCGGGTCAGGGCGGCGGGAGCGGTGATCCAGCAGCGTCGTCGCCGCCGCCCAGGGGAGCCAGAGGCCGGGAGCCGTAGCCGCGTGGGTCCAGATCAGGGCGCGTCGGAGGCCCTCTCCGGGCGAGGCACCGAGCCAGCGCCAGCGCATCGCCCCCAGCGCCGCCCGCAGGCACACAGCGCTGCTGCACCAGGGCGTCAGCACGCCGCGGGCCTGGCCAGCTGCGCGATAACCGGCCGCGGTCGGATGACTGGCTGCGCTGGGCTGACGGCGCGCGCTTCTCATGCAGCGCGGATTATTCTTAGCAGACATGCGTCGCTGTCTCTGTCGGCTCCGAGCAGCCAATCCGTGCGTCGCGCGCCCAGGGCCCTCCCTACTCAAGTCCTGTCCCCCGTGCTCCCCCAGCGGCCCGCAGCTCTGTAACCAGCGAACCGAGTCCGCCATCGCCTCTGCAGTCGCCCTAATCCCTCCCTTCCCTCCTCCGTCCGCTGCCCACCCGCCGGCCCACGCCTCCACGCTCGCTTGCCTCTGTCCATGCCTTGCCTTCAGCTTCTGTCTCTAACGTCCTAACCACCGTCGTTCGTTCTCTCCCGTCCTCGCCCTCCGAGTCCCTCTCGCCGCGCGCCGCGCTCGAGCGCCCGCTCCCACCACGCCCTCCACGCGCCGCCATGGACCGCTACCCGCCAGCAATGCCGCCCTATGCGAATGCGCAGCAGCCGGGCGACGCCGCCTCGCACCCGCCCAACCCGCATCCGCACACCCTGCTTAAAGTAACCTCCGAACAAAACGTCCGGCTTCACCAACCGCCTGTTCACCCTGTCTGCCAGGAAGTCAAGCCGCGCCTCACGAAAGAGCAACATGACATCCTCGAAGCCCACTTCCAGCAGCAGCACAAGCCGAGCACCACCACCAAGAAGGGTTTCGCCGAGTCGCTCGGCGTGCCTCTCGAGAAAATCAACGTACGCGCCCGGTCCCTGCGAGCGCCTCGCCCACCATTGCTAACACGACCGTGCAGAATTGGTTCCAGAACCGCAGGGCCAAGGTCAAGCAGGACATGAAGAAGCAGATGGCGCAGTACAACATGCAGTTGCAGATGCAGCAGCAGCAACAGCAGCCCTCGCAACAGCAGCAGCAGCAGCAGCAGCAGCAGCAACAACAACAACCACCCCAGCAACAGCCGCAGATGCCGCAGCAACAAATACCCATGCACAGCCAGATGCAGCCCGCTCCCCAGAGCGCGCCGCAGTCGCAACCCCAGAGGCCCGAGTTTTCGTACGGCCCGCCGGATATGAGTTCGTCGTCGTTGCCCGGGAATGGTTTCGCGGTGCAGCAGGCCCCAGAAATGATGGCCCCACAAATGCCCCCTCAAGACTACTCCTCCGGCCACGGCCACGTCCTTTCCTCAATTTCCGAGTCCACCCAGCCTGGTTCGTACGACGCCGTCATGCAATCGCTGGTCAATGCGGGCTACCCGGTGCAGGTGAGCAGTGCGAACGGAATGCCCTCTGGCCTCCAGCCGACGGACCCCTTCGTTTCATTCGACGGCTCTAACATCCCCCACTCCATGGGTGGTGACTCGCACTTTGCATTCGCCGATTTCCCAGGCTCGGATCCCTTTGGAGACGGTTTGGGCGATTTTGGAGCCGACCATTTCGATTTCAACACGCTCGCATCCTCCGCTCCCGCCTCCTTCTCGGGCAACCATGCGCGGGCCACCGCATCGACAGAAACCTCGCCTTTTTCGGCAGGCCAATCGATTCAGAACGGCGGCTCGTCGGCCACATCTGTGCAATCAGGCTGGATGGACAACCAGCGCGAGGATTCCCAAGAAGGATCGATCAGCGGCAGCGTGCCTGGCCCGGGGGGTCAGTGGATGGCGAACCATTTCCAGCCGCAGAGCGTTTACCAGCAGAGCAACACGTCGAATCAGACTTTGATATCGACCGCAGCCGACCCGAGCGAGTCGTCCATGTACCAGTTCAGCCAGCCCGATTTCAACCAGCCCTTCGCATTTTCCGACGAAGCGCTGCACCGCCGCGATTCCCCTGCTACAGCTCTCGCCCAATCGATGGGCAACGTCGAGCTCCAGGGCCAATCGAACAGCGATGCGGGCTTCAAACAACCCGACCAGCCATCGAGCATCGCTGCGCGGAGGCAGCGGCCCCGTCCCGCGGCTCTTGGTCAGGCCGCCCTTCGCAGTGCATCCTACAGTGCGGGCATGCCTTCTTCCCCTGGCACCAACAACCACAACCTGAAGGCCGATCACACGCTCCGTAGGATTCGTTCGACTGGTCTAGTGAATGGCGGCCGCATCCAGAAGGCCAATACCGGCTCCGCTCAGCGCTCACCGATGCATTTCACCTTCGCTGAAGCCGCTGTTTCGCCGAAGTTCGCAACTTCTAGTTATGGCGGCCCAAGCATCAGCGGTCCGCCGGTCTCGACTGGTTCGCTGGCGCCGCCGACTCCTCTCACGCCAAGCGAACCCGGTCGCTTCCCGTCTTGGCAAAGCCCCGGTAATGTGCAGAGCAATGTAACAAGCAACCAGGATACCACCAGTCGCGCAGACGGTGCAGGTGTCTTGTACAGTATGGCTCCGACCTCCGCCGCTTTCTCCACCGCTTCGCCGCCCGAAACCCCACTCTCCCTTGCATCGCTATACGGACACGGGCACCGCGCAAGGGTCAGCAACGGGTCGCTTGTCAGAGACACGCCGCCGCAGTCCGCACCGGCCCAGCAGCAAAGTTTTCCTCGCTCGGCCTTCACTCCGCAGCAGACATCCATGGCCGAAGAGCCGCACCAACCACCGCCGCAACCGCACCCGCACCCGCAATTGCAATTGCACCCGCAGCAGCATCACCTGCACCACCACCAGTCAATGGAGAATACTCACAGCCAGCTGATGTTACAGCAGCAAGCCCAGCGGCGGCCGTCCCTTCCGGAAGGCGGAATGGTCCCGTACGATATGGCAGCAATGCAATATGCCGTGCCCATGGTCAATGCGGACGGCGACTTGCAATTAGCACACCCGATGCAATTCGCCCAGGACCCTTCGATGAACTACGCAAAGCCGTCGATAGCATTCTCCCCTGACATGGGCAACGGCCCGATGCAGCACCACATGGGCATGCAGCAACAGAACTTTTATGTCCACCAGTATTCCCCTCCTGATAGCTCCTCGGCTCAAGGGGGCCAGGCCAACTCGAGACGCCAGAGCGAGATGCAGCCGAAGAATTACATCTTCGCCAACCAGACGCCCGGTGACTTTAAAGCATGATCTGCTGTAGTTTGGTGGAAACGTTGTTACGTTTGAGCTTTTTCATATCTTACTCATGGCTGCATCTGCCGCGCACATTGAAACGTGATCCATGCGGGAAACGAAAGCGTATTCCTGCCCTGGTTGCCTGTTTATGGTACATCTGACTTGGCGCAAAAAGCTATTTCTTTTCGGTTTTTTGTTGATCTCGCTACATACCTGTTCAAACACCTAAAAAGTGCCTCTTGGATATACCCCGGCTTTTTCGATTTGGAGGCGAGCCGATCCGCGAGTTTTTCCATTGTTTCCATCGTATCCATCTCCTTCTCGTCGGTTCAGGTCTATCCATCTCTCTATTTCCCGTCTGTTTTCTTTTGCTTTTTCCGTTTCCTTGGGTATTTGGAATCGCTTCATGGTCTGGAACCCAGCGTTGGCGTTGGAGAGATTTCGACTACGGCTCATTATCCGAGACATTACCGGCACACACGCCCACACACATACAAACCTCAGCTCTACAGCAAAGATTTAATCTTAATACGCTCCTTTAATGCTCCAGAGATTGGAGGAACACAACCGTACTATTTTTGGGCGACCCATGGCGGCCATTCCTATGTAAAGAGACGGCATTACCCGTTCGTCAGGGATCAGGAAATTTCCTTCATTTCTCTGTTGCTTTCTTCGGACTCACCTGCTGACTGTCGTAGCACAGAGCGAGTGGCTTGCAGCTACGGACTCAGATGTGGAGAAGAGGCTGAGAAAGGGATGAGATAGCCCCACGCGCGATCTGGTTTTCCCGACGTCAGTCGTTCAGTTCTGTCGCACCCCTTAGATGGACATGTTTCATGCACATCTTTATCTCCACTTTCCTTGATTGCTTTTTAATAGTTGATTCTTTTGGCTCAGCTTACTTTGGTCTCACCATTTTGTTTTGGTATGTACAAGCGCTAACTGGATTACGGATATCACCCTTTCTCTTAACACTTTCCTGCTCTCAACGGCCTCCCAGCGTGCCTTTTATCTCCTAAGCATCATCGCGAGTTGCCTTCCTCTATTTGCTCTAATGTCTCAACCCAATAATGTCTTGGATTCCTCCACACGACTACCTGTAGCAGCTACGGCGAGCAGAAGTAACAAAACAAAGTAATATCTTAACGGGAGCAGAGCACAGTACAGAGGATATTTCAGTCTGTAAGAATACGCTTTCACAGAGCATCTCTTTATCCACGCTCCATTTCGTTGGGACGCCGTTCTTGGCTTCGAGCAGCGCTTGATCATTCAGAGATTACGTCGGCTTGTCTCGGTTTTTTTATTATTTCCAGCTCTGGCCTAACTAAAAGACAACAACATTGGGCAAACACATATTATGTAGGACACATGCGGAACTGAAAGGGGGCAGCAAATAGTCGCTTGTAAGGCTTCAAGGAATGGAGGCTCGGTGAGAGTCACACAACATAAGCAGCATTGAATGCTCGCGTAGAATATCAAAATGAGTCGAATCCTACATGCCTCTGACTTCTATTGGTGAGCCCGGCAAACTGACGAAATCACCCCCTCAATGTTCCTCTCGAGCTATTGCAAAAACACTGGACATGAATGGGACCGCAGCAGCGGCAATCGCGGTTACCAAAAAAGACGTTTCTTTACGAGCGGCGAAGCTGATGGCAAGGGTAGGTGGCGGGCGGCTTGCTCACTCCGCTGTTCATGCACTAAGAAGAAAAAAAAAAGTGAGACCGATACCGACCGTCTCCACCGCCGCGGCTTCCTTGTCCTTGCTGGAGGCCTTGTTTTCGGCCCACCGAGGAGAGACGCGGCTGAGTGCATACATGTCTACCCCGCTAAACCTGGCCATCCGTGTGCCACTGCCGAGAATGGGGCAGAGACCAAGGAATTCTCTTCACCTCTTTCCTCCGGGTGAGAGCCTAGCTACCTTAAGTCCGAGGGCCTAATTTTCTGCAGGCCCTGAGCTCCTGGAGAGATGACACGAGCAAGATGGCAGGGAACACGGCAGCGGAGGAAGCTCCTCCTGCCTGGGGAACCGACCCCTCTCCACCCGTCCGTCAGCTCTCTCTCGCTCATCGTACCACCAAATAAAGTGACGGTCCGCGCTCCCGGAGCATCCGGGAGAAGGGAAAGAAGTTCAAGCGTCAAGGTCATGCCAACGGGGTTGCGTGAGAGGATAGGGACCGGAGGAGCAAAGTCAGGGATAGTAAGCAAGCGTCAGCACGAAACAGGATCTCCATTCCGGCCCTGTTTCTGCACGCCACGCCCACACGCCGGGCGCCACGAGCGCGGAAGGAAATTCTCCGGTGCATCGGCGACCGGGGTAGAAAACAGGCGGAAGGAACATCAGCAGTAGCAGCAGTTGCCTGAAGCCTTGCCGCAGGGCTGAGATCCGCTGGCCGCTGTGTGGGGGCTGGAATACGGCATGTTGCGCTTGCTGGTTGGAGGGGTTTAATTTGGGGGTGTGTGTGTTGTAGCGCAGTATGACATGCATATACACTAACCGCGTACAGGGCACGCCGGGACGGGTAAAAGGTTCGTTCTGTTTGATCTTTTGCCTGACCTCGTCTTCCCCTCCGGGCCCCGGCCCAGGCTCATCGTGGTCTATGGCCCTCTGGCCCCCACGGAATCCGATCTCTGTCTTGGCGTGTCCCGAGGATCCTTCTCCTAGCACGCGTGATTATGGCCGCTTTTGGTATGTCGTCGAAAGAAGACGTTCCAGACTACTGTTCCTTGCGGGGAGGCTACCAGTGGTTGGAGAAACGCACTACATCGATTTAGGCCCGGCATGTGCCTTTCAGGTACGCTTGCCATGCCGGCACATAGTAGTGCGCCAGACTTTCCACGCCTATTCTTTCCTCGATACGATCTGACAACAAGGAACAGGGAAAAAAGAAAGAAAAAAAAATAGCCATGAGAGACGTCACTACATGCGTACTAAGCTTTCAACGCCGTGCTTTTAGGAAGCGATCACGACAGATTTGTAGTCTCATATCCTCCGGTCAGTGTTTTACTTACGCTAACTTCCCCGGAACGAACGGATGGCCGGCGCTCAAGCCGCCGCAGATGGCCCAGGCTTGACCGTTGACGTAGCTAGCCTCGTCGCTGGCGAGGAAGAGGGCGACCCGGGCGACCTCGTCGGCGACGGCGCCGCGGCGCAGCGGGTTGAGCTGGCCGATCTTGCGCTCGGTGCCGCGGGCGCGGGCGGCGTCGTACATGGCCTTGGTCATGCCCGTCTCGATGACACCCGGGCAGATGGCGTTGCAGCGGACACCGGTGCCCGACAGCTGGTAGGCGGCCGTCTGCATGATGGACACGACGGCGGCCTTGCTCGCGCTGTAGTCGGTCCCGCCGGCGTTGGAACGCAGGCCGGCGACGGAGGCGGTGCCGATGATGGAGCCGGCCGGGTAGGGCTTCGCGGCCGAGGTGACGAGCATGGCTTTGGCGGCGTACTTGGTGGCGAGGAAGACGCTGGAGCACAGGTGAGGCGGGGCGAGATTTGAGCGAGTGGCTTTGGCTTACCCTAGGGCATTGGTCCGCATCACCTTCATGAAGTCTTCGCCGGTGCAGTCGTAGAAGGGCTTGGTGCTGCCGACAATGCCCGCGTTGGCAAACATGACGTCGAGGCGGCCGTAGCGCTTCAGGGCATCCTCTACCACCGACTTGACCGAGGCCTCATCGCCAGCATCGAAAGTGCGGACCTGGACGTCGACGTCGGGATAGAGTTGGTTGATCTCCCGCTTGTGCACGCTTAGGAATTCATCCTTGTAGTCGCACAGGTAGACTGCTTTGGCGGCGTTGCGGGCGAATTGGTGGGCCGATGCGCGGCCAATGCCAGTCGGCGAATTGGCCCCTCGAGGAAAGTCAGCGCATGTGAAGGGAGCAGCAGGCAGCGGTGCATACCGGTGATGATGACCACTTTGTCCTTTGCTCTCCTGAGGTGCGTTGTCAGTCGTCTGAGCACGCCTGGGGCAGTTGCGGTGATTGACGTACGGGCCAACCGAGTCGGCTGCTATTGTGGGGATCTTGGGAATGTTTTCAAACATGCCAGGGTCCTCGCGCGGCTTGGAGAGCTGCTCGCTGAGCGCCTGCTGCTTCATTTTCGGGGCGCTCGTCATGGTGGAGCGGCGGGCGCGATGAGACAGACCAATTGCACGCAGCGCGGAGAGTAAGGGTCACCAGAGAGCACGCACGACTTGATATGGGGCGGGCGGCGATGTCACCGACGTCGAGGGTTGCCCCATGGGGAGGTGTAGATGGCGTTTGCGGGGAGAGCTGCAGCGAACCTCGGCACGCGAGTCAGGCGCCGAGGCCATATTTTGCAACTCCCTCTCGCCGTTCCTGCGTCGCATCTCCCAACACCAGACCGCCTCGCCCTGCATCCCTTGAGATGCTGCCCAGCTGCGCGGCGGGCCTGCAGCAGCGCGCACGAGCACCGGATGCCGATCTCCCCGCTTGCGCTGAAGGGATGCGCGCCGGCGCCCAGAGCTGACCACACAGCTACAGTCGCGCTGGTCAGATGGCGGGCAGCTTGGCCACCGTCTGCTCCACCGCGGCACAGCCTCGCGACTCGTCGTCGTCACCCGTTGCATCCCACGCAGCACCTGACGTGCGCATGCGATGGACTTTGCACTGACCGCAACGTCCGCCTGCCCTCCTCGCGCGACCGCCATGCCCCTTGCCGCGCTGTATTTGACTGATTAGCCGCCCTGTTCTTGCCAGCCAGAGTCGACGTTGTTCGCTGTGTCCCCTTCTGACGCCATCCCTGCACAGAGCTAGCCAGCTTCCTACCCCAGCCGTGCTCCAAGCCACAGTACAAAAAGCTGAATGGCGAAGTCCATCGCCCCGCTCGTCCACTTCCTGCACTTCCGGACACACAGGCAACGACGCCGGACCAAGCCCTCCCCAATGTCCCAAGACTCGCAACTCACCGCGCAGATCGCCCAACCGGCGAGCCCACGTGGAGCCATGGGAGACGTGCTCACCCCGACCCCGGACGCTGCCCAGCCTCTTGCGCAACCTGCAGCAGCTCAAGGCACAGGCCCTGGCCTCAAGCTCCCAGCTCACCCCAACACTCTTTCCTCGCCCGCCACCACTGTTCGCCGCGACAGTCTTCACCCTTCCTCCAATTCCGACCATACTGATCAAGCTATGGCTGCCCCCGCCATCACCATCGAGCATACCGCCAATGCCAGCCCGCTGGAGCTCTTTAGCGAGTACTTGACTACCAAAACCTGCTTCGCCTTCGTCCTCGACACGACCCTCTACAACCACCGTGACGCCACTGCAGTAGCCACCGATGCCCTGCTGCAGGCCGTCGCCGACGCCCACAATGCGCCCTATGCCACCCTCCAATCCACTTACAGCGACCTGTGCTCCACGCACCCGCCGCAGGCCCACGAGGCCTGGCCTGCCCACCAGAAGCAGCTCCTCCAGTCCCTCCTCTCCACCGTGCCTCACACCCTCACCTCGGAACAGGCCTCGGCCCAGATCGATGATCTCTTCCGCCTCTACAAGAAGACATTGTATGCCCAGCTGCATCCGGCGCCCGGCGTGTTGCCGCTGCTGCGCTCGCTGCTCAAGCGCTCCGCGCGCATCGTCATAGCCGTCGACAGCACCAACTCACACTGCACCAAGGACATGGCCGCCTGGCTCATCGAGCACCTCTACCTCGACAACTTCGTTGACCGCATCGCTCTCCTCGACGAGAATTCCGTCGACAATGAGAGCAGCAATGGCTTCGCCGATGCCCTCAGGCGCATTGACGTCCGCCCCGATGAAACTGTCCTGTTTGCCGGCGCCCGACGCGATGGCCGCAGCGTCGCTGCCAAGGAGGGTGTGGATGTCGTCGTTGTGGATGCCGAGGCGGTGGCACAGCACCCGGAGGATACGCGTGGCAGGGATAGCGCCAGGAACAACTACATCCAGCAGGCCGAGGACGGCGTGTGGGAAATTGGCAGGCTGATGGTGGCGAGGAATGCCGTGAGGATGACGCTGCATGAGAGGGATCGGAGCGTGGATTCGGCGAGGATGTGAGATGTTGGTTCTGCGTTCGGCTGGCTTTGAGGGGGGTGCGACAGAGGTGACGGCAATTTGCTAATCAAAAGTCAAACGAGGGAGAGCGATTGTTCGCAGGGAAAATGAGGAAGGGGTGTGGACGACCGACCAATTTGCATCTATTCCGCATCGTGGAGAGGGTCCAAAAGCATAGAATCTCTCTCTCCTCTTTTCCTCCTTTTTCTTATTTCCTCCCCTTCTTGACGAATATCTGACCAATGGAACCGGTTAGTGAAAGGGCGTTCATCATTACGTGGCGTTTTGTTGTTAGTCTCGTTGCTGTACTTGCCTTTCAATCGTTCTCTCTTTCTGTCCTCCGCGCTCCGCAGCCTCACAAGAAGTTGACCACGAAACGAGGTACTTGCAGGTGTCTAGGAAAGGGTAGAGATTGTACGATACCGAATGCTTTTTTTTTTTTTCAGTGGCCAATTCGATCAGGATCGGGTGTATACACGTCCTTTTCATGTCCTTTCGTCTTCTCTTGCTATTTTCTCGGGGTAATTGACGGTCTGCTCTCCTCTACGTAATCCCTCCGTACCTAATAGCAATCTTGAACGTTTTCATCCCCCAATTGAACTGGTGAGAAAGGCATTCGGACTGCGCGGCCATCTCCGGATAACAAAGCAGCTTGCGTCTCGCCATCGTCTCGGGGTACGCTGCCCCGAAGCCGCATCGCCGCGAGATTGGTGCGTTACCTTATTGAATTTCTCATCCGTTGCTGCAGCGGGCTAAGAGTGGGGGCGGCGGCGGCGGCGCAGGCGGAGGCGGAGGCGGAGGCGGTGGCGGAAAGTCAGGGCTCGAATCGACCTTTTTGTCACATACGTACGTCAACAAAAACCAATCCAAAGGTCGCTCTTTGCGACACAGGGAAGCGCAGGATGCGGCACAGCGAACACACCTTGGAACATCCAAGAGAAAGTGATTGAAAGGCATTTATACTCATCAACATAAAGTATGGTTGGGATATAGTATGTACAGTGAAAAGCTACAAGGCTGACGCTCTCCAGCAGGATATGTGGTGGAAAAGATGTGCACCTCCCAAATCGCAAATTAGCAACGCAGCCGTGCAATCTATGACAGACTAGCAGCAGCTCAATGCACCAAAGCTCAATTTCGCTGGCTTTCCAACCTTCGGCCTCCCCAGCAGGGGCGAACTGTATCCTCCCACGGAAGAGCCTTGATCATAACTCAACCATACCGCAATTTTTCGTTTCTTTTGTTTCTTTTTGGGGGGTATCTGTTGTTTAACCGAAAAGAGCGTCGCCCAGGCGGATGGAAACGGTCTTGGTCTGGACGTAGTTGTCCAGGGCAGCCTCGCCGAGCTCGCGGCCGATACCCGACTCCTTGTAGCCACCGAAGGGAAGCTGGTGGTGCAGCATGTTGTAGCAGTTGACCCACACGGTGCCGGCGCGGAGGGCGTTCGAGACCTCGATGGCGGTGTTCAGGTTGGTGGTGTGGACCTATGACGCAAGAGATCGGCGGTCAGTCGGAGATTCATATATCCAGATGTCCGTCATCGGCGGGCAGCAGTGGGGCAGAGCAGCGGGAACAGGGGAGCAGGTTGGGGAAAGAGATAGGGGAGAAACTGGTGGGGCGTGGGGAGAAGTATGGGGGCGGTGGTGTGATGTGGTGTGATACGGGGAAGGCTAAAAGGACGTCGGTGAAAACTTACAGCTGCGGCCAGACCATAAGTGGTGCTGTTGCCAATGCGGATAGCATCCTCCTTGGTCTTGAACTTGGCAATGGCGCAGACGGGGCCGAAGATCTCCTCCTGCATGATCTTCATGTCCTCGGTGACGTTGGAGAAGATGGTGGGCTCAATGAAGTAACCCTTGTCGCCCTTGCGCTTGCCACCAGTCTCACAGGTGGCACCGGAGCTCTTGCCGTGCTCAATGTAGCTAGTTGCCAATTAGTGATTTGCTCCCTCGGAATGCAGGGCGCTTGGAGCTTACCTCATAATGCGGTCGAACTGCAGCTGAGAGACCTGAGGGCCCTGGAAAGTGCCCTGGTCGAAGGGGTCGCCGACAACGTTCTTGAGGGCGCGCTCCTTGAAGCGAGCCAGGAACTTGTCGTAGATGCTCTCCTGGACGTAGATACGGGAGCCGGCGCAGCAGCACTGGCCGTGGTTGAAGAAGATACCGAAGTTGACCCAGGAGATGGCGTTGTCGATATCGGCGTCCTCGAAGACGATGTTGGGCGACTTGCCGCCGAGCTCGAGAGTAACCTTCTTCAGGTTGGAACCAGCAGCAGACTTCAGGATCTGACGGCCAATGACGGTCGAACCAGTGAAGGCGATCTTGTCAACGTCCATGTGCGAGGCAATGGCCTGACCAGCGACCTTGCCGAAACCAGAGATGACGTTGATGACACCCGGAGGGAAGCCAGCCTCCTTGATCAGGCTGGCGGCGACCAGCGCGGAGAGGGGAGTCTGCTCGGCAGTCTTGATAACGACAGTGTTACCGGTCGCAATGGCGGGACCGATCTTCCACGCCCACATGAGCAGGGGGAAGTTCCAGGGAATAATCTGGCCACAGACACCAATCTACACAGCTCTATCAGCAATAGTTCCCGCGAACCCAATCAGCGCCGAGGAAGACTCACAGGCTCCTTCTTGATGTACGAGAAAGTCTCGAGGTTGGTCTCGCAGACCTTGCCGTGGATCTTGTCCGCCCAGCCACCGTAGTACCTCAGGGTCGCGGCACAGTTGCCCACGTCGGCCTTGGCCATGGTGATGGACTTGCCGTTGTCCAGCGACTCGACGGCAGCGAGGAGGTCCATGTTCTCCTCAAACTTAATCGAGAGGTTGACGAGCAGCTTGCCGCGCTCCTGGGGAGTGACTTTCCTCCACTCGCCCTCGAAGGCCTTGCGGGCCGCAGCGACGGCAATGTCGACATCCTTCTCGGTGGCCTCGTGGACGGAGCAAATGACCTCCTCGGTGGCGGGGTTGATGACCTCGAAAGTCTGGCCGTCGACGCCCTTGACGAACTCGTTGTTGATGAAGCTGCAGGCGGGGCGGGGTCAGCTCGGCGACAAACTCAATCGTGTCAACGGGGACTTACAGGCCGGTCGGCTGCTCGTACTTGCCGGTGTGCGGCGTGTGGAGAGTGGTGGAAGTCATGGTGGGAGAGGATTGAGGAAGAGCGAAGCGGAAATGGGTATCAATGGAAAGAAGAGTGTGAGGGATAGTGGATGAAGTCCAGCGGCTGCGGGGACGGCCGGGCTTAAGTACTGCGGAAGCCTCTGGGGCAAGCCAATAGCCCGATGAGACCCCGCACCCCGGTCAACCGTCGTCGAAGGCTAGCCGCAAGGAGCAATGTGCTGTCTCGGTCGTGAGGAATCGTGGAGCGCAGAGGGAGGGGCCCCTCGCGTGCGGGCTTGTTTTACCCCGCCTGTCCAACCACGAGGCGCCGGTGATTCGTCCTCAGCAACTGCCATCGCCACTCGGCGGACTGCCAGCTCCCCACTCCAGTGGGCTCCAGCTCCCTCCGCGAGCAGCGCGCGCTCAGAGCGTGCCCAATGACGACAGTGCCGATAAGAGCGGAACCGTACCGCCCACGACTCGGGGCCCGCAGCGCGGAGCCCCACGGCCCACCGCCCACCGTCGGCTTCCTTTCGAGCGAGGCGCCGGGGTTGGGGAGCGGCCGGCGGCGTGGACGGCGACAGGGGCCAGGCAGCCCATGCGGCCGCCGTCGCGCGGCATCACGGTGTCGCGTGGCAGCACGCTCAACAGCTCTAAGATTTGGGAACCGCGCGTGCGGATGCGGCACCGCACTGGTGGAGGCTCGGCTGGTCATGGCTCAGCGCCGGCCCACGCCTGGCCGAGGCTTTGGTCAACGCTAAGGGGCCTCGCTCCCGTTTCTCCGCACAAATCCGCAGCCGCCCTGCCAGACGTCAACTCCCCACAGCCCCCGGACCCCTTGTCCCCACGGTGCGCCTCAACAACTGCTGGATCAGCGGACGCGCTCACCCGAGCCGCCAGCCTCACCGTCCACTGCTTTGGGTTCGGATCTCGTGCTACCCGCTGTGATCATCACTGTTCGCTATTATAAGCTTCTATCAATCAATTGCTTGGGCTTGGCCCTGCCAGATCGGCCCCTGGCCCAGCAGCCTGCAACTGCTCCAAACAAGAACGCCGCGAGCCCTGAAGAGAAAGCAGTCTGTCCGTCGAGAGCCCGTCCGCATTTGTGTTTTAGTACACCCCGAAGAAATAACTCCCGCCACCTCGATACCCCTGCCATCAACCCTCCAGACCCTGCCTGACTCGTATCGCAATTTAGGATCGCCCAGCATGCACGTGGTGCTTGTGATTCCCGTTTACTGAACAAGTTTGTCAGCCCACCCTGCCAAGCCCTTTCGCCAAGCCAACGATCAGCACTCACCATAACCTCATCCTCCATCTGGTCTCCGCCATTGCCAGCCGCCTGCACGGCGCCGCCGTTGGTCGCCATCGCAGTGTCGCCGTCCACACCCGCACCGTTGCCGCTATCAAAGTAATCCTGCATTTCAGCATCAAGCTCCTCGGCCGTCTTCGGCTTGGGACGGTTGGTCTTCTTGCCGCGGAGGCGCTTCTTGCCCGCCTTGCCCGCCGCCGCCGCAGCCTTGGTCTGCGTAGCCGGCTTCGGCTGAGCCTTCGCAGCGTTCTTGGGTTGCCTTGAAACTCGTCAGCACCGCTCCTGCACTCATGCTCCGACTCGACTTACTGGACGCGCTCGCCAAGCGGCTTCGGCGCCGCGGGAGGAGGGACATCAGAGGCACCGAGAATGACCTCAACCTAAGCTGCGTAAGCGCTGACCTGCCTTGAACACGGGGCGGCCTTTTCTTACTCTCATGGGCCTATTGTCGACCTTCAGGCCATTGTGGGCCGCCGCAGCCTCAGCAGCAGCATTCGGCTTAGTGAAGATGACCGTGGCAACACCGCGGCTCTGGCCGTTGGGACCGTAGGTGAGCAGAACCTTCTTGACCGGTCCGACGCTCTTCGCAAAGTACTCCTATAAGAGAGTAGGGGATTAGTCGACTTGTCTGAGTATACACATTTTCCGAATTCCATCATCATCATCCAGGCGCGGCAAAACGGAATGTGGCTGGTCGATGAAAAAGTCCAGAAACCAAACGACGATCATATCAAGACGGGCAGCATCAGTTCAGCGAGCCAGCAGTGAACGTTAGTAATGGATCTGTGGTCCGCGTCCAGTCCGTGTTGGATGGTCCAACGCCAAAGTGTAGGTGTCGTCGAATTGAACTCCGGGATTAGTGCCACAGTAACCTCAGCGATCCAAGTCGGGCAGCAACAGCTTCATACTGTTTCCAGTGCTTGCCGAGAAAACACACACTCGTCCTCCTCTTCCACTCGTCGGTGTGTCTCTACGCGCATCGTTCGAAAGTCATGGACAAAGCCATGATTAGAAGGGGGCGCCTAGAACCCACAAACGCGGAAGGACCGGAAAGGTCCGACAATGACGCTTTGTCCCTGGTCTTTGTACATTTGGATGACCTTTCCCTCGCCGACTGAGGTATGGGACGATCTCCAGGGTTGTCGTGGTGTGGTACTCAGGCCAGTCGATGGCTTTTCAGGTTGCTCAAGATGCTGTGCTGTACTGCTTCACTGCTGTGCTCGCTGACACCAATGCTGCCACGACACGGTGCCTTAATCTCCGCATAGTACGAGTAAGAGATACCAGTGCAGGTAAATCTCAGAGCCATCACTCTAATGTCCGCGCCGCGATGGGCCAAGCTGCTTGCCAGGCAGTCTTGTAGCCTCGAAACGGACCTTTTGCGAGACGTGCAACGTGTGATCAATCCCAGGCCGTGCATCAAGCTCATCGAAAGGCGAGCAGGAGCATGCGGGAGATCTGCTTCGTTGGAGTGAGGTCGACCAGCGTGTCCTTGCATGTGTTCGGAGAATGCCAACGCGCCCCGGGAAGGTTCAAGAGGAAGTTTGCGAGGATCGTGCGTCTCAAAAGGAACGGCGAGAGAAGTCCAAGGCTAAGCGGCCTTCGCGCTCAACATACCTTAATCTGAGGCTCAGTCACATCGTGAGGCTGTGGCGTGTCAGCTGAGGCTCAACGAGCAGCAGGAGTCGGGGCGCATACCAAGTTGCTGACCATGATCTTACTGTCTCCATGCGCCTTGGAGGCAGGTCCAGTAGGAATGTTTGCCTTGGCGGCAGCCTTGGGAGCCTTGGTGTTCTTCTTGACGCCACCGACGGGAGCGGTGGCAGCAGCAGCGCCCTTTCCGCTAGCAGCGCGGCGGGCGGCAGGGCGGCCGCGGGAGACGCGCTTGTTGGCCTTGAGGATCTCGTCAAGAGACTGGTTGAGCTTGTCCGACATGTTGGCTGGAGGATTGGTGGTGTTGCGGGCAAAGGAAGTGACGTAGGTGGTCAACCGGTTGCAAAGCGTCTCGGAGATGTCGAGGCTTTGGATCGCGGCGCAGTCAAGTCTCGAGCGGGTGAGGTCGCGTCGGCAGCGGCTACCTCGCTTCAGTTGGGGAGCTGGTGGAAGGCGCGTGGGCGTGCAGAGCCTGGGAGTCAGGCAAGGCTTTCGCACGGAGAGAGGACGCGCGCCAGTCGGGAGGTGGCAGAAGAAAGAAGTCGGCGCTGGCGGCGAAGTCGAGAAAAGCTGCAGTTGCAAGGGCGTACAATGAGCAGGATGAAGCGACGTGGCTTTGGAAGTCGCGGCGATGGGTGTCGTGGAGAGAGGCGAAGCAGGAGGGAGCAGGCGCCGAAGGAATCCAGCCCGCCCTCGCGACGCGCTGGCAGTGCACGGGCCACCGGGCTTGGCAGCGATCTGATATCACTCCGCCGCACGACCAGGCTACGTCCTCGCCGACGCGCCCGGAGAATGGACTGATGCCATGGCTTTCGCGGGGGTACGCATCGCCGCTAGCTCTACCGCCCGCTCGCGCTGACTTTGCTGCAGTGGAAACCGTTCAAGTTCTTCGACGTCTCCCAAGTCAAGCTCCCGGACGCCTCGCTGTTCGATGTACCCAACCCGCTCCCCACCCTCATGCTCTCCACCCTGACCGCGTTGTAGCAAGCCAAAATCACCAGCGTTGCGTCCGGCTCCGACAATGTCTTCCTGGGCAGCCAAGATGGTGCCGTGCGCATCGTCTCGAGCGCCTTCAAGGTTGTGCGCGAGTTCCAAGCCCACGAAACCGGCTCCATTCGATACATGAAGCAAGTCCAAGGCACTTCGCTGCTCGTGACCATCGCCGAGGACCTTTCGAGCGAGCCAACCCTGAAGGTCTGGGCCCTTGACAAGCTCGAGAAGAAGACCGGTGCTCCCCGCTGCCAGTCTACTCTCACCATACACAATGGAAGGAAGCAGTTCCCCGTAAGCTACCGTGCACTCTTCAACCACGGCCGCCACTCACACATTGCAGGTCACTGCCTTTGCAGCAATGGATGACCTGTCGCAGCTTGCTGTTGGCTTCGGTAATGGCGCGGTAACCGTAGTGCGAGGAGATCTTATCCACGACCGCGGCGCCCGCCAACGAACCGTCTTTGAGTCCGAGGAGCCTGTCACCGGCATAACTTTTAGAGAGGGCAGCATCACCACGCTGTATATTGCCACAACCGGTCGCATATCAACGCTGGTTATCTCTGGGCGCGGCCAAGGACAACCAGCCCGCACGCTGGATGAGACAGGATGTGGTGTGGACTGCATGACCGTCGATAAATCGACCGGAGACGTCATTGTTGCCCGTGACGATGGTCTCTACTGCTACGGTCTTGGGGGCAGGCGCTCCTTCGGTTCTTACGATGGCCCGAAGAAGATGATCAGCACCTACAAGGACTACACCGCCGTCGTATCCCCTCCCAAAGCGAATACCATCACGCGTGCGGTGAGAGCTTTTGGCAGCAGCGCCGCCGACGATTTGTTCTCTACATCCAGTTTCACAATTCTAGATACCGACCTGAAGATCATCGCTCATCAAGAAGCCCTGCCATCTGGAGTCCAAGCTGTGTTCGTCGAATGGGGTGATCTCTTCGTACTTACCCAAGACGGCAAAGTACATAAATGCCCTCTCTCGTCCCCTGTTCAATCTTGCTGACTACTGGTAGCTCTTCCGATACCATGAGAAATCATTCCAACAAAAGCTCGAACTCGTCTACCAGAGGAATCTCTATGTTCTTGCAATCAACATGGCTCAGAAGGCCGGTGTTGACAAAGCAACGCAAAACGTGATTCTCAGGAGATACGGCGATCATCTCTATCAGAAGGGCGACTATGACACTGCAATGCAGCAGTACCTTAAGGCGATTGACAACACCGAGCCGTCCCAGGTCATCCGCAAGGTATGGTGGTCATCGGCACTCGTGACGGATTTCAACTAACACGAATTAGTTCCTCGACACGCAACGAATCCACAATCTGATCGAATATCTTGAAGAACTCCACGAACATCAAAAGGCAACTCCGGACCACACGACTCTGCTCCTAAATTGCTATGCCAAACTCAAAGACGTTGATAAGCTCGAGGCTTTTATCAGGTCCCCCGGTGATCCTAAATTTGACCTGGATACTGCCATCGCCATGTGCCGTCAGGGAGGCTACTATGATCAAGCAGCCTTTTTAGCAAGGAAACACAATGAGCATGAGCTGGTCGTTGACATCTTGATCGAAGACTCAAAGAGATACGCAGAAGCACTTGCGTACATCTGGCGCCTCGAGCCCGAAAATGTACGAAGAACAAAGAACCCTTCTACTAGAGAGCAGATTAGCTGACCATAAGCAGGCCTATCAAAACTTCATGAAGTATGCCACTGTCCTACTGGAGCATTGCCCAAAGGACATGACCCAGGTTTTTATTGACTACTATACCGGTCACTTCCAGCCCAAAAAGGATGCTGTGGTTATACCAGACGCCCCGGCAACTCAGGGTATGGGGATCGTCAGCAACGCCACAACTGCCGTCCAGAATCTGGCCGCGCTTCTTCCCTTGCCTTATATGAACGTAAATGCCATTTCTTCACCAGGATCCGGCGACCAGAGAACGACAGCGAGCCAAGCACAAATTGTTGAGACTACCGTCGACGAACCTGCGCCAGAGTACAAAGTTCCCAAACCACGCACAGCTTTCTCATCATTCGTCGATCACCCTAATGAGTTCATCATCTTCCTCGAAGCTTGCATCAACTCGCACAACATAAGTGAGGAAGACAAGGTCGATCTCTACACTACATTGTTTGAGATGTACTTGCACACGGCGGCCAGCGCGAGGGATGGTGACAAAGAAGAGTGGGAGAGCAAGGCCAAGAAGCTTGTCGAGGGCAAAGACGTAGGTGTTAAGTAATCTGGTCTTGCTGCTGCAATGTGCTTACGATATGCCAGATCCCCATCGACACCTCAAACGTCCTGCTCCTCTCGGAGCTAACGAACTTCAAGGACGGAACGATCCTTGTCAGGGAGCAACAAGGCCTTCGTGCAGACATCTTCCGGGCCTATACGTCAGCTAAGGATACGCCAGGTGCGATCAAGGCACTTCGGAAATACGGGCCAGAGGATCCTTCTCTCTACCCGACCGCGCTCGCCTACTTTACCTCATCCCCAACCATCTTAGAAGAAGCGGGAGACGAGCTCGACGCCGTTCTGCGCAAAATTGATGAAGATGGCCTCATGGCCCCCCTACAGGTCATCCAAACACTCAGTTCCAACGGAGTCGCAACCATGGGCATGATCAAGAAGTACCTCGCCACGACAATTGATCGCGAGCGCCGGGAAATCGCCAACAACCGCAAGATGATACAGACGTTCACTGCAGATACCACAACCAAGAAGTTAGAGCTGGAGACGCTCAACTCCAAGCCCATGGCCTTTACAGCGACCCGGTGTCCGTCTTGCCCCCATCCACTCGATCAGCCTACCGTTCACTTCATGTGTGGGCACAGCTTCCATCAACGTTGTTTGAACGTTGACTTTGAGCGTGATATTGAGGATCCTATGAGTGGAGTGGAGTGCCCGATCTGCGCACCGCAAAACGCGACCATCAAGGCAATCAAGAAGGCTCAGGAGGAGAGCGCTGAGAGGCACGATATCTTTTTGGACGCATTAGGGAAGAGCAGGGATAAGTTTGGGACGGTCAGCGAATGGTTCGGAAGGGGTGTCATGAGTGCTGCGGCTGCCACGGAATAGGTAAATGAGAAGCTGTTTCATGAATGTACTGTACATGATTTGTTGCGTAATAATACACGAACTAGTCAATGCGATTGCCTAGATGCCCAAGGCCTCAAGTTTCCTTTTCCTTCTTCACGGTCGGGATATCATAGAGCGTGCGGTTTTCCTTCCGTTCGTCCTTGACCTCCTCTGCCTTCACCTGCGTCTTGACTTCGTTCTTGCCGTCTTTGACTTTCTCCGCCTTCACCTCCGTCTTGACCTTTACATTTTTCATCCGTCCGATTAGCATATCAGAATCTTCGTCAGCTTCGGGCGGCTCCTTCTTGACTGGCTCCTCGATCCTCGCCCTCTTCTTCGGCCTATCACTCTCTTCCTTCTTCACCACGAACTCCTCGTCATCACTCTTTTCATCCGCGCCTTCGACATCGACGCCCCTCGGCCTCTTCCTCTTTCCGCTTCCCTTGTCAGTGGCCTTGGCACGAGCCCTGGCATCGTCACTATCTTCGTCCGAGGAGACGGAATCACGACCGCGTTTATTCTTGCGGGCATTGGGCTTAACGCCCTCCCTAGCATCGCGGTAGCGGCACCAGCGCATGCGGGCGGCGTGGCCATTGGTGATGCCGTGCTCCTCGGCGATGCGCTTCCACTCGATGTGCTTTACGTCGAGCTGCTTGAGCATGGAGAACAGGAACTCGGCGTTCTGCTTGTCGGAGGGCATGGTTGAGTGATTGGAGGGTGAGTGTATGCTGGGTGGACAAGAAGGATCGCGGGCGTTTGGGTCTTGAGGGAACACTCCGCGTTGTAGTGTTCTGCCATTTGGCTTAGTAACTGGGAATCGAAATAGGAGCTATGCAAATAGCGAAATGCGGATGGTTTACTATACTTTCAAACCAAGCTTCGTACAGAGTACTCTTGTGCCTTTGCAATCGATGATTGGGGTGGAATGTGAAACGCGGGTGTGGTAGTTGAGGGCAGTATAAGTACCATAGGCGGCCGCGAAACAACGCTGTCAGAGAAGCAAACAATCCGTCTGCCCCAAACATTCAGCCCATTGGGCAGTTTCGTTGTAGAGGCTAGGGATGTTCCCGCGCCATCTAGCCGGATCTGTGAGCAAATAGTGTATATCTCGGAAACATGCAGCTGCTGATTCGCGCGATAAAGAACTTCCTCGATGACGTTGTGCAAATACGCATACACACTGGTTCTGCACAGCAATTATACCAAAGACAAGCGGTAGGCGGTGCAAAAAGGTGCAAAATACTTCGATGAGCAATAGTCTGTGTTCGCGTTCTCGGATTGGAACTGTTCGGGGTAACCGCTCAGGTGTCATCTTTATATCAAGAGTGCAATCGATCCTGCAACTCCACGGATAAAACAGCAGAAGGAGGTAGTATATGGAGCAAGCAAATATTGAGATAAACACCAAACGCGGATTTTTCGTTGATCGAGGATTCAAATCAACCCAAAACTCTTTGGAGGGTCTCTGCTCCACCTGGTGGTTCGAGCTTGGGCTCCCAAAGTCCGATGGTTTACTGCCACCACTCACACCTACTTAACCCCGAAGTATTTTACCTATGAGACTACCCACGCTGTGACTATTGTTAAGAGGTAAGGCTGGGAGCGTTGCGTTATCACGATAAGTTAGAGAGTTAGTGTTATGGCTTGGTGATGAAATTTATTATTTTTAAAGGAATCAACGGAAAGAGATCTTGAACTGCATGCCTGGGGGGATAAGAGGCTCTGTAGCGAGAGGTGAGTGAAAGTAGCGGAGAGCATATCAATTGATTGCTAGTGTCCACCTCCTTATAGTTGTAAATGCGATAGTGCATCTAGGTTTCAATGGAACAAGACGTATTATTGGCTCATGTATTCAGTATTTGCTGTCAAATGTCGCAATATCAAGTAATATGACTCGTTTTTACTACAGGTATACTTACTCCCATCACAGCCATAGCTGTTCTGCACACTCTTCTGGATTTGTTTATGGTGATGCGTACCTATAGCCTGCGATTTGCTCGCATAAGGTAGGTGACAAAATAATCGAATGAAGCAGAAGCAGGCGGCACGCGCAACTTGGCGCATTGCACTGCCTTCATGCTCCCTGTACAAGAGTTCCTTCATGTTGTTAGACGGCTTTTCAGTTGCGGGCCTATTTCGGACACTATCTTGGAGACATGGTGTAGCAGAACCCCACCCGAGCCAAAAATTTTGCCAGCCGGCCCAACGAGACCACCTCTGAGATGCCGCGCAGACCACGAGTGCAAAACGAGATGCGTCGGCCGGGAATCGAACCCGGGGCTGATCGAAGCTGAGTGTTGAGCTCCTGGGAGCACTCGTGGGATGAGATACTCCTGTGAGGACTGCAACTATATGGCAACGATCAATTTTACCACTAAACCACCAACGCTGTAAGCCGTTCTACTGGCCATTTTACTGGTTGTTGAAGTATGAGAGCGGACAGATGGCTTATGAACAGAGGAACAAAGGAGGATTACTCGGAATGATCGACATTGAGCAGCGCCGGGAGCGAGGACGGCGGCTGGAGGGAACGGTTTGTCCAAGACAGGATAGCGCCTTTTGAGGCGCGGATAGACTGGAAAACGGAGACTAGTAATTCAAGCAGGCGCGGAATGTGAAGGTGGCGGGAACCGGGAGAACCGGATGGAAGAGTGGCGGGCGGGAGGATGTAAAGCGGTGGTCCAGAGAGGCACGACACGACGCGGACAGTGGAAAGGGGCGGGGCTGGTGGCAGCTGGTGGACGGTGTTGTTGAGAATGTCAGGAGAAGCAGTGATGTGGCATGCGGAGAAGTGGAGCGGCTTCTCGAACGCGTCGTAGTGCTGGGCGTTTTCTGCCGGGCGGGATGGCGTCACACGCGCGGCGCGTCGACCGCACGTGGAGCAAGCCTCCAAACATTTCGCTGCCTGCACCCCGCCCCTCGACTCGACTTCCGCATGCAACATGAGCTGCGGGCCATGACCCTCCGCCCACCCACGCTTCCTCCCTTCGCTCGTCCGTAGCAGCCCGCTCACCGCCCACGTCGCAAACATGTCGTCCAGGCCGAAGCGTACTGCCACCATCGCTCGCCAGGAGAATCAATACGTCCGCGAGATCCTGCACGCTCCCGAGCCCGCTCCCCCCGTTCCCGCCCGCTTCTTCTACACGAGCCCGCTCGCCATCGACGACCCGCTCAGCCCACTGCCGCCCCCCGTCACCGGCTCGTCCGCACCCCACCGAGAGCCTCCCCGCCCTTTCTCAGTCTACGACAACCACCAGCTGGAGCGGGAATGGCTGGACCTGCGCAAGAAGCTGCTGAAGCACAGCGAGGAGCAGGGCAACGAGAAGCAGCAGCAGCAGCAACAGCAGCAGCAGCATGAGCGCTCCCGCCCTGGCTCTGCGAAGAACACCCTGGAGATGAGCGTGCAAGATGCTCGGCGAAGAGGCTACACCATTCCCGAGGGCCGCGACATCGCTCCCAAGCGAGGCCAGTCGTCACGCCCCTCCGGCTCGTACTCGTATGACGACCGCACCAAAGACGACGACAAGGACGCCAGGTTCCAGCCCACGCTTTCCGGCTCGCTGCGCACTCTGGACCCCGCCGACCTCGAAGAGGGTTCCATCACAGGCACGCCCTTTGTCAGGGCTCCGTCGCGAAGAGCTATAGCACCGCGTCCTCTGATCCAGCCCCACGCCGATAGCTACGACTGGGCCGACGACGATGGCCTGGCCATGCCTTCGCCTCGGAGCTCCAAGCGAGACAGCAAGGTCGAGCCCAAGGTCAGCGGCCCGTCTGCCAGGGTCCCCGTTGGCGTCTCAAGGCTCCATGAAGTAGTCATGCCCCATCTACAGTAAGTCTTTGCTTCCCGCCCAGCATTGGGGCCCGCCTTTCTAACCGAACAGGATGGACCCAATCTACTGGTCTCCGCTCAATGACGTCGCTCCAGTCATCCGAGGCACCTGGTTCTACAAGGATACAATGTTGCCAGTCGAGCCCGAAGTTGCCAACCTCCTTGAGGCCGGCTATGTCTCCCTGCAGCCCTGGACACAAACATGGAGAGACGAGCTCAACAGCGCGGTCGAAGTGGGCGCATTGGGCGAGATGAAGATAGTCCACCCTCTATGGCCTGAGAAGCAGCAAAAATCCTCCAAAAGGAATTCGGACAGCAGGCCAAGCACCTCTCGAGGCGAAATGGTTGTCCAAACTGCCGCCGAGGACGAGCCCTCGCCGGAAAAGGAACGAGAGGAGATTGTCGAGCATGCGCGAGACATGATAGATATTTCGAGCGGCGCAGACGGTCCAGATAACAAGGCCTCGGGAACTGCCACATATGGAAGGGACGGTCGGAAGCGCCTCTATCTTGATGCAAAGGTCATCTATTCGGACGAGAAGGAGGCCTACCTACTTCGCCCGAGCCTCCAACCTTCTGACTACTACGGCCGCCGACCTCTGGCCAACTACATTCGTAAGGGCCGCAAGATTGGTGTCCAAGTTACCCGTGGATTCGATCAGCACATCTGGGACAAGCTTCATCCTGATCACAAGACTGCAGCTTCAGAGAAGGCTAGGGAAGGCGTGTCAACTTCGCATGCAGGCGCCCCTCCCAAGCGCAGAGCTCAGGTCGATGCCTCTCTCGCCCATTCAGAACGGCCCGTCGTCACCGACCTGGTCCTTGTTATCCACGGAATCGGCCAAAAACTTTCGGAGCGTATAGAGAGCTTCCACTTCACACATGCCATCAACGCGTTCCGGCGAGAGATGAACGTCGAGCTGGGAACAGACAGCGTAAAGTCCCACTTAAGGGACGATATGGGTGGCATAATGGTGTTACCGGTGCGTGCACTTCTCACCCCTGCCTTGCCATGGCTAACGATGCGTAGGTCAACTGGAGACTGAGCCTATCTTTCGAAGATGGCGGATATCGAGACGAGGACGAGCATCCTGCCTCCAACCAATATACGTTGAAAGACATCACTCCGGATGCGTTGCCTTCGGTAAGGAACATCATCAGCGATGTCATGCTTGACATTCCTTACTACCTGTCAATGGAGCATCATCCGAAGATGATTGCCGCATGCATAAGAGAGGCTAATCGCATCTATCGGCTATGGTGCGCCAATAACCCCGGGTTCTCACAGTGGGGCCGAGTGCACGTAATTGCCCACTCGCTGGGAAGTGTCATGGCTTGTGATGTTCTAAGTCGCCAACCTACATATGTTGATCAAGCCTGGGCCGATCCCAAGACGCCGGAGGAAAGCCTACCGACTGACCATTTCTTGTTCGACACGACGAATCTCTTCCTTTGTGGCAGTCCTGCCGGGTTTTTCCTCTTACTCAAAAAAGCTGCTCTGCTCCCTCGCCATGACAGACAAAAGCCTGGCGGCCAGTTCCCTTACAGCCCTGGTGTTGCTGGGGACCAGGACACGTATGGCTGTCTTGCTGTAGACAATGTTTACAACGTTGTAAATCCCTATGATCCCGTAGCATATCGTCTCAACGCGACCGTCGACGCCGACTACGCACAGAGTCTGAGGACTGCCTTCGTACCCAGCTCCACCACATCGTGGTTGAGCTTCTCCAACCCCTTTCGCCGTACTTTCGGCGGCCCCGAATCGGCTGTGCCCTTCAAAGCTCAGATGCCACGTATGCCCTCCAACGTAGAGCTCGAAACACACAATTTCACCCGTGAGGAGATTGCCGAGGAGCGCGCCTATGCTCTCA